CAAAATCACTTCGACAGATAACCAAGATGAACTCCAACTCTCGCTCAACAACATTAGCACCTCGTGTAAATTGAATGCTATGGAACTCAACGCCTCGAAATGTGTGGTCATGTTCTTCAGTTGAAGTAGCGTGGTGCATGAGTATGATTATTGCATCGATGGCAGCAGTCTTAATGTGGTCCAGAGAATCAAGGATCTTGGTGTGATTACCACTCCCTCCCTTTGCCCACTTGAACATTTGGTGTATTTGTCTTCTAGAGTATCCTCTCTACTGGGTTTTATCTACCGCTCTACGAGACCCCTTAAATCTCCTTTGACATTAGTCACCCTGTACAAGTCACTAGCACGGCCAATTTTAGAATACTGCTCCGTCATTTGGTCTTCATATCAAGTAGGCCACATGGACATCCTAAACAGAATCCAGACACGTTTCCTCAGACTGCTAGGTCTTAAACTTGGATTCCCCTTCTTGCAAGTACCAGTGACAGCTCTGGCCCAACAGTTTGATATACAACCTCTTCCAGTGAGAGGACGGGTCTGAGACATCATCTTCTTGTATAAACTGGTAAATGGAATCATTGATTGTCCTGAGTTATTAAACAACATCGACCTCACCATTCCCAGGGGCACTCGATCAAGAGCAGTCTTCACAAGGAGATACCAGCCGACTAACTATGCTCGTAACCACGGCATCTCTTGACTCCTGAGAACCAGCGAAGATGTGTCTTCTCGTCTCGACTTCTTCGGGCCATCACCAGCTTCATTCAAGCGAGACGTCCGGAGGCTACTCCACTAAAGTGACCTCGCTACAGTGTTCTGGCCATGAAACAGTGTTGTGTTTTGTTATTGGTGGCGCCTTTAAAGGGTCACAACCACATTGTGGGGCGGGGGGTTGTTTCGATCTATCTGCTGTTTGCATCAGACTCTAACTTTTGTTATCTTTTTTATAAATTTTATCACTGTTGCCTACTTCATTCATTATCACTGTTATCTATTTCTAGTCTGTTATTGTTATCACTTTTACTCGTTTCCGTATTGCATCTATCACTACTGTCAGTATTGTTGCCAATTATTATTGTTAACTAGTTATAGATTATTTATCGCCAAGCATGTTATATATTTTATTTGTTATTGTTACCTATAGTTATAGTCTGTTATTCGCTGTGCATGTTACTTAATTATTATGATTACCTAGTTAATTCAACTTTCATTCTTCAATTGTTATCAGAACTGCATGTAATTTTCATTGAACATGTTTTTCATCTTTTCATTTAATCTTTGCATGTATCACTGATGTATCTGTACAACATTTATCAGCATGTAATAAGCATCTTGTCACATGTATCACAATGTAAAACAATTGTAAAAATGGTGTTTGCCGTAAAAATAAATAAATAAATAAAAAACGCAAATCTCAGCTGCACAAACTTCTATCAAGATCACAAGGATTTTGTCATCAATACGTTAATATTATTAACCCTCCGAGTGTTAAGTGTCGCGTAATCGACGCACAACACACCCGCCGTGGTGTTATGCGTCGCTTTTGCGACACACAAACATCGTTTACGGCGAAGGCTCTGGGTCTGACTGAATCAGATTGAACTGGATCGATATTGGTATCGTTGTTTTCGGCAGATTCTAAGATTTCTCCTGATGTCTGTTTCTAGACGCTTTTCATCTTAGTTCTGTAAATATTGTAGCAGACAGCTGACGTGCGTATTTGTAAACAACTTGGTTAACCTCGCACCAATGACTGATGTGTTTTATTACGTTTATCATTGTTTTAGTGTTAAAAATAAAAAGTAGTAATATACATGGTGCATTATAAGAAGATTTAAGTGATTTTGAAGGGCTGGTTGATGATCCTGAAGAAGTAGGTAGTGATATTGATGTAAATTATCCGTCAGATTCCTAGCTATGGTTAAGCTATGCATTCTTAGCTAAACGCTAAATGTACAAAATCTGTTTTTCACCCATAACTTATTTATTTGCAAATTTACTTCTTATATTATTTACTTTTGTAATCTTTATAAAATTTTGATCAAAGTGGCTATTTTAAAATATTTGTAGACCTACAAATTATAAAAATTTATTGAGTGCAAACATAATTTTTTTAAAATTTATTTTATAATTTTTTAGAAATGTTAACCCCACAAAAATTGTTGAAATTTTTTAAAAATGTTTTATATATTACATTGAAGCCCATAATTTTCCAAACAAAATGATGTATAAAACAGTATACTTTAGCCTCGTTCACACGTATCGACTTTCTGCAGTGCCTAGTGTATGGCACGACGTCGTGTTTATTCAATAGCATTGCTGTAAATGCAACCGTTCACACGTATCGACCACGGCGCCATGCCGTCCACGGCGGCCGTGGACATCACGACCTACTTCAAGCGACGACCATGGTCTCTTAGGGATGCGTTTACACAGGTCGACACGGGGCCGTCCCGACTCGGTCTAGCGCATGCGCAGACATTGTTTATTTCAGTGTCTTCCTGGATTCGAGAGGTGTAGTACATCCATCAAAAAAGGTGAAATCTTCCACTTTTGTAAAAAATTTGTAAAAATAACTTATGTGAACAGTTCACAGGTTCATAGTATTATTTGCTATAAGACATTAGTTTTTAAACAGTGAAGTCATGTCTTAAGATGGGCCACAAAGCTCGTTTGTAAAGATTAACCAGATTTATTTGGAAATTAAGTCAGCTTACATAATTTGTATGATTCATAAAATACACCTTTTAGCGCAAAACCTGAGAGTAACGCTAAGTCTCTCCACAGCTGGGATGGCATCTCTCATCTTAGTGTTCTGTTTCTTTAATTAAACCTCCTTGCACTTTTACTAACAGTTCATAGAATGAAGCAACTGACATTTGAAAAAATAATTATAAAATTTACTTTTGTTCTTTCTTAAAAAAGAAAGAAACTGAATAGAAGAACGAATCCTCCTGTTACTGGCCTTTGCACATTTATAGGGTGTACCCACTTTAGCTTATTACGCCTCCTTTTGCTTTGACGATGTAGCAATTATAAAAATAGCATACTTGTTTGGTTATCCATTTTGACAGACTGAAGAAATGTGGCAAGAAGTCATCTACGCACGACGCAAGTCGTGTTGTTCATGGCGCAAGTCGGGTGGTCCACAGCACGGTTCAGGAATGCACGGCGCACGGTGGAAAGTCGATACGTGTGAACGAGGCCTTATAGGGAAGGTATGGGGTTTAGTGAGTGGGAGAAAATTTCGCGCCGTTCCGGCCAAACCTCGCATGCGGGGTTGGTTCGGCAGATTGGCCACAACCTAAACTCCAACTCTCACTTGTTAGCTGCGGAGAGCTACCTTCTGCCACTGGGTGTTGGTCCACCTACAGAACCAAGTGAGGGGGGCCCTAGACTAAGGTGTAATGCGATCCGTGCCAAGAGTCTTGTGGCACTGGGGGCCTAATATTCAGTGTCTTAACGGATCCCTCTGGGAACCAGGGGTAACCCAGTCGTACGCACCCCTTACCTCTCTAATTGGGTCACTGGGGAGGTGGACTTAAATACCCGGTATTCGTGAGAACAATGTAGACAATCTGACCCAAATGGAGGAGGAAGGTCTACTGAAATCTGACGATGACGACAAGCTCGCAGAAACCGGAAAGGAACGAAAAACGACTTTCCAGGGGCGAGTTGCAAAGATGGAGGATAGCGGATGCTTAAGCCAAAGGCGAAAAGGTGCTATCCAGAAGTGAGAGGAGGCTGGTGTGGGCTGCCAAGCCCTAACACCCTAACTCTGCTGCCTGCAAAGCCAGTTCCTCCGGGAGCTAGGATGCTGGGAAAAAGCAGAGCAAGGGTGGTACCCCCAAAGCTGACTCTAATGAAGCCTCCAGGAAGAAAGGTGGAGGCTGTGCTAACGCAGCCACAAAGGATTGGCTGGTCAAGCAAGTTCAGGAGCTGAGTCCTTTCAGGAAAATCTCGCTACGGCTTGCCCCAGCCAGAGACCTTGTGAAAGCTGTGAAGGTATATTTATGTACCCAGCCCTACAAGGTCTGCGTATGAGATCCCTCGTACGAAAAACGACTTTCCAGGGGTGAGTTGCAAAGACAGAGGATAGCGGATGCTTTAGCCAAAGGTGAAAAGGTGCTATCCAGAAGTGAGAGGAGGCTGGTGTGGGCTGCCAAGCACCCTAACTCTGCTGCCTGCAAAGCCAGTTCCTCCGGGAACTAGGATGCTGGGAAAAAGCAGGGCAAGGGTGGTACCCCCAAAGCTGACTCTAATGAAGCCTCCAGGAAGAAAGGTGGAGGTTGTGCTGACGCAGCCACAAAGGATTGGCTGGTCAAGCAAGTTCAGGAGCTGAGTCCTTTCGGGGAAATCTCGCTACGGCTTGCCCCAGCCAGAGACCTTGTGAAAGCTGTGAAGGTATATTTATGTGTCCAGCCCTACAAGGTCTGCATATGAGATCCCTTGGCCTATTGATGGGAGATCAAAGGGAAAAACAGGTCACTATAGTCAAAAGGCTCTCACGGTTCACCAAAGACCTGGGATTTGACGGAGAATGAGGATCTATGAACGAGGGTGCACAATAAGCTGTTCTAGCTGCGATGCAATCCCATGGTAACTTGTAAGCCTGGCCCTCTATAAAAAAAAAAAAAAAAAAAAAAAAAAAAAAAAGGCCTTATAGTGTATTCAAGTTTCTAAGATACATTTAAATAAAAGCCTGTGATTGTGCAATTAATGGGCCGACATTAATACCATTACTATGGACACTTGGAGGGTAAAAGGAATGTACTTATTGAAAAATTCCCAAAAATCCAAGCAGGGTAAGGCCCCTGTTAATTCATAATAGCGAGACTCTAATGTTCTTTTAACACAAAAAACATGTGTTTAGTCCGCAAGTTTGTTGTAACAAGAGTATTTTCTTACAAAAATAAACCTCAACCATAGTAAGCCAAGCTACTAAGATTCTAGATTAAGTTTCCATAGTTTCCAAATGTACTGATCAGTTATATTTTCTTCATTAGTTTAAATTGAATTTGTTATCTGTTAGTATTCATAATTACTGTCAAAATAGAAACGTCGAAGTAAAACAAATTATGAGCCAAACTATAGAACAGAATTTAAAACGAAAATGTGAAACCACTGAAGAAGAAAAGCGGATAAAAATTGCTGCAGACAATTTACCCGCTCATATTAATTACTGGCTGAACGAAACGACACCCGACTGTTACTTTAAAGTTGGCTCAGAAGCAGGTCCAGTGGAGAGGATAGGTGCCTTGAAGTTGTTTCTTTCAGCACACAGTGAGCCACTGAGGATAATGTTCACACAAAATTACAAGGAAGGTCAAGACGGAGAAGTTCGTATAGTGGATGTTGAAATTGAAACATTTAAGACATTGCTCAAGTGCATCTGTGGTGGATGTGATGTCGTTATTCCAAGTTTGACTATGGAAGAATCAGTCAAGTTACTAGAAGTTGCTGATAAATATTTGGTCGAATATGTCAAAAACAAAGTGTTAAGTTACATTAGAAAAATTCTAAATTGTAAAAACATTTTTACAGCTCTGGAATGTTCTTCTTGCTTAGAGGATCCCGACACAAGCCAGATAATGGTAAGCACAGTTCAAAACAACACCGAGGACATTATTTTCGATAAACAGTTTTTGGCTCTGAGTGCTAATGCTCTCTTTTGGATATTGCAACAGACAAACCTCAACACAGAGGAAATAGAGATTTGGAAAGCTGTGTTAAAGTGGGCTAAACGTAAGAGTAATTCAAGGGATGGAAAGACGCTCCGTAAATACATGTATCCATTTCTGAATCATATACGATTTCTCACAATGGACCTGAAGGAACTATGGAAACATATTGAGCCAGCAAAAGTACTACTTTTAGAGGAAATTGTCGACATCAGCCGATCACTTTGTACCAGAATCCCACATGACATGACTCACATCTGCAGAGCTATGAGGCCTCGACAAATGCACCTCTTGTCTGACAAACTCACTGTGCTTTCCATCAATTACATGACATATGTTGATGTCTTTTGTGCTATCAAAAACTGTGACGATTTAAAATGGCTGGAGGAATCTGAATTGTTCTCATGGTCGGGGTTTCATTGGAGGATATCGGTCGGAAGAAGAAATGACTTTGGAAATGAAACTTTTGCTGTCTATGTTTCATGTTATGGTAACTTTGAAAAACAACAAAAACGTGAAGTCAGAGTTATGACCATTGCTACACTAATGGATGATGAAGCAAACAGACAACACAGTAGGACTTTCTATGGAAACTTCACCAAGAAAACACCTTCCTCTGGAATGAGCAATTTCTGTGAGTGGTCCAAGATGGAACAAACCTTCATTAGGCATAACGAAGCAAAGTTAACACTTATAATAGCGTTGATATAAACAAATTAATTGTGTTATGACAATGTATGTCCTTGTTTGGTTTTCATAAACCATGATTTTACAAAACAGACTTCGTTATTTTGGACCAGTTTTACTTTATTGTACAATACAACTTTTGAGTTGTGTACATTTTAAAATCTAGTATTTCATCAACTTGAAAGAAACCTTAGTCTTAATTTCCATAGCCAGAGGTAAAGATGTGGTTTCTGTGGTGTTGGAAAAACCTGAATAGTATGAATAGTACATAAAGGTATGCTTATTCAAGCCTCCAGCACCCTGCAGGGATACCACCAAATGATATAAATGTTTTAGGCACATGCTTACTGAACAGTAGGGTTTCTGGTAGTAGAACCAGTTCCCTAGAACAATTTTACATTGTGAATGGTGAGGCTTGCCATATTCTTGGGCTCTTCACATGTAAAACATTGAACCTTATTGCCAGAATAAATGAAGTAGCAAATAATAGTAACTACGTTTTCACGGATTACCAACATGTTTTTGATGATGAGTTAGGGAAATTACCAACTACATACAATATTAAAATAGCGGATGATGCTATTCCAAAAGTTTGGAGACCTATACCTCAGGCATTGAACGATTTGGTTCGTACAGAGATAAGTGAGATGGTTGACAAAGGCATTTTAAAAGAAGTAAGTGAACCAACTGACTGGGTTCATCCCATAGAAATCAGAAATCAGAAATCAGAATACTTTATTCTTGAACATAGAGTACAGAATAGGCGTCGTTACAGAGATTGAGAGGATTGTTTAATCCTCACTGGAACATCGGTGAAGTTCTCCAGTTCATGAACTCCTCAACTGTGTAGAACGGTCTCTCCAGAAGCCAAGCCGATAAGCGTTGTCTGGTGCTGCTTATGCTGGGGCCTTTTATTGTCTCTGGGAGCAGGTTCAGGAACTTCGCTCCCATGTAGGAAGGCTTTTCTTCAAAAAGAGTTAGATGATGGACTGGAAGTGTGTAATTCATAGCCTGTCGGGTGTTATGGCTGTGCCTATCCGTACCTCGTTGGATCTGTAGCCTGCTTGCGTGAGTAGCCACAGCTAGGATGTACAGGCTTGTAATCGTTAGGATTTTTAGCTCACGGAATTTCAGTCTGTGACTTTCTCTCTTGTCCATGTCTGCTAATATTCTTACTGCTTTTTTCTGGTGGATAAGCACACGTTGGAGGTTGGTTGCCGATGAGTTTCCCCATACTTCAAGGCCATATCGAAGATGTGATTCAAACAGTGAGTGGTAGGCAATCTTGGCTATGTTGGTGTCACTGCAAATAGTGATTGCAAAAAAAACCAAATGGTAAAGTAAGAATTTGCATAGATCCTAGAACATTAAATAAGTACATCAAAAGAGAGCTTTTTAAATGCCAACCTCACAAGAGATTTTCTCCAAACTAGAAGGAGCGAAATACTTCAGTGTGCTTGATGCTTCATCGGCATTCTTACAAATACCTCTGACTGAAGAAAGTTCACGATTATGTACAATAGCTACCCCTTTCGACCAATTTTGTTACTGCAGACTACCGTATGGATTGAATAGCGCTCCGGAAGTGTATCAAAAAGCAATGGATTTTGTAATTGGTTTAGAGGGAGCAGTTTCATATATTGATGACATTCTCATATTCGGGAATACTAAAGAAGAACATGACAAACGATTGAAAGAGTTTCTAACAAAAGTTAGATGCTTTGGACTCAAGTTGTCTAGGTATAAAAGTCAAATATGTGCTGAAAGTGTAATTTACCTTGGACATAAAGTAACTTCACAAGGAATATCCGTAGTTGAATCGAAGTTGAAAGCAATACAAGACTATCCAACTCCAAAAGACAAAGCTGATATCTGACATACATATCTGACAAAACTGAGACGTTAAGATCACTTATGAATAAAAATAAAAGTTTTGTGTGGACAGATGTTGAGCAGACGAGTTTCATGGACTACTACTCAACAAAGATATAGCCAAATCAAAAAGGGTCTTCTAGCTGTTTTAAATGGATGTAAAAAATTCCACAATTACTTATATGGAACAAAATTTGTCATAGAGACTGGTCATAAAACTCTCATTGACCTTCTTGAGAAGCCTATATCCGATTTATCTCCACGATTTCAACGAATGGTAATGAAATTAATGAGATACAACTTCAAACTGATTCATGTTCCAGGAAAGAAAATGTTCATTGCTGATTCGTTATCCAGAGCTCCTACAAATGACAATGTTAATACAGACTATCTTGAAAATGGTGCAGAGGTTGTGTACTCTTTAGTAGTGCACAAAAATGATAACATATTACAAAAGCTGAAATCAGAAACAAAAACAAATGTTGAGTTAGAAAAAGTAAGATACTATATTCAGTATGGGTGGCCTGAACACAAAAATAGAACTGACATTGAAGCTAATACGTTTTGGGATAGCCGATACGAGCTACATGAGTTTGAGGGTTTGATTTATTTAGGAAATCGTCTTGTGATTCCAAAGAGCCTTCGATCTAACATTTTGTATCAAATTCATGCGTCCCATCAAGGAATTAACTCTTGCCAAAGGAGAGCACAAATGACCTTTTATTGGCCTGGTTTGATGAAAGACATCAATAGATTAGTTAATTAGTGCAAAAATTGTCAAGCGTTCCAGAGATCTAACACCAGAGAACCTCTTAAACCTCACCCAGTAACTAAGAATCCATGGGAAGAAATTGGCATAGATTTATTCAAAATCAAAGGAGCAGAACACATGTCGGTAATTGATTACCACTCTAAGTTTGTGGAGATTAAAAAGATGAATACAACAATTGCTGAATCTGTTACCAGCTGTTTAACTCATATCTTCAGAACACATGGATTGACAAAAAAGATCCACTCGGATAATGGCCCTCCCTTTGACAGCCTTAAGTTTTCTGCCTATGTGAAGAATTACCAGATAAAACTTGAAACATCTTCTCCATACTACCCCAAATCAAATGGCATGGTAGAGAGCCATCCAAACTCTAAAATCTCTAAAATCCAAACACATTAACAGGCTTAAGATGTATCTGTGAATAGAGTTGGAAAATCTATCAAATAATCCATATGTTCTATTTCCTATATAAGAATATTAATCACACATCTTGCTTCAACAAACTCTATTTCCAAACTAAACCAATGTTTACAAAAACATGTTTACAAAAATCATCTGACAGCAAAACATATTTAAATACAAATAAATCATATGATAAAAAGAACAGACTAAATACAACCCTGTAAGAATATTTTTACTTTCTCCCCCTATACCATAGTATATGGAGAAAGTATTGTTTTCGTCAAAATTTTTGAGTTTGAGTTTTGAGTGGATATATTCATTTTGGGTCCCCCTGGACCCAAAAAAGTGGTTTTCGAAGTGATGTCTGCGTGTGTGTGTGTGTGCCTGGATGTGTACAGAGCTAGGGACTACACCTGTGGTCCGATTTCGATGAAATTTGGTATGTAGGTTCTAATCCATGGTATCTCCAGGCGTTTTTTCATTTTTTTGAAATTTTGATTTTTAATGGGGATTTTCTCATAAAATCCCATAAAAAAACGGAAAAATCGGATTTTCTCAAAAATGGCCCGAACGATTTTGATAAAATTTAGTATGTTGTAGCCCTTTAAATTTTGAACAATATGGTACAAATCCCATTTCTCTAAAAATTACGGTTCAAAAGTTATGGTAAATTATGTTATTTTCCATAAAAACCCCATAAAACAACAAAAAATAGGATTTAAGAAAAAAATCCGGTTTTGATTTAACATAGTATGTTATGGTCCTTACAATTTCGATAGCTTTTTTCATTTTTTTTTAAATTTTGATTTTTAATGGGGATTTTCCTATAAAACCCCATAAAATAACGGAAAAATAGGATTTTCCCAAAAACGGCCCGAACGATTTTGATAAAAATTTAGTTTGTTATAGTCCTTTATATTTTGAATAAAATTGTTCAAATCCCATTTCTGTAAAAATTACGGTTAAAAAGTTATTGTAAATTATGTTATTTTCCCCTAAAAACCCCATAAAATAACGGAAAAATCGGATTTTCCCAAAAATGGCCCGAACGAGTTTGATAAAAATTTAGTATGTTACAGTCCTTTAAATTCTGAACAAAATTTTACATATCCCATTTCCGTTTATTTACTCTCACTGCTTACACATGATAAAGGTTGATTACAAACTTATGGGAGAAAGTATGTGTCAGAATGCTGATACCGTTTATTAAATTTGTTACTAATCTATAAGTATAAAAGAGGATGTTTGTATATATATATATATATTTGTTTGTTTGGCAGTGATAAACTCAGACACCGCTGAACCGATTGCCACGAAACTTGGTACATACGTGTAGAATTTCATGGAATAGGTTTATACACCATCAATTTCGTGATCCGTCCAATAGGCTCCGCCCCAGTGGCTCTGGAGTTTCCCATGTTAACCTTATGAGAAATGGAATTAATGAATCTTAACAGCTGTTTCAATTAAACAAGTTGGTTCTGTTCTATGATGTTTAGCATTAAAGTTACAAGGATTACCAACAGGGTGCAGCACTATTATTTCTTTTACATTTATGACAACAGCTAATTTGCAACCAAAAGGTGAGTGAGCGTAGCGAACGAGCTAACCTGAAGGCAAGTGAGCGCAGCGAACGAGCTCCAACCTAAAGGTGAGTGAGCGTAGCGAACGAGCTCCAACCTAAAGGTGAGTGAGCGTAGCGAACGAACTTCAACCAGGACGTGATTGAGCCATGCGAACGAGATCATCTTGAAAATTAAGAAGTTAAACGGGGCAAAGCCCGCGGGTTACAGCTAGTGATTTTTAAATTCACTCATATCTCAGAGCTGAGTTTCTGGTGAGATAAAGTAACTTTGGTGATGAAAAATGGCTATAAAAGTGTTATTCCTCAAATATGGTCCTCATGATATGGTTTCAAACATTTGACCGATTCTCTAACAATCATTTTATCAATTACATTTTTCTTTTGCTGGTGGACCGAAAATAGCTTTTAAGCTATCATCAACAAAACAAATCAATAGCTCTCTACATATTAAAAAAGTATTTATTTCAATTGTATTTCATTGCAAACTCCTATTTGGTACCAACTTCAACAAAACGGTGGCTGTTTCTTTCCATTTTTCATCGAGCCACATTGAGAAGGCTTTTCCTCACCACTGGTTTCCTCTTTAGAGGACTTGGTTGAGCTCGGGCACGACTTTGAATGAGTTTTAAATTCATTTTCTAATTTTTTTGGCTCACTGTTTTTCTTTTCCAATTTTTCATGTTTTTTTGTATCACTCTTTGTCTTGATTATGTTGCCTTTCTTGCAGTCATCAACTGCTTTTTTAATACATTCACACGGGTCGTTTTTTGATTTAATTTTCTCGTCTTGTTTTATTACATCAACATCCTCGTGTTTTGAACACTCCTCTTCTTCTTTGTCAACTTTACATTTATTGTTGGAGCTCAACGATGCTGTTTTTGAGGTCTCAACATTACAGCATGTAACATGTTCACTCACTTTTGGTTTAGCATCTTCCTTTTTAGAAGACCCGCAAATTGATTTGTGGTTTTTAGTATGTTTTAAAGTGGAGGTGTCTTTTTTCGGCCCTGTTTTGGTATTTGCAAGGGCTGACTGTATACAAGAGCACATTTCTGTTACAGCCTTCCTGTTCCTTTCTTCTTGCTCTTGGTCAATGGGTTCATCAACACATTCTTTCTTGGGGACTTCATCAAGCTCCGAGTCCTCTTCTGCCTCTGTTTTGCACTCATTTTTCTCCTCTCCTTCAGAACATTCACTGTCTGCCTCGGAGGAGCTTGAGCTTGAACATGTTTGAACTTTTTCACCAAAACTGTATGTATTTTTATCTCCTTCACAAACAACTGTTGTGGCTTTTGCTGAGTTTTTAGCAGCATCAAATAAGCTGCATGAACAGTCGTTGGAGGAAATCTTGGCATCTGTATCCTTACATTTGCCTTTGACTTCAGTGAACTGTGCTCCCTTCATACTATTTTTCTTCTTTCCTTTTACCTCACCACACTGTTGCTTTCCATAACTTTTGTCTCGTTTGCCTTTTATTTCCGTACACTGATCTCCCCTTTCTTTACTTGCTCCTCTTTTTCCTTTAATATTTTTAAGCTGTTTTCCTTCTCCTTTATTGTTTTTGACTTCCGAACACTGAGCGCCTCTTTCCTTGCTTTGTCCCTTTTTCCCTTTTACACTAGAACATTGTCTTTTGTTTGCCTTTTCTGAACTTTTCCCTTTAACAGCGCTGCATTGCCTCCTCTCTCCGTTATCTTTTCTTGCCTTAGCTGCAAGACTTCTGCCGCAACTTAGTCTGCTCACTTGCAGTTTTAACACAGCTGACGGCGGAGGTGACCCCATCACTTGTAGAGGCTTTGTGAGGGCAGGAAACATACTGGGCACAGAGCCCATCCTTGTTCTTGCAACAAGCCGGAATACGTTCTGTGTAAATGTGAATTTAACATTATGCTACACCCAATAGTTCACAGTTCATTAAATGTTTAATATGTTATTAGTTTAAAAATACTAAATTTTTGGACAGTAAGATACAGTTGTCAGGAGTAACTTAAGTTTGATCACTACAACCAACTGAAAATCACTAACGTAAGTAATTTGTTTGGTGATTAAAATAATTATCATTTATTTTGATATTATACAGTTAAATATTGGTAAAATTAAGAAAACTGTCTTTAGTAGGAAAAGATTATGTTCAAATGATCTTGTATTTCAACAACAGTTGTATTATTTTTTATGTAGAAGCTATAGTTTAAAAGATTGGAGTTAATGATGGAAAGACATTAAATACGCTATAGTAAAAATGCATCGCAATTATTATTTGTAATACTTTTTTAACTAGATGTTTTTTATCTGTCAAACTGTTATCATTATCATTATACATCAAGCTATTAACTTTTACAAGACGTAGATTGAGAAGATAAAATATGGTAATTATTAAAATCCCTAATTAAGATATGCTCCATTGTTGACAGAGAAGTTTTTTAAACTGTAAAAATATGATTTATTGATTTTTGCTTGATTATTTAATGCAAGAAAAAATGTATTGTATGTAAGATACACTCTCTATTAACTGAAAAATACCTAGCACTCAAAGGTTAGAAGAGTAATTGATTACATTCTCAAACAAACAGTTTTTGTACTTACATGCATTGTGCAAATGGTTATTTGAAATTTAGGATCGTCCTACTTCAAACTTGTAATTTATAACCTTGAAACTCTTGAAATTTTACAGGTTTGACATGTTGAATTTAGCCTATATCAATATGTAACCACAGTAACAATGGTTATCATCTATAAAGATGTTTAAAAGTTGCATTTACTAATATAAATGACCTGAATCAGCCATTAAAATAAAATTATTATTAGTTATTTGAATGGTTTAATATCTAACATTCTTAGTTAGAATTAAAACAAAAACAAAAATATATGCTGGGAAATTTTTAAATTTGTAGTGAGATTTTATACCCATAAAATACCATAACAGATACCATCCTTAAGGCAAAGCACATTCCCTATTTCTTGGAAGTCTGCCCTAATTCGACCCTTGAATAAGATCCCAGCCCCGGCTTCTTGCCAGGACTTCAGGCCGATCAGTATATTGCCCGCATTATCTAAAGGCCTTGAAAGAATCGTTCACTGCCAAATAACTGATTTTCTGACTGAAAACAATATCTTATGCAACTCACAGTCTGGCTTTCGAGCAGCTCATAGTACAGAAACAGCACTTTTACGTGTGACGGACGACATTAGACTAGCAATGGAACATCGGCAGGGAACGATTCTTACCTTATTTGATTTCTCTAAAGCCTTTGACTGTGTAAATCACAAGCTCCTCTTAGAAAAGCTAAGGGCCATAGGGTTTTCAAATGGTGTATTGGACTGGCTGGGATCCTATCTGTCAGACAGGCGGCAGTGTGTTGAGGTTGATGACTTACGATCTGACTGGGAGACAGTTACTAGCGGTGTACCTCAGGGGTCCATCCTTGGTCCTCTGTTGTTCGTACTATACATAAACGACTTGAGCTCAGTCCTCACAAACTGTAAATACCACATGTATGCTGATGACTTACAGATTTATACACATTTTTCACCCAAACAGATCAACGAAAGTGTTCAGAGAGTGAATGAAGATATTGAGAAAATCATTACTTGGACTAATAAACACAGACTCAGACTCAATCACGAAAAAACTAAACCTATCATAATTTGTCATCCACGGTTACGGAACTCAATTGACTTTCTCACGACAAATCCAATAAATATAAATGGAACAGCTTTGCTTTACTGTGACAAGGTCAAAAACCTAGGACTTACTATGAACTCGACACTTACTTGGGGCGATGCAGTCTTAGACATCCGTAAAAAGGTGTTTGCATTAATCCACACACTTAAAAAATTACAAAACTTTTTGCCAATGCACATAAAAATACATCTCGTCAAATCACTTGTCTTCCCCCACTTTACTTACTGCAACTCTGTGATCAATGACATGACTGTAAACCTCGCTGATGCTCTCCAACGCGCTCAGAATTACTGCTTGAGATTCATTTATGATCTGAGACGCAGTGAGCGTATCACGCCTTACTACATTAATTCTAAACTATTAAAGCTATGTGACCTTAGATCAATTAAAATCCTTTTGCTAACCTATCTTACTAATATTATAAATCTGAAAGTTTGTGAGTTTGTGTGTATGTTTGTGTGTATGTTTGTGTGTGTGTTTGTGTGTGTGTTGCTCAATCACGCATAAACTACTGGACGGATTGGGCTGAAATTTGGCATGATGATAGCTCACATTCCCGATTAACATTAAAACATATTCTTATCTCAAAAAACCCTTTCGGGCTCCGCCCCAGTGGCTCTGTAGTTCCCCATGTTAATCTTATGATTTATCATATTTAAAAGGAATTAATGAATCTTAACAGCTGTTTCAATTAAACAAGTTGGTTCTGTTCTATGATGTTCAATAGCATAAAAGTTAAAAGGATTACCAACAGGGTGCAGCACTATTAATTTTTTTAAATATATGACAACAGCTAATTTATAACCAAAAGGTGAGTGAGCGTAGCGAACGAACTTCAACCTGGAGGCGAGTTAGCGTAGCGAACGAGCTAACCTGAAGGCAAGTGAGCGCAGCGAACGAGCTCCAACCTAAAGGTGAGTGAGCGTAGCGAACGAACTTTAACCAGGACGTGAATGAGCCATGCGAATACTTATGAAGTTAAACGGGGCGAAGCCCGCGGGTACAGCTAGTTCAATAATAAAATCAAATTTTCCAAAATATTTTGTAGATGATTTTAGGTTTGTAGCTGAAGAAAGTGTTAGATTTTCACGCTATGCTTCATTGACTTTGCGTATGCCTCATCATAGGACTGCAGTTTACGACGGGGCGTTTGTTGTGACCGCTTGCCGACTTTGGAATGACCTCCCCTTAGCCATCAAATCCCTTGATAACCGTTCCCGGTTAGTGGCAGCGCTAAAAAATATGTATTTTGAACGTATGGCCATGGTTGGTTTGTCCTAGGGGCTTGTACGCGTGGTTGGTCACTGACAGATGTGCTTGGTGTGTGTGTGTGTGTGTGTGTGTGTGTGAGAGAGAGAGAGAGAGGGAAAGAGGAAGATTATTTTTGTACAGTTTAAAATGTAAGTTTTTTTCTTTTGTTTAAGTTTCTGTATCCATGATTTAGATTTTGTTTTTGTTGTATATTAATGTAATTGGTAAAATATGTGTGATATATTTATGACAGGTTAAGTGTAAGAAAGGGCCATGTGGCCCTAACTTTTGCCTGGATAAATAAATAATATTTCATTTCATTTCATTTAACAGAGTGTGGTTTATTTGACCAATACAATCTGGTTTTAATTATGTCCTACTGGATGTGAGTTGAAGTGAGTTTTGTCTGTAAAATAACCTTTACAAGAATTAAATCTGCAAAGTCTAACGACGCTTTGTGTGTGCATTTTAACAGCACTATTAATTAATTGTTAAAATCAAAACAACAAAAGCTGATGTTGCCCCTTAATTGCAAAAGCTGAAAAACTTAAATACTTAAAAGCACAAGAGAAGTTATTTTACCATAGGAATCCCAGACAAGGGAAAAGATTATGCTAACGTATTGAGCAGGAAAAGTTTTGAAACACCAAGAACACAATTAATTTAGATCATGTTTCCTACCTTAAGTGTAACTCAGGTTTGGGACACAATAATTTTAGATCATGTTTCCTACCTTAAGTGTAACTCAGGTTTGGGACACAATAATTTTAGATCATGTTTCCTACCTTAAGTGTAACTCAGGTTTGGGACACAATAATTTTAGATCATGTTTCCTACCTTAAGTGTAACTCAGGTTTGGAGCACAATAATTTTAGATCATGTTTCCTACCTTGGGTACAATTTTTCTATAGGTTTGGGACACAATTATTTTAGATTGTGTTGCCAACCTTGGGTACAATTTCTCTATAGGTTTGGGACACAATTATTTTAGATTGTGTTGCCAACCTTGGGTACAATTTCTCTATAGGTTTGGGACTCAATTATTTTAGTTTAGATAATGTTGCCCAACTTGGGTACAATTTCTCTACAGGTTTGGGACACAATTATTTTAGATCATGTTGCCTATCTTGGGTACAGGTTTGGGACACAAGTTTGGGACACAATTATTTTAGATCATATTGCCTACCTTGTGTACAGGTTCTCTAGAGGCTTGAGACACAATTATTTTAGATCATATCGCCTACCGTGTAAACAGGTTCTCTAGAGGCTTGAGACACAATTATTTTAGATCATATTGCCTACCTTGTGTACAGGTTCTCTAGAGGCTTGAGACACAATTATTTTAGATCATATCGCCTACCGTGTAAACAGGTTCTCTAGAGGCTTGAGACACAATTATTTTAGATCATATCGCCTACCTTGTGTACAGGTTCTCTAGAGGCTTGAGACACAATTATTTTAGATCATATCGCCTACCGTGTAAACAGGTTCTCTAGAGGCTTGAGACACAATTATTTTAGATCATATTGCCTACCTTGTGTACAGGTTCTCTAGAGGCTTGAGACACAATTATTTTAGATCATATCGCCTACCGTGTAAACAGGTTCTCTAGAGGCTTGAGACACAATTATTTTAGATCATATCGCCTACCGTGTAAACAGGTTCTCTAGAGGCTTGAGACACAATTATTTTAGATCATGTTGCCTACCGTGTAAACAGGTTCTCTAGAGGTTTGAGACACAATTATTTTAGATCATATCGCCTACCGTGTAAACAGGTTCTCTAGAGGTTTGAGACACAATTATTTTAGATCATATCGCCTACCTTGTAAACAGGTTCTCTAGAGGTTTGAGACACAATTATCTTAGACCATATTGCCTACCTTGTGTACAGGTTCTCTAGAGGCTTAGGGCAGCCATCAATGAGTGGAGGACGGTCTCCTTTATGCACAGCCCACATGATCCTATAGGCTGTGCCGCCAATATCACTGAAGGGCCTCTGCCGACTTAACACCTCCCACAGAATGACGCCCCAACTGAATACGTCACACTTCTCTGTGTAGTTGGAGCCTTTAACAGTCAATCACTTTCATCAATCTTTTGTTATTACAACACTTTATAATAGGATATATATAAAAGGCAAAGCCCTCACTGACTCACTGACTGACTGACTCACTCACTCACTCATCACTAATTCTCCCACTTCCCATTTACCTAGGAGGCTGAAATTCGGTACACCGATTCTTTGGGCATTAAATAGGAAAACTAAGTAGTTTTTATTCTGATCGGGCTTTCGGGCTCCGCCCCAGTGGCTCTGGAGTTTTCTATGTTAACCTTATGATTTTTCATATTTTAAAGGAATTAATGAATCCTAACAGCTGTTTCAATTAAACAAGTTGGTTCTGTTAACTATGATGTTCAATAGGATGAAAGTTACAAGGATTACCAACAGGGTGCAGCACTATTATTTTTTTAAATTTGAAGGCAAGTGAGCGCAGCGAACGAGCTCCAACCTAAAGGTGAGTGAGCGTAGCGAACGAACTTCAACCAGAACGTGATTGAGCCGTGCGAACGAGCTCACTTATGATGTTAAACGGGGCAAAGCCCGCGGGTACAGCTAGTAATAGGATAAAACCATTTACTATTGAATACTGAAGTAGACATCCCATCTACATAGAACATAGTTGTGTGATCCAGTCACAAAATGTGCTAAGCGCTAGTGTCTAAAATTCTGTTTTATAACTTATATTTTGTTGCTGTCATAGTAGATGGGTGGTAACAGTTGCTATAGCTTAAAATAAATCATACCACTAGCAAACCCGTGCTGGCTTTTAAATAGGCAGTGTTTCTCAAGGAATATCCACAATCTACTCAGCACTGCTTACTGAAAACACTAGGCCTATATGAACAACTTAAGTAAAAAGGAACAAAAATCAAGTAGGCTAAGTTAGTTTACATTGAAACAACTGAAGACTAGCTTATTTTACCACTGTACAGTTGATACTATGGGCATCTTACTTTCAAACACTTCAGGAGCCATCCATGCGGCGCTCCCTTTGTTATTCGTCATGTAAGTCTTCCTTTCACATGCAGTTCCAAAATCACAGATCTTCAATATTGTTCCATCTCTTATTAGTAAAAGATTTGGAGATTTGAGATCCCTGTAAAATATATATCCTTATTATTGACATACTAGAATTATTGAATTAGGAATATTATGATTGGAAAAAATTTCAAAAACATTAGACTGAACTTCATAAATGATTATTGCTGGGATGAACTTGCCATGTCTTCAAAAATATCAAGAAAGTCTTTTAATCTTGCTGCAATATACAAAACTTCAAAAGAAAAAGAAAAATGTTATGATTGAAAGCTTTTATATTTTAGTATATTGTATATTGTGTATATTGTATTGCAATTTAACATAGCTAGTCTTCAATTTGGATTCTGCGTAGTGCAAAACATATTTTCTCTGTCTTGTCTCTATTAATTTCAAGAAAATTACTATTAAACCAATTAAAATCGTCAGAAGGCCAAATAAAGGATGTGTCGTCTGCATATAGAACTGACTTACAAGGCATAGCATTTGGCAAATCATTAATAAATAATATAAACAATACTGGCCCAAGTACTGATACCTGTGGCACCCCAGCAAGGACCTCTTTAAAAGCTGGTGTTTGTTTGCCGCAAGCTATACATTGTTGTCTGCCACAAAGGTAGGTTTAAAAAAATTAAGTTCCTGGTGTTTTATACCATAAAAATCCAATTTCTGCAAAAGTATGGCGTGCAGAACTGAGTCAAAGGCCCTGCTGAATTCCACAATAGCCAAATTCATATAGTTGCCAGATTCAAATGTATCCAGAATATCTGAACCTATGGATTCAACAGCTAAAGTCGCGGAGTATCCAGGTCGAAAGCCAAATTGGTTGCTATTCAAAATTGTATTATTTGATAGAAAATCAAAAAGCTGTATTTTAACACAATTTTCAATTATTTTTGAAAAAACTGGAACCATTGAAAATGGACGATAGTTAGAAATAGAAGATATATCTCCTTTCTTGAAAATTGGCACTGTTTTGCATATTTTCAGACAACTTTGAAATGTGGAATTTATATTTTTGACAATTTTGTTAGAAAAGCCAAAAATATAGCTCCACATTCTAGAACCCTTAACTTAGCTAGTTAATATTACCTTTTAAAATCCACATTTCCAAGTTGTCTGAAAATATGCAAAACAGTGCCAATTTTCAAGAAAGGAGATAGCCTACCGGTATCTTCTATTTCTAATTATCGTCCGATTTCAATGGTTCCAGTTTTTTTTATTTCAAAATTAATTAAAAATTGTGATAAAATACAGCTTTTTGATTTTATATCAAAAACGTTACCAATATAAATAGCCAAGAACAATTGTCTTTAAGTTCAAACGTCCTACTGATCACGTTTATCAATTTTATAAGTGCTTTATAAAGCCTCAAAACGTGGTAGGCTATTACACGTATATTTTACAAACTTTCTGGGGGAGGACCCAAAGAGGATTTTTCCCTCCAATTCCTGCAAATTTCCTGGATCCGCCCCTGGAGTATCATTAAGTTTAAGTACAGTACGCTAGACGTAGTAGTATAGCCATGAAGAGTTGGAAATGTTGTATGTCGATGCTTACCGGTGAATCACAGCTTTTGGCTTCATGTTGTGGAGATACGCCACTCCTCGAGCACATTGTAGAGCCCAGCTGATGGCATGGCCAGCGTTGTATGCAGGTTTGGGTGGGTAATGCAGCACTGTCAAACCATCAGTTTGTTAATAAATTATAATTTCTGAGCATAAATATCTTTACGGAATCAATCAAATTTTGTAATTGAATATTATACAAGGCAAGTTTTTTAAGTAAGTAGGCTACCATTTTTAAATTTCTCTGTTCCAGCGCTGTGATTGGCATTTTGGACATATACGCTGTGTATGTGCATCTATTGGCAAACCTGCGCCAGAAATTCGGCAACAATCGGCCGTGTTTACATCCGGGTTTGAGCATTCAAATGGTGCCGCCAATTGAAACTGACCTGACTGTGAAGTGCACACTGTAATTAGGTATTTAATTTAAGTGCTAAAGGTGAGATAGCCATTGCAATTCATCGACATATTAGTGAAGTGTGTGGCGAGAACATTATGAGTGACTGAATGGTACGCAAGTGGGTAAGGGCAATTAATGACGGCCACACTAGCGTTCATGATGAGCAATGCACTGGGCGGCCATCTGTCTTTTCTGATGAATTGGTGCGCAAAGTCGATGAATAGGTGAGAGAGAACATACGGTATATTGCAACAATAATTTAGTTTGCAGGAAGGTTCCCTACACTACAAAAAACAAGTGGGTTTAATCAAATTAACTCACCATTATAAAGAGAGCCTCCTTCTGCAAATTCCATTACAAGACAAAACGGATCAACAGTACAAGCTCCATGAAGCTTGACAATATTGGCATGACAAACTCTTGACAATTGCCTTAGTTCTATGACAAATGCTTTCCTTTCTGCTTCTGATTCTATGTGTTTTACTGCAACATATTCTCCTCTCCATCTACCTTTGCAAACTACACCAAAAGATCCTTTACCAACAGTCTGTAAAACAAGAATTCTTAGTTGGGTAAGTAGGTATTTGTGGAGTTCATAACTTAACTTAGGTATAATTAGAGGATTGCTTTTAACAAGCCTAACTTTCCTTAAATCTTTGTTTTGTTTTTCACAGAGGATACGCGTCCGGTAACCAGACGTGGATTAGGCGTCCGGTAGTGACGTCACCGGGTTTGGGGGTCCCGGGACGCCATTACCACAACGATACGATGTTCGGCCAGCGTTGTTCGTGGTGTAGTGGATGAGTGCTCGGCTGGTATCCAAGAGGTCCCTGGTTCGAAACCCATCGGTATCTTTAACTTTTTGTCACAGATTTTGCTTTGAATGTAATATCTTCTTAACTGTACATCTTTTGTTAGAATTTTTGGCATTTATAATTTTATCTTATGAAGAGAATTGAACCTTCATTTGATTTTTTTCATTATCAGCAAGTTTGGTTGGTTAAGTTAGGTTATGACAGTAACTGCCAGACGCCTAATCCATGTCTGGTTACCGGACGCGTATCCTCTGCGTTTGTTTTTCAGTAACAATTCCAGTAAGTTACCTAACATAATCTGCTTTAAAGCATTGACTAGTTGCACATGTAAACAAGCCTAAAAGGAAGCATAAAACTGCTGGATTATGTGCTTATTACTTAATAAGTGTACAAACAATTTATGTTTTACCAGGTCCTCGGCTAAAATTTACGAAGCTAAGTTGTTACTAGGCCCAGCCAAACCCAATTTTGGCTAGGCCTGAGTTATTCTGTTATCTTAAACTCCTAAATATAAACTCCTTACTATTTCCTTGGTTAAAAATTCCTTAGGCCTATTGTGTAGCTAAATGCTTGATTTTTTTTAAATTCTAGTCTATGTAAGTAGGTTAGGCATGTTGGTAAATAACATGGAATCAGAAAATCTATTCTTGGCCTAATTCAAGGAACATTATCAAGCCCATAAATAATAAGTATTTTGTTTTGGTTGTTGATCGATTACCTCCAAAATTTGTATCTCATTGTAATCTATTTCCTCCACATCAACTGGTTTAGTGAATATAATTCTATCTTTGTTCGCCATCAGATAGCCTATTCACAGTTATTTACATTTTTAAAACAAGCCAATAATACTTGATTTTACATTAGTTAATTTTTCGCAAAAAGTCACAACAGAAGTATGATTTTAGACAATTTGTATACAGTAAAGACATGAATTAGATAAACTAGAAATAACATAAAACATTGAGTTAACAATACTGATTTCACATTTCACTAGTATTGGTAACCTGTCTGCTATCTCTCTCTCTCTCTCTTCAGTCGAGTCTTCCTTCAACTTCAATAGTTCAACTTCAGTTCGATTTGTTTGGATTCTTCTCTTCTTCCAGTAGTCTGTCTACCAATCAACAGCTGATATACTTTGTCGCAAACCGAGGGAAGCTACGTTTTGTTGAATGCAGCTTTGCACTGCCTACTTGTAAAGGGTGGGTCCCATATGACCGAAAACCATTAACATGTGGCCAAAACTGAATTATTCCCATATGACTATTTCAGTTTCGGTCTTTTGAGATTAAACCCCACGCTTATAAACCGCGAAAAAATAATTGTTGCACAACTCTGTCAACGCTAAGGGACATCGGCCTTATGGGATGCCAAGGCCATAACATAGACTAACAAACTATTGTCGGGACCACGCACTGAGCTAAAATTATAACTGGAGGTAGCACTGCCATGGCAGAAGTCTGTCAAAAGCGAGTCGCTGATTTTGTTAGGTTGGTATAGCAGTAAGTTTTCTTACCATAGCAATAACATGGCTTCTTATAACTAGGTTGGTATAGCAGTGAGTATTTTTGTCATACTTGAATACTTTTAATACTTTAATAATTTTCTTTGAAATGGCGACCATACAAAGTAGGTATTTTAAGCCAAGTATAATAATAGCCATAGCAATAATATGGCTTCTTATAACTCACACCTCACGCAAACATGGCGGCTGGTGACACGCATCTTTGACATTCAGTGCTACCTCCAGTTAGAATTATAGCTCAGTGGGACCACGTAAGTTTGCAGTTGGTAGCAGCAGCATAGACAAAAAGAATTAAATAAATTAAAGTTAAAGAATTACAGCTGTATTGAAGTAAACAAAAATCAGCAGTAAATGGCTTCTAATGTTTATCTTATGGAGAACATTTTACGTTATATCTTGTTTTATGGTAACTTAATGGGAATTTTTCCCGAGTCCCTGGGGTCAAGACCTTTAATTTAAGACATCTCCCACTTTTCTGCGACCTACCAGACGTCCACAATCTTCTGGTAAAAATTTTGTCTTACAGAATTATATATAAAAGGATACCTACTTTGTATGGTCGCAATTTCATTGAAAAGCATTAAAGTATGATAAACTGGGAGACTGTTTTTATGTGTCGTTCACGAGACCTCAATCAATCCTAACAAACTCCTTCTTTAAGGAAATACACTTGCATCTTGACCTTAGGTTCAGTTATAAAATAATCACGAAACTGTTGAAACTATAAAGAAGCTGTGTTTAATCTTTCAGTGGATCATGGCACCGTTGAACTAGAAAATGAACATTTCTTAAATAATTAAAATGACCTAAGAATGAGGTATTTACTCAGGGGAGGTATAGAAGAGGCTACGATTACAGCTGTGGGCTTCTTATTAGCTGAGGGATTATGATTTATCTATGATTCCACTGACTATTCTAGGACTATTTTTGCGAAGAGTAAACCTTGATTGCCAAAGTGCGCTCTACTACAGCGCTGTACACGGAGGAATTTTAAACTAATGCGTCAATCGTACCTCCCCTAGCCCTAAAGGCCCTAAGTCAGACGAGTCGACGAGTCAGTCAGTACTCCGGTCCGGTTAGACCCGAAGGAAGAATGACCGTGAGTGAAGTGAATTCCTATTGGACTTGATGACGTACAACTGTTTACTGTTTTTGTAGACTGGAAATTAGGAAATACAATACATGTGTCATTAACAAACAACTTAACAAGCATTTTCTTCACACAGTTTAGTTTACTATCACGTCACGTAGTTGCATGGGCAGCTGTGGTATTTATGTAATTCTTTGATTATTTGGTCAGAGGTTAAAGTCTTGTTCTGATTTAATTGACTTCCCGTTTCCGCAATAAGCTATTATCTACTTGCAAGGTTATAGAAGAACTTTTCCTATGACATTAATGTCTAGTCTGGTTGATTCAACTAATTTAGATTAGGCCTAATTCTTGCTCCGATAAATATCTCGTTCAGTATCTTTGTAGTTTTATTCAGGCAATAGGGTAAATAGACTAAAATTCAAATTGTTTATATTTTCCTTTTTAGCCTATCTTCGTCAATTATCTTACCCTACCTCAGTGTTTTCTGAACCCTAAAGTTACCCCAGAAGAGGAAGGATCAACAATGTTTCGATCATCTCTCTGCCGAGTTTTTCGTGAACAATCGAAGGTGGAACAGTATTTCCGATACAATTATGTCAAAAGGTAAGCCTAATTAGCCTCCTGTTCTCTAAAAGATTCATCATAGGCCTACAGACAGCCAAACGCGCCCTAGGGTAGGCCTAGATGTACTAGAATACCTAGCCTTTAGGCCTATTCTTAGAGGAAGTAACCTAAGCCTAATATAATTTTTTATGTTTAGGAAGAGAACGAGCTTCTCAAAATGGGTACAGTAACTGGGCTACGCTAATATCGATTCGATTAGTAAACCTTCATCCGATTTTTTCACCATCAGCTACGTTAGGTTATGATCGTTTTATTTTATAAATAGATAAACTTATTTTTAAAAATATTGATTATTACGGTAGGCCTAATCAATATTTTTAATTCAATAGTTTCAATCAATGTTAGTGTAGCCCAGTTATGAAACTGTACACCCCTCGAAAAATTTTTTGTAAACACTTAGGAAACTAGCAGCTTTTTTTAGGCCTATTATCTTTCAGGGACAGACAACCTACCCTTTGGCTATGTTGAAATATACCTGAAAGTAACTTAAAGGAATTTGTTTAGTGATGTTACGAGGACTCGAGTCAACTAATGTCATCTCATCCACAACTCGAGTAGGTACAAACTCGTACTGAGATTGCTGAAGCTACACGAACTCGTAACGTAACGAGTCTGATTTGCAAAACTTAAACACTGTTGGCTCACAGCCTCAAAGAGAGTCAAAAACAAAACTCATAACGGAGAAAGCCGAACCTTAACGAACTCAGGACGTAACGATTTGGCTCGGTTGACTCGCGAAACTTATACCAGGGTGTCTAGTAGTCGGGAAAGTCGGGAATTAGTATTGAATTTCAAAATGGTCTTGAAAAGTCGGGATTTAGGTAGTCTTAAATTTGATTTAAAAGTCGGGAATTTTCATTATTTTGCCGCGATCGTCGTCTGGCGTTTACGTAACCAAGAAAGCCAATGATGACGATGTCTACACGGCCTTGGGAAATGTTCACGATTTTGCCGTGATAGTGGACGACGACGATGACGATGTTTCCGAAACCGCGGGAGACGACGATGACGTTTCGGCGACCGTGGAAGACGACGATGATATCTTCTCGGCCGCGGGAAATGTTCATGATTTCGCTGCGATCCCGGACGACGACGATGACGTTACCGTTACCGCGGGAGATGACGATGACGTTTCTCTGAACGCGGGAGATGACGGTGATGTCTAAACAGCCGCGGGAAATGTTCATGATTTGCCGCAGACGATGACGATGGCGTTTCTGAGACCGTGGAAGACGACGATGATATCTGCTCGGCCGCGGGAAATGTTCATGATTTCGCTGCGTTCCCGGACGACGACGATGACGTTACCGTTACCGCGGGAGATGACGATGATGTCATTGATGTCTACAAGGCTGCGGGAAATGTTCATTATTTGGCCGTGATCGCGGACGACGACAATCACGTTTCTGTAACCGCTGCAGTCAATGATGATGTCTAAACGTATGGTATGCGGAAGATTTCATGATAAAAAAAAACAAATTTGCTAGTTAGAATTTTTTATTGCTGCATTATTTCTTTACTTGAAAACACCACATTATCATAATACTACTTTATGACAAAGACAAAGTAGGTGTAGTATTATTTTGAAAATTTGGTTAAGCTATATAACAATTGGTATCGGTATCAAGAATCGAGAATCGATACATTTTGGTATCAACACCCACTAATTCTTGAAAAAACTAGTCTTGAAAAATCTGGAATTAGTCTTTAAAAGTCTGGAATTAGTCTTGAATTTTATAATGGAAATAAACTAGACACCCTGTTTATACTAATTGGCTGAATGCGAGTTGAGCCGACTAGCCAAACTATATCCCTATTGGCTGCGCTGCGTATCAATCCGAACTCGACGGGAGGAAGCCGAAGTTTCACTGATACCGAGTTGAGTCTGACTCGAGTTGACATAGTCGTAAGTCGAGTTTGACTCGAGTCAAGGAAATACTTGACTGGTCACATCACTATTTTTTTATGTTTGAGGATTTTTGAAGTGCTGGCCTAAAAATGAGTAGCAGTGCTAAACTATGACAAACTGATTCTTCTTGAAAATTCTAGTTCAAGGAAATTTAGGCAGTAAGTTTGGTTAAATTGTAGCAAGCTCGCAGTTAGCATGTGATACACTAAAGGTTAATTGTAAACTGGTTTCATCATAGGCCTAACTAAAGTCAGTGTACAGTAGTCATGTTGATATTTTCAGAACCGGTCCGAGCTGTCCTTTGGAACTTTTAATAATGGTTCTCTTGCTTAAGAAGCAGGTGATCTTAGTTACTTAGGCCTAAATTAGTATCAAAGCAAAGTATATTATCCCATCCATTCACTCATTTTCACTTTTAAATGCCCAACCTGGAGTGTCAGCGCCGTATAAATTAAATCTATTCCACCCCAAAGCAACTACATGCGACAGTGCGACATCCTTGGGTCAAAATCCGTTACAGGCCCAAAACTTTGTTAATTATGAACTAAAAGACAAAACGTAGTTTTTCAATGACAGAGTCCTTTGCTTATAGAATGAAATAATTTCCAGGTATATAAGTTACGATGGCATTGGTTGTTGGCCTTATCTTATCTGTCTACTATTTTGTCTTTTCTCCAAATTTATACAGTCCTACATTTTTAAATATTGTATTTTTCATTATTTATTACCTATACAAGATTTTAATAAGTTACTATAGAAGTGTAATTGGAAAAAGTAGAGTTGTGGGCACGTAATGGATTTTGACCCATTGTCGCAGAAAGCCCAGCCTGCCCAACAGGTTTTAATGTAAGTTCCTTTTGTTCAATCGCGTGAGAATATTTTTAATAGTTGGCTTGTGAATAAAGTTTTTGTCATATTTTTGTTTACGATTTTGTTTAGGCTTATGTTCAACTTGATCCTTTGTTTTAAACCTACATTGTAAAATAATACACTGTTTCTGTGAAATGAACCAAAACCCAAGTGGCAGTGAGTTTCAGGAATAAAGGAATCAAAAAACCTTTTGGGCAGTTAAAGATTGTTACAAAAAAGTCCTTTAAACAAGTAGGCCTAGGCTAGATTTTATTCATAAACTGAACAGTTAATGATTAGGCCTATCATATGTGTCGGCCTACATTGATAATGATCATGATGTGCTAAAAAGGAAAATTCATGACGTCATTAATAAGTTTTCAGAAAGAATGTAAGAAAATTAATCAAATGTTAACGTCACATCTTTACTGTAATAAAAATTTTTTGAATCTAAACTTCTTTACCCATTTTATTCTTTAAAACGTGCCATTGGAAATAAAAATTTGTATTGAGTAAAAACTAGGGATGGACGAGATTGAATTTTTAGTTCGAGACGAGACGAGATTTTTTATTTCTCATAAAATTTCGAGACGAGATTTTTTATTTCTCATAAAATTTCGAGACGAGATTTCTCTTCTCATACACAACAAGAAATGCACGTTCGAAATTTTTACTTGATTTTGTAACATTGTTAGATGACTGTTTAAATACAAAAATAATGATAATAGGCAAGAATTTTTACAATCTTTTAGGGATATAACATTTTTTTATTAACCACGCCTAACTTATTCAAAATGCCTACGATTAGGAAACATGGTGATATCAGTTAGGATAGAGTTCAACTTATCCTAAAATCAAATTAATCATAAAATAAAAGCAATATTAATTTTTATAAAATAGTTACTTGTTTTGACTTTTTTTATAGGAATAAAACATTTCTCACACTGCTTACACTTAACAAAACTTCTCAAATGTTATTTAAGTAATATTATTAAAATAATTAAAGTAATATTTACATTAAAAGAATTAATTAAATAAGAACGCCTTCGCAAAGGAAACGCAACAACACGCTCCTGTATTGCAGGTATTGCATTGACTTTCTGCAGGCGTTTTTTTTTTTTTTTTTTTTTTTTTTTTTCATTATTCTCGTCTCGATAAAAATCTTGGCCAAAAAGAAATCTCGTCTCGTGTAACGAAATTGAAAATTTCCCGAAATTTCGAGACTTGACCATCCCTAGTAAAAATTAAACTTATTGCAGGCCTACTACTGTAATTATTTTGATGGTTTACATTTTTACTTTACAATAGGTACAGTTAAGTTAGGCCTTCTCTTATTAACAGTCAGTAAACAAGAAAGACTAGCCTACAAGGTAGAAGCTATATTTTAACAAGATTTGGACTGTTCCGTTCCCTTACCAGCACAAACAACTTTAATATGCCAATGGCTTCAAGGATAATCAAGAATAATATATTTTGTAAAAATAATAGTTTGTAATAAATAGCCTAATTCAGATGAAAATACAATTATTAAGTTAAAGTTTTACCTTTCTCTTAAATAGCTATAGCAAAAAGATCTATGATTTTTGTTTGTAAGTTTAATTTATTTAACAGAAACTACGCTGCACCATCCGTGGCCACCAAACAGAGGGAAGACAAGGACAAAGAACCTGAGAAGAAAGCAGCAAAAGAATCTCAGTCCTTTGTCATGAATTTGTTCCGAGGCACGTTGCAAGCATCTCAAGTATTTCCGTATCCAGAAGTTTTGACTGAGGAGCAACACGACACATTGAAAATGCTGGTCGATCCAGTCTCCAAATTTTTTGATGTAAGAAATATTCAAGTCTATATTTGATCATTTATTTGATAATATATTTATTTATCCTGCCCTGGCTTAGACCGAAGGTCCACTCTTCCGTCAGGACAGGCTCCACAATTTTACAATGTTTTTTTCAAATTACAAACTGTTTAGGTTTAACCACTACATAGCCTACAACCATATGAGAGACCACTATATGAGATACGATTGGTGTGTTTTAAATTTAAAGTGTATATTACAGTAACTGATCTGGTGGAACGTTTAAGCACATTAAGCTTTGGTTGACATGTCGGGACCTTGAGCCCCCTCATAATTCACTGATATAATTTTATTGTAATCCAGCTAATTTGAAAGCACTCCAGCTGATTTTACCCCTCTTTTAAAAAAAGTACTTTTCTAGCCTATAGAAAAAGTATAAATATGCTGCATACTGTGTACGTTGACAAACAATTTTAAATACTGTGATATCTTTAGGAACAAAACGATGCAGCCAAAAACGATGCCATGGAAAAGGTGGACCCTGCTACAATGGAGGGTTTGTGGGAGCTGGGTGCCTTTGCGCTACAAGTGCCTAACGAACTGGGAGGCCTGGGTCTTTGCAACACACAGTACGCTAGACTGGTGGAGATTGTTGGGAGTCACGACCTTGGAGTGGGAATCACCCTTGGTGCTCACCAGTCTATCGGATTCAAGGTAAACATTCCTTTACATCTTGAAATCTTATATCCCTAAATTGTACACTTTGTCAAATCACCAAGATAAGTCCGAACAGAGACTTCCTTATCAAGAAATTCATAAAGTAGACAATCAGGTCAAACAGTTCTTGAATGAGAGGTCTCTATATTATTTTACTATAGAGGTGCAAGTTAGTGTAATCACACATTGCTTTGAACTAAACTATTAACTGACCTGCGGCTAAATGTAGCATAATTCTTTTTTAAATGACAGTTGACAATGTTATGTGTCTGCGGGTAATTGATGCTGTTGGATTTGGCAAGCATACTTTTGACCCTAGAGCTCTGTTCTGGCCAGAAATATTTTTTTGGGCCAAACAAAAGTCGAGTAATTAAGGTTAGAGGTGTAACAGCTTTTAGATTTTCAGGCTGAGCTTCTTTTCCTGCGATTGCAGCTGCAAAGATATGTATCTGAAAATTCACTGTTTCATTTATGATCGAGAGTGGTGTTCTATATCTGCCGAAACTGCTGACGTTCATGTATCAGCCTGATTTGTTATACAGTTAAATGGTTTATTTCAGGGTATTTTGCTGTTTGGAAATCCAGAGCAGAAGAAAAAATACTTGCCTCGAGTCTCTACTGGGAAGGAACTGGCTGCGTTCTGCCTTACCGAACCTTCCTCTGGAAGTGACGCAGGATCCATTAAGTATGTAGTGAATTTAAACAGTTTGTACTGCATCAGAAACTAACAAGATTCTTGTATGAAATTTAAATGACCAACATCAATGCGTTTGAAATATCTAGTCGTCGATATTCAAAAGCATCTACCGTATGAGCAAGTTATAATAAATTTCATACAAGAATCTTGTTGTGTATTTCCATTGGGGATCAAATCCATATTAATTGCTAGAATTGCTTAATTCAATGATTACATTGCCCTATTTCGTAATTTTTGTTTCAAGTTTGTACACCCAGCAGACATACTATTTTACATAGCTTGCGCTAATATATCCAAGCATAGGCTATATCAGAAGAAAAATGTGTTGACTTTAATTAGTTGTGTCAGTAGTCCAGCAACTATAAAATGGTTTGAGTGAAATGGTTGATAAGAAAGATATTTTATATATAGAGGGAGATTTATCAATATATGCTTAAGTGTCAATGACTCCAATGAATGTGATGTGCAGTTTAAGTGCTCTTATCTCTAAAAACATAAAAACCACGCCTCTCTTTGACATATAATCCCCTTGAAATGTTTGTCACTAATAAATTATAGAATTTGTGTATAAAATGTATACCAACTAGTAAAACCTATTATATTATGAGAAAAGAGGTGAAACAAACCATTTTATTATTTCACTGTCCATTCTGTCAAAAAATGAAAAAGTTTAGGGTATTGCATTTTGAGCAAAAAAAGTGTTTTATGCTATTTGGTCACATGTTATGCAGCTAATTGTGTAGGCCTTCATCTTAACGAAAAGGTGTTATCTGCAAAATATTAGGTTTGAACAACAATACAAACATACTAAGTTTTTGTTATTAGTTAAGTTTCATTATTCCAGTTTTTCTATGCTTGATAACTTTTTTTATCAAACAAAAATTAATAAACTACCTTTATCTTATTTCTTTCTTTTTGTTAGAAGAAAGTTTATAAACACAACTCTGCAATTTAACTAGCCTATGTAAAACTAAAACAATTATATAGATATAGATCAATACACAAAGATATGAGATTTACTAGTGAAATGTAGTATTTTGATCTCTTGTATCCATTTTGACCGTGTTCTGTGAAATGGTATCAACATTTCATGAAATTTGGTACAAGAAAACATTATCAATGTCTGGTTACAGAACAAGAGCTGTGCCTTCTCCAGATGGCAAATATTACACTCTGAATGGAAGTAAGATTTGGATCAGCAACGGTGGATTTGCTGAAATAATGACTGTGTTTGCCCAAACCCCAGTAAAGGACGAGAAGACAGGTAGGTTTAGTAGGATATAAAAAAACTTATATAAAAAAATCACTTAAAAAAATTATGTTTGATAATTAAGTTGACTGATGACTGATGAAACATAAGTTCAATGTCACTTTTAAAGCTTTGTTACGGTACATTTGTAGAATGCTTCACCTTAAGCTAGGAAAGTTGCACGTTTTAATATTAGGAGCAGTGAGCATTGAGCAAGTTTATTGGCTAAGGGATGTTTTGAGTTAAAAAGTTGGTAGGATCCTTCAAACATTAAAAAAAAAACCATTGGAAAATATATCTTTGCTCTCGGTATAAAATGAGTGAAACACTTCTTGATTGATTAATTTGAGGAAGAAAAACATCGTGGCTAGTGTAAAATATTTGCATAAGCTACAAATAACTTTAAAAATCCGCAATTGAGATAAGTGTACTCATTCAAAAGCCAAAACAACCTCTATTGATTATATTTATTTTGTAACCCATATTAACTCTCAAATTAAACTAATTTTGTAACTTACATTTGGTATAATTTTGTTCTTTGCTAAGAAATTATCAGCTGTCTTATTTTGCAAGCGATGATGGCGTTTGATAGAGGAATAGAAGAATTGAACACAAAAAGTTCTAAAATTTGGATTCTAGAAGAACATTGTGAAAAATTGTCTTTCATTTTCTCTATCAAAGCTAGCACGATTTTCCTGGAAGGCCCTTAACACAAAATGATATTTTTCTTAATTTATGTGTGACGAAATTGCCTTGTTAATGAAACAACTGTTTCGAAACTAGTTGCCCGAGACTACAAATGGTTTGACGACAAAGGTACGTTAACCTATTTATTTTGACTTAAATCAATCCTGGAGACAATGCTGAATAAAGTATTTTTCTTGTTAATCATATGTGCTAGCATAGTGTGGTTTTTAGAGACCAATGATTAATTTAAAATTACGTTGAACTTAATAGGCAAGGAGGTAGACAAAGTGACTGCCTTCATAGTAGAGCGTGGTTTCGGTGGCGTCTCTAACGGACCACCAGAGAAGAAGATGGGAATCAAAGCCTCTAACACTGCTGAAGTTTACTTTGAAGACTGCAAGATCCCAGCTGAAAATGTTTTGGGTGGAGTTGGTCAGGGTTTCAAGGTAAATCCTAAATTTCATACAAAATATTTTGCTTCCAGAGCAGTTGAGCTCTAAGCAACTATAGTAACAACTCAACCAATCAAAACCCCTATATTCTACATGAATTGTGTCAACAATATTATCTGAAAACGTATACATTTGGAGATTTTTACAGCACTGATCAAAAGCTAGCTACATTTTTGAGGCCTATACAATTTTCTTCTTGTAAAAACCATAACTACTATGATAAAGTCCCCAATTTTGTTACACCATTAATCACACAACAAGTTGAATAAGGCCTAATCTTATTTGAAATAGTTTTGGATTTGTTGAACTTGTAATCTTTTATTTTATTTGTTGAGTTCGTATAGCTTAGTTTTGACATTTTAACATTTGATTTACAGGTAGCCATGAACATTTTGAACAACGGAAGGTTTGGAATGGCAGCTGCACTGTCTGGCACAATGCGAGCAGTCACCAAGAAGGCTGTGGACCACGCCACCACTCGTGTGCAGTTTGGCCGGCGCATTGACTCTTTTGGTGCCATCCAGGAGAAGCTGGCCCGTATGGCCATGCTGCACTACGTCACCGAGAGCGTAGCCTACATGCTCAGTGCCAATATGGACAGCGGCTCTATCGACTATCATCTGGAAGCGGCCATTTCTAAGGTGGGAATTACAACAGGTGTTTAGTAGGACCGTATTATAATTTGCTTAGTAGCACAGGGTGAAGCTCTGGGCTAGTGTGTTGTAGTTAAACTTTTTTGCATAATGTTTTTATCTAAATAGGGGAGTTGGTATTTTTCTATTAGGTATTCATCTGTCTATATACCACTTATTTGTGTGTAAATTCCTTTTACTACCCCATGGAATTATGTCCCAAAATCTGATGGACCACTGACATTGCCTGTATACAAGTGTACTAACACCAACTATACACAAGATAGCCAGGTAAAAAGGCTGACAGTTTTTTAAATAAAACAATGTATGATGTGAATATGAAGACCCTTGGGGGAAAATATTAGCAACTCAAACCTTAAATGTTAGGATAATTTCATGACATTTTAGACATTGAAATTGGCTTAATACTTGCGGAAAAGTGTGAACAAAAAGTAGTTCAGCTATAAATGGAAGGCCAGCAATACCATTTATACTTACCGTTTGCTTCTTGAATTGGTGCCCATCTCATTCACTGACCGGCTGATTCTGATCAACTGTGATTTCTGATTGGCTGATCTGATTCACTGATTGTATTGGGTCTCATACCTTCAGTTAGAGTGCATATCATCATTGATCAAGTTGTACGTTTTTATGGCATTCAGGTGTTTGCTTCGGAAGCAGCGTGGTTTGTTACTGACGAGGCCATCCAGATCCTTGGTGGAATGGGTTTCATGAAGGACTGTGGTTTGGAGCGTGTCATGAGGGATCTCAGGATCTTCAGGATATTCGAGGGAACCAACGATATCCTCAGGCTGTTTGTTGCTCTCACAGGTAAGATCGATATTTGTTGTCATAGAACATAGGTTTTAAATTTAACTTGTGGTGTAAAGTATATTACGGTGGTCGGTAATGCATCTTATGGATGATGCAAAAACGTAAATTCTGCTCATTTTAGTTGAAAATAAAATTAAGAAACCCTCATTGTAGTTTAAATACTGTTGGCTATCTTTAGAGAGTGATTTCAAGAGAGTTGTGTTATGGTTGGACAGGTATTCAGTATGCAGGCAGTCACTTGAGGGAACTGCAGAATGCATTCAAGCACCCAGCCACTCACCTGACTCTGATACTGGAGGAGGTGACGAAGCGAGGACTGCGCTCTGTGGGTCTCGGCTCCGTCCCTCAACTGGAGCACTACGTCGACCCTCAGCTCAAGAACCATGCCACACTACTCGCCAAGGTAAGGAAATGATTAGTAAATTAAGTTCCGTTCTTGTTACACTGTTGACAATGGATACACTTGAACTAAACAATAGAGATCAGCTGATCCGTACTAATTAAATACTGTGTTCAGGTTATATTATTGTTTGAATTTAAGTCTGCTTACTTCGATGATAAGTTGAGTGAATCGGAACAAAGGTATGATAAATGTGTATATATTTACTAGATCATGTTTTTGTTTTGTAAGTTAGATATATTTTACTAACCAAACAAGGTTTGTGTACACTATAGGCAACTACTAGTATAATGGCAGAAGGAACAAGCTCCCCTTTATCACTGTCACTCTAGAAATGTTCGTTATTATTAGGATAGCTCTCATAAAATATACCTTCATTTTGGATCTAAATTTCTTATATTCTGGTGTTGCCTTTAGCCATTAGCTTAGTAAGGCAAGGTGACCAAAATTCTTATACAGTAACAATGTAAGGAATTATGATTTAACCCGAGTGAAATGTGTGAGATTACCATTGATCACATTGAAATCTCTCATTGTTTATTTACCACATGTTTTACAGAACATCCTGCTGTTTGGCGAGTCTGTGGAGAAGTTGTTGATCAAGTACGGTCGAGGTATTGTGGACGAGCAGTTCCTCCTGAACAGACTGGCGAGTGCAGCGATCGACACTTACACGATGGCCATTGTGTTGTCTAGAGCCACACGATCACTGACACATGGTCTGCCCTCCGCCCAGCACGAGCTTCTACTCACACAGGCCTGGTGTACAGAGGTATGATCACAGTCGGACATGTTTATCATTTTTTTAAGTTTTTTTTACAGTATTTAAAATTTTTAAACCAATAAGTTAATACTTCAATTCCGAATAAAAGACTCAGTTGTATTGTATAAGATCAATGACTATTTATTTCATACACTGAAAAACAAACAAGTGAACCTAAATACAAATAAACAGCAACTTCATCTTTCAGTACTGCTACTGGAATTAATGAAGATATAATTTTTCCAAGACCTTGCATTGTTGGTTCAAATCGCCAAGCACCTTTCAGTATGGCATTGGGTAAAGAGGCAAAGCACTAAAGCTGTGTTTTCCTCCATGTGGAAGTGGATCGCGAAGAGTGGAGTTTGCTTTTCTCTTGCCTTAGATAATTTAATGGTACTGTTTTCCTAGAAGCGGAGCGGACTGCTACTAAAATTGCTTCTTCACTTTCCATGTTCCGCTTTCACACCCAGGGAAACTTTGCTTTAGAGGGTTCAACATTTTACAACTCATTTGAAGCATAAAAACATGATAAATTATTAATGGGCTAGTAAAATATATTATTAATCGATTATATGCAGTAGTACATAAATGTATTCCATCATGAAAGATTGTTTTTACTTTATTTTGTAATATTCATGTTCTTCATTTTCTCTTCTGGCTATTATTGTCCTAATACAGGGCAACAACTCCCCCAATCCTATCACATAACATTGCTGGTCAAATCATAGAGATATAGTGAACTACTTTTTAATCAAACTAGTTAGTAAACTCAGCAACTACACCTGAAGTCATATCAGTTACTTATTCTATTCCTCATTGATGTGTTGTATTGTTCAGGCCTCTGAGAGAGTAGCTCAGAATCTTGGAGCCTTGACTTCCGCCTCTCACAAGGAGACTTACAGCAAGATGGCCACCATCGCCAAGAACATATGTGATAACGGAGGGTTTGTGCAAAAGAACCCTCTTGGTTACTGAGATATTTTATTTTGTTGAATTATGTTGATTATTTTTTAATTCCAATAAGGCTGCACAATTATTTGTTTCATGTGAAACGGAAAGGTTCTATGGATTGTTACCGACTTGTATATAAATAATTTCTTATCAAGTAATATAACCGAATTTAATCTTTTATAATGTATTCAAGCCTAATAAACTTCATCTTGTCATTCATCATGTCATGTTATTTTAAGTAAATCGTATTTTTAGAAATAAATGTTTATTCTTTTATTTTTGTTTTAATTTATTACACCTTTTGTTTGTATTTTTTGAAGTCCACAATTTCAGAGTATATCAATTATCAATCATTGAGGTGGGGACGCCACCTAGGAGCGTATTTTAACCCAAATATGAGTGTAGGATGAGTGTAGAATAGTGTGTGATGACCTGTGTAGCTTTGTTACTGATATATGATATATATTATATACAATTATGTTTATATTGTAAATAATTATAAAGGTTTGTTTACCTTCAGTCATCCAGTTTAACTGAAGTCATAGCGCAAGGACCTAGGTTTCATGGATTTTTGTGAGGATAGGAAAAAATCCTCTGGCACAAGAAACGAAAACGTTTTGTATTCTAACAGTTGGAAGTAAAACCCCTAATTACAGTAGAGGTTTTCACTGTTACAGCATTTTCAACCAAGAAAGGTTTGAGTGAATACAACTCTCTCCAACTCAAACCTTCTTTTCCTACAACCTACTTATTATACTATTCACTTTTGATTACTGCCTATTACTATTATGCTGTCTTGTGAGGTTAAATATACTGATAGTTTAGTAAATGCAATAAAGATAGTCTTTCTACAAGCTCTGGACGTCATGAGATTGGTCATCGTGAAACAGCGCACTTAACTCTCTTTTAAAAAAAGTAGCAGTTGCACCACGTCCAATTTTTTGATAGCTAAAAAGTAATATTGATCTTGTGAAAAGAGGGGATTACTAACAAATTAAAAACTAGCTGGTTTACAATTGGCCTATTGTCAAATCAATATTTATTTAAATAGGCTAATAGAAACAAGCGGATATACTTTGAACAGTACAAGTACTAAGTAGACTTGTCATCCAATATAAACAAGCGATTACGGACAAACTTTTATTTTTGTCCGAGGATTTTTGCCAAAAAAAATCGATTGGATTTGGTCACAATGGTGGGAAAAATCCAGTTTCCGCCCTACAGCCATTTAAAGTGCCCATGTTATCGTCAATACCTTTTTGTAGCTGCAGTTAATAAAACAGCTGATACAGGTAATTATTATAGAAATCTATGTATTTATAATGGTGTATTTTATTGTTTTCTTTGTATCATCTAAAATTTATTCACATTGATTACTATAAATATCTTTAATTTAGCTAAATAACTCATCTAATAAATTTAATGTTTAATTCAATCCGAGCAAAGCTCGGTCTCCTGGTACTTTCAATTAATATGATAGTAGTACTATTTTATAGAGGCGATGTATCAGTTTCTTACTTTATAAAAAAAAACCCCCGATACGGGATAGCTACGTGCAACGTATCGTGCACGTACGTGGCTTTCTTATCTGGAAGCAATCCTAGTACAGTATAATCGGGACACCAGTTTAATCATGAGAAAAGTCAGTAGGTTTTGATGGTTCTAAACTGGACCCAGATGTCCTTAGGTGTTTTTACATAAATAATTCAGGCCATAGAATCGTCTAATACTAGTTATTAACCATCATTCGTTTTCATCCAAAAGTCATCCTTTACTAATTTTATCTAAGCTACACATCCTCGTGGGAGCCTGTGAACTCTTTAGTAAGCAAGGAAATTAGAACCCCAATAAAACATTTGAAATCAACAAATACATATCTACATATATAATTCCGTAAGTCAAATTTTTGTAAAGAAATTGTGAGTGACTGGATGGCCGTAGAAGGATGGGAGGGGTCTTATTTTAAAGGTCTTGACGTGAATTTTGAGGGAAAACTATTCATTTTTCTTATTTTTTTTTACCATAAATTCGCAACAGAATAAAACTTTTCCCATTAAAACAACATGGGGTTTAATTTGTTTACATCTTTTGAAATTAAAACAGCTGTGCCACAGATTTGAAAACAGTGATCAATACACGCATTTGGTTTACTTTTAGCCAGTCAACTATGAAATTTATACTATAATAAAACTGAAATATTGAAGATTAGTCGGAAAAACGTATGCATTCTTTGTTTATATTTAAATCATATACTCAAGTTTCATTTTTTCATGCTTTTACGTTATTGTCGTGTTAAAGGAATAAACGACATAGAATAAATGACTGGGACGGGTGGCGTCGTCCTGTAATCCAGCTACTAGGAGGTCACGAATTGTGGATAATTATAGGGATGCACTGTGGATGCGATGCTACCTGGTGTGGATTAACGTCCGCACTAGTGAGTACTACGACTATCCGCAGTACTATCGTAATAATTAGACCAAATTCGTTAATTACGAGGAAAAAATGTGGTTCGGATTCCACAATAAACTGTAGGTCCCTTAGTTGCCATTAGCTGTATGGGCTATTAATTAACAGCTGTGTCTAAGGAACATGTCGGCCTTAGTCACTAACAAGACTACAAGATCGCGCCACTCATCCTACACTCATCCTTCACTCATATTTGGGTTAAAATACGCACATAGTGGCGTCCCCATCTTAAATAATTGATAATTGATAATTGAAATATTCTGTATAAATAATCAAAGAGTCGAAATTAAATCTAACTTCTGTTTTGTTTTTATTTTTAAATCATATGTTCAAGTTTATTTTAAATGATGTTGTTTTCTTTATATTTCTACACATTTTAAGGTTAAGGTTGTGTGAATATATACAACTAAAATAACCTATAAATGTTATTGGTTCTAAAATGGTGTATTTGCATTCCTTCGTAAGTAAATTTTTTTAGTGCAGTGAATATACAACGTAGAGTAATCATATTCGATCATACTTTTATAAAATCACCAGGGATTCAAGATGTTTTAGTATGTAGGCTGCTGGATATATATTCTTTTCATTATAAGTACTGTAATTAATATGAACGCCAGGGGAATACCACAAAGGCGGGGAACTGTTCATAGGAATGACAGTGCGCGTAGGAGAGCAAGAGTAGATAATGACGAACTTAATCAAGATATGTTACAACCCCTTTTTAGGAGACCCATGGTAGACGAGAGAAATGTAAAGATCCATGATGCAGGATTATTGGACCAAGAGTGCATTCAATGTAGTGCTCTTCATTTTAGAGAAGAACTAACGAATAATCATTCTATGACATGTTGCCATAACGGACTTATTAACCTTCCTCAGTAAAAAACTAATGTAGAACTTAAAAGTTTGTTTGAAGAGAGCCCACAACTGTATAAATTCATTCGACAATGCAACAGTGCGATGGCTTTTGCTTATTTTTCAGCCAGTAAGAAAGATATTCCAGGAAAAGGACCATACTGTTTCAAAATTCAAGGACAGATTTATCGTTCAATCTCAGATTTGCTGCCTCAACATGATGAAGACCCCGTGTATGGCCAATTGTACATTATTGACACATCAACAGCAACAGAAATTCGTCAAAGGCGTCAAGAAAATAGTGACTTAAAACCTTGTCAAAACTAGCTGAAATTCTATTACAAAATCCATTTGCACAAATTTACAAATCAATTATCAATCAATTATCAATTATCAAAAGAGCTTCGGAAGAAATGGTTGTACAAGGTGACAGTGAATTGGAACTTAGGTTTGTAGACAGGATAAATATGGATCGTCGTAGGTATAATAAGCCTACTGCAGATGAAATTGCAGGCGTCTTCAATTCATCTGAAGGCGAACCTCCAATGAATTTTTAAAATTCCAAACAGGGAAACTTTTATTTATCCTCATTAACCACAAGACCAAAGCTACCTTAGTAAACCAGTATTTATTCACAAACAATGATATGTTTGCTGCCTTTTCAAGTTAAACCACTGGAGTGATTCAAATTATTTATTGAAAATGACATCAACAAAAGCAAACAAAGAAGAACAACAAACTGGTTTTTACACAAAAGATATGGTGTAGGGATGCCTATTCTGACACATAGATCATGTTATTCTGAGTTTGTTTAAATACCGGTATTGCAAAAAGTTGTTTTACATTTGAGCTTTTTAGGGACTTATGTCCCTACAAGCCACTAGTTATGTAAAAGTCTCATTAAAACTTACTTGCAGAAGGGATGAATAAAAAACATAGTTAACATGTCAAAATTTTTTATATAAAAAGGATCAACAAAATAAATATGAGGACATAAGGCACAGGAAAGGTTTTATCAACAAAACAATAAAAGAACAAAGAGAGCGCTACGAGTATTCCTACAGAAAAGTACACAACAGATTTAACTAAGGCAAGATAAGAAACTAATTATATGACATTAAAAAAGTGTCTAGTATATAAAAGTATATATTTTTATAAAATAGTTTTTGAGATTACAACCTTAAGTACATTTGGTAGTTTTTGGTATAAAATTATCTACAATAATGTTATGTGTTCAAAAATGCAAATTTCACAAATAAAACTAGTTGAGAGTTTTAGATGGCGTTCAGTGTTGATCTCTCAGTAGTAGTCAACTCCGGATGCCAGACATCGACAATAAGGACTAGACGGGCCGAGGTTCCATTGTGCCAAACCTCATGTTCAAAACTGTCGTCAAACACCATCACTTTACCTTCTTCCCAAGACCTTTAAACAGACAAGCAGAGATGGAAATAGGCTCAAGTTGATCATACAGTACAAGTAGTACAGCTCTACTATTCTTTGTCTTACTTAACAAAATATTAATTGCCTTGTGGCCTTAGGTGGGTGGAATTCTTCAATGAAGAGAAAGTTCTCCATGTCAGATATTACTGCCGTGGCTCCACAAATCTCAGTTGATTCTTCGCCTCGTGTACCAGCCTCTTCCACCCTTTTCTGTCTTCTGCCAGATACATATATATATGTCAGATATATATATATATATATCTTTTATTAATTTTCTAGAAAGAGCAATCAAAGGTAAATTGTTTACGATGTTGAGGATGAAGCGGGGCACAAGGCCCAGGTTTTAAGAATTTTTGTTGAGATATCAGGCCACACCACAAGAAATGTTCAGTAGTTTGCCCCGATCGCAGATAAGAACGATTAAGTTTCTGCGATCGAGGGAGACGATGATTATGTCGCCTTAAGTTTGGGAGATGTTTAATTTTTTCCTGCGATCGCCAATAAAATTTAATGGCAAAAAGTCCATTCTGGTAACAAAAAAACACACTATAGACAAAATTTATAATATCTCCTTATAACTGATAAAATTTTCAACAAAGCAACTTTTTAGTTGGGACAAGAGACGTCTTCAGGTCCAATAGTGGCCAGAAAGTTTACAGTGTTGCCAACATCTACACATTGCACTAAACAATATAATGCTCCATGGTAAATTGTGCAACCTGTAACTGTTATAAACAGTGTAAAGTTTGTTTGTGTTTCTGGTGTCCGAGCCAGAGTGTTTACAAGTAGCTCACCTGGTCTCAGTAGCCACACGGATGGCCGTGCCCGGAGGTACCACCAGACCCAGATGAGCTCTCAGTCTACAGTTGGTTGGTCCGCAATGAGGCCACACATGTGTGCCTCCCGTCATTACGCTAAACTTGACTTGGCCTCTGCGACAACCACGTGCCGCGGGGGTCTCGTCCACCAGGCCACACGTCACTGGAGTCTTGCGACAGTTGGCCGTGTACTTCTGACCTAGTTAAAAAACAAACTTTGGTATTTCATAGTCAATACTTTTAAAAGTAACTTAACATTTATGACTTAATAGGTCCAAAATTATGTCTTATTTCAACTAATGTTGATGAAATGAAATGAAATAAAATGAAAAATGTCTTTATTTGAGTTGATTAAAGCTGACATGTTTCGTTGCACTGCAACATCGTCGGAGCTTTACGTCAAAAACATCAAATAATCTAAACATAAAATACAACACGGGACACGGAACATTTAAACACGAAATAACACGATAGCGCTATCATGACACGGCACGGCAGCGGTTGTAGGTAGACTGGACACGGGTTATGTAACTTCGTCACGTCCTTCTCTGTTATCAGCTCGGTGGTCAGCTGTTCCAGATGAGATAACAGTGTTGAAGAGGGAGTGGGACTTGGAACTGTAGTTTATCATTGAGGATGTATTCCTTGTGTTCTTCGTTTACGTTCATTTTATATATTTCATACTCCTCAAGTGTGTCCAATTTATTACCTTTCCCGCAGTAATGTAAAACTTCCAAGCTGGTCATAATATCACTCATTGAGTGATTACAATCTACAAGGTGTTGAGCAAACGCAAATTTTTGTTTATGGTGTTTAGGATCTGGTCGGTGTTCTTTATACCATGTAGATTGTAATCTCTCAATGAGTGATATTATGACCGGCTTGGAAGTTTTACATTATTGCGGGAAAGGCAGTGTTGGGGAAGATACTTTTAAAATGTAGCTAGCTACAACTACTGCTACATTTCCAAAAAAGTAGCTTAGCTACAGCTGCAGCTACAGTTCCGAAAAAATAGCTAGCTACAACTACAACTACAATGAAATGTAGCTACAGCTACAATTTTAGCTACTTTTCCAAAGACGTTAATTTTTATTCCACGCACATTAGGTAAATGTAAAATTAATTGCAACTACATTTTTATTGAACAAACATTTTAAATAATGTCAGTATTGTATCTAACATTACTTGGAAAACAAATTATTCCTAGATTGTATTTAATTTGTTGGCATTATAAACCTAACATTACAACAACAGAACCAAATAGTTGGGTGTCCCATCATATTTAGTAATTATTTTTAAATATTGCATTATTTTTAAGCATCTTAAAATGTAATTTTCATTAAGTTCAAAGGACATACAACCAAACTATATTTTAAAAGCTAATTTTATTAATTTAATATAGATTAATTTATAGATGTTTTATATCAACAATTAAGACCAATAAAACTTCAAAAAGATTATTTAAAAATACTTTTTGTGTTACAGAGCCTAGCCTACTGAAATTGGAGTTTATTGCCTTTCTTTACTTTTAATGTTAAAAACAACATTGCTATAACTTTTAAAGTGATAAATTACTTATTCTACGAATAACATTTTTCAATGTCAAGAAATCGTCCTTTATTGTCATTATGCATAACATCAATTGTGCTTCAACCTAGTTGGTAGAGAAAACAGTATTCAGCAACTTATCCTGAAATCGGCTTTTAATTTAAACATGATGAAATTTGTAAAGTAAAAATAACATGTAGGCCTACTTGGCTATGTAACAAGTTGGCTATAGTAGGCTTGTTCTTGCAAGGACTAAACAGATATATTCATAATAATTGAACTTGGTATTCGTCTTAAACCATAGCCTCAGTCCTATACAGAGCTGTTAGCAGGAGCAAACTATGCTATTTTTTCAATGTAAGTTTCATGTTAAATGGAGATTTTTTCATTACAATTATCATGTAGTCTAGGCATATCTGTAATCTCATCAGGTAATTTCCTCTTTGCTAATTTAGTAAACCTTTGAAAAATCTTCGTAATCTAACCAAGGAAGGGCTTGTGATGATAAACCACAATCAACAGCTGAAGCAAAGGTTGATAGACCAGCTTTCTCATTATTTCAAGGTGTGTTGGTTTCCATTAAACCCCAAGTTGAAGCATTATCGATATAATAAAGAAACTAAATTGATTACTAATTCCCCTGTCCTGTCAATCACTTGCAAGCATTCAATTCAATAGCTTCTCTTGTCACCGGTACTGTTTAAACGTCGTCTGCATCTAGCGATTTTATTTTTTCTGACAGTAATCATAGAGTAGTAAATTAAGGAAATGAGAGCCAAAAATGTGGATAACACTCATTTAATGGCCTCTATGTCCACACAACGTTGTAATAGGGAATGAAACGGCTGCAACCAGCTATTTGAAGCCAAGAAAGTAGGCCTAATTTTTTTGAAAATCTCAGTTTGAAAGAGGTTGTTTCACGTAAGGTTGAGGTTATGATAAAAATAAATATCTCAAACAAATGTTAATGTAGCGAGAAAAGTAGCTAAAATTCCGCTACAACTACTTTAAAAATGTAGCTAGCTACAGCTAAAGCTAAAAAATCTTAAAAGTAGCGTAGCTACAGCTAACGCTAGAAAAAAAGTAGCGCGCTACAAGTAGCGACGCTACTTCCCAACACTGGGGAAAGGTAATAAATTAGACACACTTGAGGAGTATGAAATATATAAAATTAACGTAAACGAAGAACACAAGGAACACATCCTCAATGATAAACTACAGTTCCAAGTCCCACTCCCTCTTCAACACTGTTATCTCATCTGGAACAGCTGACCACCGAGCTGATAACAGAGAAGGACGTGACGAAGTTACATAACCCGTGTCCAGTCTACCTACAACCGCTGCCGTGCCGTGTCATGATAGCGCTATCGTGTTATTTCGTGTTTAAATGTTCCGTGTCCCGTGTTGTATTTTATGTTTAAATTATTCGATTTTTTTGACGTAAAGCTCCGACGATGTAGCAGTGCAACGAAACATGTCAGCTTTGATCAACATTAGTTGAAATAAGACATAATTTTGGACTACTGACGGAGGTAAGCCTATAAAGTCATTATTCGTAGTCCAGGGGCTATTAGAATGAATAATATTAACATTTATATTTAACTGATTTCTAGAACAGATATAGACAAAAATCACAACATCTTTTAGGGTAGTAAGTAACTAATAAATAGAATATTTTATTCCACTAAGGAACTAAATAGGCCATTAATAAATTTTAACAAACGCAAAAGCCAAAACACTGCTAATCTGGCATTAAGTAAATCAACAGATTCTATAACACATCATAGATCTGTGGATGATCTTTGTGGTATTGTTCACTTGTTAAGCCGTTGGTTGTTTGTTTGTTGTTTTGATTGTGCAGCAAAATTTGGGAGCAACCGAGGCGAACTTGGCAGTCATGTTATGACAGTGTAGAACATCTAATGTTCTAATGTTTAATATCTCTTTTACTCCATTTTAGCACTAATCCACTAGCCTTGCACTAACACAATTTTTTGGATGGTACTCGGTACTCCGGCATTTTTGAAAATCTGGTACTGCCAAGCTGCATTAACGAGTGAGTACTTTCTAAAGTATTTAAGTATTGTTTTGATACAGAAAAAAAACTGAAAAAATCAATTTTGCAAGATAGGGTTTGTTTTTTCACATTCTTGAAAAAGGATGGTTCAAGAAAGAGTTCTGCAGTTGAAAGAGAAGAGTTGTAAGACTACAAACTTCATTAAAGAGGACTGCTAAAAGGAAAAAGACATAATTAGTGGAATAGGATAGCTTTTGTTTATTTAGACAGTCAAGTGTATCAGCGCATCTAAGAGACTAGAGTTGGTTAATTGTTAATAAGTACTATGGGGAAGTTCTTTCTTATTTATTTTTTATTTTGGGTGGTAGGGAAAGTAAATCAGACCGTAGCATGTTAATTTCTCAGCAATCAGCAATTCTTAGTACAGTACACTAATCCATCAAAATCTTTATTTTCTACCACAAAAATATTACAGAATCTTTAACTTAAAATCAGAGCAAGGATTCCCTGGTTAAAAATATTTTTGAAATGAAAAAAAAAACTATAGGCTATTAATTTGTACATATGCGGAGCATAACTAATGAAAAGGCCTTTTACAATTATAAAAAATAGGAATCTGATAAAAGTAGATGCATTAGTTATATCTTTCGATCCTATACATACTATGTGAAACTTTGATAAACAACTGTTATGGTACTAGCATACATACCATTAAAGAACTGTTTCTAACTTACCACGAGCATAAAGTTCAAACTGTTTCCAATCACCAACATCTCGTAGGCTTTCAGCTTCATCTAAAAACCCCTTCCGCTCACTGTAAGCCTTCAAACCTTCATCTCTGATTATCTTCCAGTTTGCCTCTAGTTTCCTGCATAAAATTATTACCAATGTTGATTAGGTACTTATGTTTGATACAAGATTAAAGGTCTAGATGGGTTAAGCATCGATACCCTAACTTGATGAATAAAATAAATTTCCATATTAAAAAGTAAAAAACTTAGTTCAAATTTTTAACCTTTGACAAGGATTACACTACTGTGGAGTAGACATTCCATCCCTTTTTATAAGTTTCAGCCAAGTTTAGAATAAGAGTGTGCTGGATGTACAAAATTGTTTAATATCCATACAAAAGTTTTTATTGTCTCTAATCTACAATTGGCATATTTATGGACCTTTCTAAAGCGTTTGATAGTGTAAAACATAGTAAATTACTAGAAAAACTTAAAATAATTGGAATATCAAAAAGAGCTCTTAATTGGTTTTCTCCCTATTTGACAAATAGATCTCAATTCGTGGAAATTACCCATTTGACAAATCATAATAGAATTATTAAATCATTATCAACTTATCAACCAATTACATTTGGGGTGCCACAAGGTTCAATTTTGGGGCCTTTGCTTTTTTTGTGTTACCTTAAGGGCATGGAAGATACTTTAACCTACAAGCAAAATTCTAAATTATGTCTTTACGCTGATGATTCTAATTTGATTGTATCATCTAACTCGCCAGAAGAAACTGAAATTCTTACATATGTAGAATTAGAGAATATTGGAAACCATTTCTACAATCATAACTTATTATTAAATTCACAAAAAACTAAATTTATAAATTTCAGAACAGCACAGAACAGAATTATTACAAAAGAGCCATTTAGCATTATATGGGTCAACAAAAATATTAAATATGGATAGTATTCTGAAGCGACAAAAAGAAGCTATCAGAATTATGCTTAAGCTTTAAGATTATTCGGCAAAGGAACATTTTAAGAAATTCCAAATTTTTACAGTTTATGGGCAATAACAATTCTTATCGCAAAAAATTGAATCTGAGCAAGTAATAAATTCAGTGCATTCTTATAATTTTAGGAGGAGAAAGGAGTTTGTCCAGCCTCACAAATTAAAATTTTTTGAAAAAACCCTCATATGCTGGTAATGATTTTCTAAAATTTGTCCCTGAATTCATAAAAAAAGAAACGAACCTATCCAAATTCAAGAAAATTCTAAAGGAGCATTTAATAAATCTAGCATTATATTCTTTTGATGAATTTTCCACCTCCCATAAATAGAAATATAGTATTTTTATTTTAAGTATTCTGACACTATTCACTGTATCACCAATGTACATGATTTATGAATAAAGATGTTTGAATATGAATAATTGTTAATAAGTCTTATGACTTTGTCAATGATACTATTGTATTTTTACAACAAATAAAGATTTATTATTAATTGAAAGGATGACCTTAAACAACATCTTTCATGTCCAAAACTAGTATAGTATGGAAACCTCAGGAGTTAAAATAATATATAGGGCAGTTACTAAATAGTAAGTAGTAGTACATAATAGTAGTATGTAAAATAGAAACATTAAATGGTAGAACAAAAAGGACTCATTCAACTATGCACTCCTAAAAATAATAATTTACAAGAGCTGAACTATACTGAAATATCTAATTTAAAGTCAGTGCAAGTACCTACAGTCGGGACCACGAAAGTTTGCAGTTGGCGGCAGCCAATCACAAGACAAGGCTAGTGCGACGTTGCCATAGCGCCCGTTGACGACACTAATTAAAATATTAAACAATATTTTCAAATCAGCTGGTATTATTAGATTTGGCAACACCGCACTGTCATCATTGGCTCCTTCAAAGTCACGTGGTAAATAGGCTCCTCCCTCAACTGCAAACTTTCCTGGTCCCGACTGTAAATCTGTGGTAGTAAGAATAACATTATAACAGAGCTATTGCACACCAGCGGTATATATAAAAATATCTACATAGTCTAAATAACAACAAATACCTGGTTATAAGATTTGTATGATTTTGAAAGCAGCACAAACAATAATTTATGCAGATCAATTGGTTTATGTTAATAATATGCAAGATGAGGAAGACTGTATTGAAAAGCATTGTGTTGTGAATGTACATGTGCTAAGAGAATTAGTTTACTACCAGTGTCACTGACCTAAAGAAGGAACTGTAAGTTGTCTGGTCCAAAGACCACCAGGGTTGTGCCTTGAGTCTATCCACGTTGTACAGAGACCGTTGATATTGTGAGCGGAAAATCTTTTTTTCTACTCCTTTCCTGTATATCTGAAACGTCAACAAGTTGAAGAGTTTTAAATGTTCTATAGTCTTAAGATGATAACAAGAGAAGTATTTCGATCGGCTACAGATGCAGTTTTTTCCAATTACGGACTCTATAGAAGAACTTGTTAATCCAGTAGAAACTTACTAAACTAAAAAAAAATAATTAATTGCTTTATCTGGCCACATCCTTTTTAGAACATTCTAACAAAAATTAGAACTGTTCGTTTTTACTAGCGTTTACATAAACCGTGAAGGTTCATAGGAGGGTTGAAGAAGTATGAGATTTTCTATAGCTCTTTTGAAGAAAATCTTTAGCCTCAAGTCTTTGTCAACCTGAGTGTTAAATGTAATAGTTCCCTATGAACGTGCATGATGCTATCTTTACTGACGCTTTCTACCATTGCAATAATAAAAGCTCAGCTCAATTTTCTCCCATCGTGCTTGATCATTCAAGCTTTTAGACTAAGCTTGAATCGAGCCTCGCAGTCGCGCACCTTTGGTTCTGAGAAATGTACAATTTGACATAAAGCATTTTTGTAAATGACATTGCAATAATATAGAGCATAGACATAGCTTAATAGAGGTCAGTACTGTTTCAGTATGTTGAGCGAATAAAATGTGTATATATCCTTACAAACCGTTTAATTTAAAATTGGTACAAGCTTGTGATATGTTTTTAAAGTAATATAATTTTTGCTCGTATTTGGGAGGGATTATCCAGGTTCTGATTGAATTGTGTTTCCTACATCTACCAAAATTTGGAACTATTCCCAAGAAATTGTTTGAACTTCTCTACTTACTTAATCTATGAGTCAACTCTACCTGCATCGCCTTGTTGTTGTCGCCCTTGCGCTGCAGTATGTCGCCCAGGTGGAAGTAGAAGTGACTGTTGACAGTGAGAGGGTGATCAGATACGACGGCAGCCAACAAATGAGGGACTGCTGGCTCATGGTTACCTGTCAGTCATCAGGGTACAACGTAAAAAGGAATACTTACTTAAAAATTTTCATATTTTTATTTATGTTTTTAAGGTATGAGGAGGTACGGAGTGATAAGAGAAAGTTGGGGCTTAACGAGGAGGATGCTGCAGACTGAACCTACTGGATAGGTTAGGCATAACGCCTACTTTTAAGAGCTTTTGGAGTAGGAATGTACCTTAAGGTAGAAGGAATAGATACACAACTACCTTACTAAAGAAAAAGACATGCAGTTGATCATCACATAACAATTTCTCAAATCCCCAACACAATAGATTTTGCACCAACAAATAAAATCTCTTCAAAAGGAATTTGTAGAATTGTATTACTTCAGACAATCTATGACTATCTTCTGAAAAAGTCCCCTTGTGGATTGATGAGTGGTTTTAGTGTTCACCTAGGAAATGGTTCTGAGAAAAGTGAGTCCAAAAACTGGACCCAGCTGTCCTCGTTCATAACAAAGCTACACAAGGCATCTCACTCCATTCTATCCCTCCCTCATTTACATTCAGCTTAAAATCTAAAGTGAGAATTACTGTTTTAAATAATTCAGTTGAGTTAAATTTTAGGGGATAAATATCTAACTGATTGTATTACAAACTTTTTGTATGCTTCATGAAACTTCTTGGGTAAGTTGGGTGAGTGTCCATCCATTCCTTCTTCCTTATTTGGGAAGTTACACATCTTATGTCTTTCATTACATAATGTAAACCACAGAGACGTAAGGTAAAGAGGCAACACGCTTATAGGACAACACAGAAATGTACTTGTGGCGAGCAAGGAAGAGCCCAAACAACAAGCACTGTCGGAAATTCCTATCACACAGGGCTCAGGGTCTTCTTCTACCGTGAGCATTGTAGTACATTAGGGCGAAGGGAGCAATGCAGGACTTTGAATGAATGAATAAAGTGCTTTAATTTTAAATTAACATTCCTCTCGTAACACAAGTATACACTTAATTGGTCTACGACCGTCTGTTTGGTTGGCACATCTGAATGTTTCACACACATTTCTTTCTGATAATAAACACATTTCTGATATTAAAATTAAAACAAAATAAACTTATGCCTAACATACACAGATAAAATACCTAACTACTGTACATCCATTTTATACCAAACTAAAAAACCTATTTCCTAATGGTTTACATAACCTTTATTTTATTTTCAAAATAATTATAAAGTTTTAATAGGTTTATGCATAAATAAAATCTATAAAAATTACTATGAATATTCAATTAAGAAGACAGGCTGACCAGTTGTTTGACATAATTATTGTTATGCTATGATTTAGAATTTTGAAAAAGAAGGAAACAATTATGAATTTGAAAAAAAAAAATTGTCCACATGATTTATTTGTATTTAAAATCTCTAATTAATTCCCACCTTCTTCTCCATGCCTCTCTCATAAATTTTGCTAATTTACGCCAATCCCTACCATTAATGTATTCTATGTGTTCCCAATTTATGCTTTGTTTTCCAAACCAATACTCCTTAATATCATCTAAAATTGGGCAAATAGAAACAAAATGAAAAACTGTTTCAAATTCACGCAAATTGCATAAACTAAAAAAATTATTTTTATTCGTTATCCATGGTTTGTGATTCAAATCAACAAGCTCTGCTTGGGCCTTAGTGACCCATGAGATAAAACTTATATTGATGCTATCAGTGAGAAAACTCCTGGGCCCTAGGTCAAGGTCAACGGCAAGCAGTTGTTGGTGATATTGCGAAGTACGCGATCTGCCAACCATATCAATTCTCCAGCTATCTCTTTCCGCTTTAATAATCTTCACTAATCCCTCAAAAACATCCCATGCAGGACTTTGCCCTAGACACCAGCACTAGTACAACACTACAAGTGTACCGTGGAGCGTATACTCTGTTCCTTACTTCTCTGGGTAAACATAAACGTAAATAAAGTATTTTTTAAATTCTAGTTGCCCAAAGTTATGTAAATTTACCAATTTCATAACTAACTGTGACAAAGCCGCTTACCTTGAAGCTTGAGAGTTAGGCCCAGGTAGCCTCTACACACTACATCTGTTGGCCACTTGTCATGTGCAGACTCCAACACACTGCGAGCCTTGTCTAGTCTGCAACACTACCTCTCATCTCACACTACTTCAACCAAACATCACAATGTGAGCTTATATGTTATGGTTATAGACTACAAAATTGAGGCGGGTTTAACGGAACAAAAGATTTTTAATAAACTCAATTTCTACTTTGATGCCAGAACGGTTCTCACACACAATGAAACTTAAGAACTACTGGATTGATTTGGAATGTTTTTGGTAATCTTTTTTACAGTGAAGATGTTTGTTTTAGATGTGTAACTGCCAGTTTAATAAAAACTACATGAAAATATGGAAAAATAATGTTGAGAAGGGGTCTTTTATAAAATATATTCAATTTCTGTGAATAATGTACATTCCGCCATTTTTTTGCCAAGATATAACCTATTCTCTGAACAACCCTGATATTACCAACATTGATAAGATTTTTGGGATTATTATGTACAAGGATAGGGATCAGCTAGCTTACCTGGTAGAGTCCAGATTCACTTTGGGACCACACATAAAACTTTAAATTCATCCCTTCTGATGAAGTTCCTAACGGGGATGAAATATTAAATTTTACTCTTTTGGGTTTTTTACCAAAGCTAATCTGGACTCTACTATTTACGAGGTATGCTTGATGATCCCTATCCTTAAACATAATAATCCTAATCAGCCAATTGGCTTTTTCTTAACTTCTAAGGCCCATTCTACACGAGCTTGAAACCCACGATAGGATTCCCGCGTCGGGGCCACATGCTCGACAGGGACCATTGCATTCAACTTATTTTTGGGTGACTTATTTTTTTCAAATACCAACCCCTATTCAGTGACCCCTCATTTTGAAGGGCTTTTAAAAAGAAACACAATGACACAAATCCAAGGTGAATATCTCACCCCTAGCCAAAATGGCGGGTATTCCAAAATGGGTGCTTTTTCACATAAATCAAATTTTGTAATACCCGCCATTTAGGCTAGGGGTGAAATATCTACCTCGGGTTTGCGTCATCAGGGTGTCCACAGAAAATTTTTCATTAATTTCCCTGACTTTCAATGACTATCCATGACCATTTACCATTATTTACATGACTCACAAACTTTACTCAAAAATTATAATATGATATACACACACGAATAATACTGCCAAGACCAGTTATTTCACAGAAAATACTGAAATATATAATAACAGATAACAATGGAGTACAAAAGGTACAACAATGAACTAATACAACTGTAATGAATTTAATTGTCGAACATTTGTGAAAAACCCTGAAAAATGCTACCTATAATAGTCGGGGCTACGGCCGACTAGAGCATTGAATGATTCCTTCAAATCCATCCATCATTGGGGATTTCCACGACTTTTTGCCTATTTCCATGACTTTTTTGCCTATTTCCATGACTTTCAATGACCACAATTTTATTCCAAAATTTTTTATGACTATCCCTGACTTTCCCGAATGTGGACACCCTGACACGAACAAATGACACAAATCCAGCTACATTTTAATAAACCTGGTGCAAAAACTTATTAAAATAGATTTTGGTTTTTTGTTTGTACTACATTTAATTGAAACCATGATTTTTAGTGAATTTCCCTATAGGGAAGTAGCAATTACCGTAGCATGGTAAGACCTGGGCCCGGGACCAATTTACTTTTTTCATTTTGATGTCCCCAGAGGCCAAAAACACTATTTGTTCAAATTTTTATATACTACCTATATATAAATATATATGTTTCAGTGAACGCGATAAATTGAGTATTTTGTCTGTTTTTGATCAATTTGGCTTGAAGGTGTAGGGTGGAATAAACTTGAATGAGTTCACGAACTAGCATGATCAGACTATGGGAACGGGGTTTTACAGGGAGTTTTAAGGAGTAAAAATAGGGTTTTCTCATTTTTGACAACAAAATTTCAAAGTTTCAAAACAAAAAAACTACCAATTTCTCTTAGCACCATTTTTTAGAGCTTAAAAAAATAATAATTTAGTATTATGAGGGTTTTTTTATAATTATTGGTCACAGAAAAAATTCAAAATATTGTAAATTTAAAATTACCATGGTATTTTTATGAAGAGTAAGTAAACTGTTGTATTTAACATGTTTACAGATTTATTTTGATCAAACTTGGCAAATAACTAATTTCATACTTAGCTATTGATATTCTACTAAAAAAACCCATTTTATTACCCTCCCTGTAGCAGCAAACCTAGGTACTTGTTAAACATAATGTAATTTAAATAGATTTAATTTAAAATCCCATCGGGCAAATGGAAATTCGCTTAGTCTGCAGGTTTGCTGCGGCAGGGGTATTGGGAGTGATAGTGCCTACATTCACCTTACATAGACAAACGCATATTTAATAAGTTGTAATACACGTTTTTGGGTAATAAAAGTGGTCCCAGCTTAGGTCTTGCTATGAGGACCAAGCTATTTGCCCTTCCTGTTTTGTTATTAAGAGGTAAGAAAAAATCCATAGCAACAAAAGTACGAAGTTAGTTATACAGGTGAAAATGCAACTGTGATTCAAATTAAATTGTCATGGAAACAATTTAAACCAGTTGAAATTTAAAATTGAACACAAGAAGATGTACTGTACGTGAGTCTAGATTAATATTTATAGAAGTTATACACACTTAGAGATTAGCTAAGTTGTAGCATTTTAACACTTTGTAAATAATTATGTGCTGAGTAAAAGCAAATTTATACCGACAAGGTCCACTAAGGAAGGATAGGATAGCTTCCATATGGTTAGCTTTAATTGCTTGGATTACTCAAGCACTCAAGGTCAGTATTGGTTTGGTAACCTAAATGTGGCAAGTGGATGAGAGTCCGTTGGACTTGGTCACTCAAAACTGTTGTTGTACAGGTAGATGTCGCTGAACCATCAAGATACGAAGAGGTTACCAGAGCAATACTCGTCACTTCTGCAAACCAACCATTATTTATAGGCCCTCCTTTAAAGATTCAATAGAAAGCTCTAAACAAAATAAATTATTTAACTTGATAAATCCAATTAAAAAAGAAAATTTTAAACCTAACTTAATCAGGATTTTTTTAAACATTATTTATTATTTATACAACTTTGCACTTTGAAATACTAAACCGTGAAGTATTACAGAAAATAGTTTCAAGTTTGTAATTTATTTGATGATGGTTATATTTTTTTTAACAAAACCAAATTGTTATTGGTTTGATTTATTATCAACATTTTTGATACACAGATAATAAACACGACAAAACTTTTAAATTCCGTGAGATGAATGATTATTTCAAGTGGCAGAGTACTCCTCAGTCACCCAATAATTTGGCCCGAATTCCAAATTTGTCAGGGTACCTTAGGAGGCTTTTAGACGGAAAACCACTAATGATCGAGTAGGCTATGTATCAAGGACTGTGTCCTTTCTTTGGATTTTGCTTCAAAATCTGTGGTAGCCAGGTGCTGTTGATCAGTGGGGTGTTTGTTGTTGCATTGACTAGTGCCGGAATATCCTTGCTGGAGTGGCGCCCAGCTTGAGGAAGGCCCAATGTCAGCAAACATTCTCTGATAACACTGAATTTCGGAGTCTAGAATTACTCAGTCTCTCAGATGGTAGAGGTTTCTGTATACAGGGGGCCACTGAGCGCTGCAGTGGTGGGTGTGTAGGTCGTCTTGGGTTCTGCCCAGTTTGTCTGCACATCGCTTTTACTGTTTGATCCCTCTAGGGTGCGGATATAAAAACCTATGAAATACTCCCTCAAAACTCCCTGATACAGTAGGAATGATAGGCTCCCAAAGTTTAGAGTAGATCTGCGACAACTTCTCTTCTAGTGCCCCTTGACTCCGACTCTAAGGTTGTGATACGCATACAGGGATTCCCCATCAACTTTGAAGACTAGAAAAAGAAATGAAATACTGGACATCTGACCTGTTCCATTAACTGCGACTCTACGGTTGGATCGTGATAAGCATACCGTAGATGGATTTCCCTCAACAATTCAAACAAATGAGAAACAAAGAGGAATATCAGAAAAAAAGAAGATACTGCATCAAAAAGTCATCGTAGATGATCTTGTGTCAAAAGTGAAAACAAAATCCACAGCAAAGGCAAGTTTGAACAATCAGGGCAATGCACATTGAAAATCTTTGGATTGAAAATGAAAAACAAGACTACGTAGAACACCCAAGTCTGAAAAAGACTCTGAACTCTTGTATCTAAACAAAAGGTAATTTTCTCAATAAATAAATATTAGATAAGTTGTGTTAAATAGAATATAAGTTTGTCAATAAACTTATATTTTTTTAAATAGTCTGAAAATATCAATCTCTCATCCACTGCCAAGCTTTAAATACCTTCCATTAACAAAGGTTTAGTTTACCAATACCAATTTATATATTTTGTTACAAGTGTCATAAGTTGATTACATTACACGACCTCAAGCTATATTACATTACATTTAGTAACAATGTAGCCTGCTGTAGTTTAAGCATAGATAACAAGCTAGACCAGTAAAGAAATAATAGGTAGGAAGGAAAAGGAGAATATGCACAACTAGCAAGCACAAATCTAAGCCCCCACAGGCTTACCCTGGTCTCACTCCCTTCTATATTCTTCCCACAGCTTTTTTTAAGTATTAATGTGCATTTTGTGTCCACGAGCTTTTTTTTAGTATAAATAAACAGATCACTTGTAATTTCAATCACACCATGTTCTTATGTATCTCTAGGTTACTTCAAGATATTTATGATCTCCATTCAGTTTTTGTTGATTATAAACATTTGTACCTTACATAAAACTTGTTCTCGTCGCTTGACTCTCTGCTCAAGCGTTTAATGTAATACGCAATGTCTACTATTACATTAATAGTTTAGGAAAATTAGCTAACCTGGTTGAAACTTTGAACTCTAAAAGTGTTATTATACATAGACTAGAGATGGGAAATACTGTTACTTTTCAGTATCAGTCGGGAACATTCTTTAGTATTTTGGTAATAGGTGAAATAACACTATTATTTTTGTCACCTAGTATTCTGGGTGTACACGGAAATAGGGGTTGTTATTAAAAAAATAAGTCACCCCCACCCCCACGGTACCCTGTTAAAGGGGTTAAAAAATATTGTCGATGTAAAAAATTGAGGAACCTATGTTAACAACCAACTCCACAAACAGAACATTTCTATCTATTTCGGTTTTAAAAATGTTTAATGTCTTAAATGTTTAACAAATGTTTAATACAGATTTGATTCCATATTTGTGAAATTGACATAGGTACAGTAAATCAATTTTTTTTGCCTAGGGGTGAGAAATACACCTCGGGTTTACTTCATTGTGTTTCTTTTGACAAATCCTTCAAAATGAGGGGGTCACTCAATAGGGATTGCTATTTGAAAAAAATAAGTCACCCCCTACCCACTACCCTGTTGGGGGGCTAAAAATATTTTTGATGTAAAAATTTACGGAACCTTTGTTAATTTTTTTTTTTTTTATGGAGATTTGTTTCAATACTTAATTTAATTTACACACTGTATGATTGAAAATAATTTTTGTTACCTAAAATTCTAATATGTCATATGTATGGATAGGCCTAATACCACATCAACAAAAGTTTGCAATACACAAATGTGGTAAATTTTAATTAGCCTATATTGTTATTACACTCAATTGACAAAATTATGAAAAAAAGACGTATTGCTTTGAACCGAGTTGCATCGATTCGAACATAAAATCTTTTGAATCAAATCGTTGCTTCGAATCGAAAAGTTTTTGCTGCATCGCACACGCCTATCAAAATGAAAAATTAAATCGGTCCCAGGCCTTGGTCTTACCATGAGACCTACGGTAATAGCTACTTCCCTACAGGGAAATTTGCCAAAAAAAGAATAACTTGATCCAAATTAATATTTGGACAACTCCAGCTATAAAACCAAGCTCCACCCATCCCTTCTCAACACGACTGGGATCCCGCCCGTGTAGTTACACAAAATGTTGGTGAGATCACCCGGGAATCCCGTCACAGGTTTTAGGCTCATGTAGAATGAGCCTAACTGATTTGATTGTTAATAGCATTAAAGTGTCATCCCTTAGTTCTACGAGTAATACAGCCATTGGTTTATAAGTCTAAATCTTATGAATGCATACTGGTAAAATTTAAAGGAAATATTTTGCTAATAAAATAACTCAACATATATGTTAAAATGTATAAACAACTACTACTTTCTACGCCAAAGATCAAGCTAACAAAATTAGACAACATAAATATGTCTAACATCAACTTTATGTGGCTATAAAACACTGTGAGATATTTATTACCTGTTGATCATCAGATAGGTGATGGCCAGGTCTATATGGTGAGTGATGTTGGTTGGAAACCTCTCTAGCAGGAGATTGTGTACTTCAACAGCCTTGAGGTGCAATCCTACAAGGAGAAAATTAACTTACTTCAGTACGATATTTTTCCCTAATGTTAAGGTATATACATTAAAAACTATTTATGAGCCAAATTTGTGCATCTAAAAAAAGATGTTGCACATAGGAAAAAGCAAAATTTGTCTATTAAACCACTGAAAAACTTCTAAGCAATTTTTGAAATCTCATAGCATGTTTTCCCATATAGGGAATAAGCTATATTACCGTAGGTCTCATCTCATGTAAGACCTAGACCCGGGGCCGATTTACTTTTTTGTTTTGAGGTCCCCAGAGGGCAAAAACACCATCTGTTCAAATTCATTAATATATGTGTCTGTTAGTGTGATAACTCAATTAAAATTATCCGATTTTGATGAAATTTGGTACAAACGTGTAAACCATTAATTATTCGAACGTGTTCACGAACCAGCATAATCGGACTATGGGAACGGGGTTTTATGGGGTAAAAATAGATTTTTCTCATCTTTGACCCTAAAAACACCAAATTTTATAATTTCTTTCGAAACTATTTTGTAGAGCTTAAAAAAAGAAATAATTTTGTATACTGCATTGTTGTATGCCCAACGGTTATGGAGATAATTATTTAAAAAATTGTAAATTTAAAATTCCCATGTTATTCTTATGGAGAATAAATAAACGGTTATAGTTTGCTTGTTTATGGATATATTTTAAACAAATTTTTTAATTTTGTTTAATACTAAGCTATCAACATTGCAAAATAAAAAAAACACACCCCAATATGTTCCCTGTAGCAGCAAACCTAAGTACTCACTAAAATAATGTTATTTAAATAGGAAATAAATCTGAAAATTTTTAGGGAATATTTTACAGGGTGTCCACCAGGCCAACCAGAAAAAAATCATGAGTAATTCATGAGTAAAAAAAAAAAAAATCCAGGTAGTTCAGGTCATACTAAAATTTCCAACGTGTTTTGCGCCAACTCCCGCAATGCTGTTTTAGCGCTACAGCTCGCTATTTTAGTTACCTATAGTAAAGAGCATTCTCAGTTAAGGATAAAAAAAATTACAATTGCTGTAATATTGCCTGACACAAGTATTCAATTTTTATATATTACTGATTAAATAATCCAAAAATTAAAAACTAATCCTTTAACCTGCAATTTTTTATAAACTTCCTAAAAATAGTGATATGTTGATACCAAAATGTATCGAATCTCTGTACAGACACATGAAAAATAGATTCTTAATACTGATAACTTCAATTTTACCAAATTTTCTGAAGTATTACTACACCAACCCTGGTTTATGTACTTTCATATAGTATAATTTTGGAGTAATGGGTTGTTTTCCAAGTGGCCTACAGAAATAATAATGCAAAAATTACAAAAATTGCACATAGCCAATTTATGTTTTAAATCCTTCTAAACACATTAAATAAATACCACGTTAAAGGTGATGATATTACAAAAAAATAAACTTTCTGGAAGTGTGCCATTTTGAAATTGTTGGTCAAGCCAAACTCGAGGTTATATTGTAATCATCTAACACAGTCATAGAGACACCATCATCATTTTCATTTCATTGTGATAACTGAAAAATCCTGAATATCTCACTCAGTAACAGAAACATCACCACTGTCTCCCGACATAAAACATAAAAACAAAATTTTATGTTTTTAGGGTCGAAAATGGGAAAAACTTATTTTTACCCCATAAACCCCTGTTCCCATAGTCCGATTATGCTGGTTCGTAAACTCTTTCGAATAAATGTAGGTTTACACGTTTATACCAAATTTTATCAAAATCGGATCATTTTTGCTCGAGTTATCGTGCTAACGGACACATATTTATATATATATATGAATTTGAACGGATGGTGTTTTTGGCCTCTAGGGACCTCAAAACGAAAAAGTAACTTGGTCCCGGGTCCAGGTCTTACCATGAGTACTATGGTAATAGCTTATTCCCTATATGGGAAATTCGCCAATTTAGCCATTCGCCAGAGAATTTAGTTGAATGAGCCACTCGGACTAAAAACAAATTCCATTTTCACTCAAAGTCAATCATTAATTAAGTGATTACAGTTGGGGCCATTCAACAGAAATCAGTTTTTTATGTCCGCACACTCTGTCAGTAGCTCATTTTAATTAAATTGCATTTAATTCTGAAACTTAGTAAAAATTAGGAAAGGCAAAGGCGCGTTTCGTTCTATTCAAAACTCAAAGACACTACTGAATGTTGAGGAAGCGAGCAGGTTGAGCGTTAGGCTTTGGTCCTCAAGTTTCGAGTTTGAATCCCTAAAATGGCTTTTAACTATGTGACAATACTGTGACCCTCTAGTTTTAGCTGAAGTTAATTTTATTATTTGAACATATATGGGCTAGACCTTAGTGTCATTTCAAAAGAAAATTTTTGAATGAGCTACTCATAGTGAGCTACTCTACAAAATTATACTTTCTCACTTAGTTTCTGTTGCTGAGACAGTTGACATAAAAGATAAAACAGCTTACGATCGTAGGCCTACTAATGTTCCATCGTAAGCTAATGAGGAAAATGGTTCAGATATACAATCCACAAGTAGAACTCTCATGGTAATTTATCACAAGGTTTTTAATGTAAACGTGTTGTTTTTCTAGTTTTTCTCTTATTTGTTTGGGTTGCAGCTGATATATACCTTGTTATCACTTACGACGCAGACAAAATATTTTGTCGTTCGTTCTTAAAATGCATGTATCTGAATATTGTTTCTACGGATAGTGCTGAATCCACTGTACAGGTGACATACTAATTGTTTCGTCTAAATGTAGGTGGTTTATTATGTTATATATGCTGTATGTCATTCCATCAGTTTGACTTGGTTAAAAAGATGGAGTATTATATAAAAATCAGTGATTTTACATCAGCGACCACTTTGCGTCTCAATTCAATTGTGACTAAGCAACACAAGTAGACTTCTCATCCCATTGTAAATTTTGAAGCTTGTTCTTTCGACTAGTTTAACAAAATTTTGTTTATATTATTTTAGGGTTATTTTCATGATTTGTGCTTCACTATTTGCTTATATAACTAGAAGACCAGTTATTGTTTATGATTAGATTGTATTATTTGGTTAACCGAGGTTTTAAATGACTTAAATAACAAGTGTAAACAAAACACGACCTCTACAGTGCACCGTACAGAACTAACAATAAAATTTGCTTCAGCTGTTCCATGAGGATGACAAATCTACTAAGAGAGTAATGTTTTATCTATGATTAGACAATAGCCAATAGACAATAGACAAAATCTTTATTGAAATATTCCTAGAGAACATTCATGCGTCAGGTACATAAAATGTACAGTATGTACGTAAACTATTACAGTAATTTGCAATTACAATTAGAATTTTTTTCTTCTTTTTCTTCTTTTTTTCATGGTAGCTTATTGTTTAAGAATTCATCCTCAGAGTATAACGGCCGGTCCAAAAGCCATGTTGTCAGGTGCTTCTTGAGCAGATTGGGTTGTTCTCTCTTGAGGTGCTCTGGTAGGTTGTTAAAGTACAGAGCACCTTTGTAGGATGGTTTCTTCTCGTACAGACTCAGATGGTGTTGTGGGAGGGAAAAATTGGCGGCATGTCGTGTGTTGTGCTGGTGTATGTCTCTGTGTCTTGGCTGGGCTTTTTTAGTGGTGTGGATAATGACTTCTCTTATGTAGAGTGAAATTGATGTGAGAATTTTAAGGTTCTTGAAGGCTTCTCAGCAACTGTCTCTGTAGTTCAGGTCGGCAAGGCATCTGCTCTTTTTTGCTTTAGGAGTACTCTTTCCAGGTTGCCTTTTGATGTTCCACCCCAAGTCGCAATGCCATATCTGAGGTGGGACTCGAATAGAGCAAAATATGCAACTTTGGCTACTTCTGGGTTGCAAGCTTGCTTGATCCTACGTATAACGTAGAGACTTGAACTTAGCTTTTTGCAGAGCTGGTCTATGTGGGGTTTCCATGATAGCTTGGAGTCAATTATGATGCCTAGGTATTTTGTGTTTGTGGTTCCGGTATTGTAATGTCTGTGTTGTTGCGTTTGGTGGTGAAAGTCATTTGAACGGTTTTGCTTTCGTTTAGAACTAGGTCGTTGGAGGTACAGTATTGCTTTGTTCTCTGGAGTTGTGTGTTGGTTTTCTCTTCCAGATTTTCCATTGTTTTGTCCGCAAATGTGAGAACCGTGTCATCTGCGTACATGGTGGTGTGTCCATCTTCCCCAATCCAACTAGGTAGGTCATTCGTGAGAAGGAGGAAAAGGACTGGGCCAAGTACTGATCCTTGGGGTACTCCTCTTTGCACGTCTACAGCTTTGGATTGGGCCTTATACTTTGTGTTGTTCTTTATGTAGGCTATTTCCACAAGCTGTTTCCGGTTACTAATGTAGCTTTTAAACCATTCTGCTGCTCTTCCTCTCACGCCTAGTGTTTCCAGCTTGAGTAGAAGAAGTTCGTGGTTTAGGCAGTCGAAAGCTTTACTAAAATCTAGGAAGAGGCTTGTTGAAGTGCTGCCTTCTTCTAGTTGGTCTAGTATGTGCTCCATCAGTTGTATTAAGGCTGTGGCTGTCGATCTGCCTTTGATAAATCCATGCTGTTGACTATTGAGAAGGTTGTGTTCTTGAAGATGGTGTAGGAGTTGGGCTAGTACTATCTTTTCGATTATTTTTGAAAATGTTGATATTAGGGAGATTGGCCTGTAGCTGTTTCTTTCTATCGTTGGTCCATTTTTGTATTTTGGGTAGACTTTAGCTTTTGAACTTAGCTTTTTGCAGAGCTGGTCTATGTGGGGTTTCCATGATAGCTTGGAGTTAATTATGATGCCTAGATATTTTGTGGTATTTTGTGTTTGTAGTCCCGGTATTGTAATGTATGTAATGTATGTAGGGGTCTGCGGTACAGAAAATTTAAGGTCGGTACGGTTCGGTACGGTACAATATTTTGTACCTCGGTTCTCGGTACAAAATCGGTACGGTACGCGCGGCTACCCGTATTTTTGCGGTTTTCTTCTCAGAACTGTATCTAAACCATTATTTTTAACTTTAATACATAGACATTACTATGAAAATGGATAGTATCCTACATTCATGGTTTTCTAACAACAATTACTGTACCACATATTATTAAAACAAAACCTTTTACTACTACGAGGATTGTGTCAAGAAAAATCACAGTTGAGATAAAGGCTTTACCTATTTTACTCTGAGATACTTTGAATAGCCATGATAAAGTAGTTTAAAAATAGGATAAGAGTTTTTATGAATAAACATGTTTGAAACATTTATTGACAAGATAATTTCACAAAACTGGTAAATTATTTCCAAACAACACAATGTCTAGTTGTTTTTTTTTTGTTTTTTTTTTAAATATATAAAAGCATTCAGTAGAAGACAGTGTAGTTTTGCCAGCTGTTCACAGCAGATGACAATGAAAAACTGGAGGTTATGATGAAGTAATGGCAAAGACCATTTTTTTTTATCAGCTTCAAAACTAGTTAAGTTATAAGATGGATACAATTCTTGCAAAGTTTTTTTCTGAAACTAAAATTTGGATTATCACAGAGTAAGATTTGATGTTGGGCAATTAGACTTTATAACTGTGTAAAAGGTGTGTATCCCTAAATTTATAAATTGCATTCTACACTTATTCACTGCCAAACATAATTCAGTAGAACCTTGATGAACCGAGAATTACACTAGCCTACATAACTTCATTACCCCAAGTAAAATACCAAAATAATTTTTATAATTGTATTTGAATCGTATAATCTTAGTTTGTTAAAAATGGATTGTATGTTCAACAATAATTGCAGTCCATTATTGTTAAGCAGTATGGTCCCAAATTATTGTTTTTGATTTTGAAACATAACAGTTCATTTGACAAAATTATAATTGAAGCAGCCCAATGTCAAGTCACGCGCGCTTGTGCAATAGTTTGTTTACAAGCTTTCTCCAGACCACGGGGGAGGGGAGGGGAGGGTCTGATAAGCCGTCTATTGTTCACCCCCAAGAAGGTCCGACCCTCATTAGTGCCACTCGGCTGCACTCAAGTGTTTTACCCCCTGCTGTGCGCTATGTCATAAAAGCTGATAACGACGTTGAATGCGTGATAAGGGAAACCCAAGAAATAGAAGAACAAAGAGAAAGAATAATGACGTTGTTATCTTTATTCCCTTTTTACAATTTCCGTTATTTTTTGTTATCTTTATGTAAGATTTTATGATTTTGTTTTATAGGTTTATAAAATAATTCTTTTTAACTACGGGAATATCAATTTATAATTTATCAACGTGCTTCTCTTCTGAAACAGCAATACCGGATGCATAATAAAGGTCAATGGCCTAAAATATCACGATTGTGCAATATTGTATTTTGATGTTAAAATTAATATCACGACAAAAGTTTGTATATATCCATGGTCGTCAATAGAAAGATAAAATATCCATAACAAATATTTAATTTATAAAATAAGATTATGTAGATTAGTTACAAGTTTAATATGTAGCCATAAACAGTTTTATGGCAGTAGGCAATGGCCAGCGGCAAATTCAATATTCACGAAAATACTGATTAAGTTAGAGATAACATTTAACAGTCATCATAAAACTATTATTTTTATGATAAAACAGAATTGGGGAAAGTCGTAAAGAAATAAAAGTGATAAAACTCAACAGTTCTTGGAAGTACTTCAATACAACAATTATTGTCGTGATAAAATGTTAATGGATTTGGGACTGCTAATGGGTTTTTTATTGCATCATCACGCTAGTAATAAATTATGAAGATCGTAAACAAACAACTGATAAGACTTTTATGTGCTTGGAACCAACTGCCGTTGACTACGATAGTAAACTGAAAGTAATTTATTATTATAATAGGCTGTACCGAACCGAATTTGTACCGTGTAAAATGCTGTACCGAACCGATGACGGTAATTAAGCTTGTACCGTACCGTACCGACTTTTTCGGTGCACCGCAGACCCCTAAATGTATGTAATGTATGTAATCAGATTCAACTATGATAATTAATTATTTGTGTGCAAAAACTGGAAACAACACGCCATAAACGTACAAAACTTAAAAACCGACCTATACCCCAGTCTCGATATTACCCACCTTTGAACCTCATCCGATCGATGGTGCGGTTGGCCACCCTGAGGAGCAGCTCGTCTGGTAGGTTGGTAGCCTTGAGAGCCACAGAATACGCTGCTATGGCCTGCTCCAGCAGAGAGTTGCTGCGTCGAGCCTCTGCCAGAGCGTCGAGCGCCCGAGCCTTGCCGTGGAGCGCTCTTGCTGAGAGGGGGTGGGTGGAGAGAAGGGCAGAGTACCGGGAGAGGGCAGAGCTAGGGTGCTAGTCACACAAACACACATCACACATCTAACACTATAGTATCAGTAGGGACATGAGCGGCTGGCTAGGTAAGATGTAAGTGTGGGTGCGAGAACAGCAACCGACATACGACCACATACTGACACTAAATGCAATCATATCACCAGGCAGGTCTTGTAGTGCTAACGTAGTAAACTAGTTGTGAGTAAATGCAGATCATTTATTTATGCCAACCATAAGTGTTAGTAAAAGTGTATGCAAATTAATTTCTCTTCTAAAATGGATTGGTTAGTAATGTGAACAGTAGAGTATATTATATTAGTAAATTAGCAATGCGATACAAGTTGTTAACAGAAGTAAGGGAACGCAATGAAATAAAAATCAGTGAATTAAAATGCATTTGTTAAATATTGTTAGGTAATAATTAAAAAAGTAAAAAAACACAGAAAACTAAAAAATTGGTAACTATAACAAACATGAGATTAGGATAGGAAGGTTAAACTTGAGTATTTAAACCAGGAAATCCTAGAAGTGAAAAAACCTACTTAATAAGGTATTTGATACTTGATTAAAAATAATAACATAAGTTTGTCCAACAAAAGGAAGTAACTTGATAACATTTCAATTGTATTACTGGATTAAAACTGGTTGAACCTTTGATTACTTCAATAGATTTTTTGTGAAAAATTACTTTTACTTACATCAAGCCCATTGAAAGCTATAACAAGACAGTTTTTAGTAAAAAGTGAATATCATACATCTACATACACGATTAACTCATACTGTACTGACATATCTCATGACTGCTTCATTCAAAACTTAATTGGCGGAGCTTTGTACTATAAACACAATTGATTATTAGGATATCACATCAAATCCACAGAGGTATTAGTTCCCCCATTGCAGCAAACTTGTAAAAATAATTAATTGTAGTAAAAACTATTAAATGTAATGTCATTGAACCTTCCTGCATGACACGTAAATACAAACCAGTTTCCAAACAGTGTGTGTCAAAAAGCTAATGACAAAAATACTCAAATTTGAATGTAGACGATATACAAATGTAGTCTAATACTCTATCTTATGAGAGTATAAAATAAATAATTAATTGTGTTTATTACTTTTTTATTTGAAAACGGTCTGTTATTTTCTGAACAGGCATGATTCAATGATAATAAAATTTGCTCCAAATAAAATTACAAATGACACAAACATATACTGACCCCCTCGTCCAGATCTTGGTCAGCCTCGTCCAGCTGTTCTCGGATCTCCCAGTCCCCAGGGTTGGTGATATCAGCCTTCTCATACTCAGCACTCTCATCCTGAAATGGGGAAAGATATAGTACACAATTTTTTTTCTAGATCTAGAGGTTCGCAACATTATCACATAGATAAAATCCTTTGGTGATTGGCAGGATTTGAACCCGGGACCTTGGGCACCAAAACACGGCACAACCACTAGCGCTACAACTAGACCACTACCTCCCGTTAGTACAGGTAGTAGAAATATGATTATCCTTATGAATTGGGGATTGTGTTGATTCAATTGATAAAATATTTTGGTGATTGGATATGACTTATTTGAGATTCAAGAATAAAAGGTTTATAGGCCTGAAGGCCTACTGAAAAAAACTACAAAGTTTATAATTTATTGTAGTTAGTCCAAATAATCTGAAGTCCTTAATCACAACTGCAAACAACAAATAGAATATACAGTACAGTTGCACAAACTCTGCCTAATAAGGAGATGCTGAAGTTTGGATAATGCCAAGCTTTCAGGGGAAAAGTTCAGAAAGGCAAAATGATGTGCTATATAGTAAATTTTATTTTTATTTCTCATGAATGGATACTGCATTTACAACACCATAACATTCAAATACAGTAGAACCCCTCAAATCTGACTATGACGGGACCGGGCCATGGTCGGATATCGGGAGATGCATATCTTGCGGCCTCAGTGCCACCAGTAATTGTCTTCATCGATCTTGGCAACACCCATGACCATACCTGCGATCACGGCAACACCGGTAATCGTCTATCGTAATCGCAGCATCACCCGTGAAGATATCTTGAGGTCACGGCAAAATTGGTAGTCATATCCCGCAATCGTGGTAATACCTGTGATGATATTTTGCGCTCACAGAAACATTGGTAATCCTCTTCCGCGACCACGACAACCCTCATGAGGATATCTTGCGGTCACGGCAACACCGGTAGGCCTAATCTTCTTCCGTGATAGTGGAAACACTTGTAAGGATATTTTGCGGTCATGGCAACATGGGGAATCGTCTTCTGAGACCACAGCAACATCTGTGAGCGTATCTTGCTGTCTCAGCGACAGCGGTGGTCGTCTGCCATGATTATGGCAACTCCCTTGATCGGCCACACTAGGTCGGATATCCCGAGGAGTCGGTTATGCCGAGGTCGTATATGAGGGGTTCTACTGTAGATATAATAAAATTTTTGAAAAAATGCATAAGTTAACTTAATTTTTTCTATAAAATTGAAGGTTATGGTGCTTATTCTTTTTCAGGTATGCGCTCCTAATGATGGCAAAGGCAATGTGCTGTTTAAGTATTTAAACTACTTAGTTTCATAGTTTGCCACTTTATTAGTGTATATTTGGTGACTGTTCTGTGAAGGCAGACGAGATAGTTGCTACAGCTATCTCCTTTAGTGAGGCAATAGCAACGGGAAAGGTGCATTTGCATTGCACAAGCTACAAAGTTGTATTTTAAGTACACTTGAGCATTACTTGAACTACCTTTTGCTAAAAAGCTAAAGTCACCTTCAAAATATTTTAGAAGACTATTAAAAAAGTAAAAATATTTAACAAACAATCTTTATTTACTTCTTGATGACAACACACATTATTTAAAATAAAAGTACTGTAATATTACCTTTTGTTGTGGCTCGTTTTTTTCAGGTTCTGTGTTTACAACAGGCTCAGGAACAGATTCATCCACAAAGTCTCGACTCTCTTGCTCTTCCTGAGGTTAAAGTTTATTTAGCATTAGGGGATTGTTCAAGCATCTTCTGATTTTTGTTGAAACCAAAACTACTTAGATTGACTTGGTCAAAACCTTGGTTTATCAAATGCCAAACTTTTTTTAAAGCATAACAATCATAAAATGTTACAATAACAAACCCAATGACAAAAGTTAACTGGGTCAAGAATGGATCCTCCCCATTAACCAGTAGGCCTAACGCCTTTAACCATAGATTTGAAGGCTATCTACTAGCTATTTTTGACTTTGAAGCATTGCAGTTACACTAGAATCCCTTGGTTATTACCTGGGTATCTGAGTAGTTATAGACATAGTGCCCACCTTCAAATCCCAAGGGTTAAAGGTTACTGAGTTTCCAGATGCCTATTTGTCATTGGGCCTAATTAACTATGCTATTTTACAAATGCAAGAACCAATTACACAACACAAACCTACAACCAGAAAATAGCTAAATTCAACACGAGAAGATATTTGCTTACGTTAGGTAGACAATAACGATCTTCAATCTACTCTCCAAAGAAGACCTCTACTAGGATGAAATATCAGTGTTGTGTTTTGTGTTCTTTTATTTACTGCCACTCTAATTTTCTCAGATAAACTAGTTCAACTCAATTCCTTTTCAAAACGTTGAAATACAAAACATGTTCTGGGTGTATTGCTAGCTAGTAGTGAGTGTCTCAAATTTCAGTGCGGAAGGGCAATTCCCGGGACATCCACAAAACTTGAATTGGTTTGGACAGCTTTTCCTTAAAAGCGTTTGAACTAACTCTGACTTCAATTACAAATGCCCCTGGCGCTAGCATAGGAAGAAAAGATACCAGAATTTGGATCAATCCCTTGCAATAACCCTAATAACTAATAGCTTGAATCAAACAAAACTAAAAGTTCTGTGACAAGCCCTGATGAAGTGATACACCGCTATTGGTTTCCAGAAGCAGACGCTAGTTTTATCACCAATTGTCTGACTAACCTGCACCTCAGCGGACTTGGGTCCTCCTGATGTTGGAGGGCTCTCCTCCTCTGACTCTTCCTCAGTTTCCTCCTCTTCTGTCTGTACCTCCTCCACTTCCTCTCTTAGCAGCTCGGGCCCACTCTCGCCTGTCATACAAACACAGTGATGGGGATGACTGGGCGTTATTTAACCGAAACATGAGTGAAGGAGTGTAGAAAGGGATGAGAACCTTATTTAGCTTTGTTACTGACTGAGACCACCTGTTTATCTAGCCAAAATCAATTTGCGATTAGAAACTGAGTTTCAATGCCGGTGCACCAGAGTATGTTTTTTAAGTTGAAGTTGAGTGAATTGAATTGAGTGATTGTTGAACGAATCATATTAACGGATTTGTTACTGTCTGAGCAGTTAGTTTATTAACCAGGATCATTTTATAAGAATGGATCAAAGACAGTTGGGCACAGTGTTGAACGATCCACTTGTTTATGATTTTTTCAGGATGAAACTGTAATAATTGGAATATTGGTTATCCAAACCGTAATTAAATCTGAGGTTCATCTACATGTAAACATAGTTTTGGAAAAAAACTGGAATGCTTTACATGGAACAAGTGTTTTCCTCAATCAAAATTTAAAATCTTAAACAAATTTATAATCAGAGAAAAAGCAGTAAAAGTAGAATAGAGCCTGCCCCGTACAAATATGACTTATAACTTTTAACAGGCCCTAAATGATGTTTTCTTTTCAAATTATATTTTATTTTACCTGAAGCTAAAAATAAAAAACTTATAAAAAGTTTGGGTATGATCAACAGCTAGTTAACTAATAACAAATACAGAAAAGAAACCTAACCTTAGAACAACACTATAGTTGTTATTATATGTGTTTTAATTTTATGTGTAAATATTAGTTTACGCAACAATCGCACCAGATAGTGTAGACGACACAAGATAAAATTTAAGGTACGAGCCTTGGCGAGTGCCTTAAATACTTCTACGAGTGTCGTTAACACTATTTACACGAGTTGCGTACACTACTTTACCAACAACCGGTTTTTAATTACTAATAATCACTACTCAAAACTTCTAAGAGAGGTTATGTTTTTGTTTATAACCTCTCATTACCACTGACATTAATGCAACAAATCATAGTACCAATCACTAATTGCCCCAATCGTTAACAGTTAAATTGGTAAACAGCTGATTAGTTGAAGTTCGAAGCATAACAGTTTACTTTTTCTCTCTCAATCCTTGAACCTCATTGGTCCGTTACCGGTGTTGTTAAGTAAAATTATGCTGTTATGTAACTTGTTATGAACAATTCTAAGAACTGAACTGAAACGGCCATTAAAAACGGTCGTAGGTAAATAAATAAAAACAATGATTGCACTATTAGGCTTTCAAGTAGTAGTACTTACTCTTCCATTGGGGAACAGGCTCATCCTCCATAAGATCATCTTCTTCATCCTCTTCAGGCTCACTGGCCTCCGGTTCACTCTCTGAAGGTTCGTATTCTGTGGACTGTAAAAAGGAAACACATCAGCGTTTGATAGCAAAGAGTTAAGCTTTGGAAAAACAGACTACTATTTATAACAGAATTTCTTTTAGAATAGTTTTACATCAAAGTGTATCTGTAACAACAATCAGGGTGGCCACAGAACTCCTGGGGAAAAAATCACGCATATTTCCCGGTTTTCCCGACCGAAAATCCTGTTTTTCCCGGTCGTGATTTCTGGCCCCCAAGATTATATTTACCATATTTGTGACCTTATTCCCAATAATGCGATCTTTACAATGCATTTGAAACTATATAAAACTTAATTAATTGACTATTAAATAAAATAGATAATGAATAAATATTTATAATAACCAAGTCATACTATCAATGGTAGAATAATAGTAACAGTAAGCACAGGCAGTCTGGGCGCGCGGTGCCGTCTCTACTAGCCGTCATGTGTACATGTCACCCACCCCTCCACCCCGCCTAGCCATGAAGACAGCTGAACAACCTCAGAGCCGCGTGGGCCAGATGTTTTTGGAAATGACTTGAGCAATAAATAAACATCCCCCCTACACCCCGGGCCATAGCGCGGCCAGAATAAATGCGACTACAGTACAAAGGTCCACTGTTCTTGTTCTAAATTATAATTCGGAGCAAGAGTGACGGTGGGCGCTGTACTTTCTTATCTGCCGACATGTGACAACAAAAGCTGATAAGGATATCCCCCTCCCCACCAGCCTACACAACCCAAACGAGAAGAGAAACGCAGTTTTACTATTGTGCATTTGAATTCACTTAAGTTGCACACTTTTTTCATTCTTCAAGTAATATTTTATTATTATTGAATTGAATATTAAGAAGCTTTTAACTAAATAAACTTATGGTTATGAAATACATCAGAAGAGGCGAAGTAAAACTTTATTGCAAAAACTTTGTAAAATGTGTTTTATTTGCAATTTACAATCAAATTTGATAAATCAAATGAAACGGTTACAAGTAAGGTAAAAAAACGCAGTTATAACACTAAAAAAACATTATACAATTTGTATGACTGACTATGTTTGACAAGAGAAATATGTGATCCTTATTTACCAGGGACTAAGTTATACAGAATGAAAATGATAGTTTCGCCACAGAAAAGAAGATGGCGGGAACTCTGGAGCAGTGTATGAGTCACGCAATACCGTTCGTCTAGATAGACCATTAGGACAGGTCACAGATAAAATTAATTTATGTACAAACAAACAATAGCACTTTTAAAAATTACTTTACAGAAAGACTTCTTTTCACCATGTAGTAGAATAAAAAGTAGAAATTGCACGAAGAAAACATTAACTAAAACACAAGCTATTTAAACTAAAACAAAAACATTTTTTAGCCTGTAAATTATATGATTTAACTGATAATTATTACTTTAAAAAAACAAATAAGAATAATGAATTAGTTTAGAAGTAATACATTACGTACGAATGGTTTAGAAAAAATACAGTAAGGCCTTCCTACTGTTTTAGAAATAACAAATTAAGTTTGATTTTTCTTCAAAATCAAGATATCTTTGAAGGATTACATTTTACAAAAAACATATGACTTGCGTAATAATATCAATGGTAAGAATTAACATTACATAGCATGAGTAACGATTAGGGTAACACAAGTTAATAATGGTAACACCACGAACGTAACAATAGTACAGTAATGTATAGGAAGGGTAACAGAAACGTAAAATACATTTTAAAAATCAACTAAATATTTACAAATGTATTAACTAAATATTTACAAAAGTATGTGGATGATGTCCAAGGAAATATGAGGAATTATCAAAAAATAGTTATTAGTGTCAGCTCGATAGGGGTACATAACGCCAAAGAGGGTTCTACCCGGCAGCCTGAATTTCAATTAAAGATAGTTCTTTACATCGTTGACTTCAACCTGTAGTTCATAGTGTGATGTATGTAGGGTATTTACTCAGGGGAGGTATAGAAGAGGCTACAATGACAGCTGTGGGCTTCTTATTAGCTGAGGGAACGCCATTACCGTAACAAAACGATCATCAGTCATCGGCCTCGTTGGTCTAATGGTTAGCGTGCCGGGCTGATATGCCAAAGGTCCCGGGTTCAAATCCCGCTCGTGGCATTAACTTTTTGTCCAAGATTTTTTTATTATCAGCAAGTTTGGTTGGTTTGGTTTGGTTATGACAGTTTAATTTTATTATTAAGTCATTATAAAATTTTAGTAAAGCAATTTCTAGTTTTATTTAATAAACAGAATTATTTTTTCTATTAATAAACTTTTGTTATATTATTTCATTATCAGCAAGTTTGGTTAGTTCGGTTAGGTTATGATAGTTTAATTTTATAATTAAAAAATAATAAAATTGAATTTGAGGCATTTATAATTTTATTTTATGAACAGAACTATTTTTGCGATTAGTAAACCTTCTTTGCCAAAGTACTCTCTACTACAGCGCTGTTCACGGAGGAATTTTGAACTAATGCCTCATTCGTACCTCCCCTAAGTCAGACCCTGTATGTAGGGTGGTAAGAAGACTTGAAAATCCTACTTCTTTAACAGACAAGTTATTTGTGTCTCAATTGAGCTTGCTTCTTGCCTTGCACTCTCCATTACTTTCATTTTCTTCTCTTCTAATTCCTTAATCATTTGCTGTTTTCTTTTAAGCATAAGTTTTTCTTCATCTTCTGCTTTCTTTTTCTTCTTCTTTTCTTCGGCGTGTTCACTGTAGCGGGATCTGGCATTTCTGGCAGCGTGAACGAGGCTTTTTGTCAACTCCACCTTCTCAACTCTGCCCAACTTTTGTACTGCATCATACACGGTCCTGTAACCCACCAAAGTCTCCTCTGCCATGTTAGTGATCATGCATTCTTTATTTACCGAGAATCCCCATTCAACCTCGGCGTTGCCGTGAGAGAGGATCATTATCATCTTGATTATTTTTCTCAGTTCGTCGCTGTCTTTCTGCAGTATGTTCATCCATAGCTTGTCCAATCGATCTTCTTTCCTCTTGAAGTCTCGTAATGCTTGCTGGGCCGATGGCGAAGAGCATACTGCGTTGTACTGACTGGCTACCTTGTCAGCAAAAGAGCCACTGATTAAACCATGTTCAATTAGGGTCAAGAGTAGTTTCTCCAACATCTGTTTACCTAATTGCGGAGAAATAGCCGGGTCGAAACACGTAAAGTATTTCGTAATATTGTACTTCAGTGGGGAACGTTCTTGGATCTTTTCAACATAGGCTTTTAATCCGCGTTTGCATTCTTTCCTAAAAACTTTAATCTGTAACTCAGACAGAGAACATTTTCCGATTTCCGCTGAGGTTGTGAAGCCTATTTTTATCTTGTTGGAGTGCAACAGCTTTTCCTCGTCACTGACGTCAATTTTTGGGTTGATTTCTGTAGGCTTCACAAAGCGTTCCATAGATTTGCATACCAAATTGGAAAGGGCTGAGTATAGTATGGGCACCATAGGTTTATTGGTTTGGAAATCGTTGAGGAATTCCTCACTATCATCTGCAATGGTCTTGAAAAAGGCCAGTTTTGGCCCTAAAAGGGGGTCTTTCAGGTTTTCATAGACGATCTGGTATGATGAAGAGGTAGGTGCCTGTTTGTTTTTTTCGGCTGATTCGACGTATTTCTTAAGATCAGGTATCATGTCTAATGCCCTCTGAGCCACACGAGAATTTTCAAGCCAACGGACGGCACAAAATTTTAGAGGAAATTGGCTTGAACCAGTTACGGTAGTAAAAAATCCCCTTCTGGCAGGAACGTCTTTGAACAGGTTGTATACGGGCCTCAAGAACTTTACAACGTCCCAACCTGTAGCGGTCATAGCTCTTTAGAAGGCATTGTGGACAACGTGAATGCCACAACTTCCGAAATCAAGAATGCTGGAAGCATTGTTTGATTCTTCTTTTAAAGAAGTTTTCAGTTCTTTCAAGAATGCCAAATTAACATTGGGCCCGTCCATTGACACTTGGAGAAGTTTGTTCTTATCTAGTGGTTTCAAAGACGATAGAAATGCATCTAGTAGATCAGTGGCCTTACATCTAGTTAAAAAAGCAGAGGTTAAGTATCTAGTGTTTACTAATTCCTCCTGTTCATTCCAAAAGCGGACAACTAGATCCATCTGTTGGGTTTGACTTACTTTATTTAAAGACTCGTCGAAAGCTATTACAAAAAACTCACAATCAGCCAAACAGTCTGTTAGATTTTTTTTAAATATGGGGCAAGACCGTAAACAATGGTATAAGCAATTTTCGTCCTTTGTAGTTCCATCTTTGCCGCAATATCACTATCGGGAAACATAAGTTTGAAGAGTTTCACATCTTGGCCCGCAGACCTCGTACTTTGGTGAGTCATTATACTTTCTAAACACCACAAAATCTCGGCTTTGGTAACATTCTCATGAAGTATGAATTTTTTTAACCCCTTTGGTTCTCCAGACATTTGTTGACCTACTACAGAAACGGTAGAGGCTGGTGAAGTTTCCATTTGGCTTGCAGTTGGACTTTGTATATTAAATCCTTCAGCTGGTGTGGCCATCGGTGCAGGATTGTTTACAGTAACTGCCAAAGTACTTGCAGCAGATTTCAAGTTTGCAGCAGACGACGAAATACAAGCGGCAGACGACGAACTACAAGCAGCAGATGACGAACTACAAGCAGCAGAAGGTGAAGAACTACAAGCAGCAGATGAAGGGCGAAAAAATACATTCAAACCTGGAGATCTTTGGAAAGCCTCTACCTTAGCCTTGTGTTTAGCTCCATTCATATGGCTAGTCAAAGCTCGTCGACCCATACTCGCAAGTGATATTGTGGTAGCAGGGCAAAATTTACAACACGCTGAGTACACATCGTTGCTATTCTTTTTTAACCACGAATTTAATTCAGGGTCTAGAAACCAGGCCTCTTGAAAGGACGTTTTTCCGTGTTTTTTTGACATATCTGTAAAAGAAAAAAAAAGATAAAGGAAAAATATTTATCTTTTTCAATTAATGTTAAAATTAATTAATTCAAAGATTTTTAAACAAAATGTTAATCTTTACGGGAGAATCTAAATAATTATTTTTTATTTACTTCTTTGAAAATTATTAAACTTTCAACATTTTATTTTATGTATGCACGATAATGCTTTATTGTATTGACAATAAACATTTTTCAACATTAAAATGCATTTAAAATATGGCCGCTGCTGTAATTATTGTAAGCCTCGTTCCCAATTCCTCTCATTTAATTCCTCCAAGGGGGGAAGGACGTCACAAAGTAGGATAGAAAGAAGAGAAATAGAGTGGAAGGGGGGCGGAAGGAGAGGGGCAAAAGGAAGAGAGAGAGAGAGAGAGCGTGCTAGACCATCGATCGATGTGCTAGACTAGCTAGAGCTAGAGTATTTTATTTGTTTATTTTGCTTCTGTGGCATTCCCGCATACACATACACACGCCCGCGCGCACACACACACACCAACGCAGCTTGCCCGGCCGCCAGAGGTAGATGACCCACGTACAACTGGGTGTACAGAGGTACTGAGGTGCCCAGTGACTGACTGCTGTTTTGATTAGGCACACATTTTTATACTTATTAACATGCATAATATATGTAATATTCGTAAAATTGTAAAATAAACCCACACCAAACATGATATGATGTTCTAATGTGTAGTAATGAAGATACTAAACGACAGGCGATAACAATCAATTAGGGCGCAAAGGTTTAAAAAAATCCGTTAGAAAAACTCATCTCCTCTTTTAGGTATACTATTTATTTGCTCTATGATAAAATATATTCCTGACCTAAAATGTCTAAATATTGTCTACAAGTATACACGTAGTAGGCTATATTTATCAAAAGAAATACAGATATTTCAGCAGCTACCGTGGTAAACAAGTTATCTCTTTACATCCATAATAGTCGTGTGCGAAAATGTGGACCCCACCACTCTTAGGGATAGTACAGGACATGAATCATCATCGCATGTAAGGATTACTACTCTTTCTGTATTCATTGAATTAGTCATGGTAGCGTCTAAACAACCATTAGTCATCGCATGCCAGAGTCCAAGCGTTCGAAATATGCTCGTTTTAAACATGACACACTGCAGTTGTAAGAAGGTAGTCAATTGACTACTTAGAATAAAACAAATTAACATTTTTAAGTTCAGCATTAAATGTACTGATTAGTTGAGGATTAACTAACTAACTACAGATTTATTTCGTTTGTAGCCTAATTAATATTGAAAGTGAATCTATCTTCGATTCAATGTCTAATTTAATTTGTAAAAGTTGCGACGGTGACACTAGATATAACCACAAATTCCTGTAGGGGGGGGGGGGGGGGAATGGGCATTTACATTTACGTAAAACATATATTTTAAATCAGGTTTGATAGTACCAAAACTTATCGAGTTAGGCCTAAAATCGATTAAAATCTGCCAAGTTTTGTAAATAAACATAATATTTCAGGTAAACCTAATTTAAAAGTATTTATTTGTGCAGTTACAAAATAAGTCACAAATGGTACAATAGTATTGAAATAGTGGTATTACTTGCAGCAAAAACTAAACTAAAAATACAACACAGTTTGAAATAATTTATAATAACTCTAATCAGAATCAGGGAAATGCGAGAGATAAAGCTATTTAAAAATTAAATTATAATGTCTGAATGGTATAAAATCTGTAATGGTTGACGGAAATGGTTAGCAATAATAGTTGTGTCGATCTACGCATAGCAACAGGAACAAAACCAAACTCGGTAACAAAACTCAAGGCCATGGCTTGAATTACGTTCTACGAAAATTAATTGTATTTTAAAGGGATAGGCCGATAACAGAATTTCTCGATTCGACACCAGTTTTGAAATATAACTCACGATTCTCGAAACCAATACCATTTTTTGTAAGTTCAATGTTACGGTGTTCGTATAATCCATTTTTAAATTATGAATCAGACAACCGGCGTAGTTCATGCTGGGCCAAAATTATCGTGCGTTCTCGGTTATTTATCGTATCCAAGTCTGATGAATTAACGGAACCGGTCGTGCTTTTTACGAAACTAAATAGTCGTAGACTGAAAATATCCAAATGGAGGTAGCACTGGCACGGTACGGCAACTCTGTTAGAAAATAAAATCGAATCGAGACGCTGTATAACGTTGTTATGTTGGTACCACAAGAAGAATCAACCGGCTCATCGGCTGCTGCTGGCCGCTGCATTGCCGCTGGCCTTTACAATCTAAAAAATCTTTACGCGCCGTAACAATCCCACAACACAATCCCCTAGTTCCAAAGATATATTCCTTTAGTACATGAGGGTACAAAGTGTACAAGTGCATTCAGTGCTTGCTACCTTCGGTTGTTGCTCTAGCTCAAGTTTAGTGCGACCAACTATTGCCGCCATTGCCGGTATCGACTTAACCTAGACCGAAATAAGTTTGTCTACGTTCGTTTATCAAGAAATGGCAAAACTATACGTAGACACTAGACAGACGACACTACGATTTAAAAAATACGATTCCCAACTGTGGATTGAATTGATTTCTTGATTATTAAATTAAGAAACTATCCAAGTCTGAGATGATTTATTATTGATCTTATTCACTAAACAACCCTATTTGATAACATGCAACATAAAAATATAATTACTTACCTAGTGATGGAAAAAAGACACTTCACTCCATGAAAATAACTCGTCCAAAATCATAAAAAACACAAACAAATAACTACTACTGGACTAGGACTGGTGTTTGGCAGATTAAGAGGGTCTAGTCTTAGTCTAGTGACCTTGCCATGTTGCGATGTACGATGTAACTTCGGATGCGCTCGGGATCTTTCGTCCCCTCCCCCTCCCAAAAATAGTGCTCCCACCACACACTGACACTGAAACGACGCGAGTATATTAACGGTCGCGATTGGCTCGCCTGCCCACTCGGCCAGAGTGGTCGGAACCGAGAACATGTCAAACTGAAATGTAGTTTTACAAAATATGAATCCATAATATGGAGGATTAAGTTTCATTACAAAAGCGCTAAAAATATGCATTTTGGGATTTTTCACTGCGAATTTTTAAAATTCACGCATATTTCCCGGTTTTTTCACGGCACGTAAAATTCACGCATATTTCCCGGTTTTCCCGGAATTCACGGAGCGTGGCCACCCTGAACAATCCATCTGTTGAATTCTAAAACTAAATTTATTTAAGTAAAAACCACTACAACTCGTGACACGTAAGCTGGCACTTGGCCGATTGCTACTAGTAGCTAGCTCAAAAACATTATGTGCCGTCATGCGGGTTGCGTCAACAGTCCTCGCAACCCGTATGAAGGCGCTCAAGTACACAAACACGGGGTGTACACCCCATGAGTCAGAGGAAATTTTTGCAGTCCGGTCTTTTCCTTACCTCCACCCTCCCCCCGCCAACACTGACCCCCCCAAGTGCCAAAATACATGTCACAAGCTGTACAATGTATCTTATTACTTTTTCTTTAGAGCTGAATTAATTCACTTGAAAATCCCCTGATTCAGAAATAAGTTATTTTTTAATTCTCCATCTACTTATCCCAGACGTAACAATACCTTGATAAGACTATCTTCTGTTATATCAGGATCGCTCTCCCCTTCCTCAACAGGCGCCTGGGTGTAGGCCGCTCTTAGCTCTTCGAAAGTTTCCTTTTTGTAAGATTCGTCTTCCGTTTCCTCTTCAGTCTCTTCTTCATGGTCTGGTTCACCTTCGGAATACTCGTTATCTAAACCAAACAGATTAACATAAAACCACACTAATACAACAATCAGACAGAGAACAGCTATGACAGAAACTATTACTTGAGGGATTTGCTCACATAACAAAGCCATATATGTTACCCTCAGGTCTCAAGTAAGGTGGGATGTCCTCCATGATCTTGGTAGGGATCAACGTTTGTCGTCTCTCCACATATGTGGGCGGAACCTCAGCACTCTCATTCCCTTCCTCTTCTACTGCTTGAGCTGCATCTAAAAACGTGTAGACGATTAAAATAAATTAAACAGGGTATTTTAAGGCAAAATGCTAGGAAATGAGAAAAATTTTAACAAAAAACCCAACAATTGTTTGAGATTTACATCTTAGTATGCTATTGCCTATTACCCAAAATATTATTTACATCCCATATTTAAAATATAATTTTGAGTTAAAATATATCATCCAATAAATTAATTATTCTTTGCTGTATCCTATTTTAAATCTTGTTTTCAGTATTAATGTTACTCAGCAGTTGTATGAAATTACTAGTGAATCCTAAGTATGCCTCTCTAAAAGAAAATTTTTATCCAACTAAATTCTTCAAAGTTAAATTTCCTACAATTAAATCAAACTGTTACTTTAAATAAACATCTCGAGGCTACTTTGGAGCAAAACTTTCTCGTAAAATCTAAGCACATTTTTTATTGATTTTTTTAGTACTGCATATTTTGTTTCAGTAAGGCTGTGTAATACAAGCTATTGGTCAAATTTAACAATAAGGTTATATACATTAACAAAAATACTCAAGACTTACTTTAAAAACAATTAATGCATAAGTGGAAACTTCACCCATTCATGCAGTAAAACTAAGATGCATGCTGGTTAAAGTTGTCAAAATTGGAGTTTTTAGGTTAGTTCTAAAATTACATTAATAAAATCCTATGAATTCTAAACGGTAAGCTTTCACAGTCAAATAATGCAGAGCTGTTCCTGAATGTATTTTTGTATTTTCAGAGATATCAAGTAGGTCCTTGACGTACTTAACAAGTTAATTTAAGCCCATAGAGAAAATGCAACAACCAGAATAAATTTAATTTATGATTTTATTTTAAGCAAAATACAACAGGAAAGTAGTTTTAATCACAAACTCTTCATAAACAATGTAAACATGCAGACCTCAATAAAACATTTACTGTAAAGCGTGTTAGCTACAGATTCCTTCAGCTTTCTAGAGTGACAATGGATACTGAAAAGACAAAGTTCCAACTAAATTTCTCTGAGAATATATTCCCAGAAACAATTTTGTTATAAATGGCCTGGTGTACCATTATTATTGCATAGTCTACAGGTTCCTACAAGGGATATATATATTGACGTTTGTCTAAACCAGTGTAAAGATAAGCTTAGTAAAAGATAACATTTATTTACATGAGATAATTTCCTGGTGATTATTTTGTTAAAGAAAGCAACAAAGTCCAAAACTCCACACCAACATTTACGAACCCCCTTTGCTCCACTTTCTTATCAGTACAACATGAGCGACAAAAACTAAAGCTACTCCGACACCAAACTTCAACGCCACTGGAAATAAACATGATTTTGTAAATAAATATTGTTTACCAGTTAACATGCATTTTTTATGTGTACAACATCGTTATGAATAAAAATATTTGTTCTTTATCTAAAAGAGGTAATATTGTCTAGTTCAGTCAGATATTCAATTATAAAAAGTATTAAATACTTAATTTAATTAAATAACTAAATTTTAGTTACAATTTAAAGTTTAGCATAGTTTTTTCACCAATTAATTTAACTAAAACAATACTAATATCATAAGTGAAATAAATTCCAAAGGAATCAAGATTACGTACCTTCATTATAAGCAATTTTTCAAGTATATACTTGAGCTGAAGGTAAATAACCTTAATTATTTTATAATTCAGCAATTTTGGAGGGTATAAAAATGAATGAATAGCCTAAATTGTTAATAATAGGAGAAAGAAACCACCAACTAGATGGAAAAAAGTTATGGAAAAGTTAGTTAAAGGCTTATCATTTTATTATTAAATTTTCTATTTAGTTGGTACGTAAATGATAATATATGTTTGATGTTGTTTTTCACAAAATTAACCGATTTAGTTAAACATACCTCCAGAAGTCTCATCTTCTTCCACATCTTCAAAACCGTCCTGATTATCATCATCATTTTGGGTAAAATCCTGGAATAAATTAAAGATATGTTTAACCTTGATCCTTAATGTACTTTTTTAGATTTGTTTTTCTATTTTGAATTTAAATCAGATATGGTTGGTATATTTTATACCCACTTAACTGTGTTCAATCGCAAAATATTTCATTAATTATCCTTATTTTACTGAACCAAACCGTAACAGTTAGGTGTATAGTAAACATGGAAAAATACAAGAAAAAATAACTTCATAATTCATTATTAACAACAGAAATTTCGCTTGCATTTAACGTTATTTTTTCTGAGTCATTTTCTATTTCGTAACAAGTTTAATAAAGGCAGGGTCGTGTGGCTATCTAACATAGATCTCTAGTTGAAAAAAATATTCAGTATAATAAATTGTCTTTCTAGCTACATTTGTAAGTATGTAAGTTCTTGAACAATATAAATAAACTTCAAACATGTTTTACAACTATTTTTAGCACAAATAGTTTAACAATATTTCAAAATGAATATGGTAAAATAATTTTAATTATCTGAATGTGTAAAAGAAAACAAAACAGAGGACTCCTGAATATATACAATTGGATTTACCATGCTGCAGATTAACAACAATTCCAAAAGAAATCCGATTTACAAATTAAATTATACTATGCAAGTTAAATGTACGTTAAACAATAAACAAGACAACCAAGTTTTTTAGCGTGAGGTGGCTCATCGTTGTTTACTTCACTGACCACCGATGAGTCACCGATTACAGAACCAATGAGGTTACAAGTAACATTTCGTGGGTGTTTAAATCTTTCTTATCACTAGGCCCATACATAGGCTCTTCAATATTATTTGTTTGGTATACATTTGTGGGGAAAAATTAAAAGGTATCTACGCTACATTTAAAATATATTACTCGTAGGTTAGGTTTGCATATTCCACAATTCCAATTATCCACAACCACTCAGCCACTCATTATTGTGGATTATCGGGAGTCTACTGTATAGGTTTAATGAGGCTCTGTTAGGTTTATGTCAAAATTATAACAACATAACCCGTTTTTGATTTCCTACATAGTATACTAAAGCAACAGCTAAGGGACTTTTCTCCAAAAGGGTAAGATTGAATATATTTTGTAAAAAAAAAAAAAAATACTTACCTCAGTTTCCTCGTCATCCTCTCCGTCTGTCTCCTTTTCATCTATATCATCATCTTCTTCAATATCCTTCTTTTTACGAGGAATATAAGCTATAAATAAATCATGCAGTTGAGCATTGTAGTAGAATTTTAAAGATGCTGGATGTTGTACAAATACTCTTTTTTTATAACGTAATTTTTTTTACATTAAAAAAATGTATAGATTTACTCTCTTAACACAATCAGTTTAAAAACAGATCTTTCATTTGCATTTGGGGGTACTATTCGTCTGGGTGTGAGCTTTATGATTCTAATTTCAAACTAAAAAAGTATCATTTTTGAGCCCAATAAACAATTCAGGCAATAGACAAAAGAAGAAAGATTAATCATCCTATGCCTTATCTTTAATAATTTGCATTTCAATTTCAAACTTACCTTCTTATACATTTTTAAAAACAAAGAGGAAGAGTTCATCTATCTATTTTCAAAGATTTCAATAGTTTGGGCCAATAAGTTAATAAACGGGATTGATTTTATCAGATAGGCTACATCATTGTTGCATTTAGATTTCTTTGGAGTATATTTTGCTAGGAACTAATAACTAAGGTGATGTAAAAATAAAAAGTAGTATTAAACTAATGATTAAAAAACAAGTACCGACAAAATAATATTCTATTTTTTCTATGATAACTTCGTCATTATCTAAACAAAACAAATTTACAGTTAAGCGTCAGTTATCTGAAAGAAACCCGGGGCAGGAGGTGATTTGTCTAAATCATCATCAAAAATAACTTTAGGTTTGAAAACTCAAGAATAATCCGATATGATAGAATTTAATGTAATACTGGACACTAAAATGGTTTTTATAATATGTTTTGTTGTTGTGTTTTTTAACTTAACGCTCAGGTGAATGACTCTTTATTGTATCAGGTTATTAAAAACGTTGGGTTTACAATACAAACATCAACTACTGTTTTGGCATGTACATAATAAGTTAGTAAAAACAAAGCGGTTATGAGTATTAATCAATCCAAACAAAAAGAGGCAAAAATAAAACTCACTAAAAGGAAAAAGTTAAGTTTGGTTAAATAAAACTAAAACTAGGTAAAAACTAAATATTGTAAACTAAGGTTACTATTTTTTTAATACATATTTTTGTACTTAACAGAACACAGTTTAAATGCAAGTTTGATTAATATTGTTATGTGTTAACAACACAATGCATGAACACTCTCAAACTCAAAACTGGCATTTTCTTACCAGATTTTTCTATTTTCTTACTAATATCTTCTTTTTTAAGTTTCTCCATTAAATCGTTTAAATATTTTTTCTTCAAAGCTACTTTAGGATCTTCCTCAATTGTTTTTTTAGTTCTGATTTTTCCCTTCGTCCAGGACTTTATTTTCTTTACGTCGTCGTCATCATCATCATCATCATCATCATTTTCATCTTCATCATGTTTGATTCTTTTAGCAAACAAGACAGATTTCTTATCATCCTCTTCCTCATCTTCTTCCTCTTCATCATCATCTTCCTCATCTTCATTGATCTTATTCCCTTCTTCTTCTTCTTCCTCCACCTCTTCTTCCTCTTCATCTTCATTTTCTTCTTCTATCTCTTCCTCCTCCTCCTCTTCTTCTACCTCTTCTTCCTCCTCCTCTTCTTCTTCCTCCTCTTCTTCCTCCTCATCTTCTACTTCATGTTCTTCCTCATCGTCATCAACATCATCCTCACCTTGTTCCTCCTCTTCTTCTTCTACTTCTTCATTATCATCATCCTCCTCTTCTTCTTCTTCATTATCATCATCCTCCTCCTCTTCTTCTTCTTCATTATCATCCTCCTCCTCCTCCTCTTCTTCTTCTTCTTCTTCTTCACTGTCCTCCTCCTCCACCTCCCCTTCTTCATCATCATCCTCCTTTTCATCTTCATCGTTCTCTTCATCACCATCATTATCTTCATCATTGTCTGTCTCATCTTCATCTTCCTCCTGCTTTTTGAATTTAGTTTTCTTGTATCCCTTTTCTTCTTCTTCGTCATCCAAGTCCATTCTACTATACTTTTTGTGGAATCTTGTCAAATAGTTAATATTCAAAATTCTATTATTTTGCTTCTTTAGTGGAGTGTCTTTTTTACTAAACATAAATTTTAACTTTTCCTTCAACTTACTCCTCTTATCAAATTTGTCGTCTTCGTCCTCGTCATCTATAATTTATCTTTCATTACTCTCCTTTCCTAACATTTTGTAATAACAAACTTGATAACTGCTAACAGTTCAAAGTAAGTAGAACACAAGAGACAATATGTGCAATTATTGTTGACACCCATTGAATGATATTAACCTTAAACAATATTTGACTTTAACAGTCTAAAAATTAATCTTTACAGTTCATTTGTTGAATTATGTATTTAGAAAGTCAGCCTTAGCCTCTAACAGGATATTTTACTTACTTTTTTTTTTAAAATGTTTGGTATTATTTTTGTAGTATTTTATCTACATATACATTAAATTAAACACAATAATACATTGCATTTAAATTTTAAAATGGGCTCAAACTTTGGTATAAGTACACCTAACGAACCCCAAGAGTGGCTGCTCAAAAACTGATTTCTCTCAAAATTATTATAAAACTGATTACAGATCAAAGGTTTGCCTTTTTAACAATGAAAAGATGAAGTATATTAAGATGCTAAAATGAGGAAAGTTATGAAAAGAAATAGTCTGGCTACAAAAATTATTCTAAATTATTAAACCAAAATGCTAGTCTAAAGCCTTAAAAAGCATTCTATTGATTGTATCACAGGAAAAATCATTTTTGAATACAACTTCTATCGGAAAACACTGCTAAGCTGCTAGGAGTTAAACTTGATAACATTTAAATTTAACTGAAAAAGAATAAGCAGTTAACTGGTAAGCAATTTACTATCAGTCTGTATTAATTTTTAAGACATTCGTAGAACACAAAGGTTGAGTTTGGTTCATGGTAGCTGTATACAGGGTGGTAAAAAAGTCCCTGGACAGTTAAATATTTTAAAAAATAATGCAGATAGAGCTACAATACTTGGTACAACGTTACAGGGCATAAAACTCTATTTTAACACATATTCAGTGATCCAATAACTCTTCAGGGGGACGGCCCACAAGGAGTCGGAAGAAAATCTTAAATGGAAGCATAGGTCAATATGCACATCAAATTAAAGGTCTTTTTTAGTAGAATACAATGCCGCAAACCGCACTTCAAAAGGTTGATCCTGCGCAAAATGACAGTTGTTCAAAGATTTCTTGAATCCGCCATTTTGAATCTTTGAACGACTGCCATTTTTTACTCAGGCATTCTTTTGAGCTTGAATTTACGGCATTGTAATCTACTAGTAAAGACCTTTAATTTGATGTGCATATCGACCTATGCTTACGTCAACAATTTTCTTCCGATTCCTAGGGCTGTGCCCCCTGAGGAGTAAGCGTATAATAACAATGTAAATTAAATGAATCTTTGAACAACTGTCATTTTGCGCAGTATCAACCTTTTGAAGTGCGGTTTGCGGCATTGTATTCTACTAAAAAAGACCTTTAATTTGATGTGCATATTGACCTATGCTTCCATTTAAGATTTTCTTCCGACTCCTTGTGGGCCGTCCCCCTGAAGAGTTATTGGATCACTGAATATGTGTTAAAATAGAGTTTTATGCCCTGTAACGTTGTACCAAGTATTGTAGCTCTATCTGCATTATTTTTTAAAATATTTAACTGTCCAGGGACTTTTTTACCACCCTGTATAATAATAAGCTGTATTAATAATAGCTGTATAATAAATTAAAGAGATTTTATTTGTTTATAATATACAGTAGGCCTAGTAAATAAACTGTCATTACAAGCTCAAATGTTGATGGATAAAGAAATTATTGTATTACAGATTAAAACATTCCAAAGCAAAACGGACACAACCTATGCCCCACACATCATATTAAACTAAGCTTCTTATATTCATCTTACTGTCCCCTATCATAAGCTGTAAAGATATTTTCTTACACAAAACCTGAAAATTGATTAGTATGAATAAAAAATGTACACAAAATAAGTTATGTGAGCAAATCCATGATAGTTTGATATCAATACAATTCTAAAATTAATATTGAATCCTTCTAATAAACTAAATAAGTATAGACCACGATAAATTGCATTAGTGTGAGGACTATCAAAAGAATATTTATTAAATCAAATCTTAATCCAAATTAAAAGCACAAAACTGCTATGGCATTGCATCGGATATGGATTGAAATAAACAAAATCTCTTCAGTAATGTAAAAAAAATCAATACCATAAACTATATGTAGCCTACCAACTGATTCTTAATTTATTATTAACGTTAGAAATTTGAAAGATTTGTGGAGATCGAAATCACTTGGCACATCAATTTTAGTCAGCACTTCATTTATTTAAATACAATTTTATTTTACTGAAAAAGAGTTCTTTTTAATCGTCAAAGATAGGAATATGGGCATACTTATCATGCAATTTAGAAACACTGTAAATATTTGGAAAAGGTTCAAATTAAATTCTAAATCCTAAAAAACAATTAAGTACATTGAAAACATAACAAGATGACAGCTACTAGTAAAAACTGCTGCATATTTTTTAGTTCAAAATTAATTTTGATAGTAACTCTTATTCACTTAATAATATATAGGCTATTAAACAACTGCAAGTTACTAGACTTTTAATATTTCCAAACAAACGTTTAGTATTTTTACAAACATTTCATGATACCTCAGCTTTTAAAACAAAGGAGTTACAACCTGGTTTGAACATTCGGATCAAGTATGTTTCTGCCCAAAGCGAAGCCATATTATAAAACAGCATTTTGATTTGCAAACTATTTGTTAAAACTTTAATATACTCGGTTAAATGTAAACATTAAATGTAATTATAAACTGAACTCGAATTTCTATACACAAAAACAGACACAACATCAACAGTAAATTAATTTCTGACTAACTAATCCTAGTAGTTAATTATTTCATCGAACATTAAAAAAGTTATCATTTTAGATAGGTTAGTTTTGTAGAAACATAGTTCTTCAACAGCTTGTCTGGCATGGTTTTATTGGATAACAACACCTAATGAATATTGGAATTAAATAATTCAGCTAAACTCAATAAAGGGGGTTACATAAATTTACTCTACAGATGTTAGTATTGATTTGATTTTGTTATTGTAGGATAAAAAGTTGCAGTTATTGTCAAGTGCACAATATTTAACGTTTAACTTTGTTTTAACATTGCACAAAGTTTTGTAGTTTTCTTATAAGTTGGCAAACATTTTACATCTTGCCTGTTGTGACTACTCTCCCAACAAATTACTTTGGACAGCTTGATTTTTCATAATCTAAAGTTAAGGTAAGGTTCTGGGATTTATATAAGGGTCTAAAAATGTCTAAGTACAAGCCTATAATTCTCCAAATGTACATTCAAATTAATATTCTTTTTAATAACCCACATTGTGAAGGGATGCTATTTTGAAATTCTACCAAAATCATTTACTCCCATTTTCCGTTAATGACTTTAATTTTGAATTGTCATCACTAGGTACTACCATTTAGGAATGAGTGGTGCGATGCATTACTGTAACAGCGTTTAAAAAATTACAAAGTGAATCCTGAGATAACGGCTATGTTGGGAGCAATATAGGATAAAGGTAAATGTTCTACAAACCAGAGTCACTCATTCTGTCCTTCATTTAATCATTCTGAAATTGCATATTGGAATAATTGGGCAATAAGACTTCCACGGTCACTAACACTAACACTATAAACTTGGTCTACAGGGTTTGACCAAGTCACGGACATAAACCTATGACTAGAAGCTGACGTTTCTGCCTAGTTACAGAACATCACCATCTGAGCAGGTTACAGGCTCTATGGACACCTGTGCTAGTAGATGTAGTGCCTGTCTGTCAACTCCTAGCCATAAGTTTATGCCTGTGACGTGGACAAAGCTTTAATTTTTCAAGTTAAAAAATATATATTCAGTCTAAGAGGTGGTATTCAAAAACATTTTTGATGTTTAGTTGTTAGATAATGGATTACAAATTATTAAACCGAAAAGTTAACAAATTTTTATGTTGTGGCGTTATAAGTGTAGTCATTACCCATTATACCTTTAGACCTGTAAAACAATTTTATATAGGTTGATGATTACTAAAACTAGTTCAAAGAAAAATAGAAAAGAAAAAAACTGTTTTTGAGCAGCCGCCATCTTGTATAGGTACTAAGCTAATATTATGCAACTTGAGACATTATACACTCACAAAGAAATATCAAAAATCTAAAAGAAGATTGCTTCCACTTAACAACATAAACTATAAATGTTAGGAATTTGAAAAGACATTTACTATTTACACTTCTCAATACACTAGAACTTTTGTAAACAAAAGAATCATAACAATTTAGAATATGGCAAAGTTAAAACCATTGCCATTGAAAAGGTGAGTTTTTCTTAAGTGAAATATTCCAGTGATAAACCGATACAAAGAATTAATGCCAAGTGATTTCTGATATAATTTTACCAAATCTAAAAACCAAAAAGTAAGACTTATTGATTGCATCCATTATACTGTTTTGACAAGTTTAATGAGGTTTCCAAATTTTTTTAACTGAATAAAAATTGGAAAAATATTTAAAACGTTTGAGAAAATTTACCTTATACTAAGTGGATTTTTAGGATGCAACAAATATAAAATTACATCTACCGGTTACTGGTATAATCATGATTTCTAAGCAGCATTAGCCTAACACCTGGTAGTTACCATGCTCATCATGTTCGTCGTGATCATGGTCATCATGCTCGTCGTGTTCATCATGCTCGTCATGCTCGCCTCCATGCTCGTCCCCGTGATCGTCAGGCGAGTTGTCCACCCATCCTTCTAGCATCAACGACCAAGGAGAATCTGCTGCTGATGTCGTATCCACTAAGATCAAATTAACTTTTTAATTGTCTTCAATATATAATGTAATGAAAATAGATAAGTCGGTTAATAGTATGGGTGAAAGTTATATAAGTTATATTAAGTTTAAACATTTTTTGGGATAAGTGTTATTATAGCAATTAGTCTGGTGTATAACCTATTCAACTAACCAGCATTATGGTCAAATTTTGTGAAAACACGTAGCTTATTGTTTTTTTGTTTGGGGAGCGAGCTGGCGTAGTGGTTAGAGCGCGGGACTTCAGTCCCTGAGGTCCCGGGTTCGATCCCCGCCAAGTCACCAATGGATTTTATCTAAGTGATAATGCCGTAACCCCTAGGTCTAGCCTGAAGTAATGTGAAAAACAATCCCAGGCTCGTGCCTAGCGTCCTTAGGACAAAAAAAAAAAAAAAATGTTTTTAAGAACTATTTCTTATTTAAAGCATAAGATTGAAGTTTTAATATCTGATGCTGAATGAAGTACCTTATGGTAGGGGGTAAAATAGTTAAGGTTACCAAATCACTGAATATCATCAGTACTGGACTTTAAGAGTAAAATGTTAACACTGATGGGATCATTACAAAGAATAAGAAATCTCTTTTTTAAGGTGTTCTACTTAAATGGAACATTGCTAATTCAGCCCTAAACTTCAATATAATTTGGAATAATTTGGTCAACCCTAGTGTCCTGCTTAAATTATTTCTGGGTTAGGCTATGTTTATAAAGTCCATAATCATAAACCAATACTAACATTTTGAGTAGGCCTAGATGTTCATGTGGTAGTAAAAATGTATTCATTCAGGGCACATACAAAAATTTCACTAATTTTTAAAAGGAGCTGAGGAGTTACTATGTGAATATCATTACTTATTAATAAGAGAAAATCAGGTTGACTTAGCTATAGGAAATTCAGAACAAAAGAATAATACACACATACCTTCGCTTGTTCCATGATATTCAAAGATAATAAGACCGACCATGACTCCCAAGGCCCCCAATAATCCAAAAAACACAATTTTTGCAAATATGTTTCCTCCGAGTTTGCTTTCTTTATAAACATGAATCACTTCGTCCGAACTTGAGTTTGAGTTATGAACCAACTCTTCTTCATCTGTAACCAACATGAAATATTGTAATTGAATTGCAATTTCTGTAAAAGAAATTAATCTATTAAGGGGAAATATGGAATTTACTTTTCTTTTCAATTTGTCTATCACAAATAGACTATTTTGTTATACAAGTCATTTGTGGTACAAGGTTTGAGTTGTAGTTCCCTTTCTTGGAATCAGCTGATTTGAGGAAGGCAGCAACAGAGGAGAGGGGGGCAAAAACCCCGAGAATGATAGTAGTTTTGTAGTGGATACAAAATGGTACTGCCTAACAAGCAATGAGAAAATAAACCAAGGAGCGCCACAGATAAAGAGCAAAGGATGCCTGTAATTATGCCCTAAGAAGGTTAAGGAGTAAGAAGGAAGGGAGACAACTCCAAAACCACACAAAATGAGAGAGGAAAAAGTAATGGGAAAAACAGGCTAACTCATCGTAAAAGCCGCTTAGTTGAGGAAAATTGCTGTTAAGGATTGAGGATGCAGGAAAAATAGCAACAAAGACAAACAGTCAAAGAGGAAACAAACTGGGATAATATAGACTCAATTTGAAACACGTAAAACCCATAGAGAGGACTTCCTCAATGTTGAAGACTGGAGGAAGGATAGTTGTACACTTAAACTGCCAGATGGACCTTTAGTGAAATATCAAATCTTGTTTTCTTAACATAACTTTAAAACCTCTTATAGACTTATAAACCATACCTAATGTGCTGCTTCGCTGCCAAAAGTTACATATTATTTAAATGGAACTTAAATCTAACATTTTTTGGGAAGCAAAGAACTTGGTTTGCTTGCTTCAATAGTATCAGATAAATTCTCAAAAATTTTTTTACTGTCGGTAAAAGATACATATAATTGTACATGTGTATATCATTTAATATTTATCCAAATATTTAAGCCAATTTACAACTACAGTAATAACCATCATATTAAAGTACTGAAGCCTTTATTTCTATGAGTATTTTAAGACCGAGACATATTTAAAATTACTATATTAAAAATTGAGTTACGTATCATTAATTGCAGCGTGCATCAGGTAAATCCAATCTTAATTATCAATAGCTCAAATGAAAGCTGGTATTTTACTGAAGGTTCTAAGACCAAAAAATATGGATAATGTGGTTAAACTGTTGTAATACATCTTTAACTGAAGTACGAATTTAAAAAAAATCAAATTTATATTTTTTTGTCGAGTAATACAGTAAGGCAGAAGATGATGCTTGATGGAAAATCTGTACATGAGTACCCCTACCTTTAATTTTAGACCAAATTATGAAAATCTGTTGGGATGAAGAGCCAAATAAACTCGGAAAAGAACAAAATAATTTAACTCCTATAAGAAATATAGGCTAAAGGGAGGAAGTTGCTTTTGTTCCTAACTCAAAATATTTGCCAGACAAATAAATGCCAATGCTTCATGGCAAATCTGTGGGTGCATACATTTAAAAGAAAAACCAATAATTAAGCGAATTTCCCATATAGGGAATAAGCTATTACGGTAGGTCTCATGGTAAAACCTGGACCCAGGACCGATTTACTTTTTCGTTTTGAGGTCCCTAGAGGCTAAAAACACCATTCGTTCAAATTGATATCCGTTAGCACAATAACTCGAGCAAAAATTATCCGACTTTGATGAAATTTGACAATATGAAAAATTAAATATTAACCAATTCGACCATTGAAATATGAGATTTGACCAGTACAAGCGTGTAAACCTACGTTTATTCAAACAAGTTTGTCAACCAGCATGATCGGACTATGGGAACGGTGGTTTAATGGGGTTAAAATTTTGGTTTTCCCCATTTTCGACCCTAAAAACATAAAATTTTGCAAATTCTTTCCAAACCATATTAGAACAAACCTTAAAAAACAAATAATCTTAAAAATATTTAAATTTAAAATTCATATGTTATTGTTATGGAGATAAAATAAACTATTGTAGTTATGCTTGTTTATTGATATATTTTGATAACATTTGGCAAATTAATTATTTTTAACCTATACTATTAACATTTGATCGAAAAACAAGTTCACTTCCCTGTAGCAGCAAACATATGTCCTCGTCAAACTAATGTTATTTAGATATAGGTAGGTAATAGTATGTCTTTTAAGGAGATATTTTTATTAAAATTAAATGAAGCAAATGGAAATTAGCTTAGTTTGCAGGTTTGCTGCGGTGAGGGTATTTAATACCTGTATAGATTATTGTACTAAGGTATTGTTGAAGAGAACTCCATGAGAATGTAAGGACTAAACTCAATAAGATACAAATCCATTTGTAGTAAATGTTCACCTTTCTTTTACTCTAAATCGAAATGCTTGCCCTCCTGTCAGAATAAACAATACGCAACTTCCTGAAGTAACTGAGGTTAAATACTTAGGTATCCATTTAGATTCAAAGCTAACTTGAAAAACTCATATTTGGAGAAAACTTCAAAAATTAAATGTAAAAACTAACCAGTTAAATTGGCTTATTGGACAAAAATCAAAACTCAGTCTGGAAAATAAATGATTACTGTATAAAACAATATTGAAACTGATATGGACATACAGAGTGCAACTTTGGGGATCGGCGAGTGCGTCAAATATAGACGTCCAACGATACCAATCCAAATTACCGAGGACGATAACTTACGGGCCTTGGTACATAAGTAACAGAACACTGCACGAAGACCTTATGGTACCTACAATCAAGGAAGAAATAACGAAGTTAAGTGAGAAACGTATTTCAAAATTAGAATCTCATCCACATCATTTGGAATTTAAATTGCTCGACAACACCTACAAAATTTTAAGACTTAAAAGACATTCAATTCTGGACCTGCTCTTTCGATTTTTGTTAAAAGTGTTTTGTCTCGTCTCCAAATAATTGATGTTGATAGTGGGCACGTTCTGCAGATTAACTGGTGACGCCCCAGGGCAAGAGTCTTGGTTATCCCAGAATGGTCTGTCACCGGTTTACGGTTCACATCGGATTATAACTTACACATCCACCTACTATTTACTATATAACATTTAAATCAAACAATCTTACACTCACAAAATAAATTATTTAAAAATTATTCACTTATTACGTACCGGTAATATAACTCCCTCATAGAATAAATTATTCATTCATTACGTAATATTTAACCTATAAAACTGATTAACATTATTCGATGGACCCGCCATCTTGCCATAGCTGCATACTGTTGTCCAAGAAACTAACCAATCAGACGCCGGTGTATTATATACCGTACAATTTCTTAGGTGCATAAATCTTGCGCCAGTGGAGGAAATAGCTGTCTGCTAGGTTAACTCGCCGGTCTCTCAGAACGACACTTTTTTTACACCGGTGCACCGGCACATGTTCTCAGAATGTGCTCACTGATTAGCAGCTATTTTTTAATATCCCGAACGTTACTTGTTGTTTTATGATATTTACTTATTGTTCATATTTTTCATAGAATTTATTGAAAAAAACACAAAAAATTGTAAACAGTCCAACCCAATCAATGCAAAAGGTGATCTATCCTACCTCACACAGAAAATAAAAGCTATCACTGCTAAATCAAGTCAGGTGATTTTGCCACCTAATTATATAAAGGAAAAACTTTTTAGTTTAGGAAGAAAATGTTGTTCACAAAAAAATTACAGTCTAACTCAAACATGCACCAAATCAAAACTACAAAAGGAGAGCTCTTTAACGGAGAACTTTTAAAATTAAAATAACAAGGCAAAAAAGTTGTTTGGTATAAAAACTCAAAATTTTGGATATTAAAATAAAATAAAGAGGAATCTACAGGTCCAACTTCAAGAAACACAAATATTCAAGACCTGAAAGTGCCGAGCTCTGCCGCCGAAACAAAGCACTTTCTTCTTGATATTCTTCAGAACGGCGTGCGTCCATAGAACCTATTATGACGGTATGCCCAATATTACAGTTCTAACTTTAAAATTCACAGAATATCAACACAACAATTTATTCAAAAAGTTCAAAAATAAAAGTGTAACGTTAAAAGTGATTTTTTTTTTATAATTCTTTTAACCAAAAAGCTATCAGATCAGCTTAAATGGAAGCAAAGGATTGTACATATTAAAACCATCTTAACTTTTCCAAACATTCTCTAAACAGCAACAGTTTTTAAAACACATTGAAAACAATCTGGATTTTCCTGACATAGAAACAAAATATCATAGGTCTATCACTAAAAAATAGTGGGTTAAGTGTTCTAAAATATTTTAGACAAGGTAGACACAGTTTTCTCATACTACCTACCTAAGTAATCTCTTATTGGATGTTATTTACAGTACAAGTTTTGAATCTGCCTGTTATCCATTTATCCTTTTCTAATTTTTAAAGGTCCTACTAGTTAAAGGACTTTTAATAGAACCGATAATTTAATCCATTGCTACTCCTATCACTAGTTAACTAAACCCCAAAATTAATCTGTAAAAATTATTCCGTTTTTTATTAAATTTTACACATTTTTAGCAAGTTACACTGATACTTTGTATGGTTATTTATATACAAAAATAAAATAGTTATGGCCTATTCTACTAAAATATGAGGAAAAATGAAATGAGTGTGGGTAATTGAAAGTCATGAATAATAATGAACAAATCTATCCAAGTAGGTAGGCCTACAATTACAAATTTAATTCAAGCCATTTTTAAGAATTGTAGTTCATTTAAAGGCTCGTTCTGTATTGAGTTTCAGCTATTCCATCAAAGCTAAATCTAATACAAGCTCGCATACATATATAACTAAGAATGGCTGTAAAAAGGAAAGTGGGAGGTAGGAGACATTGGTGGTTAAAAATAGCTTAACTCGGGATAGTTTGCCAAATCTCAGAGGAGAGCAACTGTGAACAACGCCGGGTCGGCAGATGAGCAGCTATTTAGGGAGACATTAACTTGTCAAATGGCTATTGAAAAAACTGACCGCTGTAAAACTAATAGGCCTAAATTACTATGAGTATTTTTTTTACAAATACAATAAATTAGTATATAAGCCATATACAAATGCCAACAGGGTTTCAGTAGGCCTAACTGTAACTGCAAAAAAAGATTTCTGAATTCTAGAGCGTTTATAAGTATAGTTGCTGGATTTTTTTGTAAGTTTTAAACGTTTCTTGTATTAGGCCTATATACTACATTGCAGCCTACTGGCAAAATACCAAGTTGTTAAAATAATAAAATAAAAATTTATTAGAATTGTCGTGGAGGAATGCAATGAACAATGGCTTAAATGCAGTATCTGGAGGCATTGTTAGGCCTACCCCTCTACAAAAGAACCAACAACCACACAATAACTTAAACCAAATTGGTTTGTAGATAGCCTATATGAAAATTACAGTCAAAAAAGGTGAACAAAATCAGTAAGGCAGATGAACCTTTACCAAGACTGAAAAAAAGAAAAAAAGCTAAAATGTGAAATTCAACCAATACTAATTAGGTAGGGGTTGCCTAATAGAAATAGATTATCAGGAGTAAAAAAATCAGCATAACCAAAGACGATGATAATACTGCCTCGACATTGATGGCACAAAGATTAGGGATTCCTCTTTATTTGAATCAGTTGAGATTAATTTATAATTTGTGCCAATAACTCAAATATACACATTCCTGTGATTTTTATAGTAGCCCATAAATTCTTGCTCATTTATGGACGACAAGGACGTACAGTTGAAACCTAAGTCTATAAGACGAGACCAAACTTAGTGTTGTAGGGGTAAAACTTACAATAGCCTATATAAGACATATATGGGGTTTTACTAAGGGATAAAACATTTGAGGGTACAGAATATACAATTTTCTAAACATCAGAGGTGAACCAGGGGGTTCCCCAAGGATCTGTGCTGGGCCCTCTTCTATTCCTGGTCCTCATCAATGACATCGACGAGACCAGCAGCTCTATACTATTTGCGGATGATACCACGCTTCTCACTAAAGGGCCAAACCTACACCACACTAGGGATTTAGCTATAATCCAGGTAAAAGAAGCCAAAGCATGGTTCCAGATGAATAAGCTGCAACTGAATGGAGGCAGAACCCAGAGACTCCTTTGTACCCTCTCAAGAGACTCCTCGGACGACATGGCTGCAGTAAAACTTCTCGGTTTCCAGCTGGACAGCCGACTCGACTGGAATGACCATGCTGCCCATGTTGCCACATGGCTTGCGAGAGTAAACTGTCTCCTCAGGCGCCTCCGGAAATGTGTCACGGATGCCCTGTATCATTCGCACATTGCGTATGGACTACACCTTTGGGGTCATGCGTCGGAAGTCTTAAAGCTTCAAAAAGCGGCAGTCCGTATCATCTCAAGGAGCCCTTTTAGAGAACACTGCAAACCGATATTCAAGAGACATGGAATTCTAACTGTCTGCAGCCACTATATCTACGCCTGCCTGATTGAAATCAAATTCAGTGTTCCTCTTCTCAACACCAGAAGCCACATCCACGCCCATAATACCAGAGCTAGGCAGGATCTCGATGTTCCCCGTGCGAGATTGAGCAGGACGATCAATTCCTTCCCTATGTCAGCCATCAAGTTCTTCAACAGACTCCCTTCCAGCATTCGATGTCTGGACGACCGGAAGTTCAAGAGTGCTGTGAAAGACTTGATGATCAATAGACCATACTACAAAGTAGATGATTTCTTTGAGGACAATATGTAGCGGTCAATTAATTTTTTGTACCGCCTACTGCCTGCCCGCCATGTTTAATACACAGTTTTATTTTATGTGTGTGTGTAGTCTTTGTTTTTGTGGTTTTTTTTCGTATTAAACATCGACGCAGTCTATACCCTCACCAGAGGGTCAACGACAAAGGCCAATGAATAATGAATGAATAACGAATAATGAATATTAAGTGAGTTAAAGTCAGTGACTTTATTTCAACGGGAATTTTGAAGAACATTCAATAAAGCTCCGCCTAATAAAAATAATATCAATCGTTTGAGTAAGCAATTCATAAACACTGGGTCAGTTAAAATGCAAAGTAGACCTGGTGTTGAACCAAATGGCAGAAAATGAATCATTTTTTAATGAAGTAGTTTTTTTTCAGATGAAGCCACATTTCACATCAGTAGCCACATTTAATAGGCACAAGAATTTGGGGAGCTCAACATCCGAAACTTTTGAAAAGGATTGAGACTTGTCAAAAATAAACGTTACTGCCTGTCCAGAGAAGAAGTAGTTGGGCCATTTTTCTTCGCTGAAAAAACTATCAATGGAATTGTTTACTTGGACATGTTATAAAACTATTGTTTTCCTCAACTTGACAACATGGAAAATACAAACAGCCTTCATTTTCAGCAGGATGGAGCACCTCAACATAATAAAACAATTTTTCAAGATGCTTTAGATGTTAAGCTCCCAAACAGGTGGATAGGAAGAAGTGGTCCTATAGCATGGCCCCCCAGGAGCCCGGACCTGACTCCATGCGATTTTTTCTTTGGGGTCATGTAAAGAACATAGTATATGCTCAAAAAATTCGCAATTTTGACCACCTAAGGGAAAGAATCATTCATACAGTTTCAATGGTGACAAAAAAAAAATGTCTCAAAATGTGTGGGCTGAAGTAGATTGTCATTCGGACGTCTGCAGGGCAAGGAATGGTGGCCATGTTGAGCTTTATTAGATATGTAGGCCTATGAAATCTTTTTAATCTAAGGAATCCAATAAAATAAATAATTTTTTTGAACCTCTTCTCGTTATCTTTTTATTTCATAATTAAACCGCACCATTATTTTATGGAAACCCTGTAGGCCTATTTACTGAATAGTGTGAAATTGTGTTTATAATAGGATTTATTTTTCTTGCGGTTGTATTTTGCGGTTTTCCGTTTATTATATTATTAATGCCCCCTAACAGTAAAATAAAAATTGTTACGGTACCGGTACCCAACGTTTTAGGCCTATACATTTTTAAGTAGCCTAGGTAATTGAATACACTACAAGATGATTAGGGCCTATTTTTGTTTGAAGTAAAAAATTTGGTACAAAAGTTTTATACTAAATAGGCCTACTATGATTTTTTTTTCAAAGTCGCTAAAATATAAAAACATTATTTTATTTATAAATAATAAAAAATGTTACCATAAACTTTATGACTTTTTTGGATTCCTTACTTCATTAGCTTTATACAAACATGTAGGCCTATATAACATCATTAGTAAGTACATATATTATATAACTTTTATACAGCACAAACTAACACTGTATATGGTTTTCAATTTTTACAGTTCTCCGTTTGTTATTATATTTCGCTTATAAACTTATAAGTTAACAAATTTTTTTTCCTAACATGTTAGGCCTATATTCTATGTAACTTAGGGAATTAGATTGTCTAAACAATGTAGGCTATATAGGCCCTATTGAATTTCCCATAAAATATCTTTAAAAAAAGTTTTACCCAGGTTGCTTTTGAAATTTCAAAAAAGAATTCAATTTTTTTTAAATTTTTTCACTTTATACAGAGAAAAAAATACACTTTCTAAATTATTATTATATTAGCCTACTATTTCTAGGCCCTCCTGTTCTTTCCGAAAAAAATTAATATGAGGTTGGAAGGTTTACTTCAACGGTTGAATTTTTACGAATGTTCAAAAAAGGTCTGCAAAATTGCCAAAATAAGTTGGCCATTCCACACTCCTAACATTGGCCACTGCTAGGGTTAACCCTCCAAGTGTCCATAGTTTAGGCCTTAATGTCCACCTATTTTTGGCGCATTTGCAAGGTTTTATTAAAACGGATCTGAGAAGCTTAAAACAATGTTAACTCTAATGTTCTATATACCATTTTGTTTGGAAAATCATGGGCTTCAATATTATATATAAAACATAAGGAACATTTTTTCAAAAAAAAATATAATTTCAAAAATTTTCAAAAAAAAAATAAGTTCGCGCTCAATGAAATTGTATAAATTATAGGCCTATAAATATTTGAAAATAGCCACTTTGTTCTAAATTTTATGAGGATTACAAATATATAATAATATAAGGAAGTATATTTGCAAATAAATAAGTTATGGGCAAAAAACTGATTTCAGTACATAGCGTTTAGCTAAGAATGCATAGCCTAACCATAGCTAGGAATCTGGCTGATAATTTACATCAATATCACTACCTACTTCTTCAGGATCATCAACCAGCACTTCAAAACCACTTAAATCTTCTTATAATGCACCACGTATATCACTACTTTTGATTTTTAACACTAAAACAATGATAAACGTAATAAAACACATCAGTCATCGGTCCGGGGGAACCTAGCTGTTTACAAATACACGCACGTCAGCTGTCTGCTACAATATTTTCGGAACTAAAATGAATAGCGCTTAGAGACAGACCTCTGGAGAAAGCGTAGAATATTACGGAAAGAACGATACCTAACTCGATCCAGTTCAATCCGATTCAGTCAGTCATAGAGCCTTCGCCGTAAACGATGTCTGCGTGTCGAAAAATCGACAAGTAACACTACACAAAGTGTGCTGCTTGTCGAATTTTCGTCAAGTAACACTGGGAGGGTTAATAGTAACAAACAAATGCCTCTAAAAAGTTTTCTTCCCCAATTGTAGCTTGGTATACCTAACATTTTTTAGGAATTGTATTAAGTTAGGCCTACAGCAGGTTTTTTAACATTGCACTTTAAAGACTATCAGTAACCAACAAATGTCTTCAAAAGGAAATGATCAGCATTAGCCATCATTATCAGTCGAGGCTTAGGTGTTCTTTCTTAGAAATACATAGGCTGGGCTGGAGAGTACCTAATTACTAATAGGCCTAATTAGGCTCTTTGGTGAAATGTTGTACATGCCTAAGACATAAACCCAGAATCATGAATTTTGTCAAAAAGACAAACTAAACTATGGTGTCCATGACAATCAATGAACCTAATGAGTAGATCCATAGCATGATTGATAAAGAAAAAAAGGTTCCCTAGGGCTTCTTAAGTTTTTATTAGCCTAATTGGGCGATCTAGGGTCCTTTGCCAAATATTTGAAATCTTGAATTTGGATAAGTGAATGTAACATTTCTGTATATTAAATGTAGTTTATTCAGGTGGGAATTATCATATAATACGTTAGAATGACAAGCTTACCTTTCTTTTTACGCTTATCTTTCCTTTTTCTTGGTTGAACATCTCCTGACATGGTTAGGTTACACCAAAACTCTAGCTGAATTTAAGGTTAACCTTGATTCTCTACCTTCTAATTAGCTCAGCATATTATATGAATTTTTAAGTGTTTTTAAAATACACTCTCTTCTAGACTAATAATTAATTTAATTCACTGTACTATATTGGGAGACTGGGCCCGAGGCTACTTATCTAGCTTAACCTATAAATAACCCAGAAAAAACATTCTTGTTCTGTTGGTTCTGTCTGTGTTCTGTAGGTAGGTTCGGGTCTATTCATGCTTTTTTTTAGAATGCTTCTCTAGTAACAGTTTTGAATATGTAACTGTGAAGTAAAGAAAATGAAAATATTTGACGAGAAACTTGAAATAATATCATTGAAGGACATATCTAAGGATATAATCAATGATGAATATAAGAAAAGGAATACATATATTTTCCGTTATTCTTTAAACTATTAAATATTAAATTGCTAAACATGAAAATATAATACAATCAATTAAATGAGCACGGTTATTCAAGAAAGGTATGTACAGGGTGGGGCAGCACAACTCCCTTTTTTATGTCCACCATTTTGTTTGTTCGTGTCATAGCAAAAGCGAAGAGCTATAGTTCGGCCGCTTAGAAAACGACCTCCTCCAGCATTGGTTTAGCATTAGCGCGCAGGTCGTTTTCTAAGTGGCCGAGCTTTAGCAGTCTCGTTCGTGAGGCGAGGCTATAAAGTTTTGCACTTGCACAGTTTTGTCATCCAGTGAAAATGGTACGTTAGCCATAGAGGCCTACTTTTCGAGTGGATGTTCAGTGATTGCCACCTAGCGCGCCTTTCGGAATATCGGTTTCATTTAGCCCCGCTGGCCCTGTTCCGGGCCGGAAATCAATTGTTATGTGGGCACGAATACCAGAAAAATACCGGTATGGAGTTTTTTAGTGTGGCCTTGGTATGGATCATAAAAAAATCCAATACTAATAGCATTAATTAATTAACATATGGTTTTGATTACTTTCGGGCCAAAAAGTAATTTGTATATGTTTATGATCCATTTTGGGTCTTTTCTAGAATTCGTGTTATGTGGGTCAATCCGGGTCAATCAGTTTACAAACTTCATGTGTAACAAAACGAATAACTGGAGTCCCACGGCCCGTTGTGTCACCTAAGAACATCGAGGCAGTGACAGCTTCAATGTTGCGATCACGAAGGCGTCCAGCGCGAAAACATGCACACCATTTTATGTTTTTACGTTTGTGTCATCCTTGTTGTAATTGTGTTTTTGATGAGTTGCGAGCTTTGAAAATGTTGTCTTCACAACGAAACATGAAAGCAGATAGATGAGCAATATTAATCGGTACACTAGACAATAGACAAGAATTCTTTATTTATTTAAAGGTCAGTTCAATTGTACATTCAACAGTGTCATTCTAACTATTTGACGGAAGTATGTGGTAAACTATTGTCTTAGGTTTTATCATTTATCTATTCTTTTATACAGGGTGGGGCAGCATGGATTCCTTTTTCATAGCTTAATAAAACGCAATGTATGAGTCAGGCAAACTTTTATTTGGGTTTTACAATGTACATTCGGTACATTCCTAAAGTTTTTTTACGTAGTTTTGAAGAGTAAATCATGCAGGTGACGTCCCCCATTCTCTAGATAAATTGAGTATACCGATTTCTGGTGTTTGTCATTACCCTTTCAAGCATAATATCAGGCGTTATGTTGGCAAGTTCTTTCTGGATGTTGTTCTTTAAATCTTGAAGGGTCCTTGGACAGTTCACATAAACGCGGGACTTCAAAAGACCCAATGGAAAAAATTGACATGGGACAAATGGAGAGATTGTGCCAGCTATTGCAAATCACCCCTGATTGAAATAAGGCGTTTTGACAGTTCCTGGACAATCACCATCTTGTATGGATGGAAATGTTGATCATCATAGAGAATTCTTATTACTGAACGATTGGAAAGTATAAGTGCAGACGCAATAATACACAAACATGTAGATATAGCGCTATCATTAATACGCGGTAGTAGTAGTGTAGTATACATTATAGCTTGCGGAGTTTCAATGCACGCTCATGCCCACAAACTTAAAGATATAAACACGCTATACGCTCTCTATCTTAAAAAAAAAAAAATTTCCCCCCACCCAATTTAGGCCGAGTTTCCGAAACTATGTACATCATCATTTTCAGGTTCAATTGCATTTTCCATTGAGGTGGATCAGTTGCACCTTCTCTCGCTCTCAGCTGGTCAGCGTGTTTTCTCTTTACATCTCCCCCAACTAAAACTGTGTATGACAGCTCTCCCGTCCTTTCTTGTACTGTTCTTGGTCTCCAGCACTTCCTCGTTTCATTTTGAACCCACACTTCTTGTTTGGCAGAAAACTCCTTTTGTTTGGATTTTAAGTCGTGGTAGCACTTCTGTCACCACACTTGATTTTCTATTTTATCTCTGCTATTACACCTCCATCTATCCAAAGCTGTTGGTAATCTTCTACCATAGAAAAGAACTGATGGTGGTTGTCCTGTGGTCTTTTGTGGGGTGTTTCGATAAGCAAGTAACACTTTTAAAAGTGCAAGTGATGAACTGAGACCTCCTTGTTTGCAAGCACTATACCGACTCTTGAAGGTTCTGATAATCCTCTCCGCTAAACCATTGGTTTTTGGATGATACGGCGCCGATGTGACATGACATATGTTATTGTTCTTACAAAAAGTCTTAAACTCATGGGACGTGAAGGGGGTGCCATTATCGGATACAATTTTTGTAGGAATACCATACCTCGAAAACCAAAACCTTAATCTATTTACAAGAGCAGCAGTTGTTGTACGGTCCATAACTTCGATCTCAACCCATTTTGAATAAGCATCGATTCCTACTATAACCAGAATCGGTTGTCAAATGGACCTGCGAAGTCGAGATGAATTCGCTCCCAAGGATCACTTGGCACATTCCAAGGATATAGAGGTACTTCTGTGTCAAATGATCGGTTACTCTGGCAAGGGTGGCATCTACGGACATAAACCTCAACATCCTTATTTAGATTAGGCCACCAAACATAATACCTTGAAAGGGATCTCATGGCCTCTATTCCAGGATGTCCTTTGTGGAGTTCTTTCAATACATTTTCTCTCAAAATCTGTGGCACCACAATTCTTCCTAATCGCATGATTATACCGTTTTCTAATGTCAGCTCTTCTCTCTTATTCCAATAGGCTATGGTTTCATGGATGGTGGTAAGTTTTCTGTATCTTTTGGCCAACCATGTTCCAGGTAGTCTATAAGTTTCTTCATATTTGGGTCTTTCTTATACTCCAGTACAAGTTCATGATTTGGATAAACTACGTCAATTTTCTCCTGAACCAATGCTGGAATCTCTCTCTCATCTGGATCTAATACTTCTTGTGTCTTGAGTGAAAACCGAGACAAAAAGTCAGCCAAACAATTATCCTGCCCCTTGATGTACTGGATCTCAAAATCATACTCCATTAAATACAAAGCCCAACGAACCAAACGGTTGTTTACTACTTTGGTAAGATCTCGATGCATTCCAAATATTCTTTCAAGTGGCTTGTGGTCCGTCCTCACCTTGAAATGTCTCCCACTGAGGTATTGTCTAAACTTCTTCACGGCAAAAACTATCGCCAGAGCTTCCTTGTCAACTGTAGCATACCTTTTGTTGCAAAAAGGGTCCTTGTTGGCTTGAACAACCGGTTTGCTTCCTCTTTGACTTCGTCGTAAGTGCACTCCTCCCAGGCCCTTGGATACATCTGGTCCGACAGTGCCCTGAGGTGCACCTCTCCGATATTTGCCAATAGAAGATCTCGCCGAGCCGCTTGTTCTTCTGTGTTAGCACCACCCAGTCCCTTAACTCTGCAGGTCAACTCAAAACGAGTTATGTAGTTTTCCCACAAGTGTTCACTAGTATACTCTTTGAATGAAAAACTGCTCATTCTATCTTGTATACAAGACATGATACTACAGTCAATTACACTCTTATACTGAAACTGGTCTGTTTTCCTAGGCATTTTCTCGTCGCCAATATTGAATAATTAATTAGTAAAACTCATTTTAAGTAATTAAACTCAATCAAAACTATTTATTTACAAAAACTAAACAATAATGTAAACAAACCAAATAGCAGATGATTCATAACTCAGCTGGTAACAAAAATCCTACACCATCCATCCTTTCTGATTCTAAAAATTGTGTATGTATTTCTATATATACGTATTGACAAACAATCTATTTACTTTTTACTGCCGTCTAGCCTGGTTAGACCAAAATGTGCCGCGCCAGCTAAATTCTCAAAATGTCAATTCAATCATTCACTAATCCAGCAATCCAGCAGAAAGCAGAGGAAGAGAGGAAAGGGTTGATGTTTAGGGGTTGATTAGGTTATTGTTGGTGTTAAGTGAAAGTGTTTATTTTTTTAATTCACATTTTAATTTTTAACTTTTTAGACCTATCAATCTAATTAGTATGGATTCTCCGAAAGAGGTTATTGTCAATAGCCCAAATGTGACATATTCTGCCGAATTCATAGATGCTACCTATCAATATCATACAAATAAGGTTGAAGTTGACAAGGACAAAATAATTGTAAGTATTTGCAGTTTTATTGCAACTTATTTTTATTTGTTTAGTGTTCGTTACATAACAGTAAAATACCGACGGCAAGTGTACAATTAATCTAGACAAATTAATGTTATACTGTTGTGCTTATAAATGAAAAAAAAATAAGCTGTATGAAAGTATCCTATCCTACCAAACAAATTTTTATGAGTGAGGTATTTTATAAAGCTTTTATTATTCAGCACACCTGGCAATCTTTTATTATTCAGCACACCTGGCAATAGAGGTAACTAGCCATACCGTAATAAAAATTTAAGTTAATTTGCTTTAGAACTCCCCCCCAGCCTTGACTTTTACTATATGGTGCTTTTATATTTCCAGTGATTTAACTTAGACCTAAATGACAGATTTTAACAGAAATTTTGGGTTCACTTCCATATCTGTTGGCACAAACAACCGAATGAATGTAGCCTATCGATCGATATATCGGTTGGGATAGTTAGGTAAGGTTAACCTAACCTAATTAACCAAACGATATATCGAACTAAACAATCGAATAATCAATACTACTCATTTGGTTGTTTGTGCCAACGGATATGGAAGTGTACCCGAAATTTTAATTTAATAGCTGATTGATTCCAGTTTTGTAAGTTATTAGACTACTTATATTAAACTTAAACTTAGGCTACTTACTATCTACAATCGTACTAGCACTAGGGTCTAGTTTTAATCTTCTATACAGGGTGTTTTTTTTAATGCCGGGATTTTAAATGATGATTGCATGGGTACTATTCAAGGTAACTAAGTTAAACGTTTTATACGTCAAATTGAAGCTAAAACAACTACCTAAGTTTTGTTTCCCGTGTACCATTGGAGGAAATTTTGACCTTGGCATGCGCAAAACAGGTGCGCGGTGGTAGGCCACTATTGTGACTCATATGCTTGACGCCAGTCTCCAGTACGACGTTTACGGCGCAACAGAAGGCACAGATTGTAATCTGTGGTTCGCAGAGTTTATATCCATTACTAAATTAAACTAAATTTAAATCTACTTGATGATAAAGACACTTTAAGCAGGTTTAATGAGTTTCGTGGCACTGTAGTGTTTTGAAAACACTTTCACCTGGCCGGCTAAAAACAAGCAATGACATAGTCAAAGAAATCCGACAATTCTGCATCAGAAGCCCGAAAAAATTGATTGTCTGACGTAGTCTTCAGTTGAACAAACCTAAATTGGTAACTTTATGATGTTAACTGTAAAAGATGGAGTCTTTGTTCTCATTGCGTATCACAGTTTTTTGTTGCTGCTTAGCAAAAAAAAAATATTGTGCCCTGCACCCTGTTGGTAAATCTTATAATTGTTTAATGCTTTTGTATATCATAGAACCCACTTCTTTAGTTGAAACAGCTGACTAAATATTTTAATTTCCTTTAAATATGAATACTCATAAGGTTAACATAAGAAACTACAGAGCCACTGGGGCGGAGCCCGAATGGATTTTTGAGATAAGAATATGCCTATATGTTAATCGGGAATGTAAGCTATCATCATGCCAAATTTCAGCCCAATCCGTCCAGTGGTTTATGCGTGATTGAACTTCAAACGAACAAACAAACAAACAAATAAACAAACACACAAACTTTCACATTTATAATATTAGTAAGATTCCGAATCGTATCAAAGAATGAGACAAAAACTTTGTTCTTTTCCCTTCAATTTGACGTTCAAATCGTTTAATTATCTTGAATAGGCCCCGAGCAACGACCGTTTAAAATCCCAGCATTCTTTTAAAAACACCCTGTATTTTTTTATTATTAATACACTACATGAAACTTTGTGAACAATAAGGCTTTTTTTAATCAACCCCACATATTATATACCATACCGTATTATAATGTTCGCCTAGGTGTGTAGATGCAAACTGACCTTAAATTTTTGAAACAGTCCTCTGGGCTATGCCCCAGTGGCTTTTGAAGTTCCCATGTTATCCTTATGAAGAAAATATCTGTTAACATTATGATCAGCTGGATAATTTAATTGCTGTTAATATTGTAGTTTTGCAATTTATGGAAACGTGTGCTACAAACATTTACTGACTTGGTTGAAATGAAATATTTACTATTTGAATTTGGGTGATGTTAATATTACATCCATGTCACTGGCCCGGCCATGACGGAATTAGTACATAAGAATTATGCTAATATTTAGTACCTAGTTCGTACTATTTAGTACCAACAAACAATAAATTAGTACCCCACGCGGTACCGGTACCGGTTAACTAATTAATTTAGGATTCCGGGCCAGTGACACGCTGGCCCCGCCATGTCGTAACCTGGAGTTATAAGCTATGCTACTATGTAGTACCTATTTTGTACCTCCATTAAAATAAATTGTACCTCAAAGATAACCAAGCTACGGGCCTGTAAACTGTACAGGTCCATGGCCCCTCAGCCCGGCCATGTCGTAACCTGTGGTTATAAGCTGTAGCTATGCTACTATTTAGTACTACCCCATTAAAATAATTTATACCTCAAAGATAACCAAACTACGGGCCCGTAAACTGTACAGTTCGACGACCCCTCAGCCCGGCAATGTCGTAACCTTTAGATAAGCTATGCTACTATTTATTAGGCCTACCTTGTTCGTACTTTTTTGTACCTTTCGAGGTAAAAAAAATTACCTCAAAGATAAACAAACTACTTATATTACTGTATAAGTAATCAAGTTAATGGTAGTGGTTAGTTACCCCTCATTCCGGCCATGTCATAGTCTCTAGTTTTAAGGTATGCTATTATTTAGTACTCAATAATTAACAAGTGATGCAGTTATTTGGTGGTTACCTCCAACTATTTAGTTCTTCCTATTAAACAATATGTACCACTCATACAACCCAAGTAATCAATGTGTCGAGGGTTAGGCTTTTTTGGTTCGAGGGGACTATGGTGATGAGCCTATTTATATTTTCCCAAGTGTTTTTTTTTTTTTTTTTTTAAGAGGTTGGCGGTCTCTTTTAACCTTGCATTTGCCCGTCCACATAGACTAACTGCCCGTGCGTGGAACCATGTGGAACGTATCCAGTAAAGGGTGAGCTGGTACAGTACAAAGGTGAACTGTACTAATAAAATGTTTTCGGCAGTGACCAGGATCCGAATCCACGACATCGCTGCCTTGGGCCCGAAGGCAGTGAAGATTATTATGGTTTTTCTAATAGGGTTATCAAAGAAATTATTAATGAAATAGTAGAGCCACTAACATTTCTCTTCAATAAAATGATGGATCAGGGTATATACCCTAAAAAACTTAAACTTTGTAAGGTAATGCCAATTTATAAAAAAGGTGAGAAACAAAACCCATCCAGTTACCGGCCAATCTCTCTTGTACCCATACTAAGTAAGATCTTTGAAACCTGCATTAAAGCACAGCTCAATACATATTTTATCAATAATGATCTATTTTGTGATGAACAGTTTGGTTTTATGCAAGGTAGAAGTACATGCAAAGCAGTAGAAAGTATTGTCAGTAAACTTTTAATGAACTTTGAAAATAAACTTCTTTCGTCCGCATTACTAATTGATTTAACAAAAGCTTTTGACTGTATGCAACATGAGCTTCTTATTAAGAAACTGTACAGCTATGGTATAAGGGACCAAGAGTTGAATTTGTTAGCTTCTTATTTAAGTGACAGAGAGCAAATGGTAATCCAAGGCAAAGACAAATCTAGCTTTAAGAAAATTGAAAATGGTGTACCCCAGGGGTCAGTGCTTGGGCCACTACTATTTATCATTGCAGTTAATGATTTCTCTTTCAATATTCCTTGTACCTCTGTTCTTTATGCAGATGATACAACACTCCTAAACAGCCATAAAGATTTAAAGGAACTTAAAAAAATTGAGAGTCAGACTTTACAAGTTGCACAAGAATGGTTCCAATCCAATCATTTAATTGTAAATAACCAGAAAACTGAAAATATCATTTTTACTCTTAACTACTCTATTTATAAGGATATTAAATCTGTGAAGTTGCTAGGCATATATTTAGACAGCAGACTAAGTTGGGATAGTCACTTAGAGCAATTGTGTAAGAAACTGGCCAGAGTGGTTTGTCTTCTCAGAAAACTAAGACACTGTGTTACTGCAGATATGCTGATTACTGCATACTATGCTTTTTTTCATTCCCATCTACGATATGGTATAACCTTATGGGGCAACTCTTGCAGTGCACAGACTGCTCTTGGATGGCAAAAAAAGGCACTAAGAGCAATCAAGAATATACCACAAAGACAGTCTTGTAAACCAATATTCAAAGCATTACAAATAATGACTTTGCCTAATCTATATATTTACTGTTGTCTAATAGATGTTAAGGAGTCTTTGAAAAATTTTACAACTAGAAACGAAACTCATCAGTACTATACTAGGAATAACTATCAATTAGATTTAGCTTTTGTAAGATTGGAAAAAACAAAGAGCAGCCACATATGTATGAAGATACAACTATTCAATAAATTGCCAAAAAAGGCATGGATTGTACCCTTTAAACAATTTGTTTCTATTATAAAACAATGGCTTAAGGAAAATGTTTTTTATTCCATAGACGATTATCTGGCCTGTGATATTAGTTCCCTATGTTTTTAGAACATCAATGTTAATATTAATATATTTAAATATTTAATTGTTATTATATTTAAAGATTTTATTGTTATTATATTTACAGATTTTATTTTTGATCATTGACATGTAAATTGTTAATTTATTTATTTTAGAGTTAATTATGTTTAACTGTTATTTTTTAAAGAGTGATTGCTACTCACTTGGTGCATTCTTGCTGTTAGGCCTACTCTAACAGGAAATTAACTGTATGTATTATTAGAAAAAAAAGAAAAAACTTTGACAATGTCTATTGTAATACTTGTATTGCTTAATGACAAATAAAGATCTTGAATCTTGAAAAAAAAAAAGTCTGTGACGCTTTTTTGGCTTCAGTGTTGGGGATCAAGTATTGGGGTGTTCAAAGATGATGTGAAGCCATTTAAGAATGCCCTTGATTTTGTATCAGTTACATCGGTTTTACACTTTCTCTCTTTCAAGGGTATGTTCAAGGGTATATAAAATATATACTTTTGTTTTAAAGTAAACCTCTTCAATTCAGTGGAACTTTTTTGGAACCAATATTCATACTAAACTAAATATCTACTTCCCTATAGTAAAATTCTCCGAATTTATGTGGTATTCCCAGATTCTAGAACAAATTAAATCAAAAGGTAAACAATTAAAATTCTCCAAAATGTATTCCATTGGTAGCTTTGTTAACATGTTAAATTTTCATCTGATGCATTACGTAAAGCAGATGTTACACAGGTGTGTGGCTTAAATGTTACACTAATTAACTTTCGATTAAACCGAAATCGATCTACCACAGACTATATAGTAAACCATTACATACTCAATAGTCTGTGCCTCTGCAGTAGTCATATTAGAACTCATGATTTTCTGAAATTTCACAATACTTGTAATGTTTAATCCAATTATTCCTCCTGTAAAAAGGTGGTTTGGTTAAGATAAAGTATGGTAGTTCACAAATAAACATTATATTTTACCAAACAGTTTAACATGGTTGATATGTTTTTAAAATGCAAAGAAATAAACCAGATTATGTCAGATTTATGTGGTCATAGATTGAGGAGGGGGGGGGGGGGGGGTTAGCCAAAACGTGAAAAAACAATAATGTTCTCATGATAAAAATATCCAAAAATATATTTTTATTAAATAGTCCCTAACAAATTTATGTGTTATAAAAAATAAAACAATAACTTACCATGTAAAAAGTACAATAAGGTTTTGGGGGTTTTGTAATTATGATGGTTAATTCATTTTTAGAGGTTTTGATGAACTCAAAAGTAGTAATCAATCTAACTCAGTAAATATCAGCAATTCATCAACCCATAATAGTCTTTCGATTACTGAACAAAAGAACGACCACACTTTATTAGTATTGTCTTGATGAGGTATGCTTCACCCTAATGTAGACTTTCCATGCCAATTTTATAGTTGTAGCCAGTCTTAAAAGAAGATAGGAAATTTAATTGAGAAGCTAGAAACAGAAAGATACAGATTTCTTACTTTAGTATCCTATTTAGTAGGCCTACTTCAATATATAACATGACATTTTGACATTAAATGATTTATTCCAATTACTACTTGTTCCAATTTATTAGTCTTTAAAGATATAGCCCATACCTCATTTTTACATCTTATCTTTGTTGATAAGCCAATCTCATTTCTGAATATCAAGTTAAATTTGTTCTTAATGTGTAAAGTGACTCATTTAATTTTGTGACTCACTTGTGATAGCATTATTACTTTATTCTGTCCTCATCCTATCACTGAAAATGACAATGAAACCATCCAAGCTAAGATACAAAGTAACATAAAAATTAGCTGTTTTTTTATATTATACGTCTCGCCACCCTAAGTTGAGGCAGCCCAAACTGACCGGGAGGGTCAGTACGGCTGTTCCCGCACGACCCTTTATAATCCGATTAGTGACACTTCCGTGACGCTCTAGTTCAATAATTATTATTAACAAATTTTAAATCCTATATATAAATTTAGTCATTTACATTAATATCTTTGATTTAATACACATTTCCGTTTTCGTCCCATCAAAAACGGACAATGTTTACGGTTTGTGAGCTATAAACAAAAACACTACTTGGAATCTATCTTAGAATCAATTAATATTTCATTCAATACCACCTGGACTTTAGATACATTTGTGGCCAAGGAGGTATGGTAAGGTAGGATATAATTGTCATAGTGTATACCATCATCTGGTCATGTGTTGTGCAGGTGACTCCAGTGGTGACCAACCTACAGATGCGCACAGTCCGGAGAGTTCCCAAGATAGGCGTGATGCTGGTAGGCTGGGGTGGCAACAACGGCTCTACATTCACTGCTGGTTTGCTCGCCAATAAACAGGGCACTACCTGGCGGACCAAGCGGGGCGATCATCAACCCAACTGGTACTGCATCAAATGCGCTATTGTCTTTTTCTAAATTTAAACTTTGTTGTTTTACTATCTCCCCCTATACATACAAGAGCAGTTTTTTTAAGTAAGGGCCGTTTTCGCGTATAAATCCGTAGTTGGCTTGTACACCGCTTAGTAGGACTCGTCCTAGTGTCTCGCTTTTTGTTATCTGTTTCTATTCTCAGTTATTACAGGACCTAAAACCATTGACTATTGGATACTGAAGTAGACATCCTATCTATATGGACCAGTCAGTTGTCTGAGCCAGACACAGAATGCTCTGGTGTCTATAATTCAATTTTCTACCTTATTTTTAGTTGCTGATCAAGTTGATGAGTCGTAACAGTTGCTATAACTCACAATAAGTCATTTAATGAGTTTGAATTGGTAAAAAAGTGTGTGTATTCCACAGGAATTAGTAATTTAGATGAGCACAATCTGTCGGTGGCTCACATCAACAACGACGAGTAAAAGTCACAAATTGAACTTGGGGATAGAATATCTAGTTGTATCAATAGACAAAGCTAAAACATAAAAAAATTTTTAAAAATCAGCCATAGCTGACAAAAATCACATCTATATTAGGCCTACTATAAATATATTATTACTATAAAACAAAATACCCCCGCCGCAGCAAACCTGCAGACTAAGCGAATTTCCATTTCCCTGAATGGATTTACACTAAAATGTCTCCTTAAAATTATCACATTTATTCCCTATTTAAATAGAATCAGTTTAAAACATACTTAGGTTTGCTGCAACAGGGAGGGTAAAAGTGTTTTTTATGTAAAATGTTAATAGTTAGTTAGAAATAAAAACATTTTCCAAATTTGGGCAAAATATGTTTATAAACAAGCAAACTACAACAGTTTACTTATTCTCCATAAGAATAACATGGGAATTTTAAATTTACAATTTTTTGGAATTTTCTCCGTAACCATTAGGCGCATTATAACGCTTCAATATACTAAATTATTTGTTTTTTTAAGCTCTACAAAATAGTTTCGAAAGAAATTGCAAAATTTTATGTTTTTTGGGTCAAAAATGGGAAAACCCCATTTTTACCCCATAACAGCCCCCATAAACCCCCATTCCCATGGTCCGATCATGCTGGTTCGCAAACTCGTTCGAATAAACGTAGGTTTACACGTTTGTACCAAATTTCATCAAAATCGGATCATTTTTGCTCGAGTTATCGCGCTAACGGACACATATATATATATATATATAAATATATGAATTTGAACGGATGGTGTTTTTGACCTCTAGGGACCTCAAAACGAAAAAAAAATCGGTCCCGGGTCCAGGTCTTACCGTGAGTACTACGGTAATAGCTTATTCCCTATATGGGAAATTCGCTAAAACAATGTATAAACATAGAGTACTAGTGGCCTGTAGGGGCCCCTAATTTAGACACAATTGTCCATATGAAGGCAACTCCCCATTTCGCGGTAGTTAGTCAGAAATATATCTATGAATTTGTCCCTGAATTTTAAACAGTAAGGTTCATTTCCGGGATCTCTTTTTGTGTAGCGGAAAGCGACGCAAGCCATTGCACTGTTGTATTGCCTTATGTTTTTTATGAAGTTAGAATCATGTAAAAACATATCTTTTAGTTTGTCATTTAATTGTGGTTGTGGCCTGTTAATAAGTCAATTTTTTTTGGCAACATGCGTTAAAATGTCCATTTGTAGCCTCCTCTGCGAAGTGAAATGTGCCACAATGAAAAGCACACAAGTGCTGTTAAGAGGACCTAGACTGTGAGAAACAACACTCAACTCATTTTCCAGCGTTCTTCTGAAGGCAGGTTGTAAACCAGCTTGTTGATTTCTTTCATAGTTAGGCCTTACATGACGTTCTCTTTCAGCATTTCTAGTGTCAGTTGAATTCCTGGATACTCTTCCACGTCTTGCAGGTCCTCCCACACCCTGTCTAAAGTCTAGTAACTTCACTCAATATAAAAACAGAAAACAAAAAATTAAACAAATACATTTCATTTTGAAACAGTATTTAACAACATTGACTTTCTGAATAAATGTAAACATTGCAAATAAATAAGTAATAGCTGATTAGAATGCACATTTTTTTCAGTCCCCATGCTTTTCTTATGGTGGATATTTTACGTTATATCTCGTTTTCTGGTAACTTTATGGGAATTCTGCTATTTTTCCCCGAGTCCCTGGGGTCAATACCTTTAATATAAGACCCCTCCCACTTTTCACGACTTACTAGACGTCCACAATTTTCTGGTAAAAATTTTGTCTTACAGAATTATTTATAAGGATTAATAAAAACATAGGTTAATAAGTGCAAAAAAAACCACAAACTTGCCTGAGGATGGTAACTGATTCTTTGGTCATGACAGTCAGTGTAGTTTAATGGTTTTACAGGTTTGGATCAATCACTCAATCCTCCACCATGTTGCTGGGCAGCAGTGTCAGTGTTGACGGGAAGGGTGTCTACTGTCCGATGGGTCAGCTGTTGCCTATGGTACGTCCCGAGGATCTTGTAGTCGACGGATGGGACATATCCTCGCTTGATCTCTCCGCAGCCATGGAGCGAGCTCAAGTCATTGACTGGGATCTTCAGCAAAAGCTGCAACCCCTCTTGAAGAAATTGAAACCTCGACCGTCGATTTTCAACGAGAAATTCGTAGCTGCTAACCAGGTAACAAAATTGTTTTAGCCAAGCTAAGATAAATGTCCTTGAAGGCTGTTTCTTTATCAAACTTTTTTTACAGTAAATTTACTAATTTAATTTTTGCATGAATGAACTTATACTGTAAATTTACAAATTTTTTATCATTTTCCCGCTTTATTCATTCCCACTCACTAAATCAGCTGATTTCACCGTTGACGTTTTTATAAAACACTAACATCTGATAGGCAAATTAACCTAAAAAAGCTAACAGCTAAAAAGCCCTGTGTGTTATTATGTTTTAATTATGGTGGTAGGAAAATCTTATGTGTATTATGAGCACATACAGTCATTGCTGCTCTTAAAATACATGGCCACAATCATCTAAAGCTTCATGCGGCCATCTACAGTTTTCAAGCAGCAATGATGTACTTTGCGCTCTTAATTCACAAATAACTATTTCGTTCTCCTGTAGTATCCAAGTACTAAAATTATTAATCATTTTATGTGTTTGGTAGACTTATCGTGCAGATAACATCATCAGTGGCAGCAAGTGGGAACAAGTAGAGGCTGTGCGCAAAGATATACGTGACATGAAGGACAAGAATGAGGTATATGTCATTTGTTTTCTGAAACTTGAAAAAGTTGTTGTAGAAATAGTTAAGTTGTTGACTGGCAAAATATATTTTCTTATCAAAGTTCAGGATTTAATAAATAAACTGGAAACTCACTTACTTTGCTGATGAAAATTTTTGATTCTACCAATTTGTTCACTTCCTGATTATTTTCATTTCTTACAGATTACCAATAAATTAAAAGGCTCCATAGTTTATTTTTTTGCATACTTCCAACATTGAAGTTGGGTAACATATCTGTCCAGACTTATTCTGCAGCTGACTGGGCACAATTTTATATTTTTTCACTGTTAGAAGTACTGAAGGAAGTAGCCTATCATTCACAGTTTTACTTTTCACTCAGTTACTTAAATGTTGTGACAATTTATGTGTTGGTTCTGAAGGACCTAAAGTTAAAATGAATGACAATTTTATTACTTGACCTGGCAATAAGATGAGAATATTGTTGTTCAGGTTGACGAGGTGATTGTACTGTGGACGGCCAACACTGAACGCTTCACTTCTGTTGAGCCCGGACTTAACGACACAGCTGATAACCTCCTCTCTTCTATCAAGTCTGATGCGGAAGAAATCTCCCCTTCCACCTTATTTGCAGTTTCTGCAATACTTGAAGGGGTAAGTCTGTGAAATTCATGCATATATTCTTTTCATCTCGATTTTGTTATCAAGATACTGAAATAATCAAAGTGTTTCTTTTTTCATATACAACAATAAGACATTAAGCTAGTAGTAAAGATTTGATCTTTCCCCCTAATTTATTTGGCTGTAATGTTTCAGGCGACATTCATCAATGGGTCGCCACAAAACACTTTCGTCCCTGGGTGCATCGAGCTCGCCGCCAAACACGGTGTGTTTATTGGTGGAGACGACTTCAAAACCGGACAAACAAAGCTGAAGTCTGTGTTGATGGACTTTCTGGTGTCTGCTGGGATAAAGCCACTTTCCATAGTCAGCTACAACCATCTGGGAAACAATGATGGACACAATCTCTCAGCTCCTGCTCAATTTAGATCTAAAGAGGTTAAACATTTTATTTTCAACTTCAATCGTTGAATACTCATTGTTCTGTAAAAGTGTTTCAAAATATTTGTTCCATATTATGAAACTAATAGTAAACCAATTATTCAAATATGCATTTCAATATGGATGACACTTAGGATCTTTCAGTTATATTGCACAAAACTGTTAAGAAGTGATAGCATTTAGTTTCTTTTGGTATTCCAATTTGAGACATTGTTGCTCACATTTCTTTACCTTATTGCATATGATTAGGCTACTAAAATTTGTATTACAAAGAATTTCTGTTAAGGTTACAATAAAAACCAAAATAACACTGTAGGCGTAAGAGAAAAATTAAACATTTATAGAGCAAACCCCTGAAGTAAAATTTAATAAAATCAAACTTTATTGGCACAAAAACGTTTATTCATAGCATAGCTATAAAGTAGTATAAAGTTAAGTGCTTGAAGATTTTTTTTGTATTTTATCGTAAAACAAATTTTTATTGTTACAGATTTCCAAGAGTAGTGTAGTGGATGACATGGTGGAATCAAACTCAATCCTTTACAAAGATGGGGAGACTCCTGATCATGTTGTTGTCATTAAATATGTTCCTTCTGTAGGTAAGTCAAATTCACATCATTGTGCAAAATCATAATTTTACAGTTAACTTGTCAACCAACCACTATATGACCAATGCCAAAACAAATGTGGCCAACTAAGACTAAGGCCCGATTTCACCAAACACTTTTAAACCGCCGTTAAGGCTTGCTCTAACTGCAGTTAGCTCTTAACTGACAAAATCGGATCCCACCACTCGCTGTTAGTGTTAGTTTAGACTAAACCGTCAAATAACTAACTGCCCAATTTTGACCGGTTAACTTCTTTAATCTTTCATTAAGTAAATATCAGCTGGCTTTTAGTTTTAGGTTTATGCGGAAAGGCCAAATGCTAGAAGAGCATACGATACGAATTAGCTTTTGAAATGAAATGAAATGAAATTTATTTCCTTTAAGCATTGTACAAAATGTCAAAAAATACACTTGTCAATATATACAATCATTATGCAAAACTTAACCTAAGAAAAACCAAGCAAACACAGCACGCAAAATAGGCTTATACTCACATTTGCTCGAATGTCAGGTAGCTCAAGAATCTGATTCTTTGAAAAAGAAAATGTACAGAAAAAAGAAAAACAGTTTGCATCTTAAGGGGACTGTGACCGTAAAAATTATCAACAATTGACATTTTGAAAGTGATAGTGATGAAGAGTTGCCTGTGGTTCGCCAAACTAGGTGGATAAGAGAAAAGGAAATTAATTTTATTACTAGATATGAATTATCAAAACATTTTGCCTTTTTCTTTAGGTTATCCCACAAGGTTTTTATTTAGTAAAGGCCTATCTCTAGGTATATAATCAGCCACTCTTTTATTTCGACTGAAAAAAGTGTTTTTCCACCTACATTATCAAATTCCTTTGTTCTTTGTTCTCAAAAATAGGCTTCCTTTCCCTTTTCCCGGTTTCGAGTAACCCTAACCCTACAGTCAAACAATTAATTTAGTTTGGTCAGACGTAATTAAGGACAATAACTAAACCTAAATTGTCATTATTCTGCTAGTATTTATAGAAAATCATTATTTTTTTTATGTTATCTTTATTATGTCTCGATCTTGTAACTCTTTTTGCCTCAAGTTTTCTTACTATTTTAATTGTACCGTAAAGAGTTAGATTTTGAATCTTGACTCAACAATCAACAGCAAAACTCAATCCTCTGTTCCTCATTTGAATCTGTTTTATCAATATTGCTTTGCCTTTATTTACTCATGTTAATTGTTTAGCTATTTATTCTGGTTTTCTCTTGTTATTTTGTTCTTGTTGCTCAGAATCTATTGTATACTTGTAATCTTGCTGTCTCCAGTTTTGTTTTCACTACCTCATAAACACCGATTTATTTTGTAGGTTATGTTTACTTATTGCTCCCATACAGCCCGGTATTATGACAGTTTACTGGCCGCCACCACCACCTGGATTGTACTCTAAACTCTCGTTTATAAAACCAGCGTTAGTTTTGGCACGTTTTTGTTGGTGAAACCAGAATCTCTTAACTGTGGCTTAAATCATCAGTTAGTTTTACCGAAGATTATCTAAACCATCGTTAGCATGAGTTTGGTGAAATCGGGCCTAAGATATTAATTCTAACTAGAGATCATCTAGCGGTCGAAAACTGGACCAAAAATATCATGTAACATACAGACTTCTAAATTTTTACCCCACACGCTGTAAATAAAACATGTGATTGGAATTTCTTCCATTTGTTTTGATTTTCTGTTTATATTTCGTTGTTATTTCGTCACCACTATGGAAACCAATATGGCCCATGTTATATTTTTTTCAAATTTTAAATTAATTTGTTGTGCTTATTTTTTAGCTTTTTTTATAAAGAGATTCTGCACATATACAGGAAAATATCTTTCTAACAGTATGCGTAGATTTTCTCTGCGATACACACAAGCTGAGAAAAAAGGTTTTAAAGAGGCTTTTGATTGCCTATTATATATAGATTGTTTATTTAAATACATGGAGTAAAGAAAATCAAGCTTAATTGAATGTACAGTATTCCTTTCTGATAAGAGGTTTACTGTTGGATTGAATGTAGATAGGTTCTCCTCTAAAACACTCGATTGAGCAAATTCATTTAAAAAAAGAGCATTTAAAACCAAATGTGAATATTTTGAAAAATGTGGGAATTTCAAATTGTTATACGATTTTTACTGATTAAATTAGGTTAAACCACTTTAGTAAACTACATTTTTTTACCCTCCGCTGATGGTTACCTTTACCATTACAGCTTAGTACCAGGGCCTGTGTTATTCAACATGAGAATAAATAAGGTGGTGTAGATTTCTTGCTCACGTAATATGCAGTATTCATTAATTTTTGTGATTTTTAAATTTCATTGTATGCATGAAATTTTATCAAAACAACAGTTGTATTTTTTCTCTCAACATCAAACCTAATTATTGATCAAGCCAATGATATTTATACTGTAAGTGCATCAAATTACAAATTCCAAATATACTATCGCAGGCGTTAAAATAAAAATCAAATAAAGCTACTAGAAACTTGCTTAGTCTGCAGTTATTCTGTGACAGGAGCGTTTTAAAATTGTGTTACCGAAAATGGTATAACTTTGTATAATTTAATTATTTGGATGATAAGTTTTAAGTATAATGTTCATACAGTTTTTTTTTTATAAATATATGAGTTTCAATAATGGTATGGTACAAAAATGATTCAAAGTACTTGTACAACATGTTGTCACATGTTCTCTATTCCAGTTTTGACAGACAAGTTAGTTTGACTATCAACCTTCAATTGAAGACATAAGTACTCTACAGGTACCACGTCTGGACTTTTGTAATTGCTAATTATTAATAGCATGCTAAACACATTTAATTTAGTTTAACTTTGTTATTAACCTTTATGAACATTTTAGTATGTTCTGTGAAAGTGGTATCGTAGAAATTATAACGTTTTTAACAGTTCCTGAAAATTGTAATTAAAAGAAAAAAAAATTCATTCCAAGTCTTAAATTGTAATGAGTTTTAAGGTAACTAACTGTGATGTATTTAAAAGCATGACTAATAAAATGCCTGAAGTATTCTTCCTAATACTAACACAAATAGAAATATGTGATATCATTAACGTACTAAACACTTATTTTGTGCATGTTGTATCTTGAAATACATGCTCTGCAAATTCATTTTACACCATGTCCAATTTATTTTTAATTAGTTAGAGCTTAAAGTTAATATGTTATTTTACAACTTGCCTTTGGCTAGTAAAACTGCCTGTTAAATTAGTTAACAGAATTCAGCAATAGTGTTTAAAAGTGGCCACATCAGTTTTACATTTAATAGGTATTATTAACATTGGGTATTATTTTGGATTTTAAAAGGCACTTAAAAAGTCAAATCGCAACAAATATCCCCCTCAACACAACCTACAATAAACTTATGTCTTATGTAAACCCAAAAATGTACCATACTTTTAAAAAAGGTACATCAACCTTTGCATTTTTTCCAATTGATAGAACCGTCTGTAAATGATGATTTACATTCCAATCCAAAAGGAATTGTGTTTGGAATAGATTAATAATCATCATGTTTTAATTTTGTTAGATAAATAAAGTGTACATCTAATGGATACAATAAATACTTATAAATAATTATATAAATTCATGTTTCTCCCCCATTAGATTTTAATAAACCACACGATAAAATTCTTTTAAAGCCCTGGAAATATAAACTGGCATTTCAAAATGATCTGAAATTTAAATTTAACTTAGTTTATTGAGAATTTTTCCTTTGATAGGTAAGTGTTTATGACAATGCCAGGAATGTGTAATATTAAAGATTCTCTTGGTCAAGTGGTCTGAATCTAATTATGTACAAATTTTTGTGCAGGTGACAGCAAGCGCGCGATGGACGAATATTTGTCCGAACTGATGCTCGGAGGACAAAACACCATCTTTATCTCCAACATCTGTGAGGACTCGCTGCTGGCCGCTCCCATCATGCTCGACCTCATCATACTGGCCGAGTTCTGCAAGCGAGTCACTATACGTCCGGCTGACAACAGCTCTCCGTTCACAGCTCTGCACCCCGTTCTCTCTGTGCTCAGCTACCTGCTCAAGGCTCCGTTGGTGCCTTCTGGTCTGTATGATTTTAGTTTTACATGTAAACGAAAAAGGGTGATTCTTTTAGTGGTGCGATTTTTAAAATGAAATAAAACAACGAAAAATGAATTGTAATGACATAATTATGTTTATTTTACACCACAGTGCTATGACATTAAGTGTTTAAAAACGATTTCTGTCATATGCGTTTCTGTAGAAACCCCAATCTAGCAGTCCAATTTTCAAACACCCTTTCCAGCAGCTGGGGGCCGTCAATAACTCGACAAATGTTGACTTCTAAGTCATTTAGAGTCTGTGGCTTGTCAGTGTAGACTTAAGACTTGACATATTATCCCCACAGAAAGTAATTTGTCCGCGTGATATCACACTACCGTGGAGGCCAGTTAACATTACCTCTGTACGAGATGATGCTTTTACCAAAAGTTCTTCGCATGAGATCAATTGTCGTGTGCTGTGTGGCACGTCTCGCCGTCTTGTTGGAACCTCAGCTCAAATATCTGACTGATGGAAGATTATGTGGTCCGTATCGGACGAAGTGGACGGTAAGTTGTCCGAACTGAACTACCCTTTTCAAAATAAATTTGCACAATTCGCAAACGTTCCTCTTTTGTAAGTCTATTCATGATTAGCCTACTATGGAAACAAAATAAGCACTAGAAAATACAAATATTGAAATGACATAAAATAATAAAAATCAGCTGTTTGATTTTAATTTGATTGTTGTGTTTAGCAAAACTATCCCAACTAAAATACCCCCGCCGCAGCAAACCTGCAGACTTAGCGAATTTCCATTTGCCTGATTGGATTTAAACTAAAATGTCTCCTTAAAAATATCACATTTAGCCTATTCCAAGTTTAAACAGAATTACTGTAGTTCAATGAGTACTTAGGTTTGCTGCAACAGGGAGGGTAAAATGTTTTTTTTTTATGTAAAATGTTAAAACGTACTGTGGTTTAGTAAGAAATTAATGTATTTTCCAAATTTGATCAAAATATGTTCATAAACAAGCAAACTACAACAGTTGACTTATTCTCCATAAGAATAACATGAGAATTTTAAAATTACAATTTTTTTGAATTTTCTCCGTAACAATTAGGCGCATAATAACGCTTCAATATACTAAATTATTTGTTTTTTTAAGCTCTACAAAATGGTTTAAAAAGAAATTGTGAAATTTTGTGTTTTTATGGTCAAAAAAGGGAAAAACCTATTTTTACCCCATAAAACCCCCCATAAACCCCCGTTCCCATAGTCCGATCATGCTGGTTCGCGAACTCATTCAAGTTTATCCCGCCTTACACCTTCAAACCAAATTTCATCAAAATCGGACAAAAATTACTCAAGTTATCGTGCGGATGGACACACATATATATATATATATATATATATATATATATATAGATATATAAAAATTTGAACGAATGGTGTTTTTGGCCTCTGGGGACATCAAAATGAAAAAGTAAATCGGTCCCGGGCTTAGGTCTTACCATGAGACCTACGGTAATAGCTACTTCCCTATAGGGAAATTCGCTAATAAAAAATCACCCTTTATAATGCCATATGTCAGGGAGCGAGGGTCTAGTGGTAAAGCACTAGGTCCAAGGTTCCAATCACCAATGGATTCGATCTTTGTGATAAAGGTGCTTTAAACCTAGCCTGAAGTAATGTGTACATTGGATCCGGGCTAGTGCCTCATATGTAGAAGTAAAACAATTAACATGTTCGCTGCTACGGACGTTACGGAACCTCAGCCGGACCATGGTGCCAGGAGCTAGGAAAGTTCCGGAACGTCACCGTTCATTGTTGTTTAACGTTTCCATAAATCAGCCAGCTTGTCAGGAGGGTCCTATATTTCTTTGCCGCTCGTGGGGACGTTCTTTTCTGACAATAAAAAATATAGTTTCCCAAAATCACCACCAAGGTCGTTTAGAACAGGGCTTTGTCCCACCTCTTTCCTGATAGATAGCAACACTACTTTACTGACTGCACTCTGGGTAGTGCCACAGAAAACATACTACTATAACCCAGAATGCCAACCGCATGGTAAAAAGCGTTAAGTACTTTGAGAGAGCTTTGCCTGTCAATTCGTAGGCAGCGCCACCAGCGTTGCTTTGCACTCAGCAGCGCTGCCTACGAATTGACAGGCAAAGCCCTCTCCAAGTAAAGGGATCGGCAGAAATATCTGACGGTTTTCAAGTGAGTACAGTCCGGCAGCCAAGTGGAGGGGGGTGGTGGGGAGCGGCTCATTCTCAAGGCCAAGTGACCGACCCCATTTCAGTCGCCATGGAGCAGTGGACGGGTATACATCGCGCGTTTGTCGTTGTGGCGTATTTTAAAAGTCGGGTGAAAGTAAAGGTCTGAGTGCAAAATTCGTCGAATACAGCGATCAGACATGCCAAGAGCAGCAGCTTGTCTACGCGCCGGGCGATGCAGGCTCGTTAGCACAGCTTGTCGCACTCGCTCCACGTTCTCCGGCGTCCTCACTGACCTTGGACGGCCTGTAGGCCTACGTTTTGCAGTTGATCCTGTGGATCTAAAGGTATCCACCCACAATTTGATGGTGTTTCGGGATGGGATAGGTTCCCCACGAGCCACATTAAAATGCCTACGAAACTTACGTTGCGTATCAACAACAGAATCGCCACTTTTAAAATACGCCTCAACGACAAACGCGCGATTTATACCGGTCCACTGCTCCATGGCGAACTGAAATGGGGTCACTTGGCCTTGAGAATGAGCCGCTCCCTACCACCCCCCTCCACTCAGCTGCCGGAGTGTACTCGCTTGAAAACCGTCAGATATTTCTGCCGCTCCCTGTACTTAACGCTTTTTACCATGCGGTTGGAATTCTGGGTTATAGTAGTATGTTTTCTGTGGTAGTGCTGCTATCTATGTGCAAAGCCAGTTTTATTGTAGAACATTGCCATCCAGTATAACTACTGTTGTTTTTACTGTAATTCAGTGTATCGCCGGCAATGTTACGCAGTGGCGAGCGTGAATTCAGCTCCTGGCGCCGTCCCTGTATCTAGCGGTCAGCAGCGAACAACTTGTTAACCTATTTCTCATTTAACACATTTTGAATACAAATTTTAACTAACCACGTCAAATTTCAATTAAATTTAAAGTAGGCTCTACTGGTGAGATGCTTTTAGACTAAGAATACAAAATTTTAACAAAGACTATTTGTGATTTTTAAATGCCAAATCTAAAATCGGGTTGTCTGTGTGTTGACAGGTGCGCCAGTGGTGAACGCACTGTTCAAACAACGATCCTGCATTGAAAACATCCTGAGGGCTTGTCTAGGTTTACAACCAGAACACCATATGTTGTTGGAGACCAAACTACAAGCAAACATATTTCACTAGCATTCTGTCGGACGAGATCTACAAGTTACCAACCTTACTATTCTATGTTGTTTGATGGAGTTATATTAGTTGTTAAACATGTAGCTGAAAGTAAACTTGAACTCAGTATAGGGAACTCAGTAAGCTTTGAACTCACTGTAATTGTCATATTTTGCGTATTAATAGCGTATATTTTGCGTTATCTATGACTTGTTAATGTAACACAAATTGAAGAAGAAAAAAGAATAATTTAAAAGGTGTTATTGGATGGATGTGTTGGGATGACGGATCGAGATTCTTCAACCCAAAAAATTAAAAGCTTAGCTTAATATTTATTTATTTGCTCGAGTTACATATTGTCAAAAATGAAACACAATCCCAGCATTTAGTGTGACTTTAGTTAAAATTTATTAAATTTTATATGTAGACTTTAATCTAAAGGAACTGTTAGACAGTTCTAACACAGGTATTATATTTTGATTAGTCATATTATTAAATGTGATCTTGATCTTACTTATTTAATCATTATTATTATTATTATTTTACGGCCAGCATTGGACCACTTAAGTCAATATAATGGTTAGATTCTTTTTAGTTTTACTTATTTAATCATTATTAACAATTAGTGCTTTATATGTGCTCATCAGTAACTGTTGGAAGTGAAGTTTACATGTTCAATTATAATCATGTACCAGTGGGTTTATTGTCCATATTTATTTGTAGTACTGTGCTAATACAATTTCTTTGGATACTGCAAGTATACTTTTCATCTGAGGCCTTTAGGTTGATGTCCGGTAAGAGGTATCTCCTTGACTATGCGTTCAAGTGTTACTGAACATATCCTTGCTTTAAAATTGTCTTTCACTCATCCATGAGGATGATAAACCCATAGGGAATGTTTGGTATCCAAGTCAATCTGAACTCAAAGAAACTCGACAATAGCATTGTCTACTTTGAATTACAATACTTTAAGCTACAAGTTTAACAATTAATTTGATGGTTTGCTTGACACCCTATCAATGCTAAGGATGTAACATTAGCATAGGAGTGATATGTTAACTATGGAATTTTTAATCTGGGTTAAATAAAAGAGTAAAATGTTCTTGGGTCTGGAATCATTATTTTACCCATTTACAGAAAATTGTGTTTGTGAAATATCTTTACATTTCATCTTAGTCACCATGTATCTTACCTATTTGGCCACTCAAACCCCAAAAACCTTGCCAACATCCGCTCGCCATCCATCTCTGTCTTGCATGAAATCTGGAGGTGTTATTATTATTAGTCACCATAAACTACATTTAAATTTAGAACACCTTGTTTTACATTATATAAAAACCAAAACCAATGTAACTGATCCCTATTGGGGAGGTAGACAGGTAGACGTTGGCCTTATTAACTCGAAAATCGACTAGCCTAAATGGATAAAAGACCCTTTAACCCTTTTAGTGCTATGCGACAATAAATAATACAATTGTTATAATTGTTGTGCGTCTTTTCCCCGAAAAGTTCTATAAAAAGATGTATCGTTGTTCGTGTTTCATCCAGAAAGTGCTAAGCGACTTTTGATCGTATAAGTTTAAATGGGTATATCGGTTTTACTCGGTTGTTGTTTCGAAACAGCAATGGTTTCTTTCGATTCCTTATACGATTGAGGCCCAATATATCGTTCCTTAGCACTGAGATGAAAAATGTTATTTTTAACAATTTTTTAGATGCCCTCTTGGCATGTCTAGCATTTTTCGGGCAAAATAAGTAAATAACTAGCATTTTTTGGAAAATTACAAAAGAGATTCTAGCATTGAAAGAACTTTTCTAAGCTTAAAAACTGTATTGGCCCAAGTGTGTGAATTGCTGTTCGCCAGTGGATGGGCATAGAACATTGAAGGAGCTGGGAAAGAACAGAAGGCAATGTACAGTCAAAGAGAATGCTGCAGACACCTACTGGTGCAATAGCAGCAGATGCCCTTGGGCTGAATAGGAAGACCCTGCGGAAGGTGGTTGGCTTTATTAGCAGCCATTGGGTATTCCGTGGACATCTACACAAGATGGGAATTCAAGTTGAAAGCCTCTTATGTAGGAAATGTGGAGAGGAGGAGGAGACAGCATTCCACGTGATATTTATGTGCCCAGCCCTACAAGGTCTGCGCTTGAGATACCTTGGCATATCGACTGGAGATCAAAGGGTAGAACGGTTCACCATAGTCAAAAGGAAAGGACCAGGGATTTGACGGAGAATGAGGACCTGTGAATAAGGGTGCACAATAAGCTGTTCCAGCTGCGCTGCAATCCCATGGTTTGTAAGCCTGGCCCTCTATAAAAAATAAAATAATAAAGTGAGTGAATAGTAATACATTAGACTCCCTCTTATCCGGACTCACCAGTACTCATGGTAAGACCTGGACCCGGGACCGATTTACTTTTTCGTTTTGAGGTCCCTAGAGGCCAAAAACACCATCCGTTCAAATTCATATATATATATGTGTGTCCGTTAGCACGATAACTCGAGCAAAAATGATCTGATTTTGATGAAATTTGGTACAAACGTGTAAACGTAAACCTTCATTTATTCGAACGAGTTCGCGAACCAGCATGATCTAACTATGGGAACGGGGGTTTATGGGGGGTTCTATGGGGTAAAAATAGGTTTTTCCCATTTTTGACCCTAAAAACACAAAATTTCACAATCTCTTTTCAAACCATTTTGTAGAGCTTAAAAAACAAATAATTTAGTATCTGAAGCGTTATTGTGCGCCTAATGGTTACGGAGAAAATTCCAAAAAATTGTAAATTTAAAATTCCCATGTTATTCTTATGGAGAATAAGTCAACTGTTGTAGTTTGCTTGTTTATGAACATATTTTGATCGAATTTGGAAAAAAAATTCATTTCTTACTAAGCTATTAACATTTTACGACAAAAAACACTTTTTCACCATCCCTGTTGCAGCAAACCTAAGTACTTATTAAACTAATTTAAATAATGAATAAATATGATATTTTTAAGGAGGCATTTTATGTAAATCCAATCAGGCAAATAGAAATTCACTTAGTCTGTAGGTTTGCTGCGGCGGGGGTATTAGTGAATTTCCCTTTGAGGAAAAAGCTAGTGCAGTAGGTGGCATGGTAAGACTAGATTTGTGGACTGATTAACTGTTTCGTTGTTATGTTCCCAAAGGCTAAAGGTATTTTTTGTTTACATTCTTATTTTTATACATGTGTGTGTGTGTGATAACTGGAGGAAGGACCAAATGTATAGGGCTGGATAAACTTGATTAAGTTTGCCACCCAGCAAGATGAGGTAAAGGGAACAGGGTGTTAGGTTTTTAAGTTTTCCATCAATTTGTTAACCCTTAAAAACATATAAATTAATATCCAACAATATTAATTACAGCCACTGTGTAAAGCTTAAAATACCCCCGCCGCAGCAAACCTGCCGTCTAAGCGAATTTCCATTTGGCTGAATTGATTTTCAATCGATCTATTTCAATAACATTAGGTTTAACGAGTACCTAGGTTTGCTGCTACAAGGAAACTAATAAAGTGTGTGTTTTAAGTAAAATAATTATTGCTTAGTAGAAAATGAATATATTTGCCAAGTTTGATCAAAAGATATCCATAATCAAGCAAACTACAACATGTTACAATATTCTCCATAAGGATAACATGGGAATTTTAAATTTACAATTTTTTTAGTTTTCTCCGTAACCAATAACCGTACAAAAACACTTTGACATACTGAATTGTTTGTTTTTTTAAGCTCTTTAAGAAGGATTAGAGAAAAATTGGGAAATCTTGTGTTTTGAGGGTCAAAAGTGAGAAAAACCTATTTTTACCCCATAAAACCCCCCATTAAACCCTGTTCCCATGGTCCGATCATGCTGGATCGCGAACTCATTCAAGTTTATCCCGCATTACACCTTCAAACCAAATTTCATCAAAATCGGATAAAAATTACTCAAGTTATCGTGTTCACGGACACATATATATATAAATCTATATATATATATATATATATATATATATATAAAAATTTGAATGGTGTTTTTGGCCTCTGGGGACATCAAAATGAAAAAGTAAATCGGTCCCGGGCCTAAGTCTTATCATGAGACCTACGGTAATAGCTACTTCCCTATAGGGAAATTCGCTAAAACAAATAATTTTCTACATTGAAGCGAAGCATTACCCATGCTTCACAAAGGGAGGGGTACGGGGGTACGCGAAAGAGAGAATGCTGTTCTTTAGATCTGCTGTATAATATACACACAATGATGTGTTGCAGCTTTTCCTTTAGTCTCTTCAAAAACTTCAAATAATGTGCTACAGCTTGACGAAATTAACTACCCAGAACTGTCTGCTATGAATTTGGGCAAAAAACAAATGTAGTATCGGTAGCCCAAGAAGTATCAAGAAGAGACAACAATAACATCAAATCAGGAGCATGTCATGACACAGTCATTTCCCTTCACTATGTCCTCATCATCAGAAAAAACCACCAATAAGACAAATCTGAACAGAAACGGCTTACCATTAGTATCGACTTCCATTCAATAACTGTTATTAATAACAAATAATAGTTGTATTAATAACTGTAATAACAAATGATTGCAAAAGGTCTTTAACCCGTAGCAAAGGTCACAGCTTTAGCCTGTTCATATCAGTAATGAAACCCAAAAGTATGTCAGGCGAAGCCGATGGGCAACAACTAGTACAGTAAAATATGTACCCAAACAGTCCCTGGAATAGCACTGTCTTTCTTTAACTATTTAAATTATTTGATTTTATCAGGTCTTTCGATAATCCGGACAACTTGGATCCCCTAATTCTAATTGATCCAAAATTGAATTTTTTGATCCAAATTGATTACTGTATCAGGTAAATCAAACTTTTGAGTTAAGAGATTTTGTAATGAATTGAATAAAATAGTTCTAGAGTTTTTGTACACTCTGTGTACATGTGAAAGTTAATTGTTAACTATACTCCGTTAAATAATTTAGGTGGTTTGAGGGGAAGTTCCTCTACCACTTTTGTCGCTTAATATATGTTGCAGCTGATTGAGGGTTTAGCAAAACTCATCTGTTGAGCTATGTTTTAAAGGTAGAATCAAGTGGAGTAGATAGATTTCTTCCCCTTAAATTGCCTAAATTTTGTTAACAGAGTATAATGCTGGATTTAGGGTTATCAAACAACATCCAATTATGTTCTATATCCAATTTCAAAGTTTTATTTCTCATAGAACTAGCCAGTAGCTCTAAAACCGTCGACTTTAAACAATCAATAAATAAAAACACAATACAAATAAACTATTAGAAAGTATGATTTTATAATTTTCCACAATCAATATTCAGCTCGATTTTAGATTCGGGAACTAAAATCTAAATTCAAATACACAACAATAATAAACATATATACAATATAAATTTTCTAAACTTTGTATAGGTAACTGAACGAATTATATAAAGGATCTATAATAAATGTTATCACAAAACAGTTCGGATACAACATTGGTCGATGTTATGTGTTACTGTTCACTGTAGTCCGGCTAGCACAATCGATGATTTGCACCAAACAGCGGCCAAACTCCTCAAGGATTAGTCTCTCAACTTGTTCCGAGACTTGAGATTTGGTGTCTCCCTCGACGGCCAGCAGACACTGACACGTAGCCTCAACCACCTCTTGTGTCATCAGGTTGAACGGTTGTCTGAGGACAAACGGAGACATTAAGTCTAGATCAACACTACCCATTTTTTAAAGTAATTGTTGAATACATGTTTAACTGAATGAATTTGTTTTGTTTTAAAAACTGCTGAAATGTTAGTAAATTTAGGAAAATTATGAAAAGTAAAACCTAAAAAAAAGTGTGCAATAATCTGGTGTTTGTTATTATTATTTTTTTATGAAAGTAAAACAATTATTTTACTTAGAAATTCAAAGCGAAAGTCTGTTTGCTGCATACTACAACAAACCTGACCGGAGACGTTACAAGTTAGTAACAGTTAGTACGAGTTAGTTTTAGTCTTGATGCCATTCATATACAAGAAAAAAAAAAATTGTGTGAAATATTTCACCATAAACGATGTCCTAGAATAAATAAGCTCTGCAAGCAACACACAAATTGAATGTAAACCCTTAAATAATATTGTTTTAACAAAATAACCATTTAACTAAAATGTGTGATACAATATAAAATCAAATCAAATCAAAATAGCATTTATTCCGCCAAAATATTTACAAATTACATCATATTAGTCCCATACAAAAATGTTAACAATATTGTTTGGTTTTTAATAATACTAGCTGTAACCCGTGGGCTTTGCCCCGTTTAACTTCTTAATTTTCAAGATGATCTCGTTCGCATGGCTCAATCACGTCTTGGTTGAAGTTCGTTCGCTACGCTCACTCATCTTTAGGTTGGAGCTCGTTCGCTACGCTCACTCACATTTAGGTTGGAGCTCGTTCGCTGCGCTCAATTGCCTTCAGGTTAGCTCGTTCACTATGCTAACTCGCCTTCAGGTTAGCTCGTTCACTATGCTAACTCACCTCCAGGTTGAAGTTCGTTCGCTATGCTCACTCACCTTTTGGTTGCAAATTAGCTGTTGTCATAAATGTAAAAGAAATAATAGTGCTGCACCCTGTTGGTAATCCTTGTAACTTTAATGCTATTGAACATCATAGAACAGAACCAACTTGTTTAATTGAAACAGCTGTTAAGATTCATTAATTCCATTTCTCATAAGGTTAACATGGGAAACTCCAGAGCCACTGGGGCGGAGCCGATTGGACGGATCACGAAATTGATGGTGTATAAACCTATTCCATGAAATTCTACACGTATGTACCAAGTTTCGTGGCAATCGGTTCAGCGGTGTCTGAGTTTATCACTGCCAAATATATATACAAACATCCTCTTTCATACTTATAGATAAAAATTGTATATAAACATAAAAATATAAAAAAGCTTTTTAAATTAGCAAAATATCTTCCACAAAGAAGGATTACCTCTGTGTGTGGAAGAGAGTTGTATTATTAAGTGATGAAGGAAAAAATGATTTTAGAAGAAAAAAAAAATGATTTTGGAATAATATATATGCTGGAGGACTTACTGGTAATTGAATGTAATACTATATTAGACAATTAGTAGACCCTTCCCCCCTCCCAACGCCCAATTGAATATTGCCCAAATATATATAATATACACCCAATCCAATATGTTTCCCCAACTGAAACATTTTTCAAATTTGAGCGAATAAGTAAAATACTAAGAATAAGTCAAATTATTACCTCGTTCCCTGATTCGAAAAATTATTGGATCTGCTGGCGATCTCTTGTATTTCTGAAGAAAGTTTGTTTTTTAATGAATTCTGTAGACTGGTTTTACTTCCATCATTTTGGTTCTTATCTCTAGCGTCTTCTACGTTGCGACAGCCCACACATTTACAGTTGTTGGAGCAAGGTATTTTAGCCTAAAACAAATGGTTACAACCAGAATATTTAAATGGTTAACTATTATCCTAAAACAAGCCAATTAAATAAACATTACAGTGAGAAAACAAAAAAAATAGGTTGTTTCAATCAGGATGGTGTGTGTGTGCGTTTTTGTGTGTGTGTGAAGGGACGGATGAGGAAAAGGCTCCAAACACTAAGTCACATCCCTAGACTTTGGTGGTATTAAATGAATTCATCGGCAATTAATTGTTAAGATGACTGTATAAAATAATAAAAGCAATCAGTAGTGGGGGAAGGGTTCTTGTGCGTATGCCACTCCGATTAATACAATCCAGAACAAAAAATTTTTATTAATTTTGATTTTTCTAAAATTGTTAGTAAAAAAAGGTTATTTCTGGAAAATTTATTCTATCGAAAGGTAGTTATTTTATAGGCTAAGTGTTAGTATATATTTGGGAATAGAAAACGTTAAACAGTCTATTAGTCATGTTGTATCTTAGTGAGACAAATATAACATTATGATCGTTTCAAAAAATCTGAAGGAAGTTAAAAATCCTTCAGCCAGTCAACACAAGAGAAATCTGCCGAAGACTACCTAGAGTTAGTTATTTGGGAGATTGAAGTTAGGCAATCTGAGAAAATCAATTTAAAGAAAAAAAATTATAGACTCTAACCTTAATCTTATTTACTCAGCCTTTGATAAAAAACCGTGTGCCATCATGCACACAGCCTTTCTTTAAAAACAAACTTAAACACAGCATTGCTCTAAAGACAGACTTAAATAATTATGTCTCGGCCTGCTTTAACAGATAAATAATTGGAAGAATTTCAAGAATTCCAGAGTATTTCTCGATCCTGCAAACAAAATCTTAAGCAAATTATTTTGATACTTAAAGAATGCATCATGTCGAATTCAAGCTATTTTGGCCTTTAACATTTAAGCATGATGAATCCAATCTTCAAGAATCATACTTTTGAAAATCTCATTTAACCCTTTGAGTGCCAACGTCCGGGGAACCGGACGTTTTTAAAACGAGCCAAAAGTGCCGACGTCCGGCCGACCGGACGTTTTTAGATCAAGCCAAAAGTGCCAACGTCCGGCTGACCGGACGTTTTGTAATGATCGAACAGTTGTCATAACAACCGAATGGATACTCGGATTCTTTTAACCCATATATTAACATTGAGTCGAAAGTTACTAGATGCGATACATCGATTTTCGTTGGTCAAAATATCGAAAATTCGATTTTTACAAAATTTTAACCTAAAAATCGCCAGATCGCGCTCGGCATTTTTAGCGTGACCTTCGGGAAAAATCATCGGCATTTTTTGAGCGTTACTTTTATTTCTCGCCTGGCACTCTAAGGGTTAAATCCCAAAAAATCAGGACAGCTAGTAAACCTCTCATTTTCTAAACTAAATGTTTAATAATAAAATGGTTGGTTTTAATTTTTTTTATTTTTTCAAGAGGTTGGCAGCCTCTTTTACCTTGCAAATGCCCGTTTACATGGGCTGCAGAGGCCTGTGTACAAAATGTATCTAGCAAAGCAAGGGATGAGCCAGTAGAGTACAAATGCAAACTGAAGGGCTCCCTTCAGATAAAGTCCCTGAAAGGGACGAAATATTAAGTTTTCTGTTTAGTGTTATATGTTTTTTGTGTGTACCTAGGCTAATCTGGACTCTGTCTACCAGCTAAGCTAGCTGATCAATATCCTTGTATGTATTAATCATAACTAGACAAATGGCCTTTAATTAACTTCTGCACTAGTAATAAGTGGTGGAAGGTACGACGATTCGAACCCACGACGTCTCCCTTGGACACAAAGTCTTTGGCGCTACTGACTGAGCCACCGACTCACCTACAAAACCACATTGGAACTCAAAATGCTCAAAAGTAAAAAAATGTCTTACCTCGTAGCATTCACAATAGTTTTTCAGACACCCAGATCGTTTACAATTACAACCTTTATTGTGACGTCTTTCATCTCCGACATAACCTTTACCAATTTTTGGTCTGAATGCATTTGGATTTCTTTCTAGGCATGATTTAATGGCTCGCTGTCTTTCTTCTTCATGGTCCAAATTATTGTAACAACAATTGCAATTACATTGGAAACAGAATTCTCCGTTGGCAAAACAATCACAGTACCTGAAACAATTACATGAGTTCAATAATGGATGGATTATAAAATTGACACAAAATTAAACAAATTGCAAATTGAAAGATGGGTTACATTTAAGAGAAACATACTATTAATATTTGTTTGTTTTAACAGAGCAAATAAACAAACTATTGTTTAGAGAATGCATACAGTTTAATCTAATCACGTTGATAAATAAAACTTAAATAAATTCACCTGATGTCAGTTATAATGTGGAAGCACAGTAAATAAAAATAAACAATGAAACATTTGTTCTGAAAACTTGGTAAAAACTAATTAACCATCAAAAGGTTTTGGGGAGTAGAACAAATGGCCAAGAGATGTGCTATCCCTAATTTTAGTTTACAAAATCATTTCTAAACTCAATAGGCCTAAATACTACTGTGTATGTATTGAGCAGACCAAATTCAGTTGGCTACTGCTCTTGGAGGACCAGCAACATCTGGGAGTTTCAAATCAAATCAATCTTTATTCATAATGTGTACATGAGTAATCACTAATCATACAACGGAATAGTGTCATTTCCTTATAGCTAACAGGGCTTATAGCGTATAATATATATTTACAACTGGTTATACTCCTCAATTGAATAAATAGGATTTCATGTAATATAATTCTTTAACTTAATTTTAAATTTAGTAACATTATTTTCTTTTTTTATTTCATTAGGTAACGTTCTAAAAAACTTTGCTCCTGCATATGATGGTTTTTTTGTATAGAGTTGCAATCTGTGATGAGTGGGTATGATTTCTGATTTATTTCGGGTTCTGTATGGGTGAGTTGGATGGTTTATTAATGGCTTGCTTGAATTCAAAGTTTTGTAAACCATAATTGTATCAAAAATATACTGTCCATAAACTGTAATAATTTGAAGATTTTTGAAAGTTTGTGTAACTTGATTGGAAAGGGCTTATTGTCTGAGAATTAAGGAGACGAAGGACAGGATAAGCAGGCTTACCTTAAAAATGTAAGGCCACTTCACTTAAGTAAAACAAAAGAAAACACAAACAACAAAGAATTTTTTGAGGCCCCTGTTCCTTTTCTCATCTTTCTGGAAGTCCAGTCTAGAAAGTCCAGAAAATATTCAATGTTTCCTTTGATTTTTCTTTGGAGTTGTTACTTAACTGTAGTGGGATGCTTACAAAGGCGAGCCTGCTTTTTCTGTCATATCTCTCCTTAATTCTGAGCATTTGTATGGCATAATGTTAAGAAAAAACTAAAGCTGATTCTAAAAGTTTAAAATAAATGTGCTTAACATGTTTACCTTCAATTGCAACTGTACAAGGAAAGGAGAATAGGTCAATAGGAAGAGTACCAACTCACAGGAGAGATGGAAACTGGAATACAAAAATAAATAAGCAAATATTTTTACGTTAAAAATAATAGTATAGAAGAAATTGTGAGGGCTTAGGCTTAATATTATGATTTAAAATTAAAATACAACACAGGGCTCTCTCTACCTTAACCTACTCTACTAAATTGGAGTCATATAAATTTAAAAACTAGAGAATATTTTCAAACTCATTGAACCTACCTTGTGTTGTAAGTATAACATGTCAAATGACACATTATTTTGCAATCTTTAAAAAAAAAATAGGGATGGGTCGATTCACGATACCACAAATTCTTGGTTTTGGAATCGGAATCAAGAATTGACCGCTCAAAGTCGATTCCAATACCGATGCCCAAAACTTTAGTGAAGATCACGTGATAGGAAAATTACCGCTATTGTCGTGCTCACGCAAGACAACGATGATGTTTCTAAGATTCAATGATGATGTATGGCCACAGGAGACTATCAGAATTTTGCCTCGGAAGACGATGAGGATGTTCTGTTAACGAGAGGGTTATACAGGGTTTTGCCATGACCGTAGGAGACAATGACCACGTCTTAACAACCACTGGAATTAATTCGAATTTCGCTACCATCGTGGGAGATTATGATAATGTCCACGGGAGATATTTAATATTCTACATTGATCGCAGAAGACTATGATAATGTTTCCTTGACCACAGTAGACAATAATGGTGAAAATTTGGTAAAACTAAAAATAAATGGTATCGGTATCGAGAAAAAATGATATTTTCAGATATCAGTATCATTATCTAAAATTGATAACTTTTTGTTACACATCACTAGTAAAAAATATTAGTTTTAGCACTATAAACTTTGTTTAGCATAATGGAATAGGCATAGAGAATTGAGAATTGATTACAAAGAATTGGAATCAAATTTCTTGAATCAACCCATCACTATTAAAAAATAAACAAAATGATATATTTGATTGGCTAAGTTAGGAGCTCGCCAATCAAACCAATGAATAACCATTAAGATTATGACTAATGATTGGTGCTAGTGATACTCACAGTTTGAGACATTGTGACTTGGTACAGTTGCAAGGCTTGCGAGGCCTGAGGCCGTTGTGAGACTCCGACGACTTGGTTCTCTGGGGGGCGGTGAGGGGGACGAATGTTTCCTTGGGCGTATACACCTCCTTGGCTTTGGTCAGGAGGGGGACTGACGCTGGTGCAGGCTTGGTGGGGGAGGGAGGTGACTGAAACATTACAACACACTCCACAACAACAAGAACAATATCTTTAACACATTCATAACCAGATGACACAAGTTGCCTCATAGAGTGTGATGGCTGGTAGACAACTTGTTAACTACCTGAGCTAAACATTCCACCCCATGTTAAATAAAGTTGCTGGAGTCATGGACAAAGTTGAATTTAGCCACCAACAGAGTGCGCTGATGTATATTTACTGATTTATTTAACCATTACTGTATTTAGCAAACTTTTAATTAAGTCAAACTGATAGTACGTGTTAATTTAAGAAAAAGATTAGTCTGTATACAGTTACATACTTTTAAGGTGACATCAATTAAAATAACATCAAAATTACTGTTGTAGATCTCTTTGACTACACATAGACTTTAAATTCCTACCAATAACTGAAATAAATAGGTTATTTAAATTGGCATAGACCAGTGTGTGAGTGGTCCGGACTATGGGAAGTTAGAACCAGATTCGAGACAGAGGAAGTTTACTGCAGTTTGTGAGTGTGGAAGCTACTTACAGGGACGGGCGGAGGCTTGTAATGCTTGATGAACTCCGATGGTACCATTACCATGTTGTTGGCGGTTGGCTTTGTATCTGATTTGGCTGATAGCTGACTCAATCCTGGACTGACCAACACTCTCTCAAATGAATTTGTGGTCTGAAACATCATGAAACAGTTTACTCTGGTTAATAGGAGAACACCAGTGATGTGTTAGATTATTCTATTTGTATTTTCTTAATATTTACTAAAATTAAGCCTAAGAAACTTTTCTCTACATGGTAGGTAAAAGAATGGTGGTACCTTTTTGTGAACCTGGTTGACAGCAAATACGATTCAATTCATAGGTATTTATTTATATAAAATTTGAGAAAGGACTTAAATAACTAAAAACTGTTTTGAACTGGGAATGTTTGGGATGAGACTGATGGATTGTCTCAAGAAACTCAACATTGAGTAAACAGAATGAATAGTAAAAGTTATGCGTGGGTTGAAATTTTCATTGATTCGGTTTGTTTTATTGGTAGTCATTTTTTTGTTTCAGATATGTGACTTTATCACCCACTTATATTTTAGCCTAAGTCACACTAATAATTTTCTTTGTGTACGGTTTTTGTGATAGTATTTGTATGTTGTTGTAGGGATCATTGCAGATGAAACTTAAGTTTCATTAATAATTGGTGAGAAATGTATGTAATAATCCTTGTAAAAATTATGCTATTAATTCATATTACAATTATTCTTATACACTCATCAAGACTTTGTAATCGTTTTAGCACATGTCTTGAATGGTTACCAATAGAAAGGTAGTATCAGGTTTTTAAATGAACCTAAACTTTTTGTAGTGTGCATTTATTATAATCAAATCTCATCATGATAATAATACATGATCTTGAACATTCTTCATGTATAAATGTATAATTCTTAAATGTATAATTATTTTTAAGTATTCGTATTCAATATTATGATTGTTGTTTTGTTACAATAGATAAGTTTGATGACAAATCACCTGTCAATCATTGATGTAACGTGATGATAATAAATAAATAAATAAATCGTGACAAAATCTCAAACATTCTCTGCAATCAAGAAGACATCATCTCCTACGATGGTGGCAAAATCTTGACATTTTGTGTGATAGCAAAAAGCAAAGACATTTTCATCATATCTCGCAATAGTGACAAACTGAGACCATTTCTCATCACAAAGTCATCTTTGTCGTCCAAGATCACGGCAAAATCCTGGATATGTACAGCGTTCATTCTTGTTGATATCAATAATACCATTCTTGTTGATATCTACCGCGGCCATGTGGACATTATCATTGTCTTCAATGACCACAGCAAAATACTTTTTCTTTCTCACTGAGGATATTTTGAAGGGCCTCCTGATAATTACTTGCACATTTGCTCCACTTTGTTTAGAGACACATGAAAAAAAACTGTAGCCTACTTCTATCTTTGTACAGGTTTTATTGACATTTTCTGTTATTGGGTTGACATTCCCTGAAACTGCATTCAAAATGTGTAGTTCTGAAACGTATCCACATATTTGTGTAAACTTCTGAAGTGTCCAAACCAGAGGGAGTCTATTCAACAAATATAAGAAATATTAAAAATTTTAAAAAGTAATTGTAAACTAACCTGAGCTGCATTAGTAGTAGGTTTGGATGCCAATTGTAACATTTTCACTGAAGAATTCCCAAGCTGCACTTCAGACACTGCTTGTGAGGTTGCAGGGGTGGTTGGGGGTGTTGGGGCTGGTATGATGGTGGGGGGAGGCGGTGGTTCCTCTACTGTAGACAGTCCTACCCCTGCGTTGTTAGCGGCTGAGGGGGGTGTGGTAGTCACAAGCCTCACGTACTGTACCTAACAAGTAAGGTAGTAAGTAAAGCATGACGAGAATATTGTCTTATATGATCAGAAAGATTTAGGTAAATTCAATTTTTATATTTATTCATTCCACCAAAGAAAGAGTATTTTTTGTCTTCCATGTTACCTTCCTACAGAATCAATCAATTAATTGCTATAATTATCCTACAAAAGCTAGTTCTTTGCTCTCCTGACGGCAAAGATTTTATAATACACCCTGCAGCCAGCAAACCTGCAGAATAAACAAATTTCAATTTGGCTGATTGATTTTTCCTCAAATATTTTTTATAAACAAGTCATACCGGTACTTATACAGGGTGTCCCGGAACTCTCTACCAATATTTTAGGGCATTGCTCCTGGGTAAGAAACATAACTAGGAATGCGGCCTCAGGTCCGCCAATTGAGCGGAGTAAGCAAGCTTTGATATAAACAAATAACTTTAATTTGTTTTCATGATTCAAATTGAATACATGATGACGTCACTATAGCAACAATCCAATTGAATTCTCGTGGTTGGTTGGAAGAGTTAAAGGAAATATGAATCAAGTCAGCTGTTTCTATTAGGTCATTGATTTTTACTTGTATATATGAGTACTTGTCGCTGATTTAGTTAGTTAGTTTTACAAGTACTATGAGTACTTGTAAAACTGTGTGTTTGTAATAGCATAAAGATAAGTATTATTTTGTCAATATCCTAATGTTTGTTTAGCTCCCATTTATGTAATAGGCCTATAGGCTTACTTCTCATTTCCTCCAACTAAAACATTTAGCCAATTAGTAAACTTTGCTCAGCGAACAGAATGACAGAAGAAGGTGACTATATATAGCAATACCATAGTCAATGGTCACCACAGGAAATAAGACGTGGCTATTTTCACGAGCTGATGATACCCTGAAAAAGATGGTGGTTGCCGCGACGCTAGTGCCATTGAATTGGTGACGTTTGCGCTAGCTTCACCCCGTTGCCAAAATAGGCCTACTGTACTCAATAAATAGATTAGATTTTAAAGACGACACTGGATAGAGAATTGATTAATTAAACAAGAATATATTTATTCCTCATGCTAAATTACAGCATAATTAAGTAAAATACTGTATATGCATAATAAACTACTGTACAACAAAATTATTAAAATCAAATATAAAAGACGTTTTTATATTAGGCTATGGCAATTTAATTTGAGAACCTGCACTGTGTTGATGTAAAGCCTATTTATTGGGTTGTACTAAATTTTCAACCAGACATAAAAATGCCAACATGCTGTTCTGTTAGCTGTAATAATTCATCTACGGGAAAAATAGGAATATTATATCACGCTTATTTTATAACTAAACTCCCGTACAGGCCAAGCAGTCTAGGCTCTACTTTTTGTAATTATTACCTTATTATCTTCATCTTTTACCCAAAATAAGGGATTGATGGCGTCAGACTTTCAAATAAACATATATACATTTAAACAAACAGACATAAATTACTGAACATATATTTACAACATTGGCATGTGTAATTGTAACTGTGTCTGTATATCTGCACAGAGAAAATTATTTCCACACTTATAAGCTATAAATTGGACAACACAAGTTAACAAGTTTAGTTAAATATTTAATTATAATAAATAGCCATAACTAAACTTCTGTATAGGCCTAGCAGTCTAGGCATTAGGCCTACGCATCGTAATCGTAACTGTACAAGCCTAACCAATTATTTACACGCCTTAGTGGACTTCTATAAAATCTTAGGTAATTATTTATTTATTATAGTCGCAACTGGACTTGAGTGTGCAAGCCCAGCAAATCACTGTATTTATTTAGGATAGGCTACCGTTTATAATATTTGAAAATACTGAATTCCTGCTTCGGAAATACAGTTTCTATAGTTTTCAATTTGAATACTCTCTTTTACTGTTTATAAACTAAGTACCTGGAGACCGAGCTTTGCTCGGGGAAAATCATTCCCCCACTCTGCGATGCCAGCCTTTACTACTTCCTTCACCATTTCCTACGTAATTGTTTCCTTTCCCTTCTCATAGCATTTAATTATTACGGATACATTAATATAACTGCCACAAACGGTTCCCACACTCTGCGATGCTAAACTTTACTACTTCCTACGTCGTGGACGTGTTGTCATCTCTAACCATTGCATTTTAGTATTTTAAATACATTAATCTAATTGCCAACAACATTTCCCACACTCCGCACTGCTAGCATTTACTAATTCTTTAACCATTTCCTATGTCTTGGACATCTTTCCATCCCATCTCATAGCATTTCAGTATTTCAATTTCAGATACAGAAATCGAACTGTTACAATTGGTTTCCAGTTCCCAGACTCCACAGTGCTCGCCTTTACTACTTCCTTCACCTCTTCCTACGTCGTGGACCTGTTTCCCTCCCTTCCCATTGCATTTTAAGATTGCAGATACCTTAATCTAATCCTTATAAACAGTTCCCACACTCCGGACCGCTCACCTTTACTGCTTCCATCACGACTTCCTACGTCACGGTCCTGTTTCCCTTCCTTCCCATAGCATTTTAGGATAACAGATACCTTAATCTAATCGTCATTAACAGTTCCCACACTCCGGACTACTCGTCTTTACTAATTCCTTCACCACTTCCTACGCCGCGGACCTGTTTCCCTCCCTTCCCATAGCATTTTAGAATTTTAGATACCTTAACCTAATCGTCAAAAACAGTTCCCACACTCCGGACTACTCTCCTTTACTACTTATTTCACCGCTTCCTTTAGTATTTTAGGATTGTAGATACCTTAATCTAATCGTCATAAACCGTTCCTACACTCCGGACTACTCACCTCTACTACTTCCTTTAACACTTCCTACGTCGCGGACCTGTTTCCCTCCCTTCCCATAGCATTTTAAGATTGTAGATACCTTAATCTAATCGTCATAAACAGTTCCCACACTCCGGACCGCTTACCTTTACTGCTTCCTTCACGACTTTCTTACGTCGCGGACCTGTTTCCCTCCCTTCCCATAACATTTTAGGATAACAGATACCTTAATCTTATCGTCATTAATAGTTCCCATACTCCGGACTACTCGCCTTTACTACTTCCTTCACCACTTCCTACGCCGCGGACCTGTTTTCCTCCCTTCCCATAGCATTTTAGGATTGTAGATACCTTAATCTAAACGTCATAAACAGTTCCCACACTCCGAACCGCTCACCTTTACTGCTTCATTCACGACTTCATACGTTGCTGACCTGTTTCCCTCCCTTCCCATAGCATTTTAGGATAACATATACCTTAATCTAATCGTCATAAACAGTTACCACACTCCGGACTAATATTTACCACAAAACTAATAACAACAATTAAAAGAAATAATCTACTTGGAATAATTCGGTAAGGCCGCCAGAAATTATGCGAATCGGTGTATTGTTAATCAACGCTTAATGGTATTCATCAGACTCCTTTTCTTTTGTACTGTCTTTTGTAAATTGGCCATATGTGCATGTGCAAGCTGAGGTGCCCGTGGGTACAGAATGTCTGGTCGCATACGCTACGATTCTTTGTTTACATCTACGTTGTTATCTCGTAACCATCATGGCAACTCATAAGACTCATGTTAAACATTGCAAATTTTATGTCAGTCTTAAATTGTACAGGTATCATCAAATTGAAATTTGTTTGTATCGAAACATCAAACATATTTGTCGAAATACCCCTGGTAAGTTTGGATTCAATATGTTCAGCCGTTATTGAGTTAATTGATTACATAGTTTGCATAAGGTCCGATCTCAAAGAGCTTCGCTCGCTTCGCTCGCTCCGCTCAACTAAATATCATATTTAAACTGTCCGGAAGTCCTTAGTTACTCACACAGCCACCATTTTGTTTTTTTCAGATATTAATTTTTTTCTAAAGAATGGTTAAACAAACGAAATGGAAACTTTGCACAAACATTTATGACAACTAGACAAAGCTACCAAAAAATTATCACGATTATTCAAATTCATAAAACAAAATGGCGGCCATTTAAAATTTTTGTAAAATCAATGGTTTTGAGTTATTTAAGAAAAAAAAGTTTTAAATGGCCGCCATTTTGTTTTATGAATTCGAAAAATCGTCTTAATTTTTTTGTAGCTTTGTCTAGTTGTCATAAATGTTTGTGCAAAGTTTCCATTTCGTATGTTTAACCATTCTTTAGAAAAAAATTAATAACTGAAAAAAACAAAATGGCGGCTGTTTGAGTAACTAAGGACTTCCGGACAATTTAAATATGATATTTAGGTACTTTTCTTACCCAGGATCAATGCCCTAAAATATTGGTAGAGAGTTCCGGGACACCCTGTATATATATATATAAACAAGCAAACTACAACCGTTTTCTTTTTCACCATAAGAATAACATGTGAATTTAAAATGAAATATATATATTAAATATTATTTATGTATTTATACAGGCAAAAGTTAGGGCCACATGGCCCTTTCTTACACTTAACCTGTCATAAATATAACACATATATTTTAACAATTACATTAATATACAACAAAAACAAAATCTAAATCATGGATACAGAAACATTAACAAAAGAAAATAACTTACATTTTAAACTGTACAAAAATAATCTTCCTCTCTCCCTCTCTCTCTCTCACACACATACACACACACACACACACACCAAGCACATCTGTCAGTGACCAACCACGCGGACAAGCCCCTAGGACAAACCAACCATGGCCATAGGTTCAAAATACATATTTTTAGCGCTGCCACAAACCGGGAACGGTTATCAAGGGATTTGATGGCTAAGGGCCTAAACGCTTGTTTATGATTAGATCGTATTATTTGACTAAACAAGATTTTAAATTACTGAAATAACAAAAAAAACAAATTGTAAACAAACACGACTTCTACAGTTCACCGTACAGAACTAACAATAAAATTGGCTTCAGCCGTTCTATATGGATGAGAAATCTACTAAGGGAGTATGTTTTATCTATTGCATTACAGGACATGTATTTTTATGGTTTTGATAGAATTGTCTGAGTAAGGTAATCAAACCCTGAATCTAGACTTACTTTCTGCTGTCCAGGTAACTGTATCTGGTGTATCTGACTGCTCAACCCATCCTGAGAAGGAAACTGCAGTATTTGACCTTGAGAAGAGCTTGTTGCATTGGTCAGAAATGTGTTGGCAAACGATCCAGTCTTCACTCCTGGGGACTACAAAACAAACATACTTTTTAATCCACTGTATAGAATTAACCATACCTTGATAGCCTTTATAGTATGTATACAGACAGCAAAATTATTTTATTGAAATAAAACAAAACAAAAAAATGTATATCTATAATTTACAGAATGTTGTAAATAGTTGACCTAAGCAGCACTATTTAAAAAAAAAAAAATTTAGCCTACTTTCTTTGTAATTTATTTTTTATATTTTTTATTAATAGTTTCTTTTTCTAGAAAAACATTTCTAGTAGTCCTACATCGGTTAAAGATTTAATGGAATAAAAAGATGTTTTTACCAAGATTAATAAAGCTATAACAATAACTGTTGTAATAATCGGAATATATATCCACCAACCGTCTGCTATGCACAAAATGCTAGCGGATATATCCGCCTGTTAGTCCTGGAAGGGTTAACAAGTTAACTATTTTCAAGATTAAGCTTAAAATGATTACATTAGTTTTAAATATTATTTGAAACTAACAATCAACTTAAAGCATTAGCATAATAGTTAAGTGTAAGGAGTATATAACCATTCTGAAATGTTACTGTATTAAGTTTTAATTTCTACAGAATAAATTCCAATCAATAGTACCATGTGTCAAGAGCTGAATTCCTCCACACAATAAAATACATATCATGTACACCAAAACCTAATATTTGAATTTAGGTCACATACAAATCCACCTTCAACCCATTGATGCCGAGTCACATACTTGGCCTCTCACTGAGGTAGCCGTACTCCTAACCCACAAAGTAATTCGTGGGATCCAACCTGTGTCTAGCGTCACAGAAAACATACTACTATAACCCAGAATGCTAACATGCTAGCGTTGCTATGCTGGTGCATTGTATGCTGGTGGCGCTGCCTTCGAATTGACAGGCAAAGCTCTCTCCGAGTAATTAACGCTTTTTACCATGCGGCTTGTCACGTGGGCAGTCCGTATTAAGTTAACTAATGTGTGGCTTAGCCGATGGAAGGGATTAGCTAAGCCACTTCAATAAACGGTGTCCAGCTTGGGTGGAAGTTGACAGTCTTAGTGAGTTTAATAAGGATTGCACACCACACCTTTTTTTGCTTCTTTTCACATCGAGGACACAGATTTTTTGCCTCTAGTTTGGTTAGGACTAAATACGAACAAATTGTTTTGAAATACATATACAATAAAAGACATACTCTAAAAAATAATGAAGAATAGAGATTTTTTTAAAAAATCCAGCATCAATGGGTTAAGATTTATTTTAAACTTAGTGTAGAATATAGGCCCATTTAGAAAATACTCCTGCCACAGCAATCCTGCAGACTAAGCAAATTTCCATTTGCATTTTGCCTGATTTGATTTTTAATTAAATCTATTCAAATAACATTAGGTTTAACGAGTACCTAGGTTTGCTGCCTACTGAATAAAGTGTGTTTTAGTAAAATATTAATAGCTTAGTATAAAATAAATAGATTTGCCAGGTTTGATCTAAATATATCCATAAACAAGCAAACTAGGCCTACAACAGTTTACTTATTCTCCACAAGAATAACATGGGAATTTTTAATTTACAATTTTCTCCATATAAAAAATTATCATACAGAAACACTTCATACTAAATTATTTGTTTTATTCAGCTCTTCAAAATGGTCTAGAGAAAATTTGGGAAATTTTAAGTTTTGAGGGTCAAAAACAAGAGAAACAAATTTTTACCCCATAAAACCCCTGTTCCCATAGTCCGATCATGCTGGTTCGCAAACTCTTTAGAATAAACGTAGGTTTACACGTTTTATGATTACTTATTGATTACAAACACGTTTGTACCAAATTTCATCAAAATCGTATAATTTTCGCTCGAGTTATCGTACTAACGGACACACATATATGAATTTGAACGAATGGTGTTTTTGGCTTCTAGGGACATCAAAATGAAAAAGTAAATCGGTCCTGGGTCCAAGTCTTACCATGAGACCTACGGTAATAGCTTATTCCCTATATAGGAAATTCGCTAAAAGACAGCTTGATTCGAGTAAAGCAGATTTGCCTGTTAGTAATGTAATGAACCCTAAAATTGTAAATGAGCGTAATGACTGGAGCAGGAGGTCCAGATACTTACATGACGTATTATGAACCGTTGATTAGAAGGCGCAATGTGTTGTAGCTGGCCTGTAGAGGGCAAAGGTAGGATCTTAGTTGGGGATGACTTCACCATAGCGTATGTTTTGCTGGGATCCATCATTATGCTTTGCCTGACCATACTCTGCAAAAAATGGGAGCATGCTGTTTTAGTTCTTAAATTTCAATTTGATTTTCACTCCCTGTTCTTTGTGATGTGTACATTTTACTCTTTAAACAATTACAGTCTAACCTTGATATAACGAACCTCGATATAACAAATTCCTTGATATAACGAATTTTGTTTAATCCCCTAGAACTCTCCTTAAGACACAATCTATATTTTACCTCTACATAACGAACAAACCACAACAATGACCTTGATTTAACGAATTTTTCGTGATTTTGGCTAAAATAAGACACCTCAATATAGCGAATTTATCATTGTCAGAACCTCTACATTGCGAATTTAACCTCTGCATAACGAGTTGTCTACGTCTTTCCCTTGATATAACAAATCCCCCACCCAATTATTGTTTTGAGAAAATCTGTTTCTTTATCAAATGAAATGGAAAGGTCACGTCATCGCTTGCGCTAACATTCGTCTGCTCCGTTTTAACATCCTTGTCTGCTGTCGCTGCGCGCGCTATGTTGCAACTGAGAACTGATTTCATTCACTAAGGGAGGACTGATGACGATGTAATGTTTAGTAAGCTGTGATTGGGCGATATGGGATAGCTATGGTGAATTGTACAATTTTTGGATAAAGAGAAACCTAAGGAAGAATATAAAAACAAAATCAAAGAGAAAGAATAGCAACATCGTTATTTTAACATTCCTTTTACAAGTGTTTTTATTATCCTTAAGTTGGCTATGATTATACACTTTTATAATGACTTATCTAATAATTTATTGTTTTCAATACGATTTGTTTCAACTAGCAACACCTATAGTTGATGATTATTATTGACATTCCTCTGTTATGATAAATCAGTACTGTACTGTAAGTAGCCTACCGGCCTATCACGAGCAGTAGCTTACAACACTTTCTACTGTTTTGTTTTGTTCTATACATGGTTTATTACTACGCAATACAGTGTTTGGCTAGGTTTTAGGAGGGTTAGATCAAGCTGTGATTTTAAACTTTTACAGTTTTTAACCTGTACCAAGGTCAATGCCATTGTCATGATTGCGCAACATTCAAGATCCCTCCCCTATTATGCCGGATAATTTAGGTTCTACTGTACAATGTAAACACTGTACTATAAAGTATTGTAGCCTATGCTACTTTAATTGTATTTTAATGAGGTCGAATCCCGACCAATATCCCTCCGAGCGTCACTCGTCGAAAAATCGACGCGCGACACACTTTGTGTAGTGTCACGCGTCGATTTTTCGACGCACGAACATCGTTTACGGCGAAGGCTCTATGACTGACTGAATCGGATCAAGTTAGGTATCGTTCATTTCGTTATATTCTATGCTTTCTCCAGAGGTCTGTCTCTAAGCGCTTTATGTTCTCCGAGCCGATCGTAATTGTAGCAGACAGCTGACGTGCGTATTTATAACCAGCTAGGTTACCCTCGGACCGATGACTGATGTGTTTTATTACGTTTATCATTGTTTTAGTGTTAAAAATCAAAAGTAGTGATATACGTGGTGCATTATAAGAAGATTTAAGTGATTTTGAAGGGCTGGTTGATGATCCTGAAGAAGTAGGTAGTGATATTGATGTAAATTATCAGCCAGATTCCTAGCTATGGTTAGGCTATGCATTCTTAGCTAAACGCTATGTACTGAAATCTGTTTTTTGCCCATAACTTATTTATTTGCAAATCTACTTCCTTATATTATTATATATTTGTAATCCTCATAAAATTTAGAACAAAGTGGCTATTTTCAAATATTTATAAGCCTATAATTTATACAATTTCATTGAGCGCGAACTTATTTTTTTTTTTTGAAAATTTTCCAAAATATTTTTTTTTACCTTTAAAAAATTTTTTTGAAACAAATGTTCCTTATGTTTTATGTATAATATTGAAGCCCATGATTTTCCAAACAAAATGGTATATAGAACAGTAGAATTAACATTGTTTTAAGCTTCTCAGATCCGTTTTAATAAAACCTTGCAAATGCGCCAAAAATAGGCGGACATTAAGGCCTAAACTATGGACACTCGGAGGGATATTGACCGACGCTGGTTCTGAACCTCAACTTAGCGAAATTCCTGCAAACCTAACCACTGAATAACGAACCTCGTTTTAACGAAATCCTTGATATAACGAATATTCAGTTCGGTCCCTTCAGATTCGTTATATTGAGGTTGGACTGTATTGGACTTTTTCCGTTAATTCACTACCACTAGTTTTTAGAGCAATAGAAGTGGTAATGAATTAAACTTTGGTTAGGTTAGGTTGTAGAGTTTAGTAATGACTTAGAAAAACCTAACCTAACCTAGCTTAACCACATTCCACTAGTGGTAGTGAATTAACGGAAAAGGTCCCAATTATTTGCTTTTGCTTACCTACTATAAAATGTTTGAAAATGTCTAAAATGCAGATTAAAATCTGCCAATGTAAATAATCAAATCTCATGGCCACTAGTCGCACATTAAAATTAGTTCCCATTTTAAAAAAAATTGACTTTTCTAAGCTCTTGAAAACATTGTGAAAAAAAGAAAATTCACAACAAAGTTAATATTGACCCTAATTGTTAAAACAGAAATGTCTTGATGTATTACAAAAACTATCTATTACCAGAAAACTTAGTTTGATAGAACATTTAAAACAAAATGATACCATGGAGTAAATCAAATATACTGTACCGTAGTTGATTTGTTATATGGCAAGGCCCTTTTCTAGAAGTATAACAACAATTTTTGCTAACAACTGTAGTTTTGAAAGCAGATAGGTAAGTTTTTTTTTACTTAATTCACAGTTTTTCATTTAAAACCCAATTATAACTTCTTTTACTGTTTGTGTAGTTGATAGCACACTGGTAATGGAATTTTTTCCCTAAGCCTAAGTCCTAGGTCTGATAGGCTTACCCTCTGTTGGTGAGGTATGATTTGTTGTACTTTTCCCGGAGATAACTTGAGTCCCATCTCTCTAGCTTGCGCCAGAGTGATTGTTCTTGGAGAATTGAGGATATTTTTGTTCTGTCCTATGATTCTGATGGCTTGGCCCCCTGACTCTCCAATGAGGATAGGTGAATCTGACGAAATGTTGTTTTGCGTGTTTGGTGTGAATATAACTTTGGTCAGCACCTGGAATAATGTATGGTAAATCATTGATTCTAAGAACACATTTTCATACGTACTGATCAATTTGGCTACTACATAGTGTAAAAAAATTAATTGCTACTGATTCTGATCTGAATGTATGTAAATGATTTTTAGGCCCTAATAAATATGTTTTAATAAATAATAAATCAGATTTCAAATAGGTAAATAATTTTAAATTATAGTTGTTTTAATTAAGTTTCTTCCCATTACAAACCTTTCCTACATTAAACAACTTTTTTACAGCATTCAAAGTTGCGTGTCTCAACTTTTCCACTTCTCACAGTTTGACAAAATCATTTTATTATATTTCTACTTGCAAATGCTTCCCTTTTGAATATTGTCAGATAAAATTTAAATCCCTTCTATAAAGTGTAAGAAAAGCATTCAGAAATAATACAAATTTAGACTCATAGGCATATATAACACTTACACTTTTCTTTACACTAGTTAGATTGAAAGATCCCGGCCTTTTCCCTTTGAGCGCCTCGGGTAAGGGACGTATAGTTTTCAGCTGCGGAAACGACACAGGCACAGTCATGGCAGGTTTGATAGGAACCATCTTCTTCTCCACTGGCACTGGAGGGGCTTCAATCGTTATCGTCTGTCCTATCTCTAGGTTATCTTCCAACATGTCAGTGATCTCTTGATGCCGGTTCTCCATGTCGGGTATGTCCGGCAGTGTTGAAATGTCCATGTCTTCCTGGTCCTGTCCGATTGTAACTTCATGGTCGACGACATCGACATCGTCCACAGTAGACATGCTCATGTCTGTGTCATCCTGGAGCTCGGCACCTACCAGCTTGTTAAGCGCCTCTTGTATGTCCTCAAGGTTTGACAGCTGGTCAGGGTGGAATTCTGATAGTTCCCCCATTTCTGGTACAATCGTCTCTCCATCACTGGAGGCTGCACCTATCAAAACAGATTTTTAATCATTTCATTTATGGTGATTTTAATGGTTTCTATCTTAATTGCGAAAAAAAAACATAAGATAATAGCCCACTTGGGTAATACCATAGACAAAAAGAGTTAAATATAGACCGTCAGCTGTGCTGCGGTTACCATAGGTTCTGGCGCACACCACTAGGAGCGCCATGATGTTACAGCATACACGCTAAGTAGCTACACGGCGCTCCCAGCGGTTGACGCCAGAATCTTTGGTTACCATGGTAACCACATCACGGCTGACAGTCTATATTCAATTCTTTTTGTCTATGATAATACATAGTCGTATAATATAACATAGCAGCATCATTTTCCTAGCCCTTACGTTTAAATATTTTCAAGAGATCAGTTCAAAATCGTAGGCCAATTGGATAATTGGATAGGAATGGATTTACAATAAAATGTCTCTTTATAAATATCACATTTTTTACCTATTAAAAAAGAATTAGTTTAACGAGTACCAGTACTTAGGTTTGCAATATTGCAACAGGACCCTCCCTGTGTTTTTTGTTGTAAAATGTTAATAGAGTAAGAAATGAATGTATTTTCCAAATTTGAAAAAACATATTTTTACTCCATAAATCCCCCATAAACACCCGTTCCCATAGTCCGATCGAATGAATGTAGGTTTACACGTTTATACCAAATTTTATCAAAATCGGACCATTTTTGCTCGAGTTATCGTGCTAACGGACACACATATATGAATTTGAACGGATGGTCTTTTTGGTCTCTAGGGACCTCCAAACAAAAAAGTAAATCGGTACCGGGTCCAGGTCTTCCTATGAGTAGGCCTACTACGGTAATTAGCTTATTCCTTATATGGGAATTTCGCTAAAATAAATATATTGGCCAAGTTTGTTCAAATCCATAAAACTAAAGAGAAATCGTGTAGGCCTAGCCTATAACAAATGTATTTATTATAGTGTCCAAAAAAATATGTAACATTTACTACAAAGAGGTCTCGAAAAATTCTAGACCCCACCCAGCAAACAACCTAAAGCATTTTACATTTATAAAACTGTAATTTATGTTGTTAAGTTATTAAATTACGATATGTTTATAATTCGAATTACTTTTAGAATACTATTTAGAAGCCATGTACAAAATATGCAAACGGTCAAAATAAAATCATGCACCAAAAGGCCTAAGTTACCAAGTCCAGTTACGGGTAAGTACACTTTGTGATTAGCCACAAACTATCACCAAAACACATGAATAAGTTGGGGTAACTTTTTGAAGGTTTAAAATGTATTTTTCAACGATTCAGGACCATAACCTGCAATTCTATAACCAAAACAACACGTAAACAGACATTTACTAGAACGTAAACAGTCGAAACAACAACAGACGAACTAGCTTTGTAAATCCAACTACTATATTGCGTAATGGTTTTTGATTGGTTGACCACATTTCTCAGCTCAATTGTAGGCCTAGAGTAAAAAGCAAAATAAGTTAAGTTGTTGCCAACCTCCTTCTGTCCCATTTGGTGTGATTTGGTGCAGCCAGCTTTTTACCTAGGCCTACTGAATTGTGATAGGCCCTACAGTATAAAGTGATCTTCTTCGGAGCGTCTCGCTCCGAGATGCCGGCATTTTTAACGCAATCTCAACCGTCTCGCTACAAGACACTCGGGACTCAAGCTACGTCAATGGTGCGTCTCGGAGTGAGACGCGGCGGCACTCAAAAGGGTTAACTTACAAGAAGCCTACCTATGCAATTATAGAGGGATTAAGGAGATTGGATGATAGTGACTAAGGTTATAAAATTGACCCACAAGATAAAAAACAATAGTAAGCATAGGGTTCTATCTAGTAACTTACTGTACACAAATAATAACCATGAAATAAACAGCAGAAACCATTATGGTATTTATTGTGACGAACGTGACCATGGGAACCTAGGCTATATAGATTTATTTATCACTAGAAACTAGATTTTTAGCTGAAAATAACGGTGCAAAAATTTTTCCGCGCTCTCAAATATTAACGGAGTTACGGCTGTTTTAAGTTTTATCCACCGGTACTTTGTTTTTTTGACCTAACCTATTTATAAGCCTATTAAATGTTCTCCCCAGATACTTGATATATTACGTTAATTGTAAGTAATTAAAGTAGAAGACTCACTTTTTACCAGGAAAAAACAGCGCAAAAATGTCTCCGAGGCCACGAATATTAACTAAGTTAATGTAACTTAAGATAATTTTGTTGTTTTGATTTCCTTTATCTACCTTCTATTCTAGTCTGCTACTGCTTGCCGCATTACGGAATTACGGAACGGACTAACTGTTACTTGTACTTACTTTGTACAACTATACTGAACCTGAAATGAAAATGAAAATTTACAAAATTGAAGAGAAGAGAATAAAAATAAGTCAATCAAGTCATTTAAATTACTTATACTACAAACATCTAAGAAACAACACGGCACTGAATAACTTATTCCAGAATGATTTTATTTAGGTATGTGTGGAAGGAAAGTCGGGTTTATGCGGATTCGTGACTGTATTAAGTGTTTTGAAGTTAGGTTAGATTAGGAAGGTAAAGTGTAGGTTATAGTGAACTGAGTTGATAATTTATATTACACACAGACAGTTGTTGTGCAATTAAAATACAGTAGTGTGTTAAACACAATATGAAATCGTTATTTTGTTGTGTTTAACACACTATTTTAATGGCACAGCAACTGTCTGTGTGTAATATAAATTATCAACTCAGTTCACTATAACCTACACTTTAACTTACCTAATCAACCTACCTTCAAAGGACTTAATGCAGTCACGAATCCGCATAAAGTCCGACTTGCCTTCCACACAAGCCTTTTCTGTCATCATACTTATATTTTATGCTACAGCAAGTTTGGTTTGGTTAAGTTAGTTTAGAATAGTTTAATTTTAATAATAATATGTATTCATAGACTAATCAACGTGTTATTTCAGTCAATAACACAATCACTCATCCCCTGGTTATATTACCAAATGTAAAGCACAGTTCATTACTAATATATTCAATAATACTTTACTGTAGTACTCTCACATGCACTAGACATGGAAAAACTTCAGATTTTAGAATGGAATGAGAAGTCTACCATTGTTTGTTAGTGTATGTTTAATTAGTTGTTAGGCCTTAGAAGTATGCCTACGTAAAAATCCTTATTCTAGGTATAAGGATTCAAAAGGGCATAAAAGCTACATGGTTAAAGTAACAATGTTGGCCTATTTTGTGGAGTGGATTGGATTACTGAAACTTGGAACTGGATTTTGTCAAATCCATCATGACGCCACCACTATCACTATCAACTACACTAACCATTTCACTTAGCTGCGTACAGCTTAGCTATCTTGTTTCCCGAACGTTCTTTATGCTGAAATTAATAAGTTTGTGTTAATTAACCTATTGATTGTTAGTGTGAGTCTAATATTTACTTAAAATCACTCACAATTTACATAAATTTAATAGTTATACAAAGTTTCTGGTGAGGAAATATCGTCAATTAAAACAGACTAGTCAGTAGACTTACAAAGGTACCTAAATAAAACTTCAAACAGCCGTAACTACGTTAATATTAAGCAGTGAGCGCGAAAACATTTTTGCACCGTTATTTTCAGCAAAAAATCTAGTTTCTGGTGATATATAAATCTATATAGGTTCCCATGGTCACGTTCGTCGCAATAATTACCACCATTATTACTTTGGCTATAATTAAAACTAACAAAAGTTTTTTAAGTTAAATGCCTACTTAACTTAGTGTAGTATTAACTTAGCGATATAGGCCTACACTGAGACCTAGACCTAGTACCAGTAGGCTAGGCCAAGAAACTAGGATATTTCTTTAAATTGTTTAATTTACCTGACTATAGGCCTAATATTTTAGGCCTACAGTTAGGACCCAGACTTGGCATTTATTTCTTTTCACATCCAAAAAACTCTGGATGGATAGATAGATCTTAGCAATGTATGACTAAGCTCGATGAATGAAAACCTTACAGAATTGCCTTAGAAAAATAATATTGGGTAGGTTTAACTTAAGAGTAGCCTACCTAAGTACACAGGTAAGGAATGTTTAAACTATAAAATATGTTAAGATTAGGAGATAATGGACCTAATCATTATCTATTTTAAGACATACGTGGGGTTGTACTGTTAAATCTAGCAAATGAATAAGAAAAGGTATGGAAAATCAGATCTTAAAGGTGACAGCACTGTCTCATCATTTGAATTATGCTTTCAATTACAAATCTAAGTAACTCTGCATCCGTGACAAGGAAGCAAGAAAACAAAAGTTTCTAGGCTAAATTAAATCATAAATATTTTGCACTAGCAATCAGCAGCTAAGCTACAGATAAAGCAAATAATAACATTAATAATTATCTGAAAATTCAAATATTATCACCTGTAAAAATTGAGGACATCACGACTTAGTTCAAAATCACGCGCCCACCATTACAATCCCAGGATGCACTTCGAAAAATGTACCATTTTCAGAAGTTCAATTTGGTTGCAATGGAGTGATATTCGTTCAACTCATTTACCTGAAAAATTCGAAGTAGGGATTTGAAAATTAATCTTATCTCATCACAAAACTAATAATTCAAATGCCAAAATAAAATTTCACTAATTACAGGAATTTATACCAAAACCCTTAAAGCATAACAAACTTCGCCTAAGATTCGCGATTTTAGACCAACAAAGAGGACAACGCAGATGTGTTTTTTGACAAAATCAAAGTCATGGACCATCAAAATAAAAGTGAATACTAATAGGCAATGACAATACGTATTATGTAAAATCATTATAATCCTATATTGTTTCATTGAATCACTGATTCTACTAACTACAGTGTGCTTGAAAAGTCCTGGAACGGTGTAATATATATATATACTAGCTGTACCCGCGGGCTTTGCCCCGTTTTAACTTCTTAATTTTCAAGATGAGCTCGTTCGCATGGCTCAATCACGTCCTGGTTGAAGTGCGTTTGCTACGCTAACTCGCCTCCAGGTTGAAGTTCGTTCGCTACACTCACTCACCTTTTGGTTGCAAATTAGCTGTTGTCATAAATTAAAAATAATAATAATAGTGCTGCACCCTGTTGGCAATCCTTGTAACTTTAAAGCTATTGAACATCATAGAACAGAACCAACTTGTTTAATTGAAACAGCTGATAAGATTCATTAATTCCTTTTAAATATGAAAAATCATAAGGTTAACATGGGAAACTCCAGAGCCACTGGGGCGGAGCCCGAGAGTCCGATCAGAATAAAAACAACTTAGTTTTCCTATTTAATGCCTAAAGAATCGGTGTACCAAATTTCAGCCTCCTAGGTAAATGGGAAGTGGGAGAATTAGTGATGAGTGAGTGAGTGAGTGAGTGTGTCAGTGAGGGCTTTGCCTTTTATATATTTAGATATATTACTAGCTGTTACCCACGGGCTTCGCCCCGTTTGACTTCATAAATATTAATAAAACTATTAATTGGTTAGGTTTTTTTGTTTAATTTAAATTCTGTTCTATAATATGTTGAACAATAAGTAAATGCCATGCAATACAGCAAAGTAACTTTTGAGAATTAAAAATAGCTGTTAAGCACTGTCAACAACAGATTTTTCGATAAAAACTTTACAAAAATCTGAAGGGCAGGTCCAGAATTGATGTTCTCTTAAGTCGGTAAATTGTATCCGTGTTTTTTTAGTAAGTTCAACGATAAATGATTTTGATGACATTCTAATTTCGAAATATATCTTTCACTTATGCCCACAAGGGGGGCATCAGTCACAAGGGGGTGTGACGCAGACTGCGTCATTGGAATTCTTGGGGGGGGGGGGGTGCAAAAAAATCAAATGGGGGGTTGGCTAAAGTTAATTGCAACAGTGTTCAACGTGACGACAATAAAAAATATATTACGAAATCACCAGATAGGAAGTCGATTAATGAATGACAATAGTTATATTATTGAATTCAATTAGTTAAAATAGGATTTTGATAGTTTAGGATTCGTGTAGGAAGTTATTATTCAAGATTAGCAAGACGTGAGATCTAAGAGGGAGGGCACGGAATGACTCAACTCCTGTGAGCTGTGATGGATAAAGATAACGCGTGGTACAGACACATCCAGCTACACTGCGACTCGGCACAGAACGCTTTGTTGACATAAAGCTCGTTAAAATACAATCAAGTAGCATATACTACAATACTTTACACTATTGTGTACATACTCGATTACCTGAGTTAATAGGGAGGGGGGTAATAAAAAATACGATTAATCCAATCTATTTTTCTTTAGAGTAGGCTGCGTAAAATGCCTCCTGGGCCGTGACAGACGGACGTAAATTGAGATAAGACATATGTTTCAACTTCTTCAATGTATAAAACTTAAAAATAACCCAAAATATGTATAGTTCTGAGCAATGTACAGACAAAACTATAAATTTATTTATATAAATTAACTGGGTTTGAGTTTTCAATATAAAAAATGTATAAAACTTCTTTTAGTTTTACAATAATGCTGGGCGGGGGAATAATGTTTATAATTTGTTGTGTACTTCATTTATGGGGGGGTGCTGTTGCTCAATTGGGGGGGGGGGTGGTCATGAGTCTCATGAGTCTAGGGGGGGATGGGCACCCCTGCGTTAACTGTAGGGATCTTAAGGTCTTCAGGTAGCGTTCTTGGTGTCATACCAAGGTGCATTAGTCATCTGTCTCAGCATATTTTTTGATTGGTATCTTTGTATAATTTCGATATTTGAAGTACTCGCCGATGGAGGAACACTATTACAGGAGTGGGATTATGCACTCCGACATTCTACCACGGCCACCTTTAACTACAGGCCGCGGCCTGGTAGAATTGGCAACGTCGCAAGTGGTGTTGTTTAGTGACAGACGTTCCTTAAGATAACCTGGCAGACAGGTAACATCAGCTCATTAATTCGCACTTTATTGATTTAAATTTAAATTTATGAACATAAATTTATTAAAATATTGAAAATAAAACATACAGAATTGAAATCCGATATAATATGAATTAAAAATCAATAACTGTACATTTTAAGCGGAGTCAATATTGTCATAGTCCAGTAACCAATCTTTGTAAATACAAAAATACCATTAGCTGCTTCCAAACAAACAAAACAGCTGTTACAACACTACTTGCGACGTTGCCACTTCGAAGGCCGCGGCCTGGAGTTAAAGGTGGCCGTGACCCAAGCGATAATGTTCTACCACTACAACGACTGCAACACTTAACAATAGGAAAATGTCAATTTCTCATTGTACATCACAGCTTTTTTATGGTGTACATTTCTTATTGGGTTAACTAGGGCTTCATGATACTCAACATTAAGCACGCCTATCAGAGAAAGAAGCAGAAGCACTAAGCAGACAAATTGAAATAAAATGTCAAATACATACAAACAAACAATGATTCAATAATATGAACGAACATCAATATCAAACAAAACCAACAAAAATGTCAATGCCTCAGGTCCTCAGGATTTGAATTCCATTTTGTTTTGAGGTAATTTTATTCAAACTACCTTAAAATTATTGTACCTACAGATAGTGCAATACATTTTTCACTTATTGATCAACGGGCTGCGATTTATGAGGGTGAGTTTTGTAGGTTAGTATTCTTTCCTAAAATCCATACTAGGACTGTCAAATTGAAATGAAATCAAATAATATATTGCTTAAGTGGGTGAATTTTAGTACCCAACCCGGGTACAGTTTCTTAACTGGGCTATGCTAATATCGATTGAAACTATCGATTCGATTTAGTAAACGTTCGTGCGATTTTTCACCATCAGCAAGTTTGGTTGGTTTGGTTAGGTTATGATAGTTTAATTTGATGATAAATATATTTAAAAATATCGATTATTAATCAATATTTTCAATTCGATAGTTTCAATCGATATTAACATAGCCCAGTTAAGAAACTGTACCCCTCAACACCACGGGTTGAATCAATTGGTTCATATTTTATTTTGATGCACACGATCTTACCGATATTTGCTTGCACTTAAATTTGATTTTATTCACTACCTAATGAATGATTAACTTAAAATATATATTTATTCATCATTGCCTCCAGGATTGATTATAGACAATGTAAATAGGTTAACATACCTTGTCGTCAATCCTAAAATTAGTCTACGGCGATTAGTTTTGAAACATCAGTGATTTCATTGACGAGCCTCTTGCCTCTTAAAAATATTGGGACATCTTCTCTTCCCAATACACAATAGTACATTTAACATATATAAACACGAACATGGACACAAACTATTTACAAAAATGAATGCGTGGCTGGCCATAAGTACTACCTATTGTGTATTGATAACGACAAGATGTCCCAATATTTTTAAGAGGCAAGAGGCTCATCAATGAAATCACTGATGTTTCAAAACTAGTCACCGTAGACTAATTTTAGGATTGACGACAAGGTATGTTAACCTATTTATAGGCCTATTGATTAACTTATAGTACATATGTTATATTATTTATTGCTTATTTTTTATCAATTGGTTGGGTTTGTTACACGAATAACTTACTAGAAATATACCGGTATGGATCATAAACATAAACAAATGATGTTGGCCCCAATCCTATACTAATAGCATTGAACATATGTTTTGGCAGTTCCATTTAAGCAATGTTAAATAATGTTTATTTTCGTGCGAAAAACGTCATTTGTTTATGTTTATGATCCATACCGGTATTTTTCTAGGGTATTCATGGTTTGTTAGTGTGGACTGGGGGTATACTCTACAGAGAACAAGAACCCACGATATATTATCGGATGAATTATTTTGGCTTGGCTTAAGTTATATTCATATAGATTTGGATGTAGTTTTCCCACAATATAATATTGGCTTGTGTTAATTGAATAGGAACATTTTAAGCAATAGGGTGTTTTAAAAAGACTTTCACACCATGCTGCAGTGATTAGGTTTATGTTAGTTGAGTTCAGTTTGGATTAGTTGAGTTTATGATAAAACCAGGTGTCTATGGCCGGAGGTTTGAGCCAACAAATTATGCCTACAACAGTGGCTTGTCAAAATGTTTGTGGGTGGTGGTCAGAAATACATTTGTCAAATTCTGTAAACAGCTGAGTGTCTTTCTAGGCTAGTTTGTCATAATAAACTGAACTGACCTAAACTAACCACCCTAAACAGCGCACTAAAAGAGTGGTGAGCGACCCTTTCCTTAAATAAAACTTACCCATAAAAAAACAGAAAATCTATAATGTAACTTAACTTACATTAGGATTATATTTTAATCAATCAAATTAAAGTTTCATGAGATATGGTATAGTTCCGCTTGTAGATTATGTGCAGAACTGTAGGCTACCCTGGACTGGTTTATGAACTCTTTCTATAGGCTCTGAGTAGGCCTAAATTTTCTAAACTGGGCTACACTAATATCGAGTAAAAATACCGATTCGATTAGAAACCTTCATTCCTCGATTTGTTTAAACTACCGGTATATCAATTATAAAATGAAACTGTTTGGTTGGTTAGGTTAGGCTATAACAGTTTAATTTTAAATAACTTCTTGATCAGCATCGTACGTGTTATTAAATTTACTTGTTCATTAATGAGCTTATTTCTATTTTTACATTTTTCCTTATAAATATACAATTCTTCCCAAGCATTAATCACATTTCCTTTCTTACAATTCTTTAAAATACATACATTTTTTTCCATTCTTCCTAATGAGTGGCCATTTTGTACTAAGTGCTGTGCGACATTTGATCTTTCCGGTTTGTTGTTTCTCCATGCAGATGTGTGGTTTTTGAATCGTTTTATTAAGTTTATAGTTTGTCCAATATAAACATGATCACAATCGTTAAAATTTATTTTGTAGATGCCCGAAGAGTTGAATTTGTTATAATCTTCTATATGTGGATGCAGTAGCCTATATTACCATTGACTATTGGATACTATTACTCAAAGTGTTCTGGGTCCTGAAGGCTATTGATACTCGATATTTCTTGAATTTGTTAGCGATCCTTTGTGTCCTAGTTCCCATGTAGCTAAATGTAGCGTAAGAAGCACTTACAGGTTCTGGTGAAAGTAAATAGAATCTTAAGTTATTATCTATAGGTAATTGAATATTTAAGGTGTCAAGGCCGATCAATTTGAAATTTGACCATAGGCCTAACTCTATTTTTTTTTGGTTTTATGATTTTGAGATTTGAACTAATTTATTTGAAATATTATTTTTAAGTGATTTTCGCATAGTCACTTAGCTTATAAATTAATAACCCTAATAGTTGTTATTGTTGTTCCCCTTCAATTATTTATTACATGGTTGTTTTTGTCTTCACATTGAATATTGATTTATGAATGACATGTTGTCTAGATTTTTCATGTGATGCTGGCCCTGAGTGATCTAAAGAAATACTTAAGTAAATGAAGACATGAAATTTCAAAATTCAAAAGATAAGTTAAAAGAAGAAAGTGGTAGGACAAATTTATCTGATGATGAAAAGAAGGATTTAAACCTAAGTTTGGCTCCGTATGCTTTGCTGGCATTTCTTCGGATTGCTTTAACACTACTTCCTCAGACTGGATACATCCAACCTGACGAGTATTTCCAGTCCATAGAAATTGTCAATGGTGAGATGTTAAAAGTATTTATTTAATACTGGTAGTTTTGTATAGCCAATGTTTATTAAGTGTAAAAGATATACTTTATTTTCCATAAAATGTTTTTGATCAAAATCATGTTTTTGTTCCATCAAAATTTAAGACAGAAAATCATCCTTACAACTTTACCCCAGGAAATTGTAATCAGAGATCTCGGCAATAAAAATTAGGCTCGTTTCAGGCCAAGAACATAACAACAAAAACCCATGTTCTTCAAGAATATTAATCATAATATTTTAAAATTATTTTACTGAAGTAATACTTGTTCTAATTTTTCATTCATATTTCTGTCGAAATACTCATATCAATTTTGTCCATCCTAAATAGTAAACATGAAACTGTTTACCATCATTTGGGATAGTAAGAATAGAAATGCCAACTGTATGCAATTAATTGTGGTTTTCCTTAAAATATTCAGTAATTAATATGTACGAGCTGCTGGCCCATCCTACGTATGGGAATCAAGTAGTCCATTAAAACTGTATATAATTACTAGCTGTACCCGCGGGCTTTGCCCCGTTTAACTTCTTAATTTTCAAGATGAGCTCGTTCGCATGACTCAAACGCGAACGTCCTGGTTGAAGTGCATTCGCTATGCTCACTCACCTTTAGGTTGGAGCTCGTTCGCTGCGCTCACTTGCCTTCAGGTTAGCTCGTTCGCTACGCTAACTCGCCTCCAGGTTGAAGTTCGTTCGCTACGCTCACTCACCTTTTGGTTGCAAATTAGCTGTTGTCATAAATTAAAAAAATAATAATAGTGCTGCACCCTGTTGGCAATCCTTGTAACTTTAAAGCTATTGAACATCATAGAACAGAACCAACTTGTTTAATTGAAACAGCTGATAAGATTCATTAATTCCTTTTAAATATGAAAAATCATAAGGTTAACATGGGAAACTCCAGAGCCACTGGGGCGGAGCCCGAGAGTCCGATCAGAATAAAAACAACTTAGTTTTCCTATTTAATGCCTAAAGAATCGGTGTACCAAATTTCAGCCTCCTAGGTAAATGGGAAGTGGGAGAATTAGTGATGAGTGAGTGAGTGAGTGTGTCAGTGAGGGCTTTGCCTTTTATATATTTAGATATCAATATGTCTAATCCTAATTCAAGCATAGTTTAAGCAGTTTAAAATTTATTGTAATCATTATTACTGCCAAGGTGAATTAAAACATATGATCATTGTTATTTTCCCAACCTTTCCTCAAAAAGTCTAGAAGTAAAATAATTTTCATAAGCTTTCTTTTGAAGACTCGTGAGCTTCGAATCGTATACATCAATGGCTATAGAATCTTATTTATTTCCTATAATCAATGAGAAAATCGCAGAGTAAAAGGTAATTATATACAATATTTTTATATTCAACCAGCTGTTAGTTATAACCATAGATAAAACATAGGGCGCGTTCTGGGAACATGTACCGGTGCAGATTAACTGGTGACTTACTCACCGGTATCGCCCCGGGGCAAGAGTCTTGGTATCCCAGAACGGTTATTCACCGGTTTACGGTACACATTGGATTATAATTTACACATCCACCTACTATTTGCTTTATAATATTTAAATCAAACAAACAGACTTGCCCTCACGGAATAAATTATTTGAAAATTATTATTTATTACGTTGTATTACCCCCTCATTGAACAAATTTTTACTCATTACGCAACATAACCTATAACACTAATTAACATTATTCGGTGGACCCGCCATCTTGCCGTAGCTGCAAGCTGTTGTCAAATAAACTGACCAATCAGAGGCCGCCGGTGTATTATGCACCGTACAATTTCTCCGGTGCATAAATCTTGCACCGGTGGAGAAAAAATAGGAAATAGCTGTCTGCTATGTTAACTCACCGGTCTCCCAGAACGACACATTTGTTGCACCGGTGCACCGGTACATGTTCCCAGAACGCGCTCATACTCCCTTAGTAGATTTCTCATCCTTATGGAACAGCTGAGGACAATTTTATTGTTAGTTCTGTACGGTTTATGTAGAGGTCGTGTTTTGTTTACAATTTCTTTCCCGTTATTACAGCCATTTAAAACCTTGTTTAACCAAATAATACGATCTAATCATAAACAATAACTTGTCCCCTAGTTATATAACCAAACAGTAAAGCACAAATCATGAGATTAACCCTAAAATAATGGAAACAAAGTTTCGTCGACACTAGCGCCTTTGTGTCACGTACATGAACTAGACACGAAAAACGTGCTTCAAAATTTACAATGGGATGAGAAGTCTTCTTGTGTTGGTTAGTCTATGTTATAACAAATTATATTACACTAAAACAAACTAAAGATTTTAAAGACTGCTCAAAAAAATAAATTAAAACATCTAGTATTTTATATTTTGAATAATCTCTCATCCTCTTATTGAATAAATGAACTTATCAATGATTATAGCATTACACATAGTATAAATAAGTCAACCCTGCGTGTGACATTTCATTTTCATCCAAATGCTGAATATTTGTCGAAAACGCTGAATGTTTACAGCTGACATTGAGCGCGTTCTGGGAACATATACCGGTGCACCGGTGCAAAAAATGTGTCGTTCTGGGAGACTGGTGAGTTAACCTAGCAGACAGCTATTTCCTTTTTTTCCTCCACCAGTACAAGATTCATGCACCGGAGAAATTGTACGGTGCATAATACACCGACGGCCTCTGATTGGTCAGTTTCTTTGACAACAGCTTGCAGCTACGGCAAGATGGCGGGTCCACCGAATAATGTTCATTAGTTTTTTAGGTTATGTTGCGTAATGAGTTAAAATTTATTCAATGAGGGGGTTATACAGTATTACATAATAAATTTTAAATAATTTATTCCGTAAGGGCAAGTCTGTTTGTTTTATTTAAATATTATAAAGCAAATAGTAGGTGAATGTGTAGATTATAATCCGATGTGTACCGTAAACCGGCGACTAACCGTTCTGGGATACCAAGACTTTTGCCCCGGTGAGTAAGTCACCGGTTAATCTGCACCGGTGCACCGGTACATGTTCCCAGAACACGCCCATTAATTAAATGTTACTATACCAAAAGCTAGAGTAGAATCTTAGTGTCGGCTGCAAGACTTTTTAAAATTTATAACTTAATTTCTAAAAAACTGAAACCCTAAACTAAAATTATGGCTTCGACATTCCCTAGTTCTCAAAATTATCTTTCTTTAAACACAAAAATCATGAAAATCTGTCACATGGTTGATTCAGAATCGTGAAATAAAAAAACCCTATCGCGTTTTAATATATAAGATTAGCATACTTCCTCGCATGACAGAAGCTATTGTTGTGGTATCATGTTAAATCTATGCTTACACAAACCCTACTTTCTGTCCTAGTGTCTTCAGACAGTTAATGTTAACTCAGTACAAAATTGCTCAAATTAATACCCGATTGTTCCAATTACAGTAGAACCTTGATAACAAGACTCTCGTAGGGATTATAAAATAAGACTTGTTACCAAGGTTGACTTCTTATAGAGGTTAACAATTAATAACATGTGTTTAGGGGTCAAATAATTTCAATTGGATTTGAAAATGACCCTTGTTGTCGAGGTTCTATTGTATAAACGTAAACCAACATCTCTTTTAATGAGTTTTCACCCTAAAGATGCAAAATCACCATTTATCGATTCTTTCAAAATATTAGCTTAGTAAATAATATGTTTCTTTTTGTTTCTTTTTCAGAGGACATATTCAACGTCGAAGCATCACGGCCGTGGGAGTTCAATGCAACCAAACCAATCAGAAGTGTTGCATTGCCTTATCTCTACGCTGGTCTACCAATTTACCTCTTACAACTATTTTCACCATTTTTCAAGCTATTTCTAGGATGGGATTTGATTACACCTTATTTTTTACTTGTCGTACCGAGACTTACATGCTGCATGCTGTCATTTTTAAACGATTGGAGCCTCTACAAGTAAGTAGGTATTTTATTATACAGCCACTTTAGGTAATGACTGTCAGTGACTCTGTTTGCAGTTTGTGCTCCTCCGAAATGCCCTCTAATTCTCTAGCACCAAAAACTAGCAATGCTGAAGAATGATGCCAGTCATAGAGACCAAACTAGCCGACATAAGAGTAGGAAACAATCTCCTATACCTGATGATAGCCTGCCAGTCGCACCAATCAGTATAATTACACTTTTTGTCTATGATTTCATTAGCCTACCTGGAAAAAAACTTTGTGAGTCATTTCTCAAGTCCGAAATCAATGTCAACCGGAGATGTTTAATGAATTGTTTTTTGTAGCAATTATATATTTTAGACCATTGAATCACTATTTTTATTGTTTGTGGCCCACATGAATAATGCTGCTGTCATGGAAAAAATTTAAAATCTTGAAGTTTCAAAATGTTAGATTATTGTGTCCTCAAATTTAATTTTGTTTCATGCATCTAGCTTTTCTTTGTATTCGTAACATGTATGTTACTTTTTGCAGAATTTGCACCATTTATGGACAAAACTACAGAGCTCGGCTGCTTACACTTGCAAGTTCTTATGTTATACTGGTTTATGGAACTCACACATTTTCAAATGCAATTGAAATGGTTCTCACTTCATTGTTGATCTACTTTGTTGCGGACTGTATGTATAGATCTGATCAGGTGAGAAAAAAAATCATGCATCCGTCGATGATTGCTTTGCATTAAACATATCTCATAGCAGCTAAATAAGTACAGTAGAACTCCAATTATCTGAACACCAACTATCCGAAACACTTACAGGAAAAAATGTTATAAAGTTAAAACCACATTAATAAAAATCTTTGTTAAAGAAAGTAGAAGCCGTGAACGCGGCAAAATCTAAAACCTCTCCCCTGGTTGTGTAGACATAATCATAGTCTCCCGCGGTCATGGAAACATCGTCTTCGTATTATATGATCGCAGTAAAAAAATCCTACAGTCACCGGAAATTATAATTGTCCTCCGTGATCGCAGATTCTAATTTAGGACTATTCAAATGTGGTACGGTTCCAATTGATTCGGATAATTGGAGTCATACTGTATTGTATGAAATATTTCTTGTACTTGTTGAAAATCAATCGATACAGAAATTTGTGATTGCAAACTTTTTATTTAAATTAGTGAACAATATTTAACCTCTTGCCCCAAACTTATAACCATACAATTATTCAACAACAAAAAATTGGAAAAAAAATTGATGCAATGATATAAAAGAAATATTTAAAAATTACAAAGAACAAATTTGATCTGTGGTAATATTTTGCTTTGTGTATCCTACTTATGCTGTATGAAATGGTTGTTACTTGTTAATACAAATAGTTAAATTTTTCTATCAAAACGTATTGTCAAAAAATGTCAAACCTTCTGCAACATTCATGGTTTTCAGATTATAAGCACCGATGAGTATTTGCAAGAATGCTATTCAAAGACAGCCGACATGAGAGAGAAGGTTAGATTGAGCCGTTTACGCAAGTCACTTCCGGGTCACTCATTCAGTAGTTGTGCCATCATTGCCAGTATCACTGTCATAGGTGTCTTCAACCGCCCAACATTTCTTGCTTTTGCCTTCACTCCGATTTTCTTCTGGCTCCATCGTGGGCTCGGCTCCAAGAGTGTGGGATTGTCTGAATTTCACCTTAGGATCCTGCTTTTGGGTGAGTTTTTGAGACATAATAAAATTGGCAGGTTACCTTTTTTATCTCCAGGCTCCAACCGACACCACAAGTCCATTCTATGCCTGGGATTGCATTATCATTATTGACACAAGTCCAAAGAGTTAGATTTTTTTAACAAATACCGTAATGTTGCATTATTATTAGGGAACATTTTAAGCCAATAAGGCTGTGAGTAAAACTCGCAAAGCAAATAGTGAAGGTGTCGTGTTATGGAGACCAAATAAGAAAAGTAATTGTAACCATAAATTTTACAAGGTCCAGCCACACAAAACCTTGTGTTGTATTAAGTTGGTAGCTTTTATGGAATAAAATAACATAATAGGGGTGCATCCCTAACTAAGCAGTGTAGCACAAGAAGTGATAGCATAAGAGCTGTACCATGTGAATCCTCAACATTGTTTTTACAATTCTGGTTCGCCATGCTACCGATTGAGCCATCAAGTCACTTTCAAAATATCAATTTAATAATTACCTTATTTGATCGAAAAACCTAACTTTTGACAATTCTACTTCTGAATTGTTATTAGCCACATGTTGGGTTATACTTCATAAGAAAGCCGAGTCACTAATAAGAATTTTTTGAAAAAAGATAGAGTTAAACTAGTTTACATGAGTCCTTTTAACTGATAGATACACAATAAAAGTCATATAACAGTGTTTCTAATGTTTCGTGACTATTGTGTATCTATTGTCCCCTGGTCACTCAACATTCTTGGATAAGCATAATGAGATGTATCGATGTATCCCTTTTCAAAAAAATTGTTAAGTTTGCACTACTCTGGTAATCTTTAGCCAACACACCGTAAAGCATATTGTTTGGTAGCATTTGTTTTCTACATTCAAAACAACCAATGTGTTTGGTGGTGTGTGTTTGACTGTATTTTCTCAATTTACAGGGCTGTGCGCTTTGCCGATGACAGTGATCATGATATTGATTGATTCCATTTACTTTGGATACTTGACATGGCACGAGATTTTGCAGAAGAAGGTCAGTTTGGAGAGCAATTTTGTGATGACCCCTTACAACTTTATACAGTACAACATGTATACAAGTAATCTGGCCAACCACGGCCTCCATCCAAGGATAACTCATGTGTTGTTGAACATGCCTCTCTTGTACAATGTGTTAGCATTGGCAGCCTTCTCTGCAGTCACCAGTCTGTTGTACAGGTTAGTACTTCAATAACACTAATATGTTAGTGCTACTGCCACTGAACACATTGGTTACTGGATGACCCATTGAGACGTTTAGAATTAGAACTTGGTATCAATTTTGATGTTAGCCTCCTGATTACGTTAAATATATGAAATTTGTGTAAATACCTGCTTCCTAGTAATCCTGATTGTTGCTAGTGTCGCAACCAGTTTTGACTTTCTACTAAGTCATCTTCAGGCCCCAAGGATGTCAAAAGGGTGATCACTTCATATGAAGGTCGTCATTACACAAAAAGTACATATACACACGAACACGAACATTAAAATAGGAAAGACGGTACATTAACACGATTAAATCTACCAAAACGGTAACTGCAGTAACGGACACATTATTCCAATACTGCAGTTACCATTTTGTTTGTTTTTTAACGTGTTAATTGTACTGTTTTTACCATTTTAATGTCCGTATTTGTTTTTTTATGTACTTTGTATCTAACGATGACAATCATATGAAGTGACCACCCTTTTGACATCCTTGACACCTGAAGATGACGTAGAAAGTCTAAACTAGTTGCGACAATTAGCAACAATCAGGATTAACTTACTACGAAGTAGGTATTTACACCAATTTCAGAACTTGGTAGTTCAACACATATAGGACCTTTTTTGTTTGTGGATTGTCAATTACTGGCTTCATCATAATGACATCAATTAATCCCTTAAAGAAGATATAAGAAATAATAATTTTAATAAAACATGATACCTGCAAGGGCATCAATCACTCTCTCTAGTACTCATTGTACGAGGGTTTTCCATAAATTTATATCTCTACCAAGTTACTGTCGTAGCCAGACAAGCTAATTCAATTTCTTAGACCAACAATGTTTTTCTGTCTAATCACAGACTGTGATTTATTTTGGTGGGGGCATCAATTTTCTTACACAGCTTTTTTGAAATCTATTAGGAGACTAATTGTCTCATTTGGGTGGGAACCAGCTAAAATAGTAGTGGCTAAGGTAAAGATTACGTGACTGGTGACAGATTTGAATTTGCTTGTTGGACTGCCACGGGCGGTCAAAGAAGATCTTGGGCTACTATACAGACAACCATGGTAATTACTGTGCCAACTTATGAAATTTTACTGTACATTTGGTATCCACAACAGTGTAATAAACAATAACTCTGACCACCTGATCATCTTCATATAAATTAAAATTTAAGCTAGAGCTACACAGAGGTTTCCTCTCACTTATAAATATAATGTTATTTTGAAAAATTACCAAACATTGTGACTATTATTTGGCTATTGTATTGCCACAGAATAGTGAAGAGGCGCTGGAGTGAACTACCTCGTATACAGAGCATCATCGGTCTCATGACATCTGCGTACATTGTACCCGTTACACTACTATCCATCTTCCCTCATCAAGAGCCGAGGTTTCTGATCCCGATAACTCTTCCACTCGTCTTCCTCCACTCTCAGAGGATTCGCAACGTCAACGAACAGCAGCAGATCAGCGAGAAACATGACAAGGGTGTGAAAGTGTTTGTGAAAAAAGAAATCGCTCACGGGTACAAAGACAAAATTCTCACTCTGTGGTATCTGATCAACATGTTTCTGGTGTTGGTGTACGGGTTTGTTCATCAAGCCGGTGTTTACCCACTGTTAGACCACATCTCAGTGGTCATGAGAGAGAAACCAAGACTGACCACGGTTCATCTAGTCACGAGCTTCGTCTACCCTCTACCAGTGTCCTTATTGCATTTGAAACAAGGCAGAGTCACCGCTGTCAATCAGAAAACTGGAATAAGGTATGACATTGTTTATACCTTGGTCCTTTGATAATTTAAATTATTTTTTATACAGGGTGTTTACAAAAAGCTTCGGGTAGACTACTCATCCTGAAATATAAGAAATAAATAAAAATAAAATAAGTTAAATGAAACTATGAGGTTAAGGATGTTACATAGAGCATGAGGGCCTCAGTTTTTAGGATATTTTGAGAGGATAGCAGGCTTAAACCTGAATGGGAAAGAGTCCAAACTGGCACAAGAAACACAAAAGTATTATTAGGATATTTCACTGTCATTTTTGTGTAACGTTTTGTGTTTCTCTTTCCTTTTCAGGTAAGCCTGCTATCCTCTCAAAATATCCCTAAATGAAAATATGAGGGCCTTCCAGAAAGTAAGACCGCTTGCGGCGATGCTACCACTGCTATCTTAGTATCAAAGTGTTCCTAAACTCCGCCGCGGTGACAAAAGTCAGCCAATCAAAAATTAAGTTATTATTGCTCCCTCCTGGTTCAACCCATAGATTGCCGGGGAAATTGCCTCACTTGCAGGAATAACCCAAACCTAGTCTAGGCTTAGAAATTACAGTATCTTGGGCTAAGTGAATATGGGGTTGAAAAAGAGTTGAAAACAGATCAGAGTTAAATTAGATCTTGGGTGGGAAAAACGGCCCCTAGGAGATTAAAGTGTGTAAAGAATAAACATACATACATTAGAGCATAAGACGTCCATGTCACTGGCCCGGCCATGACGGAATTAGTACATAAAAATTATGCTAATATTTAGTACCTATTTCGTACTATTTAGTACCAACAAACAAAAAATTAGTACCCCACTCGGTACCGGATAACTAATTAATTTAGGATTCCGGGCCAGTGACATGCTGGCCCGGCCATTTTCGAATTTGATCCTAATATGTATACCATCATTTAGTACCTATTTCGTACTATTTTGTACCTCCATTAATATAATTTGTACCTCAAAGAAAACCAAGCTACGGGCCCGTTAACTGTACAGGTCAATGACCTCTCAGCCCGGCCATATCGTAACCTATGGTTATAAAATATACTACTATTTAGTACTTATTTCGTACTATTTTGTACCTCCATTAATACAATTTGTACCTCAAAGAAAACCAAGCTACGGGCCCGTTACCTGTACAGGTCAATGACCCCTCAGCCCGGCCATATCGGAACCTATGGTTATAAGCTATACTACTATTTAGTACTTATTTTGTACTATTTTGTATCTCCATTAATATAATTTGTACCTCAAAGAAAACCAAGCTACGGGCCCGTTACCTGTACAGGTCAATGACCCCTCAGCCCGGCCATATCGGAACCTATGGTTATAAGCTATACTACTATTTAGTACTTATTTTGTACTATTTTGTACCTCCATTAATATAATTTGTACTTCAAAGAAAACCAAGCTACGGGCCTGTGAACTGTACAGTTCAACGACCCCTCAGCCCGGCCATATCGTAACCTATGGTTATAAGCTATACTACTATTTAGTACCTATTTCGTACTATTTTGTACCCCCATTAAAATAATTTGTACCTCAAAGAAAACCAAGCTACGGGCCCGTTAACTGTACAGATCCATGGCCCCTCAGCCCGGCCATATCGGAACCTATGGTTATAAGCTATACTACTATTTAGTACTTATTTCGTACTATTTTGTACCTCCATTAATATAATTTGTACTTCTAAAAAAACTACTAAAAAAACTGAAAGACAAATAATTTTGAAAACTAGGGAATGTTGAAGCCATAATTTTAGTTTAGGGTTTCAGTTTTTTAGAAGATAGTTTAAAATTGTAAAAAGTCTAGCAGCCGACGCTAACATTCTACATTCTAGAAATATTGATATTACTTCAGTTTTAGATGACTACTAAATTCCCGTACGTAGGACGGGCCAACAGCTCGTTAAGTTTTACAACATAAATTAATTAAGAAAAAAGAAAGAAAAAATTAACAAAGTTGTGAACTTAATGTTGAATGAAATAAAAAAATCACCACAGTACCCTCGCACCAAAATAGCCTAAACCTCGACACATTGATTACTTGGGTTGTATGAGTAGTACATATTGTTTAATATGAAGAACTAAATAGTTGGAGATAACCACCAAATAACTGCATCACTTGTTTATTATTGAGTACTAAATAATAGCATACCTTATAACTAGAAACTGTGACATGGCCGGGCTGAGGGGTAATTAACCACTAACAATAACATGATTACACATACAATATGTAACATAAGTAGTTTGTTTATCTTTGAGGTAATTTTTTTACCTCGAAAGGTACAAAAAAGTACGAACAAGGTACTAAATAGTAGCATAGCTTATAACTACAGGTTCCGATATGGCCGGGCTGAGGGGTCATTGACCTGTACAGTTAACGGGTCCGTAGCTTGGTTATCTTTGAAGTACAAATTATATTAATGGAGGTACAAAATAGTACGAAATAAGTACTAAATAGTAGTATAGCTTATAACCATAGGTTCCGATATGGCCGGGCTGAGGGGTCATTGACCTGTACAGTTAACGGGCCCGTAGCTTGGTTTTCTTTGAGGTACAAATTATATTAATGGAGGTACAAAATAGTACGAAATAGGTACTAAATGATGGTATACATATTAGGATCAAATTCGAAAATGGCCGGGCCAGCATGTCACTGGCCCGGAATCCTAAATTAATTAGTTATCCGGTACCGAGTGGGGTACTAATTTTTTGTTTGTTGGTACTAAATAGTACGAAATAGGTACTAAATATTAGCCTAATTCTTATGTACTAATTCCGTCATGGCCGGGCCAGTGACATGGACGTGAGCATTAGGCCTATACTGATTAGCAAATTAGTTAAATAAATTCAGTTATTTTTAAAACTTGTATTAAAACATTCTATATTTTCTACAGGTACCAGACTACCAGAGACTTCTTTGCCTATGAAATGGGATTGTCTGATTCAGTACTGAATGCCACTCTAAAAGCGAAATCAGTTATCGAAGAGTCTGAAGTTATTTGGCAAGAGAAACGACTGAAATACAAAGTTTACCTGGCACTACCGACCAGTCGATTGTCAGAATTCCAGATGATAGCTTTTAAGGCTAACTTAACCTACACAGTGGATCAGATATTCTACCCACACATCAGCACCGAGCTTATGCCTGACTTCAGCACCGGACTATTCACAGAATGTGAAGACCACACAGCCGATGTTTGTCGTGAAACCAACAAGTTCTCTCTTGATTTTGCACTCCATTATTTTTCTCACATTGTGCACCAATGCGGTCTGGCTTTGATACGGATAAAGATGTAACGTCACTGTATTTCTTTGTTCTTCACTGTTCCTTCTGCCCTAAATAAATACAGCAGACCCCCTCTTCGGATTATCTGCCGTCGATTGTAAAATATTACAGTTTGTTTTAACCGGCCTTGCTTTGAGAGCAGTTTGGTTTAACCGCTGCTTTATAGGAATCATCGCAAATTGTAGGAAGGGCAGGGGACTACTCCAAGGTCAAGATAGTTTTTGTGACTCGAGCCTCCAGTGAGAGGCTAATAAATAAACATCTTGCCTCGTAACAAAATGGTTGCTTGCATCTTTAATTTCATCAAAAAGTTCTGTACTGTATAACAATAGATTTTAAAGCATCAATTAATATTACAGTACTAAAGCTATTAAAAACTGAAATTTTATTGACTCTTGCCTACAACTCTATAATTTATTCCACTGAAAGTATTCAACTTAACCGTTTAGTGTTTATTTGTAATTTTTCTATCAATACAAAAAAAAGGAGACAAGTGTAGTCTATTTCATAAATTATGCAAGTACTACTACTTTAAAATAATGATTATATGATACCAAATGAATAGCACTTCATTATGTTATATTTTTAGCGATTGCTCGTTTTAACCGACCTTTTGAGTTATCCGACCTAGGTCCGGTCCCATTAGGGTCGGTAAAGAGGGGGTCTACTTCATGTGGTTTAAAATTTTAACAACTTCTTCAGCAGTACTAAAACTTTTTGTGAAGCTTCAATAGGTTTAGTTTAAAGGCACTTCATGTTTGGAATGTTTCAATATTGGGAAGATAAGTGGCATGTAATGTAAGAGGAAGTTCATGTTTCTGTGCTGATTATTGTCTTTGTATTTTTCCTTAATTCAATTAAACACAAGTTTCCTATTCTGTTTGAATTTGATAATCCTGAGTTTTTGAGATCATTTCACATTAAAAATGCTCTCCCCTTTAAAGATAACAAGCGGATTAACATAAATTTATTATAGTTTGATGAATGCATGTTTGGTTTTAAAATTTAAAATATGTTGTTGTCAATTACACCACCAGTTTGGAAAGGTTTTTAACACTTTGAAAATACAATTTTGACGCTTAGAGTTTTGTAATTGAAACTAAAAATCCGGCCCAGGGTTCTCTTTAACCCTTTTGATGCTAAAATTTTTTTTTTTGTAATTTTCCGAAAAATACTAGAGTTATTTACTTATTTCGTCCGAAAACTGATACATTATTACATATATATAAAATAAATATTTATTTAAATGATCTTAAACACTAAAAAATTCCTCAAAACTGTGCTCTTTGGCCGCAAGAAATCTTTTTAATTTCCTTTCAAAGCATTTCAAACTCTTTTCAGATTTTATAATTTCAGGGAGGTAGTTATATAGTATTTTATCCCAGAAACAGTTGGATTTTTGTTTGAAATTGCGTTTTTTGAAATATTAATTTGAAAATTTTCCCGATTTCTTGTATTTAATGTGTGAACATTTCGTTGTCTTGGCAAAGTCTCTTCATTATTTTTTACATGTAATACTGTTCTATAAATATAAAGACAGTCATAATTTTCAGATTACAAAAATGATCTCTACAATGATCCTCATCAGGAAGCTTAAGCATAGTCCTAATTGCAACTTTTTGAAAATGTAGGATTCTTTGTAGATTAATAATTGATGTTGCGCCATAAAGCTCTATACCATAAAGAATGTGTGAGTAAATTAACGAATAATAAACTGATTTCAATGAGTCAAAATTACAAAAAGGGGCTAGCCTTCTCAATGCAAAATTGCCTGAATTAATTTTAAAACATACTTTCTCTACATGTTTTGTCCAGTTAAGAGTGTGGTCTAATTGTAGGCCCAAAAAAGTATTATTATCAGAAAGTTGAAGCTGCGCAGTGCGCACTATCTGAATGATTTAATTTAGAAATATCTTTACACTTAAAATTGATTATCGTGGTTTTATTTTTATTGAATAGTAAGTTAAGATTACATAGTTCATCATTAACTTGATCAATTGCTTGTTGAGACTCTGCCAAGACACCATCCCAACTTTTTCCACTGATAGTAAAATTAATATCATCTGCAAATAAACAAAAATGATTATGATTATTTAACCCTTTGAGTGCCAACGTCCGGGGAACCGGACGTTTTTAAAACGAGCCAAAAGTGCCGACGTCCGGCCGACCGGACGTTTTTAGAACGAGCCAAAAGTGCCAACGTCCGGCTGACCGGACGTTTCGTAATGATCGAACGGTTGTCATAACAACCGAATGGATACTCGGATTCTTTTAACCCATATATTAACATTGAATCGAAAGTTACTAGATGCGATACATCGATTTTCGTTGGTCGAAATATCGAAAATTCGATTTTTACGAAATTTTAACCTAAAAATCGCCAGATCGCGCTCGGCATTTTTAGCGCGACCTTCGGGAAAAATCATCGGCATTTTTTGAGCGTTACTTTTATTTCTCGCCTGGCACTCTAAGGGTTAAACCCAAAGTAGTAAGAGATTTTAGCAAACCACCCAAATAGCATAAAAATTACAGGGCCCAAAACAGACCCTTGGGGCACAGAATATTTTATGTTTCTGGTTTTTGATTTAATTTTGAAAAGTTTATTATTAAAAATGTGACTAATTTCAGTGTACTGGCTGTCTATTTTCTAGATATGATTTAAACCAACCGAGCTCTTTGCCCATGATGCCCAAATCATGTAGTTTACTAATTAGTTTAACATGACAAACACTATCAATGCTCACTAACATATGCTCACTCACATGATCAAAAGTCGCACCGGCACGATATATCATTGCTTAGCGTTTTTCGGATGAAACACGAACAATGATATATCGTTCCATAGCACTTTTCAGGAAAAAGACGCACAACGATATATCATTGCATAGCACTGAAAGGGTTAACTCCATCCTCTTGTTTATTTCTACTTTCCAGTTTTAAACAAATCTTACAGTTAACATTATTAAATTGTAGGCATGTAAACACAGTATTGTTATTACTTTCCCAACTTTTCACTGAAGCTTCAAAGGGATACTTAATGTGCTTTTGAGTGGTTTAACCATGTTTATAGCATTGTTAGGCAGTTGGCAGCTGAAAAACCGATGAGGACAAAAATAGTTTGCTACAACAAATAATGCTGTACATGAATCGTCGTAGCAACAGAGGCTGTGCTTTCATCTCTCATTAGATTTATTTGCTCACTAGCAAAGGTGTTTTTACTTCAAAACTCTCTTCTTTGAAACAAATACAAGGATGAATGCATTTGAAAAGGAAATAATAAAACACTTAGATATAAACTAATCAACAAAATAATATTTAATCTAATAAACAAGAAACGCTCATCTATTCAGGGCTGTTTTCTCCAATGACTGGCTTGGTCTCTTCTGAGAATTGACGAGTCTGCCGATGGAACTTGGCAGTGATGGGAGTGTAGTACCAGGCTTGGTAGTCATGTCTCTCGGACATCTTGTCCTTGATGGCTTGGGTCAGAAGCCTTACATTCCACAAGAGAATCATTAATAATAGAACTAGCCAAATCTAAATACTAAAAGACTAGCATAGACTAGAACTGTGAAAATAGAGGTTTCTAACCTCAATGTTGTAATTTGTGATTTACACATGACTAACGTGGTTCCAGAAGTCAGAACAATCTCAGTTTACATATTTGACGCCATTTTTTTAGGATTTTGATATCCATACACACAGACGCAAACACAACAAGACACATTCAAACTTTAAAATACACATGCAACGAATGGCCCTATACAGCTGGTAAGTGAAAAATAGCTGTTATGATAGTGCTCTTTATGTTATAAAATTGAGTAGGTTAAACTATATAAATAAAGATATATTTTATCTGTTTATTTTACATGATAGAATCATGATGTTTTTTACGTTAAGCCTAACAAAGCTGAAATGGCTTGTCTCAATTTCTGAAGGTTTGTGTGTTATTATGTATGTGACGCCAATTAACATGACCAACTCTGAGAAAACCAGAGTACTCGATCAAGATTCTAAGTGTTTTCGCGTATTCATTAAATATGTGAGAATGGCTATAGCTAATAAAACATGACCTAACCAATTCCAAAATAGAATACAAACCTTCAAAAACCCAGTTTTGTGGGATATTGAACACAATTTTCCTAATTTTACTACATACCACATTAATCATCTGTAACAAAAACTTTATCTATAACTGTCACTGGATGTTTAGGTTAAACACGTTTGTAGACCATCGGTGCAGTAGGCCTATTTGCCGATCACATTTTTTTTTAAGTTGCTGCGATGGCAGTAGATTTTACGATGTCATCATGATTAAACAACAGATGTTCGTGGGTGCTGGTGAAATCGGTTTTCCAATGTTTCGATCTTCGGTTTAGACTAGCCTAATAAAATGTCATTGTTGGACCATGTCGCCAATGGATCCATTCCCCTTTTGGAGCCGGATAGGTACCATAATGTTCCTCCAGTGCTTATTACTTTCTAGAGTGTATATTTCTATATTCTCTAAAGGCAGTTTATAAATTGAGATTTGTTCATCAGTAAATTTAAAAAAAAGACATGAACAAGGGCCTTCTACATACCTGAGTTTACTTTTCTCATCTTCTTCGTACAAGAAGTGCATGTACTTTTCATATTCCTGCTGGTAACTGGTCTGGAAATAGCGGGCAATAAATCTGGTGATGGGATGCTGAAAAAGAGACAGCACATTAACTATTTATTACATAATTTTGTTGAAATAAAACTGATTTTGCTAACCCTCAAAATTTTATGAAAGAAAGCAAAATTGCCAATCAATTTTGTGGCCTTTTTTAGGGTGACACAAGTTTTTAAAAGTTCTACTGCTACTCAAAAATTATACCTACAAATCCATTAAGTTCGAAACGCCGAAGTGTGTAGTAGTTTTTTCACATAATGCCACTAATGGAAAAACCTAAAATGTGTATTACCTGTTACACTTTTTTGAGAAAGTTTTCAGTGCTTCCTCAGAATATAAAATACCAAGGCTTCACAGTATAAAGGGCAAGGAAACATGTAAAACCACCACGATGGAGAATTTTACTTTAACAAAGGCTATATATAAATTCCAGTGTTGGGGAAGCTACTTTTAAAATGTAGCTAGCTACAGCTACTGCTACATTTTCAAAAAAGTAGCTTAGCTACAGCTACAGCTACATATCCAAATAAGTAGCTAGCTACAACTACAGCTACAATGAAATGTAGCTATAGCTACAATTTTAGCTACTTTTTCAAATATATATTTTTTACCGTAGGATGTGTTTTATTTGGTACATTATTGCTGAAACTCTACTTGATGTAGTAAAATCAAATCTACTGTTTAGGTGCTTTAACTGAATCCCTGTAACTAAACTTAAATTAGGTTTTTATTGAATCAACACAACATCTTACATCCTAGCTTAAAAATGGCTTCATAATGAACATTGAACACATATATTCAAATCACATATGGCAGTCTACTCCACCATTTACTGGGTCTATACCGGGTTTAAATAAGATTAAATATGGAGATTTCTTAACATTTCCAATTAAAAATAAACTGGATGTGTCGCTAGCCTAACGGTTAACATCTCGGACTTAGTATTCTCAAATCACTAGAAAGGGTTGGATGGTTGCCAATTAAAAAAGGGTTGAAAAACTTCAATAAAAAATGCAACTGACATAACAAAAAATAAATATATGGCACTATTATAATAATGAATAGGCTAAAATAAATAGGCCTACAAAAATAATTTGTACTCAAACCTATCTAGCCTATATTGTTAAAACTTAACTAACTAAGCAAAGAGCCTTAAGATGACATCCTAAATAGCCTATAGACTTTTAGACGAATCCATAATAAACATCTCTTAACTTAGTTCCACGTTCATTCCATCAAAGTCTTAGTTAGGCCTATCACAAAGACAAAGTCGTACATGCAGTTCAAACACATCTTACATTTCATTAGATAATTCCCCTTTTCGTTTACTTTATTAAATTTTTAAAATCTTCATATGCCGACCAAGGAAGGGCTTGTGATGAATCACAATCAGTAGCGGTTTACTGGACCAGCCTTTTCATCATTTGATGATCCTGAAACTTTTAACTTGGCTTCCATTGAAAACCAAGTTAAAACGATTGATTGATACAAATTAAAAAATAATTTATAATTAATTGTAGTGTCAACTCCAACAGTTGTCAAACTCACAAACGTTCAATAGCCTGTAACTAGAGTTCTGTTGTTCTATTGGTGGTTCTGTTCTAATAGTTTTTAAACGTCGTCTGCGTCGAGTGGTTAGGTCTGATAGAGTAGCCATAGAGTAGCGAATTAAAGGAATGAGAGTGAAAAATGTCTTTAACATCAACATAATCAATACTCTTTGGCCTCCGTGTCTATGCAAAACTGCAAAGAAAAATTATAAAACAGCTGCGTCTAGATTTTGGCTTCACACAAGTAGCTAGTTAAGCCTATTTTATTTTGAAACTTTAGTTCCAAAGACGTTGTTAAGAGTAAGGTTATGATAAAAATCACTAGCTCAAGAAATATATAAGTAGCGAGGAAAGTAGCTAATATTCCGCTACAACTACTTAAAAAAAGTAGCTCGCTACTGCCGTATCTACAAAATTTGAAAAGTAGCGTAGCTACAGCTAACGCTACAAAAAAAATAGCGCGCTACTGTAGCGTCGCTACTTGTAGCGCGCTACTTCCCAACACTGTAAATTACGACTATTATGAGACACCTCAGATTCAACGGTACCATAAATTCTTTTGTATGGGTGAATTTTTGTGTACAATAGTTCAGAAAGGAAAACTCAAGTATTGGTAGATTTAATGATTGATCGAATTTGTTGATAAACACCAGTAAATTCAACATTTGTCACATCATACGTAGTGCAGTAGTGTTATGACAACATTAAAATTTACCAGTTACCTGATGATATTCCCAATGTTTAGGGGTGTACCCCTCAGGAATTTCTGTAAGTTGAGCAGGACCAATGAATAAGTTGCAATAACCTGCGACAAGCAAGCAAGGCACCATTCCAACAACTGCGTACATGTGCAGCATATCCTTGAACTTGTGCCACTGCCATCTTGAAGGCTCGATTGTCATCTTTTTGTGACCGCTCATGCAGCGTTGGATGATCTGAGCAGCTGGAAGATTAATGATATTTTGATCGGGTATTCTTACTAGTAAGGTTTTAACAATTAAGAGTTTAGAGTGTAGGTTTATTATATTAAGAGTGTTAAGAAAATTCAATAGTTAATTTATGAATTCAAAATTTTAAGTGACAAATCATCTTCTAATAGCTCGACCGTTTTGAGAAATAAGGACTATTTAATATGTCCAACAATTGATTATCTGTGTAAATTAGGAATTAAAAAAAAACATCTAGGCCTATCTATATTTATACGGGGAACTGAGTAACGGCACCTCTCTTTCAGGAAGATAAAAATATTCGCATAAATAGGTACAAATCACATTAAAAAAAGGTATACATATATATATATATTTTTTAAATGTGTAACCCTGCAAATAAAACCTTGAACCGAACTAAAAAAACAGTATGCTTTTTCAACTATTGTAAATTGGTGAGTCAGTGGCTCAGCTGGTAGCATTACGGGCTTCGGGCCCAAGGCAGCGATGTCGTGGGTTCGAATCCTGGTCACTGCCGTAAACATTTTATCAGTACAGTTCCCCATTGTACTGTTCCGGCTCACCCCTTGCATTGCTGGATACGTTCCACGCACAGATCTGTAGTCTATGTGGACGGGCAAATGCAAGGTTAAAATAGGTCGCCAACCTCTTAAAAAAATAAACAAAAAAAAATAAATCTTTTATTCAAACAGTTCATCTCTATATATGAATTGTGTAATCTTGTAATAGAACTTTGATTAGCCAACTTGGTCTTATTGGAAGTGCTTCAGTTGGCTACTAACTCATGTACAATGTATTCTATAGCCCAATAGGCCTATAGAACACCTCTCTTAGTTTATTGTAACTAACTACAGAAAGTTTAATTTGAGCCTCTTTCTTGTTTCTTTTAAAAACCACTCTTTTTAAGAAAATAAGTTTTGAGCGGTTACCTTTATATTCTAACGGTAACTTTATAATACCCCTCGCCGCAGCAAACCAGCCGACTAAGCGAATTTCAACTTGTCTGGTTACATTTTTACTAAAATACTTCCATAACCATAAGACATATTTATTCCCAATTTAAATAGGTAACATTAGATTTAACGAGTGCTTAGGCCTAAAGGAATAACTTACGTTATAGCTCAGATCAATAACGAATACGAAAAGCTTCATGACATAAAATTATGATTCTTTACACAAAAATGTGAGCAGATTACTTACACAAGCCATTCAATGCATAAAAGAAAGTTAGCCTACTTCACTGGCTAGGCACCGAAATATTGTTTCTTTATTCGTGCTCACAGATGTATAACTTATGTGCCATCAGGGTAACACTGTTTGCAGGGGAAGTCATCAATGTTATTTATCTAACAATGGGCGTCAGTTTATGTAGGCTAAGCACAAATGTCGGTGACTATTGAATAAAATTATTGATTATATCGAAAATAAGATATTTTCATTCGGTATTTTGGAGTCCTGCTTATGAAAGTGTACCCAACCACATCGTCTGATAAGCAAAAAACACCATTTTGATCGCATCTTCAAAGAATGAGACCTAACTTACATGCATATAAATCAATCAGCGCTTGCACTGATGTGTCACCTTACTGCTGCTTGACCACAATGGGATTGAGCTGATAACAATGTGTGGCAGTAAAATTATTTCTATAAAGCCAAAGTAAGACTATAACTTGGAGGTTAATGGAATCAACTGCTGTCCCCAATAACTTAGTGCCTGATCATAAACATTGTAACTCGATAGCCTAGCATATTAGTCTTAAGATTTAGGTCCTACATTAATTTAAACACAGATACTAATTTGTTGAATTTAATTTATTGAAACTAAACAAATAGGCCAGTATAATTTACAAAATAAGTTTCAAACAAACCATTATTCACCCTATGCTTCAATAAAGGCAATGGTTAAATTATAACAGAAAATTCTATCAGATCTGACTGAAGTTTCACTTTTTACTTTTTTTAGGTCCATTGTCTTTAACATTTTCTTTAAGGACACCTGGTATCACTACACCTTTGGTACTTTTAACCCAGCCTTTCACGGCTTCTCCGCTCAAAATCCATTCTGAACTCACGGCTGATTGCGACACTCGATTATTTTCTTCTTCACTGTCAATGTCTTTAGGCCTAGCTTGTTTCTTGTAATTTGCATTGTGAGCTCCACTTGTGTCAACTACCTTTTCAGTGGAAATGAATTTATGAGACGAGTAAAGCAGTCTTACACCTATGTGTTCTTCACTTGTTTTTCTTTTCACTATACCTAGTTTTCTTGTTAAATCTACTTCTTTCAAATTTTGGTCCAACATTTTCGAAAGATGTTTGGCTACATATTTTTGGAACTCTGGAGTGACATCAAGTCCGTTAATATTATGTTGGTAAACACCGTCAGCATTGGAATATCTCAAAGATGGCAAATGTTTGGATATTACATTTGTAGATTCACCATCATTTGGCTCCCCCTTGAACATAAAATCATTTAAAAATTCCTTATCGACTGACTGCGCAAGTTTCAGTACCTCTTCTTCATCAGATGATGAATCCATCGTTGTAAATTATAGATGTTTGCCAGTAGTAATGTTAGCTGAGGTTGAGGTAAATAGTTTCTTTAGGAGAATCTACTGCACTAAATGCTAGGTAAGCAAGCGGGCGAGGGCGAGACTAACATTTTCAGTACTTAACCTGATACTTGTAGTTGCCTACTTATATTGTGGATACCTTAAAACAATTTATAACTATACATACCATTACTTTTCTGTCGAATATTACACAGCAAGCGGTTCATAGAACTCCAAACAACCATTTTTGGATGTGAATAAAGCGAAAATATGAATTTATTGTGAGTTACTTAGAACTTAGCAGAAGCCTTCCAGTTGATATTGGGATTGGGTTGTTTTCATTCGACTTTTTGACTGTGACTTTGATCTTCTTTTTTCTCTCACTTTTTGCTTCTCTTCTGATTCTACCCCTGACCAGCTGACAACAAAACAGTGATTTTTTTATCCACAATGACCTTTGGATTTAATTGAAAACCACAAAGAATACTTAGGTGGAATCAGAAAAAAATACATATAAAAGGTATGCATTTGATCAAAATGTTGGATTCTTTTATTGCTCTTTCTAAATAGTAATTTACATACAGTACCCATGATGGAAACAATATCGAGTATGAGATGAGACAATATCAAGTATGTTCAAGTATGAGATGAATACAAATTTATTGCTTACATTAATTCCTTGAAAGGTCAACTTATTTTATACCTGTATGTTATTTTTAAACATTTTTGTTAATTTATCGAACAACACATGCTTTTCTTAACACTACAAAAAAAAAAAAATACCAGTTTGGATACCGTAAAGAATAGAAGAAGGCTACAGTAAATTATCATACGGCTAAAACCGTATAGTTTCAAAGGAGCGTCAGGTTCAGTGGCAATGGACGGTTGCAAGACGGCACGGTTTTCTGTCGTCGTCATAGCCGTGTAGCGGTAAAGCTCTATATGCTCTTCTTTACACTACTAACAACAAATTGTCCGTACCTACATATTTTAACTTTACGATGAACCCCGTATTAGTGTGAAAGGTACGTTAGTGACCACATCATACTTCAAAAACGGGACTTCTGTTTAGAGAAAATATTAAAATTCACAAATGTGTTTCTGTAAAAGAAATAACAGCGTACATAACACTGTACAGTGAACGTAGCACTGGAGCGGGCTATCGGAGAAGTCTCAATGATGTAATCATTCCATTGATTTAAGATTATCGTTAGAATTAACTCCCAATAAATTTATTTGATTTAACCATAGACTAACCAACACAAGGGAGTATGTTTTATCCACTGAGCTATAATTCTAACTGGAGGTAGCACTGAATGTCAAAGATGCGTGTCGCCAGCCGCCATGTTTGCGTGAGGTGTGAGTTATAAGAAGCCATATTATTGCTATGGCTATTATTATACTTGGCTTAAAATACCTACTTTGTATGGTCGCCATTTCAAAGAAAATTATTAAAGTATTAAAAGTATTCAAGTATGACAAAAATACTCACTGCTATACCAACCTAGTTATAAGAAGCCATGTTATTGCTATGGTAAGAAAACTTACTGCTATACCAACCTAACAAAATCAGCGACTCGCTTTTGACAGACTTCTGCCATGGCAGTGCTACCTCCAGTTATAATTTTAGCTCAGTGGTTTTATCTATGATTTAAATTTTACCTCGAACTGTATCAGTGATTGAGGAACACTATTACAGGAGAGGGATTATGCACTGTAGAATACAAATAAAAGTACTACAATACTTTTCACTTTAACAAGAATAAAGATGATTTTCATTTCATTTCATTTCACTACGACATTCTACGATTCTACCGAGTTGACAAATGGTATATACATCTCATAGAGGGATGACACTAGGAGGATTAAACATTAAGGAGAGGGCACGCGAATAGGAATACACGTGTTGCGGTGAAGCCAGCTTTAGCAGAACACTAGAGGGGCACGCGGAGCCGTAGAGTGGCAAAAAGCCTCGGCTATAACATGGGAGAGATAGGGAAAAACGCGACGCGCGCTGTTTCGAATTAAAATTGCCGCTAAACTAAAACACCTGTGTTATTCACCGATGGCATTCTTAAAGTAAATTAAATTTCCTATCGAACAGTGTCAATCATTCCTATAAAAAATATTATTTATTATTGAAGATCAAAGTTGAAAGAATTGACCTGGACTTTGAACATATGATTACTTTAATTACGTTTTTGAAAAAAATATGATGTATCTACACAAATTAACAATTTATTCGTGTTCCTTAAGAGTTTCTCGAAATAAAAAATATATATTTACCTATATGTAAAAGTGGTATTTAGAAAAATAATTACAATAAAGTTTTTTTTAATTTTTCCAGTTTATAAAACAATCTTACTAATAATAGGTTAAAATTAAAATTTTAATTCGGGTGATGAAATACATTTTAAATTTGCATTTTTCATAGTTTTTTTGATTTGTTAATATAATTTTTTACTAGTTTTAAGTCATTTATGTGCTAGGCAGGTGATTTTAAATAGCCAAAGTTAAGAAAAAATGCAAAGCCGCTCTAACTTTTATCACACCAACAGCCGTTACAATTAAATTACAATCATAAAAAGTAAAACAATTTTTTGGCAATCAAATTCTTGATTTTTTAAATATCATATTGAACTATATTTGATCTGTTTACCTAAAGAAACTTCGAGTAAAAAGTGTAAATGTTCAACAATCATCGCGTCTTCTGACCGCCAAAGTGCGTTTATCATTCTTTTAAAGGATTAAAACTTATTTTATTTCTTTTTAAGAAAATGTTCAAATACACATACAGTACTACTCATGATTTGAGTTTTAATTTATGAACAGTAAAATCCATTGGTGATATGGCGGGATTTGAACCCGGGACCCCATGAACCGGAGTCCCGCGCTCTGGTTAGAGTATTATAAATAATACACAATACAAGTATGGCAAAAAATAAAAACAAGGACAACGAATTCCAAAAAATAAGTCATCCTTGTGTAAATTACTCACCTTTGAACGTACTATTGGTTCATAAATATGACTTTCCTCTTAATAGGTTCCTATGGATAGAATTTAACTTTTTAATTTTCGTAGCATGATGAAGTCTAATTTTTAAATAGTCAATTGATATTTCTATTACCAAATCTTCCAGTAACGCATACAACGCAGTATGAGAGCTAGGGGGGTGGGAGAGTAGTGCTGCCTCCCCCCCTTCCCAGTACGCTGGCTTCAACGAAACTACAGCGTGTCCTCTCCTTGATGTTTAATCCTCCTAGGGATGACAGTATACAATGTCGGTTATATGGGATGTCAGTCAAATCGGAATAATTTAGTTTCGGACATTTGGGATGTCGGACGTCTGAGACGTGCGCATAGCCTCTGTCAATCTGGAATAGAATGGAATGGATGGAGTGACTGGACGTGCTGGAGGACATTATTATTTATTTACTAAATAAAAACATAACATAAACATAACCTTTAATATTGGTTTATTTATTTTATTTTCCCACTTAACCAGGACCAGAGTGGCAATTATTAGGCTACCAAACAAGGCAGCTTAAAAAAGGTAACCTTTAAACAAATACTAAGCTACACGGAAACCAGGTAGTCAACTGTAACTGTATATTTTTAAGTTGTTTGATTCTAAATTAATTAATTAGGCTAATCATACTTTTTATCTTTATCTAGACCTAGGCTAATTTGCTACTCACTGTACGTTATGAAAATAACACCAGTCACTACATTGGCCCAATGGCAAAGGAGCAGATTTAGCACAGCATGATAAAATATTAGCAAATTTAGTTTAAATTCAGATTGTAAGTATGCATCCACTTAACCTCCTTTTATTCCAGTACTTAACATACGAATAAATAATCCCTAATTTAACATTAATTTTTTAAATATTGATTTAGTATGTAATCGAGTAAAAACAGCCCACTTTCTGAAACAGTAGTTACTCTATATGAGTTACTGTTTAACATATAAGCTTTATCTTAGGCCTAACAGGTAATTTTTAAAACGTTTTTATTAGCTCGCTTTCTTGTCCGGTACAAATTTTGCGATCAATTTTGTACTAACTTCCCGATGAGCTAGAGACTTGAAACTTGAAACAAAGCTCACAAATGGAAGACAATGTAATATTATATTATTTCATTTTCATATTTCCCTTGGGCTACGCCCCATGGGCTTGTTTTTATTAACTCGCTTTCTTGCAAATTTTGATACTTCCCGATGAGCTAGAGACTTGAAACTTGAAACATAGCTCACAAGTGGATGACAATGCAATATTAGGATCATTTAATTTTCATATTTCCCTTGGGCTACGCCCCATGAGCTTGTTTTTATCAGCTCGCTTTCCCACAAATGTTGATATCAATTCTAAACAAAGTTCCTGATGAGCTAGAGACTTGAAATTTGAAACATAGCTCACAAATGGATGATAATGCAATACTATATAATTTAATTTTCATATTTCCCTTGGGCTACGCCCCATGGGCTTCCAAATTTTCCATGTTTACATTTTGAAAGAATCTAAATATATCAATTAGGCCTACTTCAAGTCAGCTGTAAAATCTTAAATTTGACTGTTCGAATAGCAGAGGTTAAGAGGTACAGGTTATGCTCCCAATAGATTCTTTATACAAACAAACATTTAAAAATTAATATAAACAATCTGATTGCAGATATAAAGGTGTTTGTTAATAATGTCAAATGTTATTTATTTAGTATTCTATAAATAAATATATTGATATATTTATAGTTAGTAGGTAGGCCATACATCCAATCTAATACATAATTATATGAAAAGAAACTCACATAAACCTTAGATTTCCCACGTGCCTCTGTCTTAATCTGATATAGATGCTTGAAATAGATCCCACACACATTAAAAACTAAAAAGTAGAAAATAACTTATAAATAAAAAACCTTTTTAAAACAAAACTTTTTAAACGCACTAAAAAGTAGAAAATAATTAATAAGTAGGTCTATGTGGAGAGTATAAATACTTGTACCGGTATTATTTAACCCTTTAAATCTAGGCTTAGCTATTTATTTTTTTCTTTGATAGGCTAACATTAGTTAGTGTCTGCCAGTGATAGGCCTATTTTTGTTAAAAGAATCACAAACGCATAACTTAAAGAGAAAGTGGTTCTAACCCATAGAATTGTCGTGGATATGCCGGGATCGAACGTTTTCCTCCTATTACACCATATCGCAAGTCTAGGTGACATTAAAGTAAGTTAACCAACACCCTTACTTATTAGTTCCCCCAAAACTTGTCTTGCTCGGTAGAACTTTTACCAAACAAAATTCAACTGACTACAACAGTTCCAACAGATTTAATCATTTATTGATCTCATATGCCTATCTATCTATGAAGTGAAAAATTGGAATATTTTAAAGAAAATGTCAAGAGGGGTTCACCAGTTAGTTAAACGTCTGAATCAAATTAAATTAAAATATTTAATTTAGGTCTACAGCTGGCCTATTAAATAGTTTACAAAACATCAAATTGTACATTTAACAGTTTAATTTACTAATTTATAAAAAAGTAACTTAGTTGCTCACTCTAAATCAGTTGTGCAAGTAGATTTTGTCATTATACATTTAAATTTGTTTTAACTTAACTTAGGTAATATGTGTCTGGGGTGGAGCTCGAAAGGATCTTTGAGAAAACAGTATGTCTATATGTTAATCGGGAATGTAAGCTATCATCATAACAAATTTCAGCTCAATCTGAGGATAGGGCCTACCTAACAGAGGACATAAACTTAAATACATCATCTTATTTAGTCAAACTAAAAACATATATAAGTTTAAATAAGTATACGGTAAGTTTACAAGGTTTGTCTCTTCAATTTCTTCCCAGGTGTGTATTAACCTTTAACCATTTGAGCTCTAAAGTGCTATAGGCCTATAGAAAGCCACACTAATCCAACCAAACTTCCACATTTGGTCTTTTGGACTAATTAATTGTTGTTAGGTTTGTTAACGACCAAGCAGGCTAAGGTGTTATCTCTTCAGCAAGGAGACAGTCAACACCATGGATGAATTAATGGGTCCTACTATGATTAGTTAACAAAAAGTTGACACAAAACTTTTTTAAGGCACAACCAGTTTAATTGTGATGGAAAATAATCCTTAATAATCCCCAAAACACCATCTCAATTAGGTATGTATATACAGGGTGTCCCGTAACTCTCTGGATACTTGTATATAGCGTTATTCCTTAGGTCAAGACAAACACATTTCACCATAGGAACATGGGTCTGTGGTGTCTAGTTTACCGACTGTCGGTATTTATGTGTTTTTTACAAAAAAACTAATAACTCCTAAACGGTTTGAGATACAGCTTTGATATTTTGCAAAAATGTTAATCTTATTAAGAGGCCTATTATCGTTAGGAATTATACTAAAAAATCATTAACCGTTTCAAAATGGTGGCCACTTAAAATATTTGATGCCAAATTTCACAAAAACCGTTAACTTTAAAAAAAATTGCAAGAAACAAAGAAGTTTGTAAATTTTATGTAGTTTTCAATGATACCTTATTTGTTAAGATTGGATAAATAATAATAGAGAAACGTGTTGTTTTCGTAATGTATGACCGCTTTTCTCCATTTAAACAATGCTAAACAACGTAGAAGGAGTATTAGTGTGGTATTAGCATTGTTTAAATGGGAAAAAGTGGTCATACATTACGAAAACAACTTGTTTCTCTGTTATTATTTATAAAATCTTGACAAATAAGGTATCATTGAAAACTACATAAAATTTACAAACTATTTGTCTCTTTCAATTTTTTTGTAAAGTTAACGGTTTTTGTGAAATTTGGCATCAAATATTTTAAATGGCCGCCATTTTGAAACGGTTAATGATTTTTTAGTATAATTTCTAACGATAATAGGTCTTAATCAGATAAACATTTTTGCAAAATATCAAAGCTGTATCTCAAACCGTTTAGGAGTTATTAGTTTTTTTGTAAAAAACACATAAATACCGACAGTCGGTAAACTAGACACCACAGACCCATGTTCCTATGGTGAAATGTGTTTGTCTTGACCTAAGGAATAACGCTATATACAAGTGTCCAGAGAGTTACGGGACACCCTGTATAGTTTGAGTAAACATAAGAAAAAAACTTCTAAAAACTGTGATGGTTAAGAATGTATGTAATGACCGTTTAGGCAGTGGGTAGAGTAGAGTAGGAAAACCTATGCAATTGCTGTACAACCTCTTAAAGAAGTATTGTTTTTAGGTCTTGGATTCAAAATGAAACTATTAACAGAAGAATGAAGTTCAAGTGAACAGGAATTTAAAAAAAGGGAGCAAATCCATTAAGGATTGTTTTATAACTTATACAGCATGATACACAATAGTAGAGTGAACAAGTTTTTAGTCATAAAAAAAATTACATAAGTTACAAAGAATAATTCCATACAAACTTTTTGTAGAACCATAGCCTACAAACATGTTTAGAATTCTCCATTCAGTTGTTAGACAAAACGCTTGTTTTGTTTTAACATTCATATTAGGATTTTGTTTGAGTGTTTTCATAGCACCAATTCTAGTTACCAAGGATTGTGGTCAAGCAAATGTTAGATTCACTGACGAAAACACCAACAGAAAATTATTGGAAGAAGTGGATGTTTACGAGCCCAAGATCAATTTGGCTGCAAAACCGAAAATTGCTTCAAAACCTAGCAATGGAATGATAAGACCAAGATTTCACAAGGCGGAACTAGGTATTAGAAACAAACTGTTTCTTGGAATATTAACATCACCGGATACAATATCAACACTTGCTGTTGCTCTCAACAAAACAACAAGTCAATTTGTCTACAAGATCATGTATTTTATTGATGCGCCAAGCGCACAACGACTCAACGTATCAAAGTTAAAACTTCCAGGAATTGTTGGATTTACTGATACAAGAAAATCTCTCAAGCCATTTCATTTGGTAAAATATATCAGTGATAACTTTTTGGAAGATTATGATTACTTTTTTATTATAAAAGATACAAGTTATATCCACGGACAAAGACTAGTGGAATTTACAAAACAAATTAGCATTCAACATGACGTCCACATTGGGCAAATTGTGAAAACATCATCTGAAAATAAAATTTGCTCATTAGGTAAGTAGATAAACAAACATTATTTATTTTTAAAATCTTACTACTGTATCTACATAACATCATAGGCTAAATAAAAATAAACTTGGATAACAAATTGATACAACATTTGAACGCTTAAATGGGTTTTCATTAATTTGGGTACCTCAGATTTTGCTAGAAATTGTTTAATTATCTGAGTTAACGCTGCATGTCACATTGTTGGACATAGTTTGATTAATTGGAAATATATTGAGTTTGACCAATGCCACTCCACCCCAATAAGCACTGCAAGTGGTAATTATATCACCAATGCAACTCTTGCTATACAGTTTACATTGAATAGACTTTCGACATGTAGCCTATATCAGTTTGAAATATCTTTTGAACCTTATAGACTGGTTGATAAAAAAATTGTAATTGACTTACTACATAAACACATTATGTTAGCCTTTTAAAATTGAATCAAATCTAACTAAACCATTATTGGTCTGAAAAGATGAAAACTCTTATCACAGGACTCTGCTGATTGCTGACATAGCTTCCGCAAATTCCCGTAAGTTGCCCTAATGCTTTTACCCTAATCATCGCGGTATGACGTAGGTTTAGGACCACTGTGTTTAACCCATTGGCGCGGGCTTACAAGTGTTACTCGTACAGCCGCTGCAGGCCCGGCGACGACTTACGAGTGCTGCTTGTGTCACCACTACGCAGCGCCACTAGTTTTTAATTAGGCCTATTTAACCAGATATCACAAAAAAATCAGCTGCGGTAAGGTAAACAAACAAATGTTTTTCTACGTTATTACTTATAAAAGTACACAACTTTTATTTTTCTACGTAGGGAATCAATTGAACTTTATAATATGAGTGTTATTTGTTTGGATTAATCTTGGTATTTGTAAATCAAGTTTAGGCTACTTTAAAAAAATTGTTTGAAAATTTTTTATTTTTATAGGTTAGGCCTATCTTTATAATTTTAGTTTTTTTTTTTTAGTTTTACACTTTGACTATCCAATTACCACTTTTCTGTAGAGAGTTTTACTGTAAACAAAATGGTGAAAGAATTATTAATTTATTACCTAAGGGTTTCTTTCTATAGCAATTAGAGTAAAAGTCTACAAATTCGGTAAAATTAATTGCCGACAGAGGGTGCTGCAGGCAGCGCATTAATTCCTTCCCCAATGGGTTAAGGGTCCCCAAGAGCTAAAACAAATACACAACAATCTACAAAATATTCTCTAATGAATAAATTTGAATGAAATGTGCAACAAACATTAACTTCAATAAGAACCAGCTCAATTTTACCATTAGGCCTATGAAGGGGGTTTCTTATTTTTTTGTGGAATTTTGTATGATAAACACAGTAGAACCTTGATAACAAGACTCTCATGGGGGTTATAAAATAAGACTTGTTATCAAGGTTGTCTTCTTATCCAGGTTTGCAATAACATGTGATAAGGGGTAAAATAAATCGTAAGGGATTTAAAAATGGCACTTGTTATTAGGGGCGACTTGTTATCGAGGTTCCACTATATTTCATCACTAGGCTCTAAAGTGTCTCTTTTAGACCCGAGGTCAAGTTTTACGTTCGAGGCGAAGCTGAGGTCGGAAAATAAGCGAGGGTTAAAAAGTCACTTTTTGCCCGTGTAGTGAACACTATTTTTCGTCATATTGCATAATTAATTAGCAAACAAGGCAAAAAACAAAGTAATTTTTATGTAAAATTGACTTAAAGCTTGTTTTTAATTCTGCTAATGCAAATAAGCAGCTATTTAGTAAATTATTCAATCATTTAGTCTATTACGATTGTGTTACAGTACAATATGCCATCGATATGTCCAGCAATCGACAACAATAGGCTAAAACCTTGCCTAATAAATCTATCGATAAATAATTTTGATCGTTACTATTGCCACAATCAAAATTTACAACAGTTTACAACAGCTGATTTTTACTCCCCATTGACGAAAAATAATTTTTACTCCCTAGAGGGTAAAAATGGTTTTTTAGACCCATAATGCATGCATTAAAAACGGCTGTTTTTGCTGCAGTATGACGAAAAATAAGTTTTTAGACATTACTGCCTAATATATTCAAAAGTCAGATGTTTCCTATATTATTTTTTATTCCACGCCTATGACTGAAATAAAAAATAACTGTGGTGGGAATTCAATAGTGTTTAAAAAAATCATTTTAATTAGGTTGCAGGGGGTTTAATTGGCTAGAGACTATCTAAACTAATTATAAATTTTGTGTAACTTAAATTTGTTAACAAAATAAGTGTGTTTCAGATTCTGGTATTCTCTTAAGTAACTCTGTGATAAGAAAAATGCAAAAATTATTGGAGTGGTGCGTTAAAAATCTACCATCCAAAGATGACAATGTTAATTTTGGAGAATGTGTGATTCATGCCAGCAACGTGCCTTGTTCTTCAGTAGCGCAGGTCATTAAATTGATTTCCTACTTCTTTTTTCTTGTAGTGCATGCAAATACAGCTTGATTATACTATCAAACAATGTATTTTAATAAGAAACACTCAAGAAAAATACATACCGTATACAGGGTGATTGATATAAGTGTGCCAGCTATTTTATTCTAAAGTTATAAGAGATATAACAAAATGTTAAATTGTTACTGCCTTAGATTTTTTATTTAAAAAATTTTGGTCAAGTTCAAAAAAAAATTTTTGCCGCAATTTTTCCAATATGGCCGCCAACTTTGATTTTTCTTATGGAAGACCCTATATTTTATGATGGTTTAGAAAGTAAATGCAATTTAAAAACGTTTTTGTCCTTGGCATTTTTTCTCTAAAGCTACTCGTTTAGGAGTTACAGCATGTTAAAACTAAGAAAATATTACTTGTGGTGTAGATTCTGCATCATGTAGCTCCTAAACGAGTACGTTTAGAGCAAAAATGCAAAGAGTCAAAAAGTCTTAAAATTGCATCTAGATTCTTTTCTAAAATATTGATTCCATTGTTTCAAAATGGCCACCATTTTCCAAAATGGCAGGGACATTTCAAAATATGAAAACTGTGTGTGTTATGGTCTTTTTAGAATCCAAATGCAATTTTAAATCTTTTAGCGAATTTCCCTTTAGGGAAGTAGCTATTACCGTAGGTCTCATGGTAAGACTTAGGCCCGTGACCGATTTACTTTTTCATTTTGATGTCCCCATAGGCCAAAAACACCATTCGTTCAAATTTTTATATATGTATATATATACAGGATGTCCCGGAACTCTCTACCAATATTTTAGAGCATTGCTCCAGGGTAAGAAACATACCTAAATATCATATTTAAATTGTCCGGAAGTCCTTAGTTACTCACACAGCCGCCATTTTGTTTTTTCCAGTTATTATTTTTTTTCTAAAGAATGGTTAAACATACGAAATGGAAACTTTGCACAAACATTAATGACAACTAGACAAAGCGACAAAAAAATTATGAAGATTTTTCAAATTCATAAAACAAAATGGCGACCATTTAAAATGTCGTTTCTTAAATAGCTCAAAAACCGTTGATTTTATAAAAATTTTAAATGGCCGCCATTTTGTTTTATGAATTTGAAAAGTCGTCATAATTTTTTTGTAGCTTTGTCTAGTTGTCATTAATGTTTGTGCAAAGTTTCCATTTTGTATGTTTAACCATTCTTTAGAAAAAAAATAATAACTGGAAAAAACAAAATGGCGGCTGTGTGAGTAACTAAGGACTTCCGGACAATTTAAATATGATATTTAGGTATGTTTCTTACCCAGGAGTGAGATATATGTGTGTCCGTGAACACGATAACTTGAGTAATTTTTATCCGATTTTGAAGAAATTTGGTTTGAAGGTGTAAGGCGGGATAAACTTGAATGAGTTCGCGATCCAGCATGATCGGACCATGGAAACAGGGTTTTATGGGGGGTTTTATGGGGTAAAAATTGGTTTTTCTCACTTTTGACCCTCAAAACACAAAAATTCCCAATTTTTCTCTAAACCTTCTTAAAGAGCTTAAAAAAACAAACAATTCAGTATATCAAAGTGTTTTTGTACGGTTATTGGTTACGGAGAAAACTAAAAAATGGTAAATTAAAAATTCCCATGTTATTCTTATGGAGAATATTGTAAAATGTTGTAGTTTGCTTGTTTATGGATATCTTTTAATCAAACTTGGCAAATATATTCATTTTATACTAAGCAATAATTATTTTACTTAAAACACACACTTTATTAGATTCCTTGTAGCAGGAAACCTAGGTACTCGTTAAACCTAATGTTATTTAAATAGATCAATTGAAAATCAATTCAGCCAAATGGAAATTCGCTTGGACGGCAGGTTTGCTGCGGCGGGGGTATTTTACTTTTTGTATTTTCGCTCTAAACGTACTCATTAAGGAGCTACATGATGCAGAATGTACACTCTGCAAGTAATTTTTTTCTTAGTTTTAACATGCTGTAACTCCTAAATGAGTAGTTTTAGAAAAAAATGCCAAGAACAAAAACATTTAAAATTGTATTTACTTTCTAAAACAATCTTAAAATATAGGATCTTCCATAAGATAAATCAAAGTTGGCAGCCATATTGGAAAAATGCTGGCAAAAATTATTTTTTGAACTTGACCAAAATTTTTCAAATAAAAAATCCGAGGCAGTTACAATTTAACATTTTGTTATATCTCTTATAACTTTAGAATAAGATAGCTGGCACACTTATATCAATCACCCTGTATACAACAAATAAGAAAAATCAAGATGGACACAAAAGTTTCTGTGGTACGACAACCACTTTGTCTCTTAGTGTAAGAAACAGAAGAAAATAGTCAAAAAATATTTATTTTTGGTTGTTCATAGCCTATACAATTTAAATTTAACTCTTTGAAGTCAACATTTGCTATTTAGTTTTCTGTAGCCTACATTTACTGTACATTATTAATTTGTTATTTAGTATAGGCTAAATATTTAACTATTTACTGTTTATTTTTCAGGGATCAACATTTAACACATATTCTGTGAAAAATAGTAAATCAGACTTTAAACTACCCACAATCGAGAAGGAAATGCAGAAGTTTGACCAATCAATTGTAATATCTCCAGTTTTAAAAGACGCACACTTGTTTCTGATTCACTTTTACTTTTCTCAGGTAGGTGTTGAATAAAAACATGCTGTTTAAAAAAATATTCATATGAAATTTAATACTGTATTTCACAATGATACCCTACCGGTTGTATAAAATAAAAAAGCATTGGATAAAAATACTTTTGACTTATTACTCATTATGATCTGACACTATTAGATCAGGAGTGTGTCGGAGGACCAAAGTTAATCCAAAATTTACCAATAAGCTAAGAAATGTTAACTCATCATGTTGTTATAGACTTATAAGTACAGTTTTATTATTATGGATTCCAATTAATCAATGTTGGCATTTTCTTACACAAAGCTATTTGATGTATCCAGCTTGTAACAGATAAGCATAACCTACCACCTAAATTAAGGTATAAAACCAAGAATGTTTATACACTAAGTATTAAGTAGTAAAGACTGGATACCAAGATTGCAAAGATGTGAGACTCCTTTTATAACAGAAATCAAAACAGTACTGTACATACATTTTTGTCGGGACTCATTCGTGTTGCATCTTATTACTAAACTTGTTGGATTATCAAAAGTATACGGCAACATTAACATTTCCTGTTTACAAAGAAAATTAACTTGTATCAGGAATTTTATACCACAACCCGTCGGTGACTCACATCAACTTTATATTTAATTTTTTTGATCGATTTTTGATATAAAATCTGGCAAAAAATTTAACATTGGGATGGAATGTCTAGTTGTATCAATAGTCAATGGTATATTACTATCAAAGTAAGTACATTACTGTTCTATTATATAATTATATGTATTCACGTTAAGTACAAGAAAAGGCCATGTGGCCTTAACTTTGGCTGTTGAAATAAAGGATACTATTTTAATTCAGTTCAAACTGACAGATTCTAACCATGATTGGTATTTCACAGGCGGCCGTTGAAAGATTGAACACTTTGGTGGAAGAGTTGCGGCAGGAAGTAGTGATGACTGGGAGGAGGGGGGAGTGGGAGACGAGGGAGTGGCCAATAGCCAGTCAGCCAGCTGCGTCTCCTACTTCACACTTTGATGTCGTCCGCTGGGAACACTTCACCACCACTCACAAGTACTTGCCTGACGACTTCACCAACATGGCTCCACTCAGTGGAGCGGACGAGGAGGATATTCAGGTTTTTTTCTCTCTCAGTCTGCAAAACGCAGTCACTGTAGACTTTCTGACATCTCTTATCTAAAACTCATTTACGTTGATATAGAATGTGTTTTTTAACGTCATCTCTACAAGTACTAACCACATATATTAAAAATACTCTTTAAGTAGATTTATCATCCTTATGGATCAGCCGAAGACAAATTGTTAGTTCCATCCGGTGCCACTAAGATCGTGTTTTTGTTAACAATTTGTTTCTTGTTATTTTCAGTTATTTAAAACCTTGGTTAACACAATAAAACGATCTAATAAAAAACAATAACTCTTCCTTTATATTTATAACTAAACAGTAAAACACAAACCATAAAACTAACCCTAAAATTAAAATAATAGAAAAACATTTTTGTCAACACTAACGCCCAGTGTCACCATCATGAACTAGACATAAAAACAAGCTTCAGGTTTAACAATCGGATGAGAAGTCTACTTGTGTTGGTTGGTCTATGCTAGGGCTAGGACGCTAGGCTCCAGCCCAAAACAGTATTACACATTACTTCAGGCTAGTCCTAGAGGGTTGTAGCATTATCACAAACCTAAAACCATCAGTTATTGGCAAGATTTGTCAGAGGCAACGACCTAAGCCCCTTGCTCTACCGCTAAACCAGCTCACCCCCATACATAATGTTGAACAATACAACATTATGAGAGCAAACGTGGTACATATGTGTGTTTTCATATGCTTTCAACTTATAATAGGTTACACCAACGGTTTCAACAAAATGTGCCAAAACAGATTATATGGTATGGAAAATAATCAAGACTACATCTAATATCAGGATCACATTGAGTTCGATTTGATTGTGTTATGATGCCAACTCACTGGGGTGGGTAATTTAAAGTGAAGTAGAAATAATCAAGGATGAGTGTAGGTAGAATGAATTATGTAAAAGCTTTGTAACTGAATAAGGCATTTTTTTTTTAGAATCACTTACCGAGTCTTATTTATTAGAAAAAGCTGAGCATATTTTCAATCTACCTTTGTGTATTTACAATTTTTCCTACTATTAACATTACAACATTGGCATTGTTGATGGTAATTAGAAATGGTAAATATTATGTATATTTTTACATTTTATAATCTTATGTAAAATCACTTGCCTTGTAGATTCTCCACATCCGTAGGCACTTACTCCACATACTTAATGGGTAATTATTGAAACAGGAAGGGTTACAGTATCACCTTGTCCTTAGAAAAAGTAAGACAAAATCCCAGCGAACCCGCAAAAATTAAATTGCCAAGGTTTACTAACGATTAATTTAATTAATGTAGACTACCAAGGTTCATTCCACACATTAAAAATTTATTTTAAGGTTTTTAACATGGTCTTTTTTTAACAGAGAGTTATTAAAAGAAGTATCGCCTACATTGAGAATAAATATGACGGAGCTTTAAAATTTCACAGTTTTATCAATGGATACCAAAAATTTGATCCTTCAAGAGGAATGGACTATATTATTGATCTTGCTTTTCGAGAGACCACAAGTGGGAAAACTATCAACAAAAGGTAAACCGTTTGTACTTAGTTTTTAAAATGTACAGTAATTTAGAATGCTTAATATAACCTATATCATACACTTGAAACATTTTTTTACCATGAATTTTTCAAGGGTCAGTGGGTCTTCAAAATTTTTGGTTTGGGCAGAGCCAACAGTTGGCCTAAGAGTTGGGTCGGGTAATAAATTATGGGTATGTGATTGGCACTACTTACAAGGCAAGTCAAGTCGATCTTTTATTCTTGGGATATTATAAAAATTTCATATTTTCATTGTGACCATGGCAGATGTTTACAATTTTGCTGATGTTGTATATGGAAAACTCATGATTTCACTGTGTCCGCAGTAGATGTTTGCGATTTCTCTGTGATCAAGGGATAAATACAATGGGCATAGGCGCCCGCAGGATTTGGAACAGGGGGTGCAATATATAGGTCTAACGAATGTCTGGGGGGTCCGGGATATTTTTACGCCAATTGGTAACACATAGAACCAACAAGAACAAAATAATATATTGTGCATTGAGGAGGGTAAAAGCATAGGCAAAAAGGATTAAATATAGACCGTCAGCCGTGCTGCGGTTACCATAGGTTCTGGCACAAACCGCTGAGAGTGCCATGCAGTTACGGCGTACGCGCTACGTAACTACACGGCGCTCCCAGCGGTGTGCGCCAGAAGCTATGGAAACCATGGTAACGGCAGCACGGCTGACAGTCTATATTTAATTTGTTTTGTCTATGGTAAAAGTTATCGATTTTATGCAAACATTACAAACTAATAAGCTACAGTATTTGAAGTTATTATGTATAATTTATATGGTTAAATCCACAAGCCAAACAATTATAAGGAAAAGTAAATTTACAGTTAAATAAAGCCTAGATAACAGCCAAGAAAGTTGATATTTTGTTTTCTGAATAGTTTTGTTAAAGTATAAAAGAATGGTAAATCTGTGAGTCAACTACTTATTTGAGTTAAAAATAAATTTACAACATTTTGTAGAAATTATCATTATGAAAGTACTTTTATATTTTTTTTAAACCCAAGTGATTAAAGGACATTATGGATATTAAATTTATTTCTTTCTTTTAGCCAGGCGGGGCAAGTGCACCCCCTTGCACCCCCCTATGGGCGCCCATGACAATGGGGGGAAACATTAATTTAAATTGATTGTGGTTTAACAATTACAATTGTTTTCTAAACATACAAATTCACAAACTCATATGATTTGGCTTTTAAAGCCATTGATGTGTTGTATATTAAGCTGTTAAATTTGTCTGCAGTCATATATTACAGTACAGTAAATACTTTCTAAAGTAACCTGATTTTGGCCCAAGACTCTTAGGTCAACATTTGTTACCCAATTCCACTACTGTAATTAGTCTAGTAAAAAAGTCTGGCCCACACACTTCTAATTTTTCTAATTATGCATAGCCCTGCGGTTATGAAATTCTTGCTTGTGTTCTGATTCTTCCAGCTTCCATCTTTAAGACGTAAAGTAACTAACCTACTTTAACAGATATATAATTTTACCTGAAGAAAAGGAGCCACACCCAAATAACCCTGCCACATGAATCATATACACTAGGGAATTACAGTAGTGTCCCTTGTTAAGGTATTGACTCGTACATAGATGAGCCTGTCCCGTTATAATACGATAAATGATAATGATTGTGTTTCTAGGCTTATGACTCTGGTATAGGGGCTAATATAAGGGAGGGGGAGCCCAGAGGGCCCAAGCCCCCGCTCAAAATAATGAATACAAAGAAAAAACTACCGTAATAGTCAACAATAAAGAAGCGTTATCTAGGTATAGTAAAAATGGCATTCAGCTCAAATTACCCCCTAAATATGAGCATCAAAAGTGAGATAAAGTATGGATGTCTTCTTAAAGTTAACCTAACCTCACATTAATCTTGTATCCCCCCCCAAACATATATTTTATACCCGCCACTGCTCTGCTATCCTTGGTAACCAATAAGTAGGCTTACATAACCGTTAAAGAACACATGATTCATACATTTTTAGTAACTACTTGTATAAATATACCTGACTAATATCAATATCACAATGTCCTAGTAAACAGTCCAAAGCATTTATATTCTGTTACAGGCTAGAAGTGTTCAAATCTTTGGGTAAAGTAGAAATGGTTCCTGTGCCGTATGTGACGGAGAACGTCAGAGTGCATCTCATCATCCCGGTGAGGTCTTCAGATCAGGAGAGGATATTGACGTTTTTGAAACAATACAGTGTCAATGCCATGGAAAAGAAGGACTTACAGTTCCTAATGATGGTAAGGATGGTGTTTAACTATACATTAGCATTAGCATTGACAAATTTTTAAAAAAAGTGAGATATTGGCATGCCTTGCTTTCCACTAAAAGTTAGAGTAGACAGCTTCAGTAAAAGTTGTCAGGATGGATGAATCCTGCCTCCCCTGTGTGAATGCCTGGGTTTAAGCTGCACCCCTGATCAGACATTTTTATCTCCCCCCTGTTTCTTCCATTTTTACATGGATAGATTTTTTTGTTCTTGGTATTTGAGAAAAAAAATACAGGGTTAAAATGGTTAAAGTTAGTATTTATAGTTTTGAAATATAAAAAAAACACAGGTTAATGATAGGGATCAAATTCATGTTAGCTTCAAGAATACTTCCAATTTTATTGGGATTATAAACTAAGATAACTATGTCATAAGATAGTCAACTGGTTTCAATGTCTGCGGGCTGCTGAAATCCAAAAATGTGTTAACACCCAAACACAGGTATGAAAAAGATAGTAAATGTTAACTGAGATCTATCTAGTTAGAATTGATTAAATACCAATGACTTTATTTTAAAATTGTTGTACAACTTAGTATTCCTACTTAAGGAGAATTGCTAAGTTTGAGCTGTCTTTTAATGGTGAGAAATTGTTTCAAGGTATTTATCTACAGCTCCCATGAATCTTCCAAGGGGGAGGATGACGTTTTTAAGCAAGTGAAACAGAAGGCTCTTGTATTGTCGAACAAATTTGAAAAAGTTGGTAATTTAATTAAATGGCATTCAATCAAGCTGCCAACCAACATGACAACCTTTCCCACTGAGGCTCTTCTAGACTTTGCTGTCATGGACTCTGTCTTGAAGAAATTCACATCTGACAGCTTAATTTTATTTGGAAGACCAAACATGGAAGTTCGTCTAGATTATTTTAACAGGGTAAGTAATGCAAAAAATAGATAAAAACTTATACTGTCGCTCATAGCCACAATACAATACAGTTATAATTTTTTTTACATCATGGTATAATTATTTTCCTTAAAGTATGTGAATATTTTAAGAACACAAATTTTATTTACAAACCTTTTCTTTTGATTTGATTCTTGATGTTAGTCATTATCTGAGTAATTACATTACCATATGACAATTCCTGGTCAACATCCTTAAGATTTTACTCAAGGATGGATAGTAAGGGTCAAAGCTGAGACTACTCTTTCCAATTCAAAACTTTCTCTGTTGTAAGTACTGACATTGACAATAAAATTTTTTTTTACTTTCTGATACTCAATACCTACCATAATGTTTTAGGTAAGGATGAATACAGTGTCTGGGTTCCAAGTGTTCAGCCCCATTCCTTTTGCTGAATATCAGCCGGAGATTGTTTATAATGAAGATCGTCCGCAACCTCCAGAACTCGACATCAACAAGAACTATGGCCACTATGACTCCTTGAACTTCAGGCACATCTCTTTTTACACCTCCGACTATACAAAAGGTATTCCTGATAAAATTTGAGATACATAATTACATAAACTAGCAAAATACATAAACTTGGCATAGGTTTTCTCAGTAATTATGTTATGACTGTGTACAGAGCTTCAAAATTTGAGGCACTGAAAGCTTTGACCCTTGCTATCTATCCTTGAGTATCACTGTCATTATACCACCCCTCTTGTAGACAACTGACCTTAGCAATACAATTCAAAATACAGGGTGGCGCAAAAAGAATGGTTGGATTTGAACTGCATAGTACTAGTAGAGGGTGAGGGTAGGGTCCACTGTTGGCCGTCTGTAAGTCGACCATAGTGTCCAATTTGCCGCGAGATGGCACAGTTGACAGTTGAGCACGGAATGTTCTTTTTATAGTTTTTAATTTTTAAATTTGTATAGTTTGATTGACATAGCCTACTAGCAACTTTGTAACTTACAAGGTATTTTTTTGTAATGGGGCATTTGAAAGTGTGTTTCTGGAGCGCATATGTCAAACTTACATGTCAATAATACACTTTGTGTATAGTAAAATGGCCTATCTGGAAAAATGCACACTAAATATGCAAACCAACTGCTGTTCTGATTATAAGAAGGTTTCAACTGACTACAAGATCCCCGTCCGTAGAACCGGTACTTAGTCTTAAATAATAATGTTTTTGTAAATGATAAATTTGTTGCTCCAGCACTTCTACAAATCCATCACATTTTTGATATTTTATTGTGAATCTATAAACCACTGGACTGGAAATTTGTCTACACTGGGTGCACTCAGTCTCCTATTCTCAAAATTAATACTTTCATTTGTCAATCCTTGAATATTACTAATGTTTACCAACTATATTATTTTCCATCTTTCATACTTCCTATTTTCAGCTCGTAAGGAGATCGAAAACACAGTTCCTATCGTGAAGTATGACAAAGACATATGGAAGCTGGTTCCCAAAGCTACAGTGACAGAGGACAGTCAGCTGTACAGCTACATGACACAGGGGATTTACGCCATGCTAGTGAGTCACAGCGCAGCACATGTAATGAGGGCTGTCGAGCCCAGCTTGCGACTGAGACACGCGGGAGAGATGTGTGCGACTTGCGACTACTGCAGCCAAACACAAGCTTTTAATCTGGCTCCCAGGAGTCTGTTAGGGCGTCTGCTGCTTGACTACCAAGCCGAGGCCGGTAGTGTTAAATAAACATAGTATTATTTTATAACGTAGAATAGAATATATTTATTGCTGATTTAACAAAGAATATTTTTAATATAACAAATATATATTTTACTGTACGTGTTGGGTTTTTTTACCTTTGTTAAGTCCTAAGTAGATTCCTAAATATGACAGAACAATGTTACAATTGATCATTCTTATTTTGCCACTAACCCATGGGTTTAGTAACATTAAGGGTAGACGTTTAGTCAATGACATAAGCAAGAAGAAGAAAAGTCCATTTTGTACTAGTACATTCAGTAATTTAGTGATTTGTGTGTGTGTATAAATAACCAACGATACCTGTATCTGACTAATATTTCTGAATTCAAGTCCTGGTACGTTGCAACAAAATACAATACGGAGAGTAGTTAGGAATATTCCAGTACAAATAAATTTACATTTTTTTGTCGGATCTTCTGCTTAGAATCTCTTGCCTTTCTATAAAACTAAAAGCTCAAAGGCCTCTAAACTGTTGCATACCAATGCAAGTTTAGGCAAATAAATAATGCAAGTAAATTTTTTAACTCCACAGTATACTATCTATCTAGGCAAAACGTGCTTTCAGGGTAAATCCAAAGGAAAAACACTTAAGGCAACTTGAAATTAAAACTGCAGCATAATTCGTAAAGTTATTTTTATTAAAGTACAAAATTGTATAACTTGCTATTTCTATAACAATGTATTTAACAGTACTATACATTAATTAAAATTAAAAGTTATGCGATTTAGAATATTATCAGTCCTATCAGGTTAACAGTGATGACAATAAAAAGAGTCGCCTCTCTAGAAAGTTTGTTGCTTATCGAGGAACATAAAGAATGTGATGCATCGGTTTTCAAACAAAAGTATTTATTGAACCTATTGAAGAATTGGTCCCACAAAAGAAGATTTACATTGTTTCGATGTATAGCACAAAACATTGTTTTCGTTGTATCTTTTGAAAGTATTTACGCCACACTACATTATTTTGACGAACTTCCCACACAAGGATTTAGTCCAGAAAACAGCTGTTTGCCGCCAGCTTATTCAAATGGGGTTTCATTGCGAACTACTGTACTGCAATGAGTTTTACCGGACACCAACCAGCTGATTATACTGTATTTAGGTGGCAGTGAGTGGTTATAAACAAAAACATGACTAGTGATTTTTAGACCTTTAGTTGGTGGAAATATCTAAGGATTTGTACGGATTTAGTAGTATGGCGTAAACTATCGTACTAACTCGTCCAAAATGTGTGTACCGGACTCGTATGGTAATCCCGTACTCGACTTCGTCTCGCACGGGAACGACCACACTCGTCCGGTAAACACTTATTTTCAGGACTAGTAACGTAATATACTGTTTTCTATTAATTTACTGTAGATGCATGGTTGTTATGCTTGTTTTAATTCTGTTTTAAAGCTGACTACAAAAATACAGTATAACCATCACAATTATAAAGATCATAGTAAACAAATTTTATTATCTTTAGTTATAAATTTTAGTTATAAACTAGTTGATGACATCAAGGCTTTAAGTGGTTCAATAATACTACAATTTAAGGTTGGAATACCCAGTAAGTGACTTAATCTGATTTACATTACCAAATCAACATCAATGGGCTAGAAGTCAAACCATTTTCTAATTCACCGATGTAAAACTTAGATTTCTTCATTTAATAACAATGACAATTTTCCTCAAAAACAGTCATATTAATACAAAAAATGTATATTGGTAAATTAATTTTTTAAATTAAGTTTTTTAAAGTAATAATCAGAGGTTAGGCTTTTCCGCAGTATAAGTTTACTTGTATTCAATGTATATTTTAAATTTATAAAGACTTACAGGTTTAAGCTCATTTTGAAACTCAACAGTAATAAGTATAATGTTACAACAGTTCTTAAACTTATAAGGCACAGCAATATTATTATTATTATCTAAAACATCGACAAAGTTATACTAACAATTTGTTACTATCCTAACTAATTCATGGTATTTTGTAGGCAATAGTTATTTAAGAAAAATCTTTAAGCTATAACATAGTTGTGATACAAAAAATAAATAACTTACAAACTTTCTAATCTGTACATCAGTCAAAGAAGGATATAAGGATTGTAAATTCCTAGAGCACCGATACTCTGGAGGTTTTATAGAAATTTCAAATATGGACCAGGACGGTGTTTGCTAAAAATACCTGATTCATCTTTTAACGTTAGGCCTAGTTAAATAGTATATTTACCTACGACCGTTTTTTAAAGTAGCCGTTTCAGTTCAGTTCTTAGAATTGAAAAGTTTCTCATAACAGCATAGTTTTACTCATAACAACACAGGTAACGGACCAATGAGGTTCAAGGATTGAGAGAGAAGAAGTAAAATTGCAATGATTTGAACTTCCAACTAATCAGCTATTCAGGCCAATTTAATTGTTGAGTGGTGCAATTAGTGTTTTGTACACTGTTTCGTTGCATCACTGTCAGTGGAAATGAGAGGTTTTAAACGAAAACATAACTGCTCTCAGAAGTTATGAGTAGTGATTTTTAGTAATTAAAACACTGTCGTAGGCAAATTAGTGTACTCAAATCGCGTAAATAGTGTTAAGTTAACGTAATCGTTGCGTAAACTACTATATAGTGTTAGTGTACATTAAACTATCGATATGTCAAACTACAGTAAAACCTCACTAGCTCAACAAATGTTAACTCGACTGTCAACAGCTGACCCTTGCACACAAAAAATATTTTTTTTACAAAACATTATTTTTAAACGTTGAATATTTGACATTTCTTTGAAGATAGTTTACTAAATATGTAAAAATACTTATGGAAGTAATGCTTACATCTTATATGTAAAAATTAGTCTGTTACATATTCATTTATTAAATAAAACCTAATAAAAATTTCAATGTTCTGGATAACTTGACAACCTCTGGGTCCACAAATTGTCGAGTTAGTGGTTTTACTGTATTGACAAGAACCCAACAATAAGCCACAATAGATTAAATCAATTGATACATAATTTCAATAAAGGCGATTGTTTACAAAGTTTACAACGGCTGACTTTTACTCCCTAGGGAGTAAACAAACTACTTTAAACTTGCATATACTGAAATGACCGTTTTTGCTGCAGTATGACAAAAAGGTTTCAAGACATAAATGTTATTATTGTTGGATTTTGCACAACACTTGATTTTCAAGTTTTCCTCTTTTTTGCAGATTATAATTCTAACCAATGTAAGGGTGGAAGTAATATAACATTTTAAAATTCTCATAGGGGATTACATTTTAGTAATTATTCTTGATGAAGATGTAGTCCAGAATTTAACATCTAGATCTCTCTTTAATAATTTGTTTAGAACTCTATAATCCGTAGTCAATGCTCTAAACAAATCAAATTTATAACACTGATTCAACAAAAAAACAAATCATCCTCCAAGTCATGGCCAGGCTTATCAAAAGCAACAAAATGTCATGTTAAATTTACAAATCGAGCTAAGAAATAAGTATGTGATGATAAGTTACGCTTCAAGTTAATATTTGTCTATCCAAGCAATGAATGTAAACACAGATCACACTCAAATGATGGCGACCAAAGATGTTAGTAGGAACTGAAGTTTATGGCTCGGTGTTCTTGTGAACTGAATTACATTGAGCAAGTGTGCTGAGGAACTATCACAGGAAAACTGGTTAACACCAATAACGCTTTGCTGAAGGAAAAACCCTGGTGTACCAGCTTATACAAGAAAATCAAACACAGATAACAGAGTCATTAGTTAGTGATCCTGGCTGACATCAGAACTGGCACAACGTTTCATTGTCACACCGAGACAGGTTTCATAAACACTTCATTTGCATTGTGCATTTCAAAAAAGGAACTTTACATATCAATCTAAATTCATGGCTCAAAATTTGATTCCTTAGAGTAATTTGTAGGAATTGGTGTGCTTGATACTTGAACACACAAATAAATCTTTAAGTTATCAGATACACACCAAGGTGAAGCCCACGCTTCACAGTTTTTGTTTGTATCTAAATAACAAACCAAAAATGTATTTGTTTTTGTTTAAATTCTCCTTAAACCAGCAAATTTATATCCAGCCAGGATCAATAATACAAACCCCAAAATTGATAGATTATACAATTTGTTCTATTGTAATGATACAAACATGATGATACTGATTAGTGATGTGTCAAAACTGAAACTTATTTAGAGCTCTTGGAGACTCTGTAAAAAGATAAAACGGTGAAACCGTTCGGAGTAAGTTGGAACTGAGCATTTTATAAGTTATGTATACCAATTTTTTTTTGAGGTTGGCGGCCTCTTTTAACCTTGCATTTGTTCACATAGGCTACAAGCCTGCGCATGGAACTTATCAAGTACAAGGGTGAAGTGTACTAATAAAATGTCCTGGCAGGTACAAGAATTGAAAGTCTGTGGTACTACCTACTCACCTAACCAGGTAAGTAAATAGGGTTTTACACTGAGTTTTTGGTTTTGGTTTTAAGATTCATATTATTAGTTTTGACCATCACTAGTTCTAATACAATAGGTTGTCTTGCAATAAAAGTATGAAATTCTCAAACGGACATATCACACAACAACAAGCAATTAGCAATAGGTTCGTAAATTTCCAAAAAATTCAAATTTTTTAAGTTATTGGACACTCTGAATGGATGGATAATCTTTTGCAAATAATTTTCAAAGTAGAGTGTAAGCAATCTTTGTTTTGTACTAAAGGGAAATATTTGTATTGTCTTAGGCTTAAAAACTTTTGCAACGCAAATCTTAAAAATATAATAGTTAAACACATATAAATTTATCAATATACGATCAACATACCAAACGTACGTGTAAGTATGGTATAGACGAATAACAATTAGTAATACTTAACATTTAACAAGTCGAAGGTGTATAAAATTAATAGAAACATTCGTTAACAAACATGTTAATCTAAAATGCCGTACAACAGCAGAATAAAATGGCACTCTGGCATTTACAATATTTAAATATTTACATATAGGCAATATACACTGTACAAATTGAGGTAGTCGATGTCAGCAGTTGGGACACCTGCCGTTGGGTGAGGGAGGAGGAGGGAGGGGGTGAAAGTAGGTTGAAGAGGATGGGGAAGGGGGCCCAGAGGAGTGGGACCTTGGTGTGGGAGGGGGAGGAAATGGGTCACTATCACAGCGGTAGTTAGAGTCACTCTCATCACACACATCAGTGCTGCAAGGAGTGGGGGGAGGAGGGCGATACCTCGGGCAGCAGTACGAGCCCTCGCGCTGCACCGTGGTGGCAGGGGACGGTGGAGGGTTAAGGGGGTAGCACAGCAGCGAGGCGGAGCTAGAGGCCCCCGTCACATGACTGCGGTCGTAGCTGGAACTGCTGGTCCCGTTGTTAAGGGTTGTCATCCTCACGACGGGTATAGGCTTGGGTACGATGGGCACCCCCGACTTGGGTATCACCCGGAGAGGCTTTGGTGACAACGGGTCTGCTGCTGAATCCTCACATGGGAGTCCTTGGCTAGCTGGTCCAAACCTATCACATAACACATTTATTATCAGACTTGAGCATATATTTCTTGTATTTTTCAATTTTAAATATAATCCGGGGTCTAAATTCGTAACTTTTATACATCTCAACTCAAGTAGAGAGATCAGTTGCTGAGGGTCTAAATCTCAAAAGGTTTAATTATACCTTCAGCAGACATTTTATATTTTGTACTTGTTGCTGAGGGTCTAAAAGGGCAGTAGCCAAACTCAATTTAGAATTTTGACTGAATAGTTGCATTTTAAAAACACTAAATTTTCATAATGCGAAGTTTAGGAGATCTGAACCTACCTTCTCTTACAACGGTACAGAGCAGCAGCAAAGGACGCAAGGACACTGATGGATATGAGTATATACAGGGTGAGATGTCCCTGGGGAGGGTTGGTGGGAGACCGAGAGTGAGGATGAGCTTGGCACGCGAGTGGCGTCTCATCAGAGCCGTCAGGACAGTTGGGCCAGCCGTCACACACAGAGGCCAGTGCTATACATGGCGAGCCTCCGCTGCAGGCAAACACATCCGTGGCCGTCGCACTGCAGCAGGCCATCTCATCTGACCCGTCGGGACACTGAGACACTCCGTCACACACCCAGCTGGTGTCTGTAACATAGCATAGAGATATAAGAGAACCTCAAACAGTTTCAATTAGAACAGTGTACTCTATTGATAAAACCGTAATATACTGATCGTCTAGCATTCTATACTGTGACACATTCTATATTCTATTGTCTGACACCACAGTGTCTCCTCAGTTTGAGAGATTGCAACTATGAATTAAATAAGGCCTTTGCTTTTTTGTATACTACAGTTGCAATGTTACAGTAGTGTACATACCTTTGTGTATCTTTCTTGTTGGATACATTTTGCTTTTATTTTTTTAGTACAATAAAACACTGCTTTAATTTTTTTAAGTACAATAAAATTAGTGTTTTATTGTAATGGCTAATTTGTGTTCTGTGTTTGTTAACATCTAAAAATACCAATATTGTAATTAGTTTATATGTATACCCTAATTTATTAACCTTAAGTAATATAATAATATATGAAACATACTCCCTTAGCTGATTTGTCATCCTTATGGATCACAAATCATGAAATTAACCCTAAAATTATATAAACAAGATTTTGTTGACACTATCCCAGTGTTACCAACATGACCTAGACACGAATAACAAGCTTCAAATTTTAAAATTGAGAGTAGTCTACATGTTTTGGTTATAGCCTATGGTATTGTGTAGTTTTTTTATATTTTTTTTATGTTGTTGAAGAGGACATTTTGGCGTATTTGTTATGATAACTATTGTTCCATAATCTTGTCCAGTCTAAAAGAGACCTGGCCAACTACGGTTCTTCCGTACAACACTCACCTATACACTGGCCGGAGTGGCAGCGAAACTGCATGTGAGAACAGTCAGGACAGCCCATCTCATCACTGGAGTCAGGACAGTCTGTTTGTCCATCACAGCGCCAAGCGCCCGGGATACAGTCCGCACCACAGGTGAAGTGGTCGGCTCCACAAGCTGGCAACACGCTGCACGTCGCTCGGTCCTGCAACCAACAAGTCACATTTACAAGGACTGCAATTTTGCATTTAGAAAAAAAAACTAGGTCTACAGTATATACAGACAACCTCTTGTGTGTATTTTCCATAGTACAAAACAAATAGAGTACTTACCATGCTGTGGCTTCCGCAGTATATTTATTGTTTACATGATCAAGTTCTTCACTCAATGTTGAAAAATGTTGTGACCTCAAAATATTCAGTGATTCCTTTGTGTTTTCTTTTGTGTTACTTGAGTGAAGTGGGATGCCGGATGTATTCAGTGTTTCCTTTGTGTTACTTAAGTGAAGTGGGATGCCGGATGTATTCAGTGTTTCCTTTGTGTTACTCGAGTGAAGTGGGATGCCGGATGTATTCAGTGTTTCCTTTGTGTTACTTGAGTGAAGTGGGATGCCGGATGTATTCAGTGTTTCCTTTGTGTTACTCGAGTGAAGTGGGATGCCGGATGTATTCAGTGTTTCCTTTGTGTTACTTGAGTGAAGTGGGATGCCGGAAGTTTTTAAGGTAAATTTTTAAAGTAAGCCTGCTTAACCTGTCCTTTGTTCTTCATTCTCAGGCAATAAGCCCTTACCAAGCAAACCTATTTTTTGTATTAAATATTTTAGAAACCAAGCCCAACTATTCAGTGATCTAAACTACCTACTTACATGCCATTTTGGAAAAAGAAAAAAATCTAGTATACTGACTTAATCAAAATCAAAATCACAGGAATAAAAGGCTGTTGTTCTATGAGAGTAAGATGGGTGGTGAGTGAGCGTTTTGGACTAGCTTCATGAATTCTTTTCTACACGCTCCCTAAGCTAAAAGTTTTCAAATTCTCATCAATAAAAACTTAAGAGATCCAGGACCTGATTTAATGTCAGTTATTGTAGTTTTCTATCTTACCTCGTGTAACATGAGCCCCTGGGGACAAGAGCACTCCACGCTGCCGTGAGGTAGCGGCAGACACAGATGAGAACATCCTCCGTGATGAGTCAACGGACCACACGGGTGATTGGCGTTGATCTGTAACACACACAACTGTCATTCTTGTAAACTTCTAAAACCATATTCAAAATTATGAAGATTAATTTTTTTAATTTTCACATTACTTCATGCATTGGAATATAACAAATCTATAATTTACCACATTGTACACAAATAACAGAGGAAAAAGTGACTAGTGTATAATAAACCATGTATATTGTTGAGAATAACTGAGAAAGCCAACAATTTTAAAAAACAATTAAAAGGCACATTTTCGGCTCAAGTAAAAAACCAGAACTAATTAAAGGCATAGAAAGTTGTTTGAAACATAATTTCAACGTACGTATTCAACTAACACTTTAATCTTTTTAATTCTATAAGTGTTTCTAAAAGCAAACCAAGGGTACAATCTATTGTTTAGCTACAGCTAAAGCAACAATGGTACAGTTGGGCCAAAGTTTCTGTGCGTGCGACCAGATCTGGTTTTATCTAGGCAGGTGGGTACTTGTGAAAACATTTATGTCTTACTACTCACTCACCCCTACCACCAGCACTGCCAATAACCGGTACCTGTATGTTTTAGTTCGGCTAGTAGCGACCCGTCCTCTTGCACAGAAGTTTTGGCCAAACTAAGTCTAGATTTTAAAAGTTTTGTTTAAGAAAGCAGATTTACCTTGAATGAAAAATTGTCACAAGAAAAATAAACTTTACACTGGAAATAAAAATACTTCACTGTCACTGCTAAAGTGGGTTCTTTCATTTCGCTATTCTAAAAAAAATCTGTACAACAATGTTATAAGCATTGAAAACTTTGAAAATTTCTCATGATTGATAAAAGAAGTGTTGATATAAAATAATCGATGCAATATTACACATTGACTCAACAATTACTGACTCGTACTCACATTGGTTGTAATCGCCACAAGATCTGTCAGATGAGCCACTTTAGACATGATCGCTTCCCTCGCCAGACCCGTGTTCTTGTCAGCCCTCTCAATCAGCTGTTGGTCCTTATCAATCCAGTAGACAAAGTCTCCCAACACTGCCAGGCCTGACACTTGTACCAGCTGACTGGACACCACCACTCTCCTGTCAGATCATGTAATTAACGACAAGCAGGGAAAATAGTGGACAGCTTAACTTGGCAGTAAGATAAATCAAATATGTTATGTGATTCATAACAATAGGTCTTTGAATATAGTACACTAGTAGAGTAAGTCACAGTAATTTAAATAATTGACTTTCAAATTGGCATTTACACTATCTACATTATATACAATAAAAGACGCAGAATTTAAGCAAAGTCTCACAACATCATGGGTGGAACATGTTATTGTAAATAATATAGATACAGTATATATTTAGATACCCATTTGACAGGGATCTACCTGGAGGACCAAGAATGTAACATGTAAGAATGTAAAATACTGTATAAACTTTGTTCTAATTATTCCCCAAAGCAGAACGTTTTTAAACTTTCTGCAACAAAAATCCAAAAATTTTCTTCAGGCTTACTTGGTCCAAGTAAATGAACCAAGTGATGATGAGTATGATGTGAGTGATAATTTTAATGAATATTTTGAAATAAATAAGTTTTCATCACTCGTATCGGTTCGAATAAACCTACTGTTATTACATTAAATCGCTTCTGTATTTCAGTTGTTCTATGTGTTTTTCCTCACGATTAATAGAGCTGATAGATAGCCTACACAAAAAAATCACAAAATATAACACTGATATTTCCTCCAAAAAGAGAACTTCCTCGGAGATTAGATTGAAAAAACATCTACTCTTGAATCAGTATTATCTTTTATAACCTTTTTTTTGACTACCCTCTCAATCCTTGATTTTCTTAGGTAAGCTACGCAAACGCTATCCTTTTCAAAAAGATTATAGGCCTATTCATCCGCTTGGCTTTTCTTTAAAATATTTATCAATTGATTGATTACTCACATATTTTGGCCGGCCAGGTCGGCCACACATATTCTAGATTTGGTGGCCCACAACACAGTGTTGTCTGCTCTGTCCACAGCCAGGGCTGACACTTGCTCTGTCTCTTCAGCTATGACTATGCGCTTCTGACCGTCCAGCCTAGCTCTCACCACACGTGATGTAGTACCTCCCACGTCACTCCAGAACAGGTACCTACACCATACAATATGATAAACCAATCCACCATGGTGTTAAATCCAGACCAAAACCCTCCTACCTTTATCTGTCCAAATTCCCTACTAAAAACATAGCTTAACCAAACAAGAGAATGTGAATGCAATATGATAAAAAATCACAATCAACTAACTTTTTTCGAGGGTATACTGCAAGTAGACATCTCATTTATGTGAACCAGATTTAGCATTGACTTTGGATACTGAAAGTGACATCCCATTTATGTGAGCCTGTGCCCATTGGAAACAATCATTTTTTGGTTACATTTCCCAAAATTATTGGATTAATATGCTTGCTATGCTCAATATTGCAAGCGGACAACTGCATTGGACACCTAGTTGATTTTTATTTTAGAAATTACAATAACAGAAAACCATACTATCAGTTGCAACTATGAATTTCTAATCATCTAAATGTTTAGCTTCATTCCTACCCTTTCTCTGGGTGCAGTGCCAAGTTCCTAGGTTTCTCGCCGTTGGTGCCCCTGACTACTGCACCGAGTGCCGTCGCGTTTGCCAGCCTGGTGATGTTGATCGTGTCTGTGGCAGCGCAGGACCAGTAGAGCAGTCCAGCGTAAGGGTCCACTGCCAGGTCGTAGGGGTGATGGACCAGGTTACCTCCCCCTACCACCACACCCACTCCACTGCCTTCCTGCCACCTTCGCACACTCTGCATGCGACCTCCGTCAATCTAACAAACAATGCTACATTTAGACTTCCACTCTTGAAACACAACTGGCCAAATCAGGTAAATCAGTTTTAATAAATAAGAAGCCAACATTCATTATGCAAGTCCTATACAGTAAAATCCCTCGACACCGACTTCCAATCCGACATTGGACCGATGGAGTTTTCTTTAAAAACCAATCTTTTTGGGTGTGTTTGACTGAATTTGCTAATAATCAAGGTCAGGCATACTCCTGAAAAATTGGCTTGATGCTTTCTTTAATGTCCCTTAGCCTTTCTATTTTAACAGTATTTCTGCTATCCTCCTATGCAAAAAAAAAAAAAATTGTTTTGAATTTATTTGAAAGTAAGTACATATTCATAAAATAACTAAAATAATTGACTTTGATGAAATAATTGAATGATTATTATTAACTTTTATGGGGTACAATTTTAAAAATGTATACACAACTTATTCAACTTTAAGTTTAATCAACTCAAGAATGATATTACTCACCCAATAAACATATTTGTTGACAGGATCAAATTCGATTGCTCGAACGTTCTTCAGGCTCTGTATGGGAAGTAACACATCCGGGCAATCTTGCGTCTCCCATATCAGTCTGTTGATGCTGGTCTTTTGAGAATAGAGCAAAAATGCTGTCGGAGCTGAAACAAAAATATATTAGTTTATCTATACCATCATCGTATGTATGAATGAAAAGTTTTGAGGAAGATTCAAATTTTAGAGCTACACAAAGTTCTAAGTACTTACGGCACATCAATTTTTTGTACAGGTTTCAATAAATGTAAGCCACTAAAAGTTAATAGTTTGATAATTTTTGGCACTTTTCAGCAAAATCAAGACTGTGTTATTTTGTAAAAAAATTATCTGTAATATTTATAAAGTCATGAGGGAAACGAACAGGCAGTATCATCATTTCTCTTTCTTCAACGTTAAAACCTGTTCAAGCTGTTCAAAAGCTGTTTGGACGAGGTTGTTTTGTTCAAACTGTCACCAAAATGTTAAAATTAAAAGTTGTTTACAAATAATTCAATTAATGGGATATAACTTTGATTTTCGATAACTTTTTGTCAGAAAATCCAAAACCAAGAGAGATCAATAGCCTCGGAACTGGATTAACGCATTTAATTGGTCGGATGTACTATAGATCTTAACTGTAGGCCTAAACGTTGGTTTTTTTGTACCGGTACTGGTTTTAGCGAATTTCCCATATAGGGAATAAGCTATTACCGTAGTACTCATGGTAAGACCTGGACGCGGGACCGATTTTTTTTTTTCGTTTTGAGGTCCCTAGAGGCTAAAAACACCATCCGTTCAAATTCATATATATATATATATATTTATATATATATATATTTATATATATATATATTTATATATATATATTTATATATATATATATATATGTGTGTCCGTCAGCACGATAACTCGAGCAAAAATGATCCGATTTTGATAAAATTTGGTACAAACGTGTAAACGTACGTTTATTCGAACAAGTTCGCGATCCAGCATGATCGGACCATGGGAACGGGGGTTTACGGGGGGTTTTATGGGGTAAAAATAGGGTTTTCCCATTTTTTACCCAAAAAACATAAAATTTAGCAATTTCTTTCCAAACCATTTTGTAGAGCTTAAAAAAACAAATAATTTAGTATATTGAAGCGTTATTATGCGCCTAATGGTTACGGAGAAAATTCCAAAAAATTGTAAATTTAAAATTCTCATGTTATTCTTATGGAGAATAAGTAAACTGTTGTAAGTTTGCTTGTTTGTGAACATATTTTGATCAAATTTGGAAAATGTTTTTATTTCTTACTAACTATTCACATTTTACAAAAAAAAAAACAGTTTTACCCTCCCTGATGCAGCAAACCTAAGTACTTGTTAAACTAATTCTATTTAAATCAAGAATAAATGTTATATTTTTAAGTAGACATTTCAGTGTAAATCCAATCAGTCAAATGGAAATTCGCTTAGTCTGCAGGTTTGCTGCGGCGGGGGTATTTTCCTTAGAGCCGGTGGTATCAACAAGAATAATTTTTACGTACCAACACATCACTATTTACAAATTAGTTATCGTTAGTGTTGCACCTTATTTATTACAGTAGTATTCAATTTAACTGAGATATCTTACTGTATAAGTTTTGCTTTTTCTTTATATGTCATTATATTAGGTTTATACATAATAGTTTTGCCAGCACATCTGAAAACATGCATACCAACTGCTGTTCTTTATATAATAAGGTTTCAACTGACAACTATAAGATCCCTGTGCGTAGAACGGGCACACAGCTAGTTCCATATAAAATTGGTGTAAATACCTCCTTCTTAGTAAATCCAAATTGTTGCAATGACGCAACTAGTTACAACTTCACGAAGTCATCATCAGGTGTCCAGGGGATGTCGAAATCACTTCATAAGAAGGTCGTCGATACACATATTGTACACTCACATTTATACATGAACATGTACACGGAAACAAACACAAACATGGATACGTTAAAAAGGTACGTTTATTTACAATGAGTGAAAGACTATAAAAATGGTAACATCGGTTTAGGGATGATGCGTCACGGCCAGATAGATGTAGCGTCTAGACAGGGGATTTCGACATCCCCTGGACCCCTAATGATGACTTTGTGAAGCCGAAACTAGTTGCGTCATTGCAACAATTTGGATTACTAAGAAGCAGGTATTTACACCAATTTTCATACAATCAACGTAATCCGGAGGCTAACATAAAAAATGAAACTACATCCCATATTTGACACCAAGTGGTGTAGTGTGTAGTACCTGAGCAGGTAGTGTTGTCCAGTGTGTAGTGTGTAGGACAAGCACAGTGTCTACTGTTGCCACCAGGCCGCGCCAGACACAAGTGACTGCAGCCTCCGTTGTCATTGGCGCACGTGTTCCAACCTGTCTGACGCGATGTGTGAAACACCTGAAACATCAAATATGTCGGTACCTGATGTGTTGCTAATGCAGAGGAGAGGGTTGAGAATATAGTTGGTAAGAAGGCCGAGATAATGGTGATGTGAAGAAATAGAGAGTTAGTGACCTTTCATGAAGGAAGAGGAGCCACTAAAGTTGGTAGGTGGGGAACAGTAACAATAACAGTAACGACTGTGGAGAAAACTAGAAATTCCATTCCAAAGTTAAAGTTATAGCTAGTTAATGAACAATAATCAACTTAGTTTAATTAAATGTAGTACACAGATGTTAATAACAGATATTTTTAAATACAAAAGCTTTTTGATTAAACCAAACTGAAACGACCTCTTATTGTAATACTATACAAGGTGTCCACAGAACTGAGTGTTTAAAATTCCCATATTTTCCCGCCGGCACATCAAGAATTCCCGATATTTCCGCAATGCTTAATTTAACGCTTATAACTTGTATAAAGAAATACTGAGAGTTTCTACATGCAGGTGATCAAGTAAAAAACACAATTACGTAATGATATTCACCATGAGATTAGCAAAAAGCCTAATCAATAATAGGTCTATTATTGACACTGAATATCCAGTGTTTCCTTTGTGTAACTTTAGTGAAGTGGGATGCCTACAATTTTTAGAGTAAGTCTGCTTATCCTGTCCTCCGTCTCCTTCTCAGGCAATAAGCCCTTTCCAATCAAACCTAACCTCATACTCCTATTAGTTATCTTAGCCTTAAGAAGACACTGAAACCACAGGGTGTGTTGTATCTCACCTGTAAGTCAGTGACATGGTCCAGTCCTCTGTGTATGATTGTGCGGTTGCCACCTTGCTTCTTGTCCACCCTCTCTATAGTGCCACTGTCCCAGTCAGCCCAGTAGATGTAGTCCTGCAATTACAATGTACTTGATTGTCTCAACATTCTGGGATATTGAGGTTGAAAGTAATTTACAAATAACTTTAACGTCATAATACTTAGTACCCTTTATATGAACTTGCAAGCTATGGCTTTATGTTAAAAGCATCTTGCTGTTGAGTGTTGAAGTTTTGCAGGGAAAATAATCACAAAATAACTTTTTTTCAAAATTGAGACTGCCTCGGTTACGTGTAGATAATTTATATGATGCATTGAAATTCTATAAAAATTTACTAGGTACTTTTCTAACTCAACTGACCAAAAATTTTCAGCAACTTCCAAAGATTATCAGAGAAAGAGTTTGTAAAAACACTAGATCTATTTGATTCCAGCAACCTAATTAATAAAAATGGGAGTTTTGCTAGCCTAGTGGTTAGCGTCTTGGACTTCAGTGCTTCCTGTTTTTTATGATTCACTAAAAAAAAATTACCGGTACTTACGAATTGTACTCACCACACCTATAACCTAACCCAACCTAACCTAACCTAAGGGTGGTTAGGTTAGGAAGATTTTGTTATTTAAACTAATTAAAATCTTATTTGGAAGTTGATTTATCGGTGTGGTTGGTATAATACGTAAGTACCAAAATACCACTAGTGTAGACACAAATGTGATTGCAGCGAGTGTGTTTCAATAAAAATATTGCTGTTGAACATGACTGACCTGATACTGAGTAAGTGCGAAGGGGCGACCAATGTCCTTTGCAATAACAGTAGAACGATGTCGACCATCCAGGTCACTAGTCTCAATGGCTGCTGCGCCATGTTGTTGAGCCCAATACAGCCTGCGCTCTGCGTAGTCTACTGTAAGACCGTTCACTCTGCCTGCTCTCGCCACTACCACCTGCGCACACAATCATTGCCAGAGATGTGGGACTAAATAGTAAACAAGCATGATCTGTTTTGGATCCAATTGACATTAATAAATGTGTTATTAATGAGACTTACTAACAACATTTCTGTTCCCATAAAAATTATGTAAATAATTTCTACAGGTAATTTGTTTGAACAGTTGATAGAAATAAATATCACACTTTAGAAAGAACTAAACATACAAAAATGTATATAATCACATTGTGTCCAAAATCTGCTTTTCAATTAATCCCTTTTCAATTGATTAAAAAGAAAATATTTTCCAACAACCTAAAAAGTAAAATTTTATTTATCAAGTAAATATAGCTGAAACTTTTGAGTTATGTTCCTTTTTAGCTCTTGGGATAAAAAAGAATTACTTTTATAATAAGGCTTAGCCAAACAAATTTTACAAATATATATTTGCTCAATAATAAACAACATACCTGACGCATGGTTCCATCCATAGCAGCCTTCTCTACACTCCCCTGGCCTCCCCAGTCACTCCAGTACATGCACCTACACAGAATAACACTATTTTGAATAATGAATATCAACTTGTAATAATTAAACGCTCAATAGACAGGACAAACTTCCATTTAGATTTTTATTTAATTCATCAAATCGTTGAAAACACTTCAACAGCTGCCAAAAGGATGGTTAAATCATTCAGATATTTATTATTTAGAAGTAGTACAAAATAATTATCAAAAATCTCAATTTCAGTTACAATTTTAATTTATACAAATTATAATCTACTGTTAATTGATTTGCACTACTATTAACTTAATTTTGAATGTCATAATTGACAAGACAAATCATGTTAAAAACGGTTCTTTGCCAAAATCACAGTATAGTCCAAAAGCATTTTACAATCTGATCCTAAAACCGATTTTACACTGACATGATATGAGCATGATCTTTCAGGTAAAATCACAGCTAAAATTGGGGGATACATTTGGGGGATTGAGGGATAACAAAAAAAAATCCTTAACTATTTTAATCCATCTGATGAACAGAAACAAAAAGTTCCCCAATTTTTGTGACTTGAAAAAATTCTATTCAAGAAATTCCATTAATTCTACTACATCGAAGTCACACAAGTTGCAATAGTGAGAGTAAAAAGTAAGAAGTGGATGTGACTTTTCTTAAGAAATGTGCATATAAAATCCACTTCCAAGTAATTTAAGCTTGTTTCCTCTCATACATACCCTTGACTAGGGTCTAGGGCAATACTGCGAGGTTCCTCGATGCTTTTCCACAACAACACCTTCCTCCCAGAGCCGTTCAGTCTCGCCACCTCTATACGCTTGCTGCCTGTATCTGCCCAGTAGATGTTGTGCGCCACCCAGTCCACTGCCAGCCCTGAAAGTAACAATACTGTTATTTCAATGTTCTAACGTTTACAAATAGTATTTTATCATACTAAAGGAACTTTTACGCTAAATCATGGATTTAACATACTGCCTTATATCTTTCCATCATCAAAAATCCCCAAAGCAGAAGGGTTTAAACTTTCTACAACAGACTTGGAACAACCCAATAATTTATGTGGGCATGCGGTCCAAGTTAAGTGTAAAACTGGGGTTTAAACCAAACAGTTAATTGTAAAACGCACTATAACGTTTAGAGAAACCTAATAAACATCAATGCACTCTAAGCATTAACAACATAAAACAGGACATTTTAAAGTATGGGTATATTATAATTTGAAAACTACCTTCAGGTGAGTCCAAGCCAAACTCTACGATGCGTTCCACATGAGATCCATTGATAAAAGCTCTTGTGATGGCTTTGACTTTAACATCCGTCCAGTAGATTCTGCTTTCCTTCATATCAAAGTCCAGGGCACTGAAATTCAAAACCAAAATTATAAATTTCATCTCCTCTTCTTTTATATTAAATAGTTTTTACATGTAAAAGGTTGTTTGAAAGCAATTAATGTTTATAACACATGTTACGGTTAGAAGAGGTTTCAGTTATCCTGTAATAGGCAATCGTGTTTCTTGAAAGCCTTTTTTCTCAGCTTGTGTGCATCGCAGGGAAAATCTATACATACTGTTAGAAAGATATTTCCTGTCGGTATGCTGAATCCCTTTATCAATTATATGAGGCTCTTAAATAAGCAAGAATCTAATTAAAAATTTTAAAATCATGGGCCTTATGGGTTGCCCCCAGCTTATGGGGTGAGCAAATGACAATGAAATATAAACAGAAAATCAAGCGATACTATTTGCATGGTAAATAAGTTTGAACTTTTTCAACCAAATTTCTTATAGTTGAGTTGGATGTGCGTACAATGGCTATCCAGTGGGGGGGGGGGGGGGGTTAAGGGAGGGATCCCCTCCTTGACCTCTCTAAATAGTAGTCTCTAAAAACGTGAGTTAAAAGGTCAAACCCTGTGTAACCACCCCCATAGGGCATAGGGTCATCCTAGTTACGCCTATGTGTGCGTGGACTTAATATGACAGAAAAATAAGATTGGATTACTGATTTTACAATGCAACAAAATATGCTCTAACATAAAGGAAGGTGATTTATAATATAATCTACTTAGGCCTAAATCTTGCAAAATGACAAAATATTTGAAAAAAGAAAATGTATGTACATACATACATATATACATACAGTGAGCATTTTGATAATATTTTAATATTTTATAGAATTAATTGTATTTATTGACGCCATTCTGCATTTATATTTGTATAATGTAAATCTTGAATAAAGTGTTTCTGAATCTGAATCATGCTCATGTTGTAACAAGGCTTTCCATTAATCTCTAATGTTTTAATCACTATAATCAGTATTTTTATCTATATTTAAAAAATAATAAATATTTAACAAATCTTCTAACTGAATTATACAGATGCATGGACTAGTAAGAGCTGCAAAGGGCATGCATGCATGGACCAGGGAAAAAGGGGGTCATTGTTGATACAAATTTGTCTGTCATAAGCGTAGTAAATATTGATGTTATATAGGATTTTGTACTAAAGCTAAGATCTACCATTTCCTGCCCTCTTTCCAATTGTTTACAATCATTACCGACAGTCCACGGTTTTGATTTGGTTTGTTTATGCTAACTGAATACTAATAAAATTTTATATTGTTTATCATGCAAATGGAAACGGAACCAGAGAGAGTGCATGTGAAGTAAACCAACAAATGAGGAAAAATACTGTAAAATAGGCTATGAAACAATTTTTGAGGTTAAACAAACAATCAGTGCAGTGTCAAGTGAGTCAATTGGAAATTACTGCTCATTGTGGAAAAAAACATTGTCATTAAAGAGACTGAAGAGGAAACAAAATCTAAATTATTGTAAGTAAATAAAAAAATAAAAAGATAAATACCCCCGCCGTAGCAAACCTGCAGATTAAGCAAATTTCCTTTAACCTTTAACTAAAATGTCTCCTTAAAAATATCACATTTATTCCCTATTTTAATAGAATTAGTTTAACGAGTACTTAGGTTTGCTGCAACGGGGAGGTTATATGTATTTTTTTTATGTTTAGTAATAGTTATATGTGTAGTAATAGTTTAGTAAGAAATAAATTAATTTTCCAAATTTGATCAAAAAAGTTCATAAACAAGCAAACTACAACAGTTTACTTATTCTCCGTAAGGATAACATGGGAATGTTAAATTAAAACTTTTTTTGGAATTTTACCCGTAAAGATTAGGCGCATGACAACGCTTCAATATACTAAATTATTTTTTTTTAAGCTCTACAAAATGGTTTGGAAAGAAATTGCTAAATTTTATGTTTTTTTTGGGAAAAATTGGGAAAAACCAATTTTTAACCCATAAACCCCCGTTCCCATGTCCGATCATGCTGGTTCACGAACTAAAATACTATTAATGTTGGTTTACACAATTATATTAAATTTAATCAAAATCGAATCATTTTTGCTCGAGTTATCGTGCTAACGGACACACATATATTTCAATATATAAATATATATGAATTTGAACGGGTGGTGTTTTTGGCCTCTAGGGACTTCAAAACGAAAAAGTAAATCGGTCCCGGGTCCGGGTCTTACCATGAGTACTACGGTAATAGCTTATTCCCTGCCAAGTCTCTATTGCGATCTGTGGTTTGGTTATGAATGGAGTTTTGAGAAGGCTGTTCTTATCTGTACAACCAGGCCCATCATGGGTGTCAATCAGTTTAGAAAAGTGACCAAAGATAAGGCAACGTGCAGATCGGTGTATAGCCAAAAAGATAGCTTAACTGACAAGGGCCATCTCTAAGCCTACCATGAACCCTAGATACACCAATTTGCAAGCAAAACTTATTCAAATTTCCTTACCAACTTTAAATGGACAAATTATTGTCTGTAACCAAATGTGTACAGTCCCCCATGTACATTTTGTATGACCATACATTTTTCTCAATTGACCTACCTCAATTGGAGATGGATTTTAAAATACAAATTAGGATATCGACCTGTTAAAACCATAAACATGACATTACATAATGCAAATCAATCATAATGCTTAGGGGGAGCATCTATTTTCCCTGCCTTCGCTAATAGCAATAGTGACGACACCTTGGGTCAAAAACTCAATTCAATACATCTTTATTCAGACATATACATAGAGATGGGGACCAGCTGCGATATTAGTCGGGGGAGGATAAAACAATGTAGTATTGTTAGACATGAACTAGCTCGTTCTGTTACTGCAGGAGCTCGTTAGAGGCCTTGAAACCCCACATTTTAAATTTTTATAACTTGTTGTGATTTTATTGAGTGTTCTTCATTGTAAGTTTAGCTCGAGTCAAGTGCGACTTGAGCATAACAGGAGGAAGTGGTAAAATGTTTCTTCAACAGCACAAGACTAAGACAATTTAATTTGTTTTTAGGTTCAAAGACCTGTAGGCCTTCTAGAAAAGGATCGATTTAACAGGGTGTCCACAAAAAATTTGTCATTAATTTCCATGACTTTCCATGACTATCCATGACCATTTACCATTGATTTCCATGACTCACGAACTTTACACGCAAATTATTATAAACAGACACACACAAATAATACTGCCTGGACATGTTAATTTGCAGAAAATACTGAAATATGTAATAACAGATAACGATGGAGTACAATAGGTACAACAATGAACTAAAACAAACCGAAAACTCATAAAATAATACAACTGTAATAAATTGAATTGTCGAACATTTGTGAAAAATCCTGAAAAATGCTACAACAGTCCGGGTTACGGCTGACTAGAGCATTGAATTTTCCCCTCAAATCCATCCATAATTGGATATTTCCATGACTTTCCATGACTTCTTGCCTATTTCCCTGACTTTCAATGACCAAAATTTTTTTCCATGACTTTCCATGACTATCCCTGACTTTCCAGAATGTGGACACCCTGTTTAAAATTACAAACTACAATCTAGGCTAAGTAAAACTAGGAAATAACATAGGGGAACAATATATTAAGGTACCTCCTGTATTTAAATATTTAATCCCATTTCAAATTGTGTTATTTCTGCTATCTATTTGGTTTTTCTTGTTCAATTTATCTAAACCTGGGCTTTATATTGTTATTCTTATGCTCCTTGTGCATATAAACGATTTTCACTAAAACGATTGACTTGCAAGATTTCCTCTTTATGTCTTGAGTTTTAATGGAAGTCTTCAAGAAATTACTTGAACTAGGATATAAGTGTACACTATACAGTGAACATAGTCACGTTGTGTAGTACTAGTAGTAGAGGTTAATGGGGAGGAGTTTGAAATAAAGGGGTAGGGTGCAAATAAAAGTACAAACAGTGATGATGTATATTTTTTTAGAATGAAAGGTAAAATACTAGATCTTCTATCAAGTATACTATCTAAGTCAAGTATACTATCAAGTATACTAAATACTATCTTCTATCTCAAGTAGTTTGTGTTTGACTTAATTTTTTTCTTCACGGAAAAATTAACAAGGTTTTATAACCCAATGTATTACAATTAATTTGACCCAAAAGGTCAACTTTTTACCTGACATGACAAGAGGTCCCATACCTCAAAGTTAACTTATATCCATCTCCCATAAAATAAACAAATGACATTTTATAAAAACCTCCCAAGAGTGATAAAACAATCTCCAGCCTTAATTCAATTTGTTTTATGACACAGCAAAATGTTTGTACAAGCTTTCAGAACTATAATCTTTGCCACAAATATGTATACTAAATATCCTACAGATAAACATTATAGGCTTTTTTTTTTAAATTTTACTATAAGAAATAATACACGAAAGTGGACATTTTAGTGTAAAAAAGTAACACTTTAGGTGGTTAAAAAAAATTATCAATAATGTTCATTTTATTACAAGTGTTAACAGTATACGCCTCAACCTAATTGTGATCTAATAGATCAACACTACAACCATGTACAGTAATAAAAGAAATAAAATATAAAAAATTTTGGTAAAAATACTCAATTATTACAATATTTAATAAAACATAATAACTAACTGGTAAGTACTGATAAGTTTAAAAGAACTATCGGTACCAGTACTTACAGTTTTATTTAAATGCTTGCCTATTAATGTATAAATATATATGCTGCTTTACCTAGCATCCTTCACGCCATTCACTGGAATAATAGCATTGTTATCAGCATTTTCAATGCTTATCCTTCCGATATTTTCTCTTCTTGCAAAAAGGAGGAACGCTTTGGGAACAACACAGGTCTTTCCATCATTTGCCAGCTCGTAACCTGTTAGAAATACAGAAAAATATCAGATGAGAACTTGACATTTTTTTTATTAAACTCAACCCAACATTTTGTAAAAACACTATGGTCTTGCGTTGAGGTTATTAAAAGACATCGGAAGTAGTGTTCAATAGTAATTGATCACAAACATAACTAAAACAAGATAAAATTATTGTAAACTAAAAAAAATGTGTAATCTCACTAATTTGTGGTAAATTTTTAACTTTATGAAAATACTAGCTGTTGTACCCGTGCTTTGCAATGGGAAGAGGACACAAAATAGAAAAATTTTGGTCTTTACATTTGTTGTATAAAATAGTTACACCTTGTTGGTAAACCTTATAACTTGTTAATGCTATTTATTAATACCATAGAACCATCTTGTGTATTTGAAACAGCTGACGAAACTATTTTATTCCTTTTAAATATGATTAATCATAAGGTTAACATGGGTAACTTCAGAGCCACTGGGGCGGAGCCCAAAAGGACTTTTGCGATAAGAGTGCGTCTATATGTTAATTGGGAATGTGAGCTATCATCACGCCAAATTTCAGCCCAATCCGACCAGTATTTTTCGCGTTTACTTGTCACAAACATACATACATCCAAACTTTCTCATTTATAATATTAGTAGGATAATTAATTCAGCTTAAGTATACAACAGATAAAACCAACTTAATTTATACTTAAGAGGAGTTTTTGGGAAAAAATGATATATTGATTCTGAATTTTAATTTTTATTTAAGAAAAACAAGTTTGAGATAAATTTAAATTTACCATTCACAAGTCAACTGTATTAACTTCTTTCATACATAAAACAAGTTGGAGTCTAGTACAGTATGAACAATCCAACAAATAAGTTGAGTAATTTAAAAATAAATTGAATCCATAAATAAATTCCCAACGTTAGTTGAAGATTTCCAAATTTTGTTGTTGCTAGCCTAGTGGTAAGGGTCTTGGACTTGCATATTCACAAAAACTTGATGGGCTTGGACTACTTTCACTTAAAATTGTTTGTGATAACTTCATTAACTGGCTCAACACACACACATTGGTTGTGTACTCACCTATCTGACAGGCACACACAGATCGGTTGCCAGGTCTGTTTAGACACAGGTGAGTGCATCCTCCGTTGTTGTCTCTACAAGGGTTCCACCCCCCACCTTGCGCCACCCCTACTGCCTTCAGTCCCATCATGTTTGGTAACTGGTCCACTATCAGTTCTCTTCTGTTTCCCGTCACCTGTAAACAACACACCTTAAGCATTGCAAATCAAACAACACAGGCAAAACATTTTTTTGCCTTTGCCTCAGTTGTAAATTTTACATTGTTGGTTGCACTATGAACAAATTCTCAAGCCACTACAGTAAGGGTGTCTACCAAAAAAAATTATGAATTTTCAGTGACCTTTTGTTGTAAAGAATCTTTTTTCTTCTTTTATAATAGAGAAATTTCCTTGAAAAGACAATTTAGTGACCGGGTAAATTACGAGTGTATATAAAGGCAATAAAGTAGGACTCCAATAATCCAAATCGATTATCAGACTGGCCAATTATTTGAATCGCTCACAGATAGAATTACAAAAGGTTAAAACTAAAGTGATAAGAATTGTTACTAAAGAAGGCAGAGCCGTGATCTTGGCAAAATCCAAAACTTAACACACAGTCGAGGATACATCATCATTGTCTCCCGCAGCCACGGAAAATCAAAAATGTCCTCCACAATCGCAGTGAAAGTGTGAATGAACAGGAACTCTATGCAGACACAGTCTGTGATCACAATACAAAAACCTCTACTTGACCTATTTGCTTTAGAATACTCTCAACTTCAGTAAAAATCCAACTACTGTATCTGAATTTTTGATCATCCCAATACAGTCCCAATTGATTCCAATAGTTAAGAGTTCTACTGTATACAGTGACCTTTTGTTTTATATTTCATTCTCATAGTTGCTTCACATTTTGGAAAATGAACAAATGAAACAACTGTCAAACTATAGTGCTTAGGACCTCTAGCCTTTGGTTGAAATAAGGTTAAGTTAAAAGAGTTCTAAATTGGGGTTGAACTAAAGTAATTATTTAGCATTTCCAGGCTACTCATCTTACTTTTTCAATATTCCTTGTAATCTTTTTTAATGTTTGTTTGTGTATGACCAATCTTTGTAAGAGAGTTTTGAGTTTAATTCATCAGCTATATTTAAACTAACTGCAGGTGAACCCTCAGAGTAGCCATTAGATCCTCACACAACATTAGTTTGCTTCATACCTCCTTTGATGACAGTTAAATACATTACAATGATTTTTCTGCTGGAAGTATATGATACTACTAATTCAAGGAATGTCAACTGATCAAGCCCAGTAGTAGCTAAGTACCTTGTCTGCTCGGTCTATACTGCGTCTCTGCCAATCTGTCCAGTAGAGATATTCCCCCAGCAGCGACAGTCCAAACACATGAGGCAGGTTGTCACTGATAAGCTCACGTCGCTCACTTCCGTCCATGTTTATCACCTGTTTATATCATGGTATTTAAATACTTTCCTGTTGTATTGTTGTATTGAGTATTTGTTTTTAGGAAAAAGCATTTAGCTTGGATTAAATAAATATATAGGATGGAGAGGACACAGCTAACTCACCTGATGAAAGGTTGCAGACGAGTTAAAGAACACATAAAATCACACACATAATAATACTTAATATTTCGCCTCCTTCAGAGGCTGAAAGAGGCGAAATATTAAGTATTATTATGTGTGTGATTTTATGTGTTCTTTGACTTGTCTGCAACCTTTCATCAGGTGAGTTAGCTGTGTCCTCTCCATCCTATATATTTATGTATTGAGTATTTGTATTTACAGCAATCTACTCACCACAACGCTATGGTTCACACTATTGAGAGAAAAAGAATAGATACGAGGCTGTCACACTGGAGTGTATTTTAAGGGGAAGATGAGTGAATCATAAGCATGTATGAATCATTCATGTAATGACACCTTTGTTACAGACTAAAATCAGCTGTTCATTAGACAGAACACTTATTAAAACACGAATGATCGAGAACAGCTAGGTCTCAGTTTCTGTCATGAAAGATTAGACTATTCATTGGTTTGAAATGGTGACATTCTGGTTACCAGAGGGGAGCACTATATCCACTCAGATAGCCAGCAGTCAGAGATAGCTCAGATAGTCCTTAAGCTAATACCTATGAAATCAAGTTTCATTAACACTCGGTTAGGTTAGGTAATGACAATTAATATAAGCCAATATTCTCTCCTATTTATTCCTCTTTATCCATGAGAGAGTTTTAATTTTGTTTCTAAAAGAGTAATTTCAAGAACAACTAACTTATGGATTCGACATTTAAATTCCAATTCTTAGAATACATATCTCAAAGCTTTACCTCAATCTTATCTGTCTTGGCGTCACACCAGAAGAGTTTGTTCATTTTGAGGTCAAGTGCTATACCGTTGGGCCAGCCCAGGCCGTCCCTGACCAGTACAGTGCGCTCAGTGCCATCGAGTGCCGCACGCTCTATCTTGGGCCGCTTCTCGTTCCAGTCAGACCAGAACAGCCAGCCATGCTCGGGCGCCACAGCGATGGCTCTCGGCTCTACTAGGTCCTCGTTGATCAACACCTGTCATCAAAAATTAACAGTTACTAACGTAAATCAATTTAAACTGTAGTATTCCAATGAACTACTGTGGCATAATTATACAAACTAAAATACATTTAACAGTTTTATTCATTATTATATCAATATCATTCAAATCAACATTGTAAGATCCATTAGGCTTACTATTATTGCATGGTAAAACACAATTTAAAATATTTTAACATGTTCCATGACATCCCTATTATTTCAAACTTGAGACAAACTTCACCATGACATCCAAGCCAATCAATTGAGAACATAAAACAGCAGCATAAAACAGCTGTAGTCAATTTAAAACACACTGGATTGTTTTTACAGCAACTAGATAACTTTATTTAAACCATTATTGGTTAATTCAAACAATCAAGAGGCCAATCTGTCATGAAGAATGAAAAAGTCATTCATTCGGGGTTTAGGTCTTACCATGCCACCTACAGTAATAGCTTGTTTTCCCTATAGTGAAAATTTGCTAAAACGGCTCAAAATTTGAAGAATCTAACCTTTATCTTGAAAAAAAAACTGTCGCCTTTGACGAGATGGAAAATGAGTCACACTTTTGAGTGGTGATCCAAGGACCCTCTAACTTTCAGAATGGTTATTTTTACTGAACAAAGTTATATAACAACCCTAAGTTCAGCAAGACCAGTATTTTCCATACCTTCCTAGCTCGTCCGTCCAGCCTGGCTACTTCTATCCTGTCAGTTCCAGTGTCTGTCCAGTACATGTTGCGGGCTATCCAGTCTACAGCAATACCATCCGGATGTTCCACCTCGGAGGTCACCAGATCTTCCTGACCAGTCCCGTTCAATCTGGCTCTGCGAATTGCTTGCGCCTACCGGGACAAATATCACAAATGTAGCTTTCACAGAATAGGTGGTAGTAACCTTGAGCTTGCTTAAGAGTTGTTAACATCCCTTAAATGTTACACAACCTTTTTAAGGTCAATGTAATAAATTTGTGAATTTATAGAGAACAAAAATAAACATGAGAACTAAAACTAGAAACCAAGAAAAAACACCAGAGATAAAGTAGTAGCTTATGGCTAAGGCCATTAGACGAGGTAGCCTTGCGACGTCGGCAGCGACAGTAGCTGGCGACGCACTGGCCACCAAACCTAGTAGCCAGTTGAGTAGCTAGAATTTTACCGACGTTACTCATTTTGTTGTGAGTGCTTGTCTTATACTTGTACTTGTTATGAGTGGTATGTTTACAGTGAATAATGAGTGATTATAAGTCTCTTCTCCTTCTGTTACTTCTGAAGAAAAGGAGGCAAAGGAAGAGAATAATATACGTTCATCCAATGCTTAGTGCAAGAGAATCGAAAGGGTTATATTACACCCTTTTAGATGAGCTCTGTGCGAACAATACAAAATGTTTCAATTATTTTCGTATGTCACAATCCAGATACAGATATTGACATTTTCCATAGATTCCATATAGACATATCCAATACACATGTAGACATTTTATCAACTGAAGTGAACAATTCACCCACTCAAAAACACAACAGTGTGCAAGAACCCCCATGATATGGACTGACTGAGTGGCGACGTGATACTGGCAACCTAGTGTAATAAGCTCCATACTACAACGCAGCGTCGCCAATATGGGTAGCCAGTGGCTACCACAGTGGTGACGGGGCTCGGTAGCCAGTCGGTCGCCAATGTGTGGCTGCGTCGCTGCCACATGTGCCGCTGCGTTATGGCGTGTAATAACATCCATAAGGATCAATGACCCTTGGCAAGCTGAGAAGCCAGTTTGGTCGCTGGCGACATCGCCAGGCTACCTCGTCTAATAGGGGCCTAAGTGCTGCTTAGCGACTGACACTTGTAATTAGGTGAAACGTCAGCACTTAGTTCCCAGAAGACCTACTGTAGTTTGTAGACTTAGTGGTTAGAGAAGCTTCTTACATTAGAATTAGTTGTTGCTTGCTGCTAGGGGTCATTTAACTAACATTTTTAATGAGTCTCAACAATTGTAAACAAATCCAGATTTTCATAATTCTTAATTATCCTAATTTTAGTCAACCAATAAAACTAAAATCAAGCATTAGATTGTACTTTAGCCAGTACAAAAAACACACACACACTACGGTGCACTGTAACACTGGCACCCATGTAGAAGTGCACTATGCACGATACTGTTTAAGTTACCTCATCGTCAGTCCAGTACAAGTAGTTGTCGATGGGGTCGTAGTCTATTGCAATGGCATATTTGATGCCAGTGAGAGGCAATACTTGAGCAGTGTGGTCGGGAGAATCTAGAGAGATGCGGCAAATATCAGTCCTCTGAACCAGCAGAAGCAGTTCTTGAGCACCTACAACATCACATGGCTTTAGTGCTTTGGTTAAAATTGATTTTTAATTTGTTTCCTCTAAAACCCTTGTTGATTTACCTCCTTTAAAACCCTTGTTTGTTTACCTCGATGAACAATCATATGAATAACATGATAAATCCTACACCTTTTTACCTTCTCATTTTTGATGTTGCACTTATGTTTCTAAACATAAATGCAATAAATTCTTCAATGATCAATCAATCAATTTATTTATTGAACAACAATAATGAATACATGCATATTATACAATAGGTGCAAAAACCATACAAGGCTTGTCTGCACCAACATATTATGACAAATATTTTTAGTTAATTAATATATAAGTTGAGTTCAATGATGAGTTGAAAGTACCTAATAGGAAATTTTTCCAATGTCTGACAACCTCAACAATGGCATAAGCCTCCTTTTAGACAGAGGAATGACATTTTTCTGATTCTGACAGAGTTTGGGAGAAGAATTTCACCGGTTTTGTTGACTTAAGATATCATCTATTGGAGTATCTGAAGCTAGTATACAGTCAAAAGGAGTTTTCTCAATATCTTGTTTGAGTTTTTTGAAACAATGACTTACCCTTTTAGAAAGTGAAAAAGAACATTGTTTTTTGGAGGTTAATATTTTAAGAAAAACTGGGTACGGTATGAACAAGTAATGAGATAATATGTCTAAGGCTCTTTGAAGATTCAGTATTGATAGGCAAAGGAAACTCGCAAGGGATGTTGCGTAAATAAAATAAGCTTTTCTCTTGGCGTAGTTAAATATTATTTATATCCTGGTTTGAATGAAATTTTTCAGTTTGAATGCGACCACAAATTGTTATTTTAAGGTAAAAAATGAGGATCTAAAGCTAATCAAGGTGGACTAGTACCGTTGGCGCAGGTGTAGTTATCCACCAGTTTGATGCCGGTTGGGCAGGCGCAAGTGTAGCCGGGAGGGTAAGGTGCCAGCAAACACAGGTGTGAACAGCCTCCGTTGTTTCGCTCACACGGCGTCCACCGGTACGGCTGGCGCGCTGGGTCCCACACTCGAATGTCCATAGGCACATAGTTGCCTTGTATCAACTCCTTAGGAGCTCCATTGGTGTTGCGGTCAAGCACGTGGACTGACCTAAGGTCAGAGTAAAAAATTTATTTAAATCTGCTTTTTGTCACACAAATTTTAACATAATTGAAGTTTGCTAACTTATAAATAACCTCTTGCACCAATGAATAATCCTGTGAGAAGTTTATTTAAATCACAAGCTCTTGTAATTAGCAAGAGGTGTTTGCACGTGTTAACAATACCATTTTTATAACACAAACAAATTTTGGACTAAAATGTTTATCCTTCAAGCAGTAAATAATATATCAACAACAGAATATATAAACTACTATTAGAGAGGAAAAGAATAACTTAACAAAACAAGTTCACTTAACGAAATAAGTTTTGTTAAACAAAACTGCAACAAATTACCTGAAAAATTATATTTTTAACAACGAAGAAACAAGCTAAAATGTTCAAATTGTTTGTTTACCATGTCTTCCAGTCAGTCCAGTAGAGTTTATCCTTGAAGAATGCCAGAGCAAATGGATAAATAACACCTTTCTCCACCACATGCTTCCTGTTACGGCCATCATAGTCCATCACCTGCCACACAGAAACTAAATTAACAAACTTTAAAAGTTGTTTGTGTTCTGTTTAATATCTCTATAACTTTAACAGCACAAGTTAAAAGTCTATTTGTTTATAAAAGCACAAACTTACAAAATTCATGTTTGTGATAAAATAATGTTGTGTAATGTGCACTTATCACAAAAACTCCTTCAATTATGACATGGTGACATACAATGTTTACAAAACAAAAAACTAACTTGATAATAACATTTCTAATCACATGTTGTGCCCCAAAACATTCTCAAAATTATACAAATTTGGCAAACAATTTTAATAAAAAACTTTCTGAAAAATTCAGAACAGATAGATTCTGAAAGGTTACAAGAATATAGAATAGGGTTTGGTCAGTTTCCTCAAAAAACAGGAAGAAACGCCAATGGACTAAAAAAATTAAAATAAAAACAAAAAGAGTCACCTCAATGAAGTGTAGCCTGCCGTCGAGCCAATAGACCCGCTTCTGCTCAAAGTCCACCGTCAATCCGTTAGGCCAGAAGATCTGACTATTGACGATCACCTTGCGTGTGGACGGGTCTCCGTTCATCCCTGCTCTCTCAATCTTGGGCACTTCACCCCAGTCAGTCCAGAACACCAGGCTACAACCAACACATTAAAATGTCAATTGTCAGTCAAGAATGTGATTTGATTAACACCACAAATTTCATTATATTCTGTTTGTTTTGGTATGCATACACTGTCCTAATAACACTTCCCATAGGACAATGTTGATTGAAAGTTAACTATCCATCAAGAGAATTTATAATGCCTAAATCGTTGGGTAGCATTGCAAGCCAAAATTATTTACAAAATATACTTAGGCCCAAGGGAAGCAATAAGGCTACACATTCTTCACCTGTCCATGGGCACAACAGCAATGGCGCGAGGCTGATCAATGTCGTCCCAGAACAAGACTTTGCGCATCTTGCCATCCATGGTCGCCACTTCTATCCGGTTGGTCTCTCCGTCCGTCCAGTAGAGTTTCTTGGTGAGCCAATCACAAGCCAGACCATCCGGCGTGATCAGACCTGCCGTAACCACCTCCACCTGGCAAACAGATGTAAGTGTTAGACAAGATCATACATTTCATAAACGGTATGGTGAAATACTGTACAGTAATACACTTTCATAAATACTGGTCTCAACATTCCTCCTCAGCAGATATTTCGGAAGATTGTGAAGATCTTTTCCTAAAAAACAACTCAGTTGAATGAGCCCTACACAAAGTTGTGCTAATGTCTTTAGATTTTTTAACTGATATAGTTAATGTGACTTAAAGGATGCTAATGTTTAAGGTATGTTGTCTTTCAGTTTTACTAGGTTAAAAAGTTCACGTATTGAACAGTAGTCAGTTACATCAGCAAACTTGACAGTGGTTCTATTCAACTCTGTTGCATTTTATGCTAAAAAAGGCAACAACTTTAACATAGAAATGGAATGTCTATCTCTATTCAAATTCAAAGGCATTCCATAGTTCAAATTTACCATACTCAATAATACTCAATCAATTATTTTTATCAATTAAATTTCACTTAATTTTATTGTGATAGTAATTTACATTCAGGGTACTAAATTAACTCACTCCTTATATTTAAAATTGTGAAGTTTTACTAAACAATTGAGTGCTGTATCATTGACTTAGGATACTGCAGGTAGGCCCCAAACTTAAATTTTCAGCCTTATTGGAATTGTGTTGATGTCTAGTATGTGTCAATGCCAGTTTATTATTTTTATTGCTTGATTGTGTGTTTCAGTGTGTTTAAAGGTGTATTTGAAGGTGGATTAGGTGGATTTTACAGGGCACTTTACCCTTTGGATACCAAAAAAGCAATAATCTACCAAACTAATCACAGACATCATCTCACTTAGATGTCATGAAACATTTAAAAATACTTTATAACCATTGACTATTGGATACTAAAGTAGACATCCCATCAAAATGGAACAGCTGTCACCAATATTTTACCAAACAAAAACTTATGCGTGAGCCAGTCACAGAATGGACTAGTATCCTAAGTTCTTCTATTTTATACCTTATATTTTGTTGCTGACATGGTTTATGGGTCATAACAGTTGCTTTAGCTCACAATAAGTTGTTCCATCAGTTTTACTTGGTAATAAATATCATGTATTTGGCAGATATTAATAATTTAGATCAACACATCAACTACGACGATTTTGATTAAAATTGGCGTCAACTTTAATAAAAGGATGGAATGTCTAGTTGTATCAATAGTGAAAGATAACCATAAACTGATCCATAAGGATAAAACATTTAAACAAGGGAGTATGTAAGCTAGTACCTTGTTGACTGCCTCAGTGCCGTTGTAAGTGACACACTGGATCATCTCCAGGCCGCGATCCGTCCAGCAGATCTGCGACTCTGCGTAGTAGAAGTCCACGGCGGCCCCTTCCTCCAGGTCCTGTTACAATATTGTCCACACTTAACTCTCTCATGGCATAGCTCTGACAAGGCATAACTCTGATATGGCATAATTCTTACGAGGCATAACTCTGACAAGGCATAACTATAACAAGGCATAACTCTGATATGGCATAGCTCTGACAAGGTATAACTCTGATATGGTATAGCTCTGTCAAGGCATAGCTCTGACAAGGCATAACTCTGATATTGCATAGCTCTGACAAGGAGTAACTGACATGGCATAGATCTGACAAGGCATATCTCTGATATGGCATAACTAAGGTATAACTCTGATATTGCATAGCTCTGACGATGTATAACTCTGATATGGCATAGCTCTGACAAGGCGTAACTCTGATATGTCATAGCTCTGACAAGGCATAACTCTGACATGGCATAGCTCTGACAAGGCATAACTCTGATATGTCATAGCTTTGACAAGGCATAACTCTGACAAGGTATAACTCTGATATGACATAACTCTGACTTAAGGCATAACCTTGACAAGGCATAACTCTGATAAGGCGTAACTCTGATAAGGCATAAATCTCAAAGGAACTACATACTATATGTTGCAGACAAAACTCTCAATAATTGGTCCATGCAGAAAATTTCAAGTTCATTGCACTATTTAGCTGATAAAAGAATAGTCTGGATAGCCAAGACTCATCTGAATATTATCAATACATGTCAAGAGGATGGTCTGAACCTAGTTGGACTATAGACATTAGTAGTAAACCTATTACAAATTTCCATCAGCCTATTGGTATTAGTTTTGTCTTTTAATACATCTATATCCCTATCACAAGACATCAGAATAATTTTTGCTTTAGATTCCATTGCTAATTTATCTTGTAAAATTTCATATTTGTCAAAGATATTGTACCTATTCAATCCTGTTGCCTATAATAACAGTGATATGCCTATTTGTAAACTTTGTTAATAACGTGAAAGGAAATAACAAGTTATTTACAACTTGTTATTACAATTGAAAAGATTAATAGCTTGAGGCTAAAACTTCATAATTCAACATAATTTATCCATCACAGAAATTCACAATTTAGTGTCTAAGGATCAGCAATGAACATATGACATGAATACAAAATCATGCATTATAAAAAATATTCAAAGAATGAATAAAACAATAATTTTAAAACAAAATATTGTATTTGAGAAGATGAAAAAAAATATTTCATATCATAAGGGCAAAGCTTAACCAAATTTTCTGAGGGTTTCTATTTTAAATTTGTTACACTCAAAGACTTGTCTGTGGTAAAGAAATATAATTTGTTGAAGGGCTGTCCAATGTCTATTGGAAGACTGAAATTCGTATCACAAAGGCTTGCAGCAGACACTCTAGGATAAGTCAAGTGCCTCTTGACTCAACTATGTATGAGGAAGGGCCCTTTGTTGATGCACTTTGTGTTCAGTGACACTATCAGAAGGTCACAAATCAAAGATGATAGGCTAGATATAAATGTCTTGAGACATTATTGGAAAAAGGGTAAAGTTCAAGGGTTCAGCTGTTATCAATATTGTTAATTGATTTAAACAGTATGTCGGTTTTTCTACGGAACTGTAAAAAAACAAAGGAGTAGAAACCTTATGGAATTATTTGTCAAATTTATTCATATAAAAATTTTCTAATTTAGCAAAATGATGAATTTTCAGACTTTTATGATACATTTTTAGGTGCACAATCAATTGTTTCTATTAAAAATGGTTTGCTATATTTTTAAACAAGTTGCAAGTTTGAAAACAGCTAAAAGCTTTCCTTTGTTTAAAAACAAGATGTCACTTAGGGTAGAATGAAATTTCTTTTTCGTCATACAACTGCAGCAAAAACAGCTGTTTTTAATACATGAGTTGTTTTTAATACCTGCGTTGTTTTTAATAAACGTGTTGCGGGTCTAAAGAACTGTAGTTCTTTAACTTCTTAGAGATTAAAAAGCCTTTTTAGTCTCAAGAAAGAAAAGTGTAAAAGTAAGCTGTTGGAAACACAGTTGTAAACTTAGATTGTAAGCATTCACACGTATCAAAATTATGTCTGAATAAAAAAAAAAATAGGTTATAACTTATTGTTGAGTTATTGTCAAAAGTTTGACATTATTGATTGTATGATGTAGACTAACACATTGGTAATAGACCAAAGCTCAATAACAAAAAAAGCTAGTATAGGCTAGTATAGCTAGTATAGGTTAGGGTTGGCGCTTGATACTGTAGGCCTAATTAATTCACTTAATTAACAACTGCTTGTTCAATCTTTATACGAACAGTATGGTATTTTTGTTTTCTAACTTGATTTGTAAAAAAAAGATGCAATATGACAAAAAATATAGACATAAAATGAGGTTACTAACCTGTCGTCGATCAGTCCTATATTGTCGTGGATGCCTATAGTTTCGGGGTTAAAACACAATTTTCAAATCTTCTCTTCAGTCGTCATATGTCAAACATATTCTCTTGCACAAGCCGTAGTCAAAATTACTTCACACATACAAAAACATGTATAATACAAAATCATCTACGGTGTACTCCCTCTTATCCGGACACCTTTTAACCGGACATCGGTTTAACTGGACTACACTCGGCGGAAATGACATCTCTTTAACCGGACAATTTTTATCAGCACGTTGGTTTAACCGGACTAGATCGGCAGGAAGTGGGCGGTACTGAAACGACTGTTCTCGTAGGAAAGATTTGAGAGCAGTGATCACGTGTCTAAATACAATGCTATCCTAAGTTTAAGTCGAATATCACAGCAAACGGTCCGTTTTAACGAGTTTTTGGGAACGTCGGTTTAACCGGAAAACCTGTTATCCGGACTGGCCTCGGTCCCGAGGAGTCCGGATAAGAGGGAGTCTACTGTACTGTATAAATTCTTTCGTATCTGTTTATGTGAATATGTGAAGTAATTTTGACGACGGCTTGTGCAAGAGAATATGTTTGACATATGACGACTGAAGATAAGATTTGAAAATGGGGTTTTAACCCCGAAACTATAGTCATCCACAACAATATAGGACTGATTGACGACAGGTTAGTAACCTCATTTTATGTCAATAAACCAATCCTGAAGGCAAATTATGTATAAAAAAATATAGTTCATCACACGGGAAAAAGTGTCAATTCAACCCTCGATCATTTCTCTTCCTTGGCGTCGAAATATATTGTGATATTATATGAAATATACTATTTAAAACTATACGATTACAGGTACCTAATATAATTATTCCCTTTTGATTAACTACTAACCAGTTTTTTTCCAAACAAAAATTCCCGTTAGGCCTATAAATAAAAATTTGATAAAACGTAAAGGATTGCGAGACTGCTCTGATAGTTTCTTTCCAACACAGTATAAGGTTTACTTATTTTTCCAAGGTATAAAAAAAATTACATCTAAACTATTGCCTATATTTTTTAATTTCCTCAGAAAAGTTGTTAAGTTTGTTTAATAGTAAGCAAATCTTTGTAAACAAACAATATGGTTGCATATCAGCATTGACTTTATATCTCTACACAAAGTCAATGATATCAGGGTATCGGTACAAAATTTAAGTGACTCTGTGACAGGTTTGGCAGATCAGCATATTTTGTCGCCTCTCCAAAGTATTTTATGAGGCAAAATACAAAGATTTAATGTAAAATGAATATAAAGAAGTTGGTTCTACTTACTTTGACAATGGTAACAACTTTCGACGGACGAGAAACATTGGCAATCCTGATATCCCTGCTGGTGACAAACAGTAGATTTGGGTATGCTGAAACAAAATATGATAATTCATTATCGACATAAAATGTTCAAAACTACAACTAACATTCATAGAACAAACATTAAACCTATGATTTCAATCACAAAATATTAAAATTTATCAAGTAAAAAATGTTGTTGGAATAACTTAAAACTAAGGCAATTTTGTATTTATTTCATTAAGCACATGTCAACTACTTTCTTAAATCTCTTCTTGAGGAAAACACCATTCTAGTCTGCATTTCACTCTTATAGGGAGCATTGGTCAAATGTATATCACTAAAAAAACAGTACCGGTATGAAACAGAATAAACAATCAACTGAAAAATAATCAAATTTTCAATAACCTACTTTAATTTTGATTTGGCTTTGAATAATTTTCTTGACTTTCACGATTGTTAAGTTTTAAGTATTTTATGATGTCGATTCCATATCATTAGGTTCATACAACAGCAATAAAATGATTTTTTATTTAATTTAACATCAAATTGGTAATTAAAGTTCCTTGACATTGGATATCAGTCAGCCTGGACTTCAAAGCACCAAATAGCTTCAGCTTGGTATCTAGCAATCAGAGTTAAAGATAACTCTTAACTAGTGATACATAAATAACCTTTTGAAGCCAGCTGCAATCGTAAACAAGATCATTGCCGCTGCTGTTTGAAGTGTACTGCTTCTGAATAGCTGTGCTAACTCAAATGTTGGTGCTATTTGTTGATGCTATGTAGTAATGTCTTCAAACAAACATATTCTTTGAGTTAACCCAGTTTCAAGAACGAAGGGAAAAAGGTAACCAACTTAAAATAAAGCTGGGTAATTGAATTTGTGTGGTGTAATTTTATAATAACACAAACATACATGAAATATGAGTGAAATTTTATTAAACACAAAAAATGTGCAAAAACAATATAAAGTATAACCTGATAGACGAATTTATGCCCTTGTGAATAAAATTGCCTCTTTAAAAAAGACTGCAAGGAATTATTATTGATAAAGTACAGTCGTTTCAAATTCCATAGCAATCCATAAAGTAATTACCGAGAATCTAGTTTCCAAACATAAACAGTACCTATGATTAAAATGGTACGTGTATTGAAAACTAATTTATTTATTTATTCCAACGGCAAGATCACCAATTTACAATGTGGATTCAAGAAGCCTAAGTGGTTGATTATTCAAGCAAGCGTGGTTAAAAACCACCCCATTAACCGACAACCACCCCAAAATTTTGGTAGAGTGAACACATCACAAAGCGTATGTGTCCTATTCAATCAATAGCTTTTAATTACTGTACGTCTCCGCTTGTTTTTGTGACCCCAAAGCACCGCTTCTCAATTCAACCTCCTCAAATTCGTGCAGACGGCCGACCACAAAACGCGCTCTTTGTTTTTAATCGTCCGCGGAAAGAACAACGCGAGGTGGGGGGTGATATGGGAGAGTGGAGTAGAAGGGTGTTTCCTGCGGCGGTAGAGTGGTGTCGGGGTGACAGCCGAGACAATAGGGAAGTGTGAACAGGAGGCCGCCGACGAAGCCGACATACGGGTACTGCATTGCGATATCTCCCATGATAGACGGCGGCATAGAGCCGTAATGGAAACCTCTGGATAGTCGATACAGCACACCAAGACGATCCAGCGAAATTCGACGCAAGGGTATTGGAGATTGCAATACGACAATCGGCAGCGGCACGTACACTTTTATTACTATCCAACCGCAAGCCGACGTTTCGTGAGCTTTGCATAAGGATACGCTCATACCGGAACCAGCTAGAGCAAATGGTTAACACAAACCGGGTAGCTAATGCAAAATCGCAAACTTATAAATTAGCAAAAGATTAGTATTTGTAAACTTGGGTGGTGGGCTCATGTTTTTGTTGAGTAGTAGTTCAAAACTTGGGACCCTGAAAAATGTGTGATTTTACTTCATTAAAAATGCCACTGGCGCAGAAACAAGCAAAAAACAAACACATAACTACTGTTAAAATGAGAAAAGTTAAAAACCCCTAGCTTTTTAAGGTGTGCGTGCTTGGGTGATCGAGTGACTTATGTTAATAGGCCTAGAAGTATTTTGATTCTGAAGACGTTGTGGATATAGCTTGCTGGGTTGACGTCGGGTTAAAATTTATCAAAGATTGATTGAAACATTGGTGCCTATTGATGAACTTTTTGCTTGACTACTAAAAGTATTTGAGTAGAAATCTCGTACTTATCACAATTGAGGAGAAAATTGACAAAAAACAACAAATGCTAACTTGGTGGAAGGAATAAATTGTTTTCCACACGTTCCTCAGGATATTTTCTTGTGAGCACTGAATTTAATTACGTGTAACATATTACAACTAAAGCGGTTTAAGCTTAAGTTTTGTCAGTGCTAAGTTTAATCCATACGATACAAATATGTTTATACGTTTCAAACAGTTTAATATATTTAATTGCACACTGTAGCTAAAAAAAATCAATAACAATTTCAAATCATAAATCAACCAATCTGTACTACTGCGATTCCCAGAAAGCACAGTTTACAGTATGTAAAAGAGGCCACCCATACTTCAGAACCCGTTCTCGATTGGCGTCTAAAAAATATAAAACAAACCAATCAGAAAAAATCAACAAGAGGATAACAAGGGTGGAATAATGTAATAATAGAGCGGAGGGCTCAACGGCCGGTTGTGGAACAGACTGTACATAATTATATTGGGAATGCTAGATGCGGCGCAGGATCAGCCAGGACAGACTTGTTAGCATGTCCTCCCCCCCTAACCCCCTTCCCTACACCTACCCGGTGCCGGTGTTGACGCCTTCTCACCACGGTACACGAACACGGTACAACAGAGTCTGTAGCTAACAAATCCGACCCAAAAATTTTCCTTCACAGGGTGTCCACAGAAAATTTGTCATTGATTTCCATGACTTTCCATGACTATCCATGACCATTTACCATTGATTTCCATGACTCACGAACTTTACTCAAAAATTATAATGTAACATACACACACAAAATACTGCCTAGACAAGTTATTTCAGAAAAATACTGAAACATGTATTAACAGATAACAATGGAGTAATACATTTTGTAAAAATATGGTATTCAAAATATGGAAGGAAAAAAGAAAACCCAATACCCCCGCCGCAGCTAACCTGCTGTCTAAGCGAATTTCCATTTGGCTGAATTGCTTTTCAATTGATCTATTTAAATAAAATTAGGTTTAACGAGTACCTAGGTTTGCTGCTACAAGGAAACTAATAAAGTGTGTGTTTTAAGTAAAATAATTATTGCTTAGTATAAAATGAATATATTTGCCAAGTTTGATCAAAAGATATCCATAAACAAGCAAACTACAACATTTTACAATATTCTCCATAAGAATAACATGGGGATTTTAAATTTACAATTTTTTTAGTTTTCTCCGTAACCAATAACCGTACAAAAACACTTTGATATACTGAATTGTTTGTTTTTTTAAGCTCTTTAAGAAGGTTTAGAGGAAAATTGGTAAATTTTGTGTTTTGAGGGTCAAAAGTGAGAAAAACAAATTTTTACCCCATAAAACCCCCCATAAAACCCTGTTCCCATGGTCCGATCATGCTGGATCGCGAACTCATTCAAGTTTATCCCGCCTTACACCTTCAAACCAAATTTCATCAAAATCGGATAAAAATTACTCAAGTTATCGTGTTCACGGACACATATATATATATATATAAATCTATATATATATATATACCTATATATATATATATACATATATAAAAATTTGAACGAATGGTGTTTTTGGCCTCTGGGGACTTCAAAATGAAAAAGTAAATCGGTCCCGGGCCTAATTCTTACCATGAGACCTACGGTAATAGCTACTTCCCTATAGGGAAATTCGCTAATAAACTCCGTCGCCATAGCTGGCCAAGTTCACTGTCCACTTCCCTTTTTCCTTACTGTATAATTTTTATTATTAATTTTTTTATGAGTTTACAGTTTAACAAAAATTAGCTTAACAAAAAAGACATAACTTAAGACAAATCAAAACATTATAACAATATTTGTATTGCAATTTGAGTTGTAATAATGAAGTTGTAACATTTTAATATACTGTACCTACACTACTGTTGCAACAATATCCTAAAAATATTAAATTAAATTATAAGATAAAGTAGGTACAGATTGTAGTGACTATTACAAACTCGAAACTCTCATCAACTAATACAAACACTGTAATAAGTTCAAGTGTTGTGAATTTATAAAAAATACTGAAAAAAGCTACAATAGTCGGCGTTGCAGCCAACTAGAGTATTAAGTCTCGTCAAACCCATCCATCATTGGGAATTTCCATGACATTCCATGACTGTTTGCCTATTTCCATGACTTTCAATAACCACAATTTTTTTCCATGACTTTCCCTGACTATCCCTGACTTTCCAGAATGTGGACACCCTGCTTCAAAATAGCAAATATTTTTCGTTTGCATAACACGTCAACATAAATAACAATGAATGTTAAATATTGACGCGGCCGTGGAGAAACCGATGGCTATAAATAACTCGTCGTAATCAAACAGATGCTTGTTGTGTTTGAAGATCAATAGTTATCATTTATCTACCCCATACAAAGAGTACGACAGATATAAATTATCGTCCAATTAGATGTTTGTTCGATATCACTATCAAAGACTTGACTGTGGCCAAAGCATGTATATTTACTGGCATTCCGATCGTCCTTAAAACAACTACAGTAACACTCCACAATTAAATGATTGACAATTTCAAATCAATGGTTGGCTACAGATTTGGCCCTCTGGATGAACTATTAATAGAGCAAGAGCAAGTTAACCATGACGTCATTATATACGGATCATCACATCGTAATTTGGTAGATGATAGTTTTGCATTTTCCTCAGTAAAAAACTCAACAAACTGTCTAAACCCAGGTTATAACTAACGTCCAAATTTTGTTGAATAAACATGTGACATCTGGGTAAAGAATAGACAACGCCCAGGATGAAATCAGCAACCTACAGAT